TCCAAGCAAGCAAGCGTATGCTTACATATGTCGTTATCGCGCCATTGTTACTACTCCAACCAACTATACTTTACTCCATATCCAACGTATGAAATGAGGATTATGCATTTTTGCTTTGTTGTCCATTTGTTTACAGTCATGTTTGAGCTTAGTAATCGAAATGTAAATAATGCACAAAAGGTTCTGTTAGGAACAATTCCTAAGCATTTCTGATTTTATGGGATTAGAAAAGGGAGCACTCGTTCTATGTGACTCACCCAAAAAGGGACTTGTAAATTCCCTAAATTGATAAGTTCATGGTTAGAACTTAACTCAATGTTCATTTTAGTATGCGATGTGTGCATATGTATCCGGTAGCTCTTTGCAATTCGATACAACCATATAATCATCCCTCCACCACCATGCAAACTGAAACGGGTGCATGATAACGCAGAAGGGTCAGGACACGGAATATTTTTGAAACTCCTATGTCGCTCAATAACTTGCAAACTCAAAAATCTGTATAAATCTTAAAAAATAGTATTGTTGGTAAGTAGTTTAATTATGCAAATTAGCATGGAATTAAAGGCCAGTCGTTGCATTTATATATGTACGTGAGATTATCTCTCTTCATCCCGTTTAGTGTTTGCCGTGAAAAAAACACCTGCAACAAATTATATTTTCTGCAGGCATAAGATCTTGCAGTACAAGAAATGCCAAAAAGGTGCAAGAAATCAGACACTGCGACCGTTTACGATAATTGTATACACGATATGGCCCAATCTCTTCTGCCGGCGTTTACATGTTGAATAGTGGTTATATTTAAGCCCAGTGATGCCACTCTCATTCGCCTGGCCAACATTTAACCACTCTCGACTTCTTTTAAGAAGAGTCAACTCGTCCTTAACTATAGTTGACTGTCACTCATGCCATGCTGCTGGAGGTTAAGTAATGTGATGATGATGCTATATACATTAAAATTCCATCTCTTTTCGGGGGTTGGCTGGCTACTTATTATTCTTGGTGGTTATTCCGTGGTGGTTTGGGAGTCGTTCAGCTTATGAGAAGCATATCGCACGTATTAGAGTCTCCCACCAAATGAGGCTCTCTTGGTGTCAACCACTCTGTTGTGGAGTCACCCAAAATAAAGGAAGGAAAGGGCAACAAGTGTTCGTCTTCTTCTTCCAGTTCTTCCTGTCAAGAAGTGCTCCATATTCCCTTCGCTAAATAAATGGGTTCCAAGAGTCAAAAAGGAGCAACAATATCTAAGTCTCATACCACCGAAACTGCACTAGTCCTTCACCAAGAGTCGGGAGAAGCACACGTCAAGAGCCCCGTTGAAGGACAGTGGTGGTGACCCTTGTCTCACGTGCATCATGGCTCCAGTGTCACTCGGCAAACGAAGTCCGCGATCTCGAAAAAGCCCTCCCTCCTCCTCCTCAGAAGGTAATCCTAATCCTGTTCAATTGTCTCCACATAATTCGCACACCTCGACGCTAAGCTGTGTGGGAGGGTTGTGCTGAATGCAACAATTAATCTAGCAAAAATTTTTGCCCACCAATTTAAGTTACTTGATTAGACGACCGTGAACTCTTTTGGTTCCAGACAAAGCATTCAGATGCTGATGCAGCACTACAAAAAATATTACCTACTCCGCCACGATTAGCATATATACAACTCCCTATTTAATTTGAGTTTAAATTGACTAGTAATAAGGTTCTCTTGAGAGATTTGCAATTGTGTGGTGGCTAAAAATAAGAGGAGGATATCTAATCTTAAATGAAATTCGTGTAGATGTTAATGTGTAATGATCCACTTGAGACTTTTGGTATTACTTGTTCTCATCACCTCGAAATTGATCGATATGATTTTCTTGGCATTATTACGCAATGCTGCCAATTATACATCCTCCTCCTTCTTCTTCTCTCTCGAACTTATGCTGCCATAAAATTGCTCCCCTGTTTATGTTGTGCTTGTTCAGTGGTTGGGAAGAAGGGTGAGATTGCGGATCTGGCAAGGTTGCAAAATTTTAATGGCCATAAAATTCAGATAAAGATTTGTCTATGATGGATCTCGGTTGGTTAGTTATAGTTAGTTATAGCTGGTTAGTTTGGTTGGTTGGTGAACTCTTCTTCTTATTGCAGTACTAAATAACTATCTGTTGAGAAGTTGCGTAATGAAATGATTTTTTTGCACTTGAGAGATGCACAAACTTCTTTACAACCTGTTACTTCTCAGTACATGCATTTCATCTTATTAGGTTTCCATGCTGGCTTTGCCCTACCAAATCCTAATCTGCACTAAATTTCGCGAAACGAGCTGAGAAATATGGATTTGCTCATTATCATTCATTACATGGTGTCATGCTCTTAAAACGAAACGACTTTCCCATCCAGTGGGTGAAATTGCACCGTGGTATAACAGGCGGCAACTCCGCCACGTCGGTGTCAGTCCATCTCGGTGATCACTGGAAGAATCACTCGAGACTCTCTCGTGGTCAACTTGTTGGCAGTTTTCATCGTGGATTGAGGTAGGCCGTGTTGTGGGGAATGCCGGTTATAACAAACTAATAACTGCTCCTACATATTCTGCCCCGTCAGCCTTCTTGGTTGTTCTTGTGGTCGAATTGTTCCTCTGACTTTGAGAAGAGTGAAGTCAAAGTCAAGGTCTCATCTTTTTGTTTCCTTACTTTTTGCTCCTAAATAGGTTTGCGTGCAATAAAACTTTTACGCTGATGAGAAGCACCACCACCACCAGCAAAACCTGGTTCTTCACCGTGACTGAGTCATGAATGATAGTGAAAAGTGAGCAACGCGAAATGATCATCACATTGTAGCACACAAGTAGTTTTTTGTACTTGGAGAAAGCTCAATCAAACTTTTTTGTGTTGGAGAAAGTGTGTGGTTTCTCTAAAACTGTGTTTGTTGAGACAACCGTGAAAGCTAAGCCTGATTTATTATTTGACTCGAGCTCTGTTACAATCGTCCGGATGTTGTACGACAGCTACGAACTCTTTGAATTCTTCAAAGGTAAATTGGAAAGTAAGTCATCACCACTCTGTGCCATGAATTGATGATAAAATTAACCAGACCAATCAGGCGCAATTTAAGTAAAACCCAGCATGAAAGACGAGATGACTTGCTCGATTTTTATTCTACAGCCTCTTGTGTATTATGCATGTACTTATTAATTCTTTGATAGTGCAAACTCAGCGAGCTGACTGCTTGTGAAACGCATTGGTATTATTTATTAATGTCCGTTTGCAAGTCGATGGAATGAATTGAAGCGTAACGTATTGATTTATTATAGAGTCATGAATGGATTTTGACGTGTAAATCGAAATGTAAATACGTGGACAGTGGATCATTCGAGGGGGTGAACAGTGATCATTCGATCGACGCGATAGAAGAGTTGAGATGATGAATCAGATAAAAGGTCGCAGTACCAATGTTGTTGTGCAACTGTAGTTTCGTATAATATTTACTTCTCACTCCTCGCTCCCTCCTCTCTGGACATGAATTTCTTCCCAAAAAATCTGGCACAACAAAAAACCCCTTGCTTCGAGCAGTGTCTGCCATTCCCAGAATAAACTATTTGCAAAGAGTGATATAGGTATTTCCCCTGTATTTAGCCATATCGCATCTCTTTTACTTAATGCCTGGAGCCTCATGTGACGACGTAGCCTACGTGGTCATTTCTTGGTGGATGTAATTTACGAGAAATGCCCAGCTCCAGTGTCCCTTAATGGAAGGAGGTTACAATGTTTGTTTGTCGAAATGAAATAGGCTGGACATTTACTCGTTGGATGAGGCTTATCTAAAACATTTAAACATTTTGTTTCGATTGAGATGGATTCCTCGCAATCCATGCAGTTGTAAATCGTTATTTTGACAGCGAGATAATCTTTTAATTGTTTGAAGCTGTTTTGATTGCGAGAGGAGATATGAGAGCTATTTACAACTTTTAAAAGCAGGGCTTGGTCATTCGTCGAAAAACATTTTTGAGACTGGTCTGAAGAGCGTCATCCCCACCAATGCATACTCCATTTCGATCCCTTGCCTACTTTTGCCTAATGGATTGTCATTCAGTCTTTCGATCGTATATTTTATTTATGTATGCGAACAAACACTTGAACCAATAAAATGTTGCAACTGGTACTTGTGCTTGTGTCCATGGAAGAGAAATACTTACAAGATCTCTCATATATGGCTTGTGTCATAAAATCCGTCTCCTGCTCCGTCCCTCTGAAAAAATGCTTCACACACACTGCTAAAACCTGTATGGTGTTGATAATAGTACAAAATTATCAGCAATAACTAACGCTTCGGTTGCAATGCAGTGCACATTAAGTGGTTTAACGCAGAGATAATTGTGTGCTATCCAGCACTCTTTATTTCTGTGGGGAATAATGCATCCGATCCCATCATCATCATCATCGCAATATTCGCTATCCATATCACCACTACTCATCAACGTTTATCAATACTTTAATAATAATGTGTCCGATTTTTGCGAATGCGATCGAGTAAATTGATATCACTATCATGCATCCAACCGGTGTGAGGAGCTGGTCTGGTGTAAATACACACATTGCCAAAATGTTGACACGACATGGTTTTGGAACAACTTGTTCAGTCTATATTTACTTGTTTAGATTGTGAAGTCAATATTTTAGAAGGCGGAGGGCTATTCGACTCGATAATGATGGAGCATCGTTTCACGTTCAAAGTTCAGTACACATAGTGCATGTGATACAAGTAGTGAGTGACATTGCTAACACGCAATGGTGTACAAATATTTTTAAAATCACGCCAATTATAATTGAAATTACATGTATAGCATTTAATTCCCAGGACTGAAAAAATTCAGTGAGCTCTGTAATTGCGCATCACATGAAAAACTAGAGGAATGTTCAAAAAGTTAAAATTTTACAGAGCTGGTAAACAGACTCCATTGTGTGTCATTGACTAACTTATGCATAGGAATATAGCGTGCAAATAATAACCGGTGTGAAATTGCAGGCGTGTCGGAGGTGGGGAGCAGCATGGGACCCTCCATCGACCATGGCGACAGTCAGAGCCCCACCCATCAAAATGGTTCCTCCTGCACGTCGCCCAACGGTAGCAGCGTCTCCCCGAACGGTCACGGCGGCCCTCTGCTCGGCATGTCCAACCAGTTCTGTGCCATTTGCGCCGACAGAGCCACTGGCAAACACTACGGAGCGTCCTCCTGCGATGGGTGCAAAGGTTTCTTCAGAAGAAGTAGGTCTCGCAGCAATGCAAACTCTTCACTGATCAATTTATGATATCAACCTATGGAAGCGTTACGTGTTTGCATGTTTGTTTGTAGGTGTCCGAAAGAATCATATCTACACTTGCCGGTTCAACCGGAACTGCGTGGTGGACAAGGACAAACGGAACCAGTGTCGGTACTGCCGCCTACGAAAGTGCTTCAAGGCGGGCATGAAGAAGGAAGCCGTACAAAATGAGAGGGACAGGATTAGCTGTCGACGCCCTAGTTTCGAAGACAGCCCCGTCTCCTCAACCACCGCGCTCACCGTGTCCAGTCTGATTCAAGCCGATGTTCTCTCACGACAATCAGCAAACAACGTTGAGGTAAGTCTCAAAATGGATGGCAAAAATTTACACTATTTTGAAACTCTTCTCTGGCAAAATAGTCTTGCAATTTTCCTCGTTAGGAAAATTACTCTTACATACATGCATACCTATCGCGTGCAAGTTTTTAGATTAATTTTGCGGTTTTTTTTTGGTAGGGATAATATTTACTCAGTCAATTCGTAATTGTATTTAACCTTCCGCTGATTTCTCGCAGAATTAGAATTTTACTCCACTAATAAACAGTACTTTTGATTTCTGAGAATTTCTAAACCTTAATTCCCATCACTGGATTTTCTGAATAATGACACATATTATGTAGAGAGTTGTTGGTTTAGCCCGTTTAGCCCAGTTTGTAAAGGATATTTTAAGATAAAGTTTAGTTGGACCAAGTGTGATGAAATTGATACTCAAATTTCTCCATGTCTTCATGATTACATGATTGAAGTCAATTTGATTTAATGTGCTTCTTATCTTATACTTGCATTCGGTTACCCCGTGATCCATATCGGCTTACACATAAAGGACAACCAGCACTATAACATGCAACACCTTCAGTTTCACTAAACTCCTTCCAACACGACTCTTATCAGGCAGGGAAAGTAATTAAACACAATCATATGGCATTTATGAGACCAATTTCTCAAGTTCAAAGATGAGAATCTGTGACACTCGACACGAATTTAATAGAGCCTCGATAAGGAGTGACAAAGTGCATAAATGATACACTTTGTCACACGCTGCCATTCCAAGAAAACTTAGTATTTTCAAAAACCATGTTATCAATCGTCGTATCTTCGTGGTAGGTTCACGTGTCTCTCAGTATTCAACGGTCAAAGTCTGCTGCACTTTGCGTTGTTTTGAGGTGATCAGGTCCGAGGATATTAAAGTGCGAAAAATCTAGTAATGAGTTATTAGGTACGTATGCAAATACGAGTGATCACTCAATGTGACTGTTGCTGAGTGTGTGGCATAAATGTAGTCTTACAGTAGATAGATAGCAAATTAATTTACATGGAGGTGTCTACATATATTTACGATAAATTTAATGTATATATTAATTATGTCTGTAAATGCAGCAAGCCCCACCGAGTGACTTGAACTGCATCAGGTCGAAAAAGGTTGCCACAGTCATTGACATCTGCGATTCCATGAAGATGCAACTCCTCGTCCTTGTCGAGGTAAAAACACAACGATTTGTCGACTCCGTTAGAAAAATGGCTTAAATCGCAATTTCAAATCTCAATACTTTCCAGTGGGCCAAGTACATTCCGAGCTTCTGTGATTTACGCTTAGATGACCAAGTAAGTGTTGCATGCACCAGGAGATGTTTTATCTGTCTGCAATATTTGCAAGTTTCTGAGATCAATTTGTTTGTTCATAAATTCAGGTGGCCCTACTGCGAGCGCATGCGGGGGAGCACTTACTGATGGGAGTGGCTCGCCGATCAATGCATTTGAAAGACTACCTTTTGTTAGGGAACGACTTTGTGCTACCCCGACAAGCTGCAGGTTAATTTATTTAAAATTCCAAGTGCATCTATTTAATAATGAATACACGAATAGTATGCGATTCTGACGTTTTAAATTTTCAGATTTTAGCCTCGTCAGTTGTCGCGTCACAGATGAGCTTGTGAAGCCCTTCAGAGAAATAAATATTGACGACACAGAGTTTGCTTGTCTAAAAGCCATCGTTTTCTTCGACCCCAACGCAAAGGGGCTCGGAGATCCTCACAGGATCAAAACCTTGCGGCTGCAGATTCAGCTGCTGCTGGAAGACTACATCAGTGACCGACAATATGACTCCAGGTATTTGGTGCAAAGGAATGATTACTAAGATTATGAACCATTTAGCCTTTATCTTATCCTTTACATTGTTCCCCAGGGGTCGATTTGGAGAACTATTGCTAACATTGCCATCACTTCAGGTAATTGAAGCTCATTTCTTTTATACAATAGTAACATCGAAGGGACACCAAGAAATACGTACATAGTATTTAATATGCATTAATATTGCTCTATTGTTTCAGTCCATCAGCTGGCAAATGATTGAACAAATTCAGTTTGCCAAACTATTTGGAATTACCAGAATTGATAATTTACTCCAAGAAATGCTCCTCGGAGGTATGCAAACCTAAATATATTACTACGCACATGCATATTTACTCTCATGTGAGTTCCAACTTTTGATGGTTTATCTTGGGGTGTGTGTTCAGAGCGAGAAGGTACAAATGGTGACGGGGGGACGAATGGGAATGGGACGATGAGTGACCCTGAGAACCAGCAGAATCTGGCACCCCCGGCCCTTCCCCCCTCGAGCAGCTCCAACTCTGGTCTCATGACACTTTCGGACGAGGACTCGATCGACCCTTCCTACGTGGTCAGTCCCACCTCTGCAGCCTCACATCTTGCCATGGGATTCAAACAGGAACCTCTGCTAGAACCTGATCCCAGATTTGCTTAAAAACTTAACCATCCTTCCGTGACAATCCTACATTAAAGTTGGAATTAACTTAATTATGGCTATATTTTAATAACAATAATGCATTTTTTAATGCGACGGCCAGCTTCTCTCTCATATAATCATACTTTGTGAATACGTAGTTACTTAATTAGTCGTAATAAGTAGTTTTGTAGACTAAGTATATGTAGAAACTACATTTTAGCCAACTTGACTTCTTTTTTGTTGTAACATTTTACGTAGAGATTTCTAATGTAACAGATTTTATTATCACAAATTACCTATTTTTTGATGAGAGTTTTAAATTTTGGCAAACACGTTGTGCTGTAGAAGAAGAAGAAGACTGTTGTTTGTGTGCGGTGAAAGTTTCATAATAACTTTTACTATAATATAACAGTGCAAAATTAGAGTTAACTCATTAAAAAGATTATAAGTATTTAGGAGTTGGGGGCAGCTTAACTATAGTGGGGCCTAGTATTCCTTTTACTTAAACTTCTCATGCCAGTACGCCATAGGTTTACACGGTTCAAAAATCTACCGTATGTATACTAATTGTACTTGAAAGACGATGTTTAAAGATACATAAGTAATTTGATCAACATTCTGTGACATTTTGCAACGTCATCCAGCAACAGCGTTCCAACAAGTACACACACATCTATTCTTATTCAAGACGTTCGTCAAAATTGGTCCGTCGTGTAACTCCTAACAGCGGTGCTTCTTGCTCTTCGTACATATTATCAAAGAAACCTGGAAATGTTATTTATTTTATTCAGTCTGGAATTAAATGTGATGATGTGTGATGATGAGTGAAATGAGAGTAAGTGGCTGCATAAATGCCAACCACACAAAAAATTTAAGACTGCTAAAATTGCTGTACATTTAACCTAAACACATATATACATGATAAATTTATACATAGTTAGTTATGAATTAATAAGTTAAAGTTTTCTCACTTTTCTGTTATTTCAAAAGTCAATATACACGAGCACACATGCCGAGGAGTCAAATGGCTTTATAAAATTACTTATTTTTCAACACTTTGGTCTGTACAAAAGAACGTTCGAGCACATTTTATTCGGGACAAGAATTACGAATGGATTCATTTCTTATGAATGTGCGTGTGAGTATGAGAACAATTTGGAATAAGGGACTGTGCAGAAAGCATACTGGATTGGGGGGGGGGGGTCAAAGTACATACCCGATGTTAATTATAACGTGGGGTATGGTCACACCAAGCGGTGGGGGCCAAAATTCCCCGAAAATCCATCACATGCTTTATGTAATTGTGAGTAACAGTGTCTTCTGAGTGATTGACTGACTGAATGTGATGGCCCAAGTGAACATTTTCGAATTATTACTGACCAAAATGATATCGTGCAATTATGGTGATGTATTATATAGTGATGTGCATTTGCATCGTCTGACTGAATGAATTGTGAATCACCAAGAGATCAACCAAGCATTTTTCTAAAACAAATTATTATGGCTTCGTCAACCATAAATATAACCAATAATTGTACATAACGTTATTTTACTATGTTGTCGAATTGTGTAGATGTAGTATGTTTTGGAAGAGTGGACTTGTCTACAAAAAACTCGTGTCATTAAATTCATGTCTAAATCTGGCAACAACAATCAAACTAATGCCTCCAAGATATTTTTATAACTCGTGCAATGATTTTTAATAGCTGATTACATAGACTTGTTGGTGTTGTAGTGCTTTCAAATTCTCAAAATAACAGAGTCTCGATAATTTGTGCTCTACATAGATAATCAATTTCAAATATACGATATGAACTTAATTTGGTCAAATTGCTTGTCAGGTGGCAACTGGTGAGAGCTGTTGGCTAGCAGTAGACAACGAGGAGGCAGATAGCGACTGACATTATTGTAGAAAAACTACTACAGTAGAAAACAAAAAATAAATTGTATTTCTTATTTGAAAACGAGTCTTCTCGTCTGAAGCTGCTAAAATTAACCATATTTTATTATCACACCATATTGTCCAGCACCACGCCATGCTGTGTGCAAGTTTCATATTTACAATGTAACCAGCATTGTTGACTTATTGTTTCATTGGCCTCTCTCAAATATGACCAGCTTGTGTTTCGGTGGAGGCAAAATGAAGCCCGACCGAGGTCCAATGTGTGGCACGGGTTCATCAGGACTCAGCTCGAACCTGAAATGCTGGAGGAGCCGGGTAAGGAAGAGAAAAAACTCGATCATGGCCAAACTTTCTCCAATGCACGTCCTTTTTCCAATGAAAAAGGGAATCAGCCTCTCGTCCCTCTTAAATTTCCCATCCGACGAAAGGAATCTCTCAGGTCGGAAGTTGTTTGGGTCCACCCAGTATTCTTCGTCCTTGAACACGTGGTACAAGTTGGCCAGAAAAAGTGTCCCTTTCGGAAAACTGTAGCCCTCAAATTCAATGTCCTCCAGACTCTTATGCAGCAATCCGAAGGGAACCATGGTGGAGAATCGCATGACTTCCGCCATCGTAGACTCCATGTATGGCATTCTAAAAATCGTCTCAATTACCAAACTAGTTCCCCACTAGTTATTTACCTGTACAATGCGCATACCTTCCACGATCCTCAATACTTGGGATGCGTGACCGTCCAATTTCGGCGTCGATTTCGCGGTGCACTTTGGCCTGCTTATCCGGCCACATGGAGAGATACAGGAGGGCCCAGCCAAGCGATGAACTCATCGTATCTGAGCCAGCAAAGAAGAGGTCGATCAAAGTGTAGTGCAAATTCTTCACTGGATATAAATATTCTCATTTAAGGGTTCTATTGGATATTAAGGTGAGCAAAGGAGGATGCAATCCTGTGACTTACTGCCCACATCTTTGTAAAACATTGAACTCTCGTCCGTCGTGGCATAAATTTTGGACATTGCCTGATCAATAAAATCTCTCTCATTGCCAGGATCGTAGGATTTTACATGTTTCTGAACAATGTCAGTAGCCAGTTCCTCCGGGGCTCCGAAATATTTGAGTGCTTTTGCGTATCCGGAATAGTTTGGGATGAGTTTCGCTAGCCAGGGCAAGAAAGTCGCTATTCCTACAATGTTCTGATCTGATAATCCCCTTCACAAATAGGACCATTATGTATTAGTACACAGGCATTTCTATGCATTAAGTTATGCAAACCACTTACTCCGAGAGTACATCTGCAACTTTCTTCTTCGTTGGGTCTTCGATGTCATATTTTTCACTGGTCATGAGGAACCAGAGTGCATTTATGACTGCCACTTCGATCAGTGGTTTCAAATACATTGGCTTGTGCAGGTTTTTCCTGGTCCCCGGAAGAAAAACAAGGGATCGAGACATCGCTGTAGTGGCATCACACTGCACTCTCACAGATTTTAGTACATGCGTCTTACCTTATAAAATTGATGGTTTGCGAGACTTCTTCCTGAATGGATCCTTCCATCGAGCGTTTCCCAAATCCGGAATCCCTCAAGCAGCGTAGCAGAAATTTCCGTACTTCCCTCCAATCTTCTCCCTCCAGCAGTCCCAGTCCTGAATAAAAGATATCCACAAAAATTTGATAAGTACTATCGCACTCGACCCAGTATTTATTTAGTACATATCAATCAAACATTACCAAATACTCCCCGTTTCTCAAACAGGGGCAAATGAGCTCTGCCAGTGGTGGTTTCCAATTTATATAGCTCCTTCATTTTCTGATAGTCGTTAATAAAGACTACACTGTGAGAGGACAGAACGCGAACGGAATTATGCACACATATTTAGATGTTGCTGAATTTAATTATTTTGCGATATATAATAATTGAATTTACGGAAATTGTCCAAGCTTGAGGGTAAAAATTGGTCCCCATTTCTTGGACAGTTGGGCCACAGTCTTGCAAGGAATGGTCCCCAGGAATGGTAGATAACCAAAGAGAGGGATCCCTCTTGGCCCTGCATGTGTTTGATATTGACGATGTGGTTTCAAAATACACCGAAAAATGGTTATATGAATTACCGGGAGGGAGCTTCGCAGGATTTCGCCATGATTTCAGACTGCATATTAAGCAATAAGTAGTGCCGAAGAATGCGATGAAAACGAATATGATAAATTCGAAATACATTTTTTTTCTTGAGCTCTGAATGTTTGACCACCACACTGAACACTGAAACAGCTAATTTTCTCATGGCTGCTCCGTCGTCCGTCCGGGATCATGAATGATATCACTCCTGTTTGTTTATGTGCTTCTCATTGCACACACTACCTCGAAATGGAGGTTACTCATTGTCCTCGCCACTTAGCATGTGAAATTAATACTTTTAAAGTGTGAATATATTTGGTCTATTACTTACAAACAACATAAATATTGCTCCATACCACTTTGCATAGAATTGTGGAATTAGCAAAAATTAAAAACTATGCGCAAGAATAATGCAACTCCTAAAAAACAACCATTGTTACATATCTGCACCATAGTTGGAAATGTATTTTTTTATTTTGCTAAACTGATTCTGCTGTCACTGCAAAAAATTTACTTCACACATCAAAATTTTTCGAGTATGGATTTATTTTTTGGAATGGGTGTGAATTACGCTGCTGTGTCAAGTCCCCCGTTGTTTTACAGCTCGCCGATGCTGCTGACCGCCTCGGTCTGGTCGCGCACCCCTCCCACGTCTCCACTCGAGTGGGATTTCAGGAATCATCGGTGGTGGCAACGGGGGTGGAGCAGGCACTTTGTTCTTAATTCTCATCTCGCTAAGTCTGGCGTGTCTCTTAGTTTGCATAAATTCAGTGCTAACTCCTTTCTGTGCAGAAATGCTGTCTGGTAATCTAGGAGGTTTGTTTTCTCTCCGAAAAATGGACTTGGCCGGGGGTGGGGATCGTATTGTAATAACAGCTAAATTTGAAGGCATTTGCGTCAATTTGGATGGTTTGATAGGATTTCTGTTTGACAGGGATTTTGTATTTTTCTGCAGTTTTAGCAAGTTTGTGTTTATTCCCAGTTTCCTCTGCGTATCCAACTTTACTAGGAAATCGTCCCCTTTGGTGGCAATGAGTTCACGGATCTTCTCTTCCCATCTTTCCTTGATTGCTCGGACAGGTTGAAGATGGTCGTCATCAATGAAAGTCTGGTCCTCATCCCTTCTGACGGATCTCTTTGGGAAAGCAGAGTTGATCAGTTGGAGTGGATTAGTTGGACTTGAATACTGCTGTTGCTCCTCGGTTTGCAGCCCAACTTCCTTTTGTGTCGTATCACGAACATGATGGCGAGACTTTTGAAACTGAACGATACCTTTCTCTGGCACCACGGCCTCATCATTATCAGCGATTCCTTCCGACTCTTGGTCGCTGTTGTAGTGAGAATCTGGATAATCGACGTCTTCCATGGCGGCCTACAGCATGCATTAGTTACTTATTTAGCGGGATACTTTTGTCAAGATGCTACTCTATGAACTCGTTACCCGATTTTCGAAATAGCTCAAAACCCCATCAAAGTCAAACTCGTCTCTGGATTGCTGTCGGGATATGAATGACGTCGGAGTGTCTGCAGAGCGACGGAATGATCGCTGAATCGCAATTTCAAACTCTGAGCGGGTTAAGCGCAGTGGGTGTTGAGTCCCAATGCCAAAGTGGATCGCCAAGTTTGTAATCTGGCATGAAAGTAAAGACGGGTGGTGTAGGGCAGGGAGCATTATGTGGGATTGGATGCCATATCGGTAGTACCTGTTCCAATGTTATGTAGTAGTGGTAGGTGGGGTCTGCATATTCTAAAAGCTTCTCTGCTTCCCATTGCGTGATGGGGCACTTCCGAAGGTCCATGTACGTTTTCAACTCACTGCAGTTCAGGTAACCCTCCGTCGCCGTATTTGCCCTGGAAAGAGTGCGTCCATTTTGTGAGGAAACTAAATAAGACAAGCCAAGAAACCAGTGGTGGAGGAACCTTTGAAAACAACGGCGAATATTTTCAAACTCTGAATCTGGGAGTGATCTAGCGACACAAATTCCAGGAGGACGCATTCCCGCCTGAACCGAATCGAAGGAACGCGGGCGTTGTTGGCGTCGAGGGGGACTGTCACATGGCATTTGCGATGAAAAGTTGGAACTATATCGCATAGCGTTTGTACGCAGCTGAGTGCTCAAGCTGGGCAAATCCATTAACCAAATTGGTCAGATTCAACTGGCTACACATACAAACAAAGGACGCCTGACTGACGATGAAGTCATACAAAAATTTCTTGGGAAGACAAACTCTCGAAGCATATAAAATCAATCTGTTTTCGAGTATTCTATACTGAATTTAGAACAGCATGATTCGTTGAGTTATGGCGTTGAGCTCCAAAATGTCGTGCACCACCACATCGTATTAAGAACGGTTTTCGATACACAAGACAAGTCACTATGGCGCCGCATGCTTTTCACGTCGTATACGCTTGAGAAGTTCAACCAAGTCAATACTGCCAAGATTGCTTGACTTTTGACTTTATAAATACTTTTATCATAGGATTGGGACACTACTAAATTAAAAGTAAATATTCGAAGTCAAACTAGACCATTTTGTCCATCCGTTTTACAGAGCCCTTTTAGATACCAAAAGTTGTGCACATAAGATAAAAGAATATATATGAATTCAGATTAAGCGTTATTAATAGATTTATTTCAATATTGGAAATCTTCTGCAGGCAGACACTTTAAAGTTTATGCATATAAAAGCAACTAAAATGCTGCACGTAGTATACTTTATGTATCACGCTTGCGGTTAATCAGTCTTTTTTCCTTTCGATTTTACAAAGTAACGGCTAAACAAGAACTCGGCGAATAAAACAGCAAACGACGCATACACTCCTAAACTCCATTTCAGAGTGTGCGGAGTCCGAGCACAAAACTGACCAGCTCCTGAAAAAGTATTAATTTATGGTGTACAAGACTGCGAGTCTCGTAATTTATATCAAGTAATAATTTTTGATGCGTGTTCTCTTACTCATGACATGCACGGAATACACGTTCACCAGAATCCCAACCAGCATTTGCGCAAACTGCAGAGATGTCAGACTCAAAGCCATCAGTTTGGGAACACGCACCTTCATTGCCTGTTTATAGTTTAATAATTAATAATTAATAATAATTGACCAGATAAAATAAGACCGCTACTAATCCTAATTGTTGAAGTACTGTATTCTCACTTACCCGCAATGCAAAGTAGTTGTACATTAGTCTGAAATTGGGTAACCAAATTTTATCCACTCTGACACTAAGGATTTACGAAATCTTTAATAGTAAAGACAAGAAACGGTTACCCATGCACAGCAAAGTTCATCACTCCGTAAAACCTTTGGATGGGTTCTGAGTAGGGAAATACCTTCCAGACGAAGATGAGTGTGATAGAATGATGCCACCTAAGTTGGAAATAAGCAAGGTGCATAAGGTCAGGCAAACTGAAGGGTAATGTCAAATTATGACCAACCATTGGAGTAAAATGAGGGGCTGCTTCCTCAAAACGATGAAAATGGTATCTTGTGATAAACAAAGAATACACCATCTCAGAATGAATTTAGCCAAATTATCATCATCATAAATAGGATCAGAACTTACCCCCCAATTCGACAAATTTTGAAAGCACAAATAACAGCCCCCAAAAAGCTGGGGAATAAAAATTATGATTATGATGCGCCAGTGAGATTTATTGTGAATTTGTACATGTATATGTATGTAGATAAATGAGTCCTTAGGGGAGTCGGCAATTAGCCTTTAATGTACTACCGCCGCTGGCTTGGCTATCTCTTTTAATGAGTAGTCTGGTCACCCCACAAAGTACATACATACATACATAAATGAGTACTGATAATCTGGTTTTAGCCAACCTGTCGGCTCGTTGTAACCTTCCCTGCAATGCCCAGACACACAATCAATTTGAATTTGATTTCATGTACAAATTACTCAATTGAGTAATTTGTAGTAGTGGTAGCAAATGAGTCGTAATTAGCCAACCTGATGCACACGCTCCGATAGAACCCATTCAAACGGACGACATGAAATAACTCTTGGCCAATTCGGAAGCCTTGAAATCACAGGAAATTAAATGAGTACTTGTCATTGTCACCAAAGTATAATTTGTGGGAGGTAAGCGTCCATAACTTTTAAGCCAATTGGAGGAGAAAATCATGAAATGTGAGAAGGGGGGACGTTTTTTTTTGCTAATTTAAATATACATAAACTAGCCTCCAAAGATGCTGAAGGCTCCGAGGACGAGATTCCATCCGGCTAGGATATGGTTGAGACGGAAGGGTTCACGCTGGCGCATGAGGCGTTGTCCCCCAAAAATCGTGATGAGGTAGACGACGGAAATGACGAAGGGAAGGTTGGTGTGGTCAGCCATGAATTGCTTCCACCACGCGTCGTCCACGCTCTCGAAGCGGAATGGATGGAAGGTGCGAGGATTGTCATACGGCCAAAGGATGGCTGGTGACGATGATCGGTTTGCAGTCATATCTTCGTAGAAAGAAATGGTCTCCCGATCCCTGCGAAAAACTCGACAGTTTAATTAAGCTGCGTTGCATATGAATTACTGAGAGACTTTAAATGACCACTTTAAATGAAATTTGAAATTCGAGGCAACTTAAATGCATATTGCTTCCATTAGAATATATTAAAGTTTTCTGCTGTTCGTGTGTTGCTTAGTGGAATAAAAAGCATAAATCACAAGTTCCCAGTTTCAGTTCTTTTCTGACGTAACGCTTACAACATATGCACATATGTACAAACACCATTTCAGAGTCAGGCTGGGTCAGAGTAGAGGAAAAGAGTAATATAAAGATCTACTGGGTTATTGATTTATGTACGGAAAATACCTCCCACCTGGACTTTTCAGCTGAAAATGAGCTTGTTAGTCTAAACTTCTACATAAATGTAAAACTATTAAAAAAACACATCTGACCTGACCAGCCGAAATCACCTTGTCGCTACTGGAACGATCTTGTACCGTGTGCGATTACGTAATTGGTCACTTTCGGTTGTTAATTATTTCGCGTGGATAAAATCTTTCAAACAGTTAGGAGCTTATCAACGTATGGTTATTGTCGTCGTCTCGCTAATTAATTCACACAGAACTTCCGTTGAGTCATCGAGGACGACGTCGTCAAGGAATAAAAATATGAACGTGATGTGCTGACTAACTAAATATGTACGTGATGCATGCGTTCTGGTCTGCTCTCTCCGGCAAATTGCTCTTGTTATTTAGTAGTCGTCTGTCTAGCACACCTCGCTCCGCCGATAGGATACCCGGGTACCGAGCAGCCTCCGTACTTCCGTTGCTGCCCAAGCTTTGATTTTAGGCACGATCTTTACCCTTTCCCTCTCTCTCTCTCCTCCACCGTCTGGCTGGACTCGAGCACTAACTGTGACGTGAATTTTTTGACTGCTTGAACTGGAAATAATCTCCGACATATTTTTAATTTGAGCTCCACTAAAACTTATTCATGTTGTGCCAACCGTGAAGAGGCAGCGAGTTTGACGAACCGTTCCGTTTCAAACTCTGCATACGCAAACTTTTTGTGTATGTACGTAAATATAAAAGGAAGAACGAATACGCCAATACGAATCGATTCATTGCATGTAAACATGGGAGAAAATATTATGCCAATTTTTCGTGTCCTCTGGAGTGACTCGTCTATTAGAAACTTAGTCCCGATGGTATGATTAGTTGGATAGAATCAAACCTGCGATTTTGGCCATGGTCAAGGGGTTTCAATAAGTCGTGCAATTTCAGCACGGAACAAAATTATAGACTCCGAAGGAAGGATGTCCGATAATGAGACGACCTTGACGCTTGATTTGATAACAATATGAAGCATTGTTCCAAAGCTGTGAGGCAAGGACTGGATCATTATTTTGAGAACATGGAAAATTGTCGCACAATCTCAATTCAGTTTGCACTCTGCAAAGTACGCATGCATATCTCTTAGATTACATTATCAGACAAGAAATGTGCGACATTTTAACTCCCAACATCATAGAGGCTGAGATATGGATCGGTGTGATACGACGGAAGGAAGTTCGCGAAAAGGCAGACAGCAATCATGATGCGATAACATACACGCATTCATGGGATTCTGCACTATGTATGTAAATGTAAATACATAGATCTGCAGGTGCTTCTTCCATGCGAGGCTCACTTAATTTCGATGTGCAGAGATTATTTTTAGGAAACAATGAAAAAGTTAACATTGTGTTTTGAACTGAAATATAGCTCCATTTTTGTAAATGTACAAGCGTACCAATAGGATATTCCAGAGATGCGTGCACCAAACAGCATGTAAAGTATTATTTATAGGAAAGGAATAACACTTTTCAATTTTTAGTGTCATCAGAGCAGCCACGAAACATTCACAGTCTTAGGTGTTTTTATTAATACAAATGTATTTTGAAATTTTACTAACACTTTTCGTCGTAATTTTATTTTTGTTGGAAAAGTTCAAGAATAGATCATGGAAGAAGAGGGGACCCCTTCCTCCTGGTAAATTTTTGTTTTCGGCACCTTCATAATTTGCGACGTTGCATTTCTGGTATTTTTTTTTATTGAAATATTACCGTAATTTATTTCTGACTACAGGCCCCTACTGCCTCCCCGTGTTCGGGTATCTTCCATTTCTGGGGAAAATTCCCAGCATAACAATTGCAAACTTAGCCAAGCGATATGGGAGCGTAATATCCCTTCGACTTGGTCAAACTCGGTACTTTTGCACATTGGAAACTTACTTAACGTCATTTTAATGGTGAAAAGTGTGGTTCATGTATCGCAATTATTTCGTAGTGTGGTTTTTGTCAATGACTTTGAGTCAACAAAGGAAGCTGGAAAGATGGATGTCCTTCAAGGCCGACATCAAATGGCTTTATTTGAACCCAGAGGATATGCAGGTTCGTCTTCCGCTTTTACACACCACGCTCATTTCGATCGAATGTTCGTCTCAATGGTCACTCGTAGGGTTGGGCCTCCTGGAAGGGAAGGACTGGAAGGAGATGAGGCGATTCACTCTCAGATGCCTCCGCGATATGGGGTTTGGTAAGAGGTCGATGGAAGGCATGATGCAAGAACAGGTTCAGGAAATCTGCAGCTTTTTAAGGTTTACTTCAAGAACTTTCTGTTTTAGGAACTTTATATTAATGATGGAAAAATTTTTGATTCGTGTTCAAGAAAAAATTTGGGTAAACCATTGTACTTGAAACCCATTTTGGAGTTGGCTGTCGTGAATAGCACGTGGACGTTGATGACTAGCGAGAAGTTTGACATTGAAGATCCTGCCAAGCGTGACTTAATGCAAATTTTATCCGAGTAAGTTATTTGCATAACTTACTTTCTCTGTATAAATTAACATCTGTTTAACGAATCAGTGCGGTTTCGGACCAGAACATTGTTGGTGTTGGGGCCTTTCTTCCGTGGTTAGCCAAGCTGGCCCCAGACCTGACGGGATACACCACGGGGCTCAAGTTGCTTGCAGCTCCGGAGCAACTCGCTCGAGACGTGATCAGCTCACACGTCGCCACCCACTCCCAGGGCCAAGAACGGGACTTTATCGACATGGCACTGACCAAAATCTACACCACCACTGACCCCAAATCCGTCTTCTATGGGGACTTTGGACGTGAGGCACTTGCATTTCTCACGCACAAGACAGAAATAACATACACACATTACTTTATCTGTCCAAGTGCTTAGAGCTGTTGTCCATTGTTTTTCAGTACGAAATCTCCACTACACACTGTTGGACTTGTTTTTTGCCAGTTCGGATACTATAAGTTCCACTCTGGGCTGGGCATTTACCTACTTGGCATGCTACCCAAAAGTCCAAGCCAAAATTCAGATGGAAATTGACCAATGTGTGGGAAGAAGTAGGATGCCTTGCATTGAAGACCGATCCAGGTTTGTTATATCTCAATTTCTCACTCTTCATTTACATATGTATGAATATGCATAAATACCTGCTGCAGGATGCCGTATGTGGAGGCAACCATGCAGGAGGTCCTTCGCAAATCCTCGATGGTGCCACTTGGGCTGATGCACACAGCCCTGGAGGACACACACTTCAAGGGCTACTTTATACCCAAACGAACCGTCTTCATATTCAACTTGTACCAAATCCACCACGAAAAAAAATACTGGGGTGACCCAGACAACTTCCGTCCAGAGAGGTTCCTCTGTGAGGATGGGACATTTCGCAGGGATGACCACGTCATTCCCTTCCTCGTGGGAAAGCGGAGCTGTCCAGGAGAAAGTCTGGCCATGAACGAGTTTTTCCTCTTCTTGACTGGAATCCTCCAAAACTTCAACTTTGAGCTACAGCCAGGCCAAAGTCCACCATATTTAGGACCTCGATCTGGTTTCGTTCTATCCCCTCCAAAACATGAACTTTTGGTTTCAGAACGATGAACACTATGTATTTTAAAATTAAGTTACAAACCTTGTATATAAAAGAAACCCAAAAAAGGAAAGCTTAGATGAGGCTATTGTATGTATGTATGTATTGGTGGGGTGACGATCCTGCCATTGTTGGACAGGACCGTCAGCTGCGCAAGCACTAAAGGCTTATTGCAGTCTCCCCGTATACACCGCTTTACTGTGCTAAGTCATGACTCTCACGATTTACAGATCTAACTTGACCTACAAACCGCCCTGATCTGATTATGAATTGAATTAGATCGGGCAGAGACATAGTCACTATTTGCTCTGGTGGCAACTCATGCCTCCCAAAGAGTTCTGACCTTAGGGCACAATACTTGTCGCAGGACCCAAGAAAATGAAATACAGTCTCAGGGCCACGGCCACATAGGCACATAGCCTCATCAACTAATCCCATTGTTCTGAGGTGCCCGTTTAAAGTACAATGCCCGGTTAAGGTTTGTGTTACTGATCGGAGATTCTTCCGATTTAGGGTTAAAAGCTTACTGCTAAGCCCCGATGAAGGGGCAGAGAGAAAAGCTTTAGAAGTTAAACAACCCTTGCTGCTTTCCCAAGATTTGGTATGCTGCAATCTTGCCCAGTTTACAATGCTGGAGATTACAGTGCTTCTGGATAGAGGAATAGAGGGCTGCGGGCCAAGGTACCCAGTAAGAGTACCTTCCTTGGCCAACAGGTCAACCACTTCATTTCCTTCAAATCCATGGTGAGAAGGGATCCAATGAAGTGTTACCTTCTTAGTCTCCCCAATATGATTAAGCATCTCAATAGCCTCAGCAGTCAGTGATGAAACTGGCCATGGGCTAGTGAGCGCTTTGATGGCACCCTGACTGTCAATGAAGAAGTCAACGGTGCTATAGTTAAGAGTATTGTCGGTCAACGTTTCAGAAGCCCTGATAATACCCATAATTTCTGCTTGGAAAACTGTGGGTGCCCATCCCAGAGGAATTGAGCACCTCACAGCTTCCTGAGCAAGATTGTTGTATGTGAAGTAGTAAGCCGCACCCGAACACTCACCCATCCGTGAACCGTCAGTAAAACAGTTCACGTCGGAGGCATTCATGGGCACGCTACCATCCTCCCAATCTTTCACCGAACAGATAGAGGTTTCGAAATACCTCTCTGCTGGCGGATTAACAAGTTTCTCACACGGCATCTGGAATTCATCAATACCAGACGCCATGATTTCGACAAACTTGTTGTGCTTCAACGCCCTCGTACGATCACCCCCGGCCCATTTTTTCCATTGGCCGTGGTGAGCGAGGCGATGGTACGTTCGTAGTGCAACTTGCTGAACCCGGATGTCCACTGGGACAAGTCCCAGTAGACACTCCAGGGCTGCAATAGGAGTGCTAGACATTACACCGGTTGTACCAAGCATGGCACACCTCTGTACTCTTTGCAACTGGGCCATGTGGGACTTCACCTTTGTGGCCGGAGCCCACAAGAGTGACCCATATTCCATGGCCGGGCGAATTATGGATTTGTAGATCCAATTTGTAATTTTGGGGGAAAGACCCCAAGTTTTACCAATGGCCCTCCTGCACTGGGCCAGGGCACGCATACCTTTTAGTGCCCTAGCCCTGCACAGTGGGCCCCAGTTCAACTTGTGATCCAATAAGACCCCAAGATATCTTACCTGTTTTTGATAAGGGATGGGAATACCATCCAACTTAATCACAGGAGCAATGAATTTGTATTTCTTAGTGAATAGTACCAGGGCAAGCTTATCATTGACTGACAAGCTCACCTCTTTGCACCAATCACTAACAAGATTTACTGCTCTCTGCACATGACTCCCCACTGTACCGAGGTCAATGCCCCGTCGCACTGTTGTGAGATCGTCGGCAAAGCCCTGTGAGTACAGTTGAGGGAACCGATGATGCAGTTTTTCCAGAATTTCACTTACGACCAGATCCCAGAGAAGCGGTGAGAGGACACCCCCTTGAGGGCACCCTCTCTCCACCACCCTCCCAATCTCGTAAGTAGAGTCAGTTACCCAAGTGGTTCGTGTCCGAAGCATGTGCTCAATATATCGAACACATACTTCGTTGACGCCAAACCTCCTAAGGCTACGGATAATGGTATCAGATCTAACCTCATTAAAAGCGCCCTTAACATCCAACATCACTGCAATACAGTACTCGCCAGAGTCAAGGGCCCCCTCAACAAGGCTAACGATCTGATGAAGGGCAGCCTCCGTGGAAACGCCCTTCATATAGGCATACTGACTGTGTCTCTGCAGCCTATCAACAAGATCAGGCGTGCGGACCCAGCCATCTACCAGTTTCTCAAGTGTTTTGAGCAGGAAGGATGTTAAGCAGATGGGCCTCCAAGCGGACGCCCGTTCGTAACTCTCCTTTCCTGGCTTTGGTAAGAATACCACTCTGGACTCTCTCCACTTCAGAGGTGTATAACCAAAGGTCAGGCACCCCCTCATGAGAGGAACCAAATACGGAATTAACTCGGCTAACCCATGCTGTAAAAGGGCTGGAAAGATACCATCCTTTCCAGCCGCTTTTAGTGGGCCAAACGAGTCAATTATGTTACTGATTTTTGAAGATGTAATCATCAGATTAATAGATTCATCATCTACTTTACTATGATCAGGTTCCCATGGAACCCGTTGAGGGTCCCTCGGGAACGACTGGTCCAATAATAATTCATAGGTCTCAGAAAGGGTCCTGGTGTAAACACCATCACCCTTGTCCAGTGATCCCAGTTTGATTGTGCCATCGTTGCGAAGGATGCGCGAGAGTCGGGCAGCAACAGGTGCCTCCTCGACACTCTCACAAAACCTTCTCCACGAGGCAGTTTTCCTCCTCCTCATTTCGTAGGAGTAGTAGTTACAAGCAGCTTTGTATTCCGCCCATGCCTCCTCTCCTCCGAAGCGGGCAACCCGATAAAGCCTGCGAGCCTCCTTCCGAAGAGAAGTCAGCTCACGGCTCCACCAAGGTACCCTCTTCCTCCTGGATTTGAGTACTTTTTCAGGGCAGGCCACATCGTATGATTTATGGATAAAGTTACTGACCCTACTAGCGCTCGCCTCAATCTCCTCCGTAGATGACATTGGGCACGCCCTAGCAGGGTCAAGTTCCGTTAGTCCTTTTAATACTGATTTGTATAGGTCCCACCTTGTTCTCTTCCTGTCCCTATAGATGATAGGGTCAGGTGGACCAAGGCTTAGGCTGGTCCGAATATACCTGTGGTCAGAGCAACTTTCGTTGTCGTCGACCCACCAGGCCTTTATCCGGTCCAGCAAATGGGAGGATACAAATGTAACATCTAACACTTCTTTCTTATTCGATACAACAAAGGTGGCTCTGTGTCCCCTATTAATGGGGTGCAGATCCACCTGTGCAATGTAATCCAATAGTTGTGCACCTCTGCTGTTGATATTGGTGCTACCCCACATGGTGTGGTGTGCGTTGGTATCACTCCCTATCACCAGAGGTAGACCATTGGTCTCACAGTATGAGACCAACTGACGCATCTCCTCTGGGGGGCATGCATAGTTTCTATCCATGTATGCTGAGGATATCACTACCTCTCCAATACCCCCCCACTGGGTACGGATGGCTGTGACATCTCTACAGCATAAGTCAAGCAAGGGCCACACTTTGATGTCCCTACTTGTAATAATACATGATCTGCTGGAGTGGGCATCCCGACAAAAATAATGTAGGTTGCCACAACCCCCCAGACCACGTATTTTGCCTTTATACCAGTACGGTTCTTGTATTAGGCATATGTATGTCTGCAACTCTGCTAGGGTACGACATAGAGAAGTCGTACCCTTTTTTGAGTGTTGCAAGTTAATTTGCACCAAGTTCACACTTTTGGTTGTCATATTAAAAGATGACAACCCAGTTCGAAGAGATGTAGATGAGTGTGATGGTGTAATATTAGTTAGATGAGGCTAAGAAGTGCGATTAAAAGTATTTAATAAATTTCTTCTCCAGTCAAGGATATAGAATTTTAATATTTCCGGCATCAGCGCCCCATTTCAATTTAAGCTGACTAAATTACATAAGCAACATGTTTATGTATACATATTACTAAGAGTCGACTCTATTAGGTCAGACCTGTATATTTATCAACTTTCTGTATATTTGCAAGCATTCATAATTTTTTAGATTTGATGCATATTTGTTTGTACATATATGGTAGTGAAATGGGGCGCTGATGCTGGAAATATTAAAATTCTATATCCTTGACTGGAGAAGAAATTTATTAAATACTTTTAATCGCACTTCTTAGCCTCATCTAAGCTTTTCTTTTTTGGGTTTCTTTTATTTATTAGTTTTTATTCGTATTGAAAAGTAAGGTCAAAGGTCCCATGAACTCCCAAAAATGTCCCAAAAATCCGACTGGGTACATTTCCGAGAACTTTTTCCCAAACAACGATGAAATTCAGAGACTTCATCATGCATCATTTTTCAAGAGACCCAAGCGTAGCCTAGATACTAAATTTCAAGCAATCGTGTTCTGAATTGAAAAGTTGCTGGGCCGACCTTAGCAACTCACCTTTGGGCGGTGGTGGGAGCGGTCACATTTCACCACCATCAAAACTTTCTCAGTTTTAAACCGATTTGGAAAATTTTAATTTTGTATTTTTATAGAAAAAATGTATCAGCTTTTTATCCGTGTACTTTTTTCATACATGCCTTAAATTTTTCAAATCTCCAAAAAACACACTATTGGTTGGGTTTCTATTGAATATCTCATAAACCGTTGGATGCTTCAGGCGGCCAAATCAGGGCTCTACTCGATGTAGCCATAATTAACTCTGGGCAAAATTTCATCAAAATCGGTTGGAAATCGACGGAGATCTGAAAAAATTAAGCTTTTCAGACCTGTAGTGAATGCTTACTTAGATGATTTTTTTCGATATAGTAACTATGGCCTCATCTAAGAAAAAAGGAAATAAATTGATATTTTTTACCACCAATGGATTGACCATGAATCATCGTAATTATTATAAATATTATTAAATGTGTAGCCATATGTACAATTACTGTAACTTTTGCTCATGGTTCGAGAGATCGCCCTGTTCAACGAATACAAATGTGAATCGTGTACGTGCATGAAAAATAACCGTCCAGCTACTTTAATATTCTTTTTTATTTTTGTAATATGCTGAGGAACGCAAAATTTGCGTGCATGTTAAACAAAAGGTTAAAGTATTATCACAACAGCGCACCACTCTTTGCTCATGGCAAGACCTCGGGAGGAGACCAATTTGGCATCATTTCCTCAGCCCACAAATTGGACAAAACTATTGACCAAACCATCCCCGAATTCCTATTTTCTAATTTACACAAATGGGAAAACGCGACTGCATTCGTATGAAATCTATTTACATTGCATTGCAGAAATCCTATACTCCATGATAATTAATGAATGCATACCTTAGGAGTGCGCTCATACTGGGAGAAAGGTGACCCACTTTGAGGTGTACAAGCACAGTCGAAGTTTTGCGGCAGCTTTACAGCAGCACGGCATAAAACGCGACGACATGATTGCAATCCTCCTCCCAAATATACCCGAATACGCAGCAATCCTCTTGGGAATTTTACAAGTTGGTGCTACCGTGTCACCCTTTAACCCCAACTACATTGCTCGTACGTGCATTTAGTGTTCACCCTCCTGGTAGGCATTAGACCTGTATTTATCCATTTAATACTGTTACAGCCGAGATTGCGACACAATTGACGACATGCCGGGCAAAGTTGATCGTGACAATCCCGCAGTTGCTCCCACTGGTGAAGGAAGCGCGGAGGAAGAACCCCTTTCTCAAGTCAGTGGTCGTCGTGGGAGAAGCCCAAGAGGGGTGTCACACCTACTCCGAAATGATCAAGGTGAGCTCCGAGGGGGTGCAGCTCATCCAACGGAAGGACATTGACACGCGGACGCAGACTGCGCTCCTCCCTTGGTCCTCGGGCACTACAGGTAAATTAGCGTGTAGCAAATACATAGCTTTGTCACATATTGCTCATAATGCAAATTACTAGGTCCCCCGAAGGGAGTCATGCTTACCCATTTCAGCGTTTCCACGAACCTCTACCAGTTTACGCAACCTGGCTACTTGGGCACCCAGGAAGGAGGCAACGGCCAAGGACGACTTATCGGTATTCTTCCCTTCTTCCACATTTATGGATTCGCCATGCTTCTGGGTCTCACGTTGTATCAGGGGCATTGCACAATGACCATGGTCAAATTCGAACCAAATGTATTTATCGACACTCTCCGACGACACAAGGTTCTACATTTATTTTCATTACTAGTTTAAATATGTTTTTATTGCGTCTCTTGAATTCCGGGGGTTTGCTATTTCAGCCGACATATCTCTTCCTCGTACCCCCACTCATGACATTTTTAGTGTCACAGCCTGATGTCTCAGCCAAAGAATTTGAATCAGTGACTGGAATTATGGCTGCAGCAGCGCCGTATGCAAATTTTCCTTCTTACCAACTATTTTAAGTGTTTACTTGATGAATACTATGCGTGTTGGAATGTTTTTGATGATTTGTGAATAGGGTGGGGCCAGTCGTTACGACTCGTCTTCTAGAAAAAATTGAGAAGCGCATCATATTTCAAGAAGGTATTCGCCTTATTTGTTCAAATCAAATTCCACACACTTTCTTTTCCCGTGTTTTGAAAGAAATTAGTATATCTTCTTAGGGTATGGCATGACGGAGCTAGCTCCAGGTAAATATGCATGTGTAAATAAGAGTCATAGTTTGCATACCGTGATAGCAAAACATAACAATTATTATTATGACGCAGTGTCACATTTGACTCCTGTTACTCCAATTAATGGCAAGATTGGTATTAACTATAACTGACTAACTCCACTTATAAACATTCCGTCTATGGGGAAGTACCTATATTTTTGTGAATACCCTTTCATGCAGGATCGACAGGAATTGTAATTCCTGGCACGCATTGTAAGATTGTCAGTATTGAAACAGGCGAACCAATGGGACCAGGCGAAAGGGGGGAAATATGCGTCAAGGTAAATGTTCAGAAAAGTAATTCGACATTAAATTTTCATCGGGCCGACATAGTTTACCATTTTTGCTTCCTTTCTGTACAGGGCCCACAAGTATGGAACTAATAATTGTGTGGGGCACTTGTTCTTACACACACGATATGTGATCTTCATCTTAGTATTTTATTATATGCCATCTAAAGCCAAGTGAACACAGTTTTGTACGCATAGGTGATGAAGGGATACTTTGAAAACGAGAAGGCAACAAAGGAAACTATAGACTCGGACGGGTGGCTGCACACGGGGGACATCGGCTTGTACGACGAGGACAAGTACTTTTTCATCGTCGACCGACTGAAGGAGCTGATCAAAGTTAGTGGATATCAAGTGGCCCCCAGTGAGTTGGAAGATTTGCTGAGGAAACATCCTGCCGTGGCCGACGTAGCTGTGATTGGTACAATTTTTACTACGTTTCGTACTGTATATGGATGTACACATATTCTAAATCATTCGTCAAAACGCATATGTAGGTGTTCCTGATGAGAGAGCTGGAGAATTTCCGCGTGCTTACATTGTACTGAAGCCCTCTTCGAATCCATCTGCAGAGGAAATCCATAAGTTTATCGAGGACAAAGTTTCCTGTCACAAGAAGTTGAAGGGGGGTGTCGAGTTTATCAAGGCCATTCCTAAGTCTGCCACCGGGAAGATTTTGAGACGTGAACTTAAGAAGGACTACATGGCCAAACATTAATAGCTATTAAAATATCCAAATTTCTCAGTCTGATGACAACATGTGACTGATTACTGACTCTCAAATACAAAAACCTTGATAATTCCAATTATTTTAGTTACATGCATTTCCTGAAAAATTACAATTGCAATTACATTGCCTGAAAAAGTGCATGAAAGTGGTTATTGTATGAGCTTGAAAATCTGAATAGTCCCCAGTAGACATTGGAGCGAGGCAGCAGATTGCATTCAAAACTATTGCACAAAAATAAACACGGACACAAATTCTGACGAAACTTTACGAGATTGCGAATAAAGAAATGTTAAAGTGGGGGTCGAGAGTGTAAAAGTGAAAAAGTGGAAATGTCCCTGTCTAAGCTTAGTCGGGGCGTGGGTGGTGTGATCTGGGGGCGAGGGGGTCCTAGTCGTCTCCTTCCACTCCTCCGGCGACTGAAGGTTAACAATCCTCACGGCAGTAGAACATTGCAAAGTTGTTCTGCTAGGTTGCCGTTGATACGTCGTCTTGACCTTTGTGACACTTTTGTGGGTCTTGAGAAAGTCATCATCCGAGAAGCTCGACATCTGCTGAACAGCTTGGGTCTAGTTAGTCAGGTTGAAGGGACGAATCTCAAGATTCCTCCCATTTTCTACTCATCCGCACCACGACCCCCTCAGAAGCACGAGGGGAAGGAGTCGACAGGCCAGGATGGGGATGGCAGCAGCAGTGGGGGGAACGGGAACAAGAACGACGGGGAGGACAAACTCTCATCTCTTTTGTTCAAGGCATTCCTGTGGATGCTCACCGCCTACTTCTTCATTGCTGTGAGTTGCTTCGAATTGATAAATACATAAACAGGAGAATTTTTGAGGTTCCTAACGGATTAATGTTTTAATGGGATGTTGCAGGTAATTTCCCTCATTTTCCCCAGTACAAACCAACCAGAAGTAAGAAATGTCATGTGCATTTTATCTATGTTTATATCGTTGTCCTATTCCTATTGTGATGGATTTTATCCGCTATAGATTGTTAGATATGTTTCCTGGAATGAATTTCTACATCACATGTTAGCCAAAGGCGAGGTTGAGGAAATTATCATCCGACCAGACATGAACATTGTCACCATCATGCTCTATGATGGAGCTGTGGTGAAAGGACGCAGGGTGCGGTTACTACAATTCAATTAAACATAAATATTACTCAAATATTATGGACTTATAATTTCTCATTCTTCAGGTGGAACACAAAACGTATCACATGAACATTGGTAAGAACCTAGATGTTAGAAACATAAAATACATGAGCTAAGGTTCTTATAAATTAAATACAATTTTTAGTCGACATGAGCAAGTTTGAGGCGAAATTACGTGAAGCGGAGGAGCGTTTAGGAATTGGTCAGGAGCGACGCGTCCCTGTGGTTTATGAGAGAACGTCCGACACTGCTGGGAAGCTTCTGGCTTCGATTCTCATCGTTGGACTGCTTCTCGCTATCATCACACGCTCAAAAACGTTCAAGAGTCCCATCAGCATGGACTCCTTTGTAAGCAACTACGTCATTCCATTTCAAACTGACCCCTCTCTGAACTATGTAATGTCCTTCAGATGCAAATGAGTAAAGCTCGGTTCACGCTAGTGGACTCGTTGAGTAGGTCAGGAAAAGGAGTAAAGTTTGCGGATGTGGCTGGATTGAACGAGGCTAAAACGGAAATTATGGAATTCGTTGACTATCTCAAGAAACCAGCATTCTACAAAAGTTTAGGGGCAAAGGTGACTGTCATACTTTTATCTGATTTTGACTATTAAGTTATAATAACTTTGCTATATAGGTTCCTCACGGTGCTCTTCTTCTAGGTAAGCATCCCGATCCCACAGAAAGGATAACATTACAATACCCAGCATGCAGTCCAGACTGATAATAAAATAAATTGATTTTGCACAGGTCCACCTGGCTGTGGAAAGACGATGTTAGGTAAAAAATCATTTTGTAAAATATGTTGGTGAAAGGTCATACAAAAATATATTCCTTTGTCCAACAGCCAAAGCTGTGGCTACGGAAGCCAACGTCCCCTTTTTATCTATGAATGGGAGCGAATTCATAGAAATGATTGGTGGCCTTGGTGCAGCAAGAGTCAGGTATTTAATAAATCCTCCATTTCATTATGTATCTCATCTAAGTATCTCGTCATTCTTTATTAATCCATGTGCCCTTAATTGTGTACGTCTTTGCAGAGATTTATTCAAAGAGGCCAAAAAACGAGCTCCTTGCATCATCTACATTGACGAGATTGACGCTATAGGGAGGAAACGGAGCGGTGCGGGAAGCGCGGGTGGATCCACGGATGGTGCCGCCGGTGAAGGAGAACAGACGCTTAATCAACTCTTGGTGGAGATGGATGGGATGGCCACAAAGGAAGGGGTCTTCGTACTGGGCTCAACAAATAGAGCGGATGTACTCGACAGGGCGTTGTTGCGGCCAGGTCGATTCGATCGTCATATTCTAATAGATTTGCCCACTTTAGAAGAACGGAAAGAAATTTTCGAGCAACATTTGAAGGGAATTAAACTGGAGTCTCCAGCAAATAAGTACTCCCGACGAATGGCTCAGCTCACTCCTGGCTTTAGTGGTATTTTGAAAATTTACAATCTTTGGTGGACGTGTACCGGTTTCTTGTTAAATTCGTTATTTACCGTGTCTTAGGGGCGGACATTGCGAACGTATGCAATGAAGCTGCTCTATTTGCCGCTCGTCACAAGCAAAAGTTGGTCAAGGGCTCGGATTTAGAATACGCAGTGGAGCGCGTCGTTGGAGGAACAGAGAAACGTACTCAGGTTTGCTAGACATATTTAGTTGGATTGGATGCAATACGTTCATAATCTGTTAATTTTTGGTTTTCAATGTAATGTGCAGGTCATGTCACCAGAAGAGCGTGAAGTGATTGCCTACCATGAGTGTGGACATGCGTTAGGTAGTAAAATTGATTAATTTAAATTTAACAATAAAAGCGACTTTTTAAAATTAATGGTAGTGGTGGCAGGTCGAATGCATAATATGTAAACCATATCTTTTTATACGCGTTAGTGGGCTGGATGCTAAAGTCTACAGATGCCTTGCTTAAAGTTACCATCGTCCCTCGAACCAATCAAGTGCTTGGATTTGCCTCTTATATGCCACAAGATCAGAAGCTATTCAATAAGGACGAGGTTAGTTACATATTTTCTATATATTTTCTATATATTTACTATATATTACGAACCATGGGCACTACAAATGATATGCTGCCTGTTCGAGGTATAATTTACAAATGTTGTGGTCTTCATTAGTTGTTTGAGAAAATGTGCATGATTTTGGGAGGACGGGTCGCCGAGTCCATAACATTCAATCGCGTCACTACTGGGGCAAAGAACGATCTGGAGAAAGTTACTAAAATTGCCTACGCCCAAATCCGCCAGTACGGTATGTAATTAAATTAATCATGAGCTATGCCTTGTATGTAGTGTCTCTCAAGTGTCAATAATACATATTTTACCAGTTTAACCAACTATTAAATAAACGGTAATTTGTCCATTGATTGACAGGAATGAATGAGCGTGTTGGCCTTGTTTCCTTTGGGGATGAGCAAACGGGGTACGGGTCCAAAAAACCTTTCAGTAAAAATTTGGCCCACGTAATGGACGAGGAAGCAAGACGACTCGTATTTCAAGCTTACAAAAAGACTGAAGAGGTGATTTTAGAACATCGCGAAAAGTTAGAAAAGGTGAAATCATTTTAATTTCCATTTTTCTTAAACAATCGTCACTTGAACCATTTGAAACGAAGAATCTTGTAGTAATTATGGTTTCTGTATCTCCATGTCTCTGCAGCTCGCCCTCGCGCTTCTGGCAAAGGAAACCCTAAACTACAGTGACATTGAGGGCTTGATTGGACCACCACCATTTGGCGACAAGAAGCTCATCGGTCCTGAAGAGTTCGAAGTGGCGGTAAATGAGGCGAGCGGCGTTCCGTCCAGTACTCCGACCAGTGAGGAACCTCCCTCGTCACCACCATCAGCCTCGGAAGAGACGAAACAGGCAGCGTAGGTTTACTATATGTAAAAAGAAACAATTACTAGAGTACTTTTAATCTTATCGTGTGACTATTATTACTGTTATACTAGTCCATAGCTTTATCATTATCGAACTATTGGTAGTACTGGTGTTGCATGTTCCCCTCTCTCTCTTTCTTATAGGCACTCTGCTGGGTGATGTATGGTGCTGAAGAGGAGTAAGAAGACAAAGAGTGCCTCATGATAATGAACTCTTATTGTTGTTCAACAGTGATCACTTCATTTCTATTTTATGTATTGTATTGTTGCCAGCAGCCAACTAGTCTACAAAATAGTGCTAGTGATAAGTGTAGACTAAAATAGAGTGGGTCTTGTGAGCTGTTGTTTTCGTTGTTGATCAAGTGAGCCATGAAATAAAATCCATTAAGTCATAAAAGGGTCTGAAGTGGAGAGTGTACAAGTACGTTGTCATGTATCATTGCATTGTTGTCTTGTCATTACGTGTCGAGGAATGTCATATGCCATGAGGATGCTACTCTGTCTCAAAAGACAAACAGAAAGCGAAAAATGAAGGGAGGAGAAGAAGACAACGAGGGGAGATGATGATTGGAGAGGCGTATGATTGGAATGTAACGTCAGCTAGACGTATGCACGAACGAAGAAGTAAACTAAGATAGTTGATTATTATGAAGATGAACATTCGGATGCCGCAGAGAGAGAACGCGGATAATTACAGGGCAGAGTACTCTTGTTAGTTCGTTTCACGACAATCCAAATTGCAGCCAGCCTTGACCTTCCAACGAAACAATGAACTATCTTCCAGGCAAATCTGAAATACTGGTTTGATATAAATATATTTGGACACGAACGTAAAAATCAAATTCGAATTCCACAAGTTTCCTGGTCTTCGCCCACTAATTGTATGGGTCTAAATATGACCTAGTTAAAATAGTTTGGCCTGTAGGGTCACTGGGAATCGCATTAATAGACATTTAGTATGTATATTACTCTTGCCGGCACTCCTCTAATTTTCCTTTGTTTTCATCAAGTGTTTAGTTATTCTTGCTACTAATTTTTCTTTGCCTTGTGATGCTAATTAGCAGCGGCGTCATCCGCACCATCCTGGACGGACACATGCATGCAGGTGTTTATTATGATCATCTAATAAACGACCAATACTTACGTGGTGCACACACGTACAGCACAATGTAAATGTGTAGTACCACTTATGATTACACTCACCCACACCTTAAGATTAATTCATTCATGAGAAGGAAGGAGTGGCCCACGTCGTCTCGTCATTATCATAGCACACACGGGGTGGGTGGACGCTTTCAGCCAACTCGTCGCTCCCTCCTCCTCTCAGAACCGCGACTGACTGAGCTTTCGACCACCCTGCACCCAGATCACGAAATTAATGCGACGAGCAAATAATAATAATAAGCGACCTATGGATTTGTAGATGGATGAATAAAGCAGCGAATTACTAGTTTCGCAAAAGTAAGGAGTGGTGTCATCGCATCGCATATTCTTCATCTTCTCGAGTTTACTAGGATTCCACGACTAAATACAAGATGCACATAATTACCAAGCACGAAGACATATCTCTCCTTCGTGCTATTATGTGGCGTCTCACATCACTCACATTTAGTGATACACACATCTTGCCCAGTTCAATTCCACGAAAGATCCCATCATTTTGTTTCTCAGGCATTCCAACCAGAGACTGCAAAGGACTATACCCGCAGTGCATACGAACATATACACAGGTTGGTCATCCCTTGAGGTCACTTGCTCTTTCTCTACCTGTCACTGTGCCTCTTTCCGAGATTAAGCCCTCACCAGAGGAGAACCAGGGAGTTGTTGTGAACCTTTTTTGTTGGCCACACACATGCACCTGATAGAGTACTGTTTAACCTGCTCATTGGTGGTGGGGTTCTTACTTTCGGATCATAAAACACTTATAGCTTTTGTATACTCTAAGCGACTTTTCCTCAATTCATTCTTTTCACAAGCTCTCCTGGGTGGTGGTGGTGGAGACCCTTGAGGGCATTCCGCAGTTGACAGTGCCAAGGTGGCTGGTGGAGAGTCCAGTCCTTTGGCTTAGAAAATCCAGTAGTAATCACGCATTCTTTCCAAAGAGTCAGCAGCACAGGTGCATGTATGTAATACATACAAGATTCAGCAATAAGTGATTTCTCAACTTTGGCGTACAACTCGCCCTGGTATTTACTGGCTTCTCGTGCCTAATGACAATAATATTCTGCACGATCTGATTTTTTCTGGATGTGCAACTTGCAGTTCGACTCATCATCATCATCGTTCATTGAATAGGAGTGACTGACTGCTATGCAAAGAGAATGAAGGAGTCACGGGCAGTGTACATGGGAGGAGTGATAGCCTTGACTGCTGTGGCGTCGATCTACTTGGTGGTGGGGGTGTGGGGCTGCAACGAGGCTGTGTGTGCCTCCATCGTGTCGAAATGCACTCTGACCCAAGCTTGCAAGTGCACTCTTACGAACTGCACCTGCTGCAGAGAGTGCTTCGACTGTCTCACCTACCTCTACGATGAGTGCTGCTCTTGTCTGGGTAAGGCCACACACCAAAAACTATGTATTTATACCGCAACTAAAAGTACACGATTAATATTATCTAATATGCATGCCTATATAACCAAATTCGTCCAAATTTGCAGAGTTGTGTCCTAAACCCAACCTGACGACCAGTGTAACGATGCACTCGCAAGTTGGTGACCTCAAGGAGCCCATGCCGGACCTGTTCAACATTCTGACAGAGGAGAAGGACCTGCAAGGTCGCTGGGCTACCTTCACCTATCCAATCGACATTGATCAGTCCTGGTTCCAGCCAAAGGTGGACACGCCCCCAAACAAAGACGTTGTGTGTGAGTGATAGTATTTAAATATGCACATATCTAATTATAGATAATACAGATACATATAATATGCATATACAATGCCCAGATGACTATTTTATTATGTGGTTGCAGCCTTGGCAGGTGGGAAGATTCTCGTGGACCCATCCAAGGAGGTGATCACAGTGAACTGTACAGTAGCCTACATGTCGCAGTGCATGCCACTGAACAAGTGTCGCAACTCGTGCCATTCTATGGGCGCATCCTTCTTCCGATGGTTTCATGACGGTTGTTGCCAGTGTATTGGACGCACTTGCTTACACTACGGGATTGATGAGAGCAGGTATTATTAATATAGAAAATATGTACTTGATAAAATCATGGGGTGTGACTGTGTGAGGTCTTATGGTAAAACTATGACTTGTGCAGATGCAGCTCTTGCACCTTGGGCGACGATTTAGAGGACGACGTGGAAGAAATTGACGAGGTGAGCAGCAACAACAACTCACCGGAGCAGACCTCCTCCAACAGGGACACTCCCAACACATGAAGGACCACACATTTTTACAATGGCTCTCTCAATCCAAAGTATGCAGCAAACAGGAGGAGGAGGGAGGAAGACTGAATGAACTCCCCATATTTTTGCCTAATGAAGCTATTTTAATATAATAATGTAATTATATGTACAATTTCAAAAACTATTTTTAGCCATACATGTTTAAATCAAAAATGACGGACGGATACAGATGTATGCACATACAATGTAATGAATTCAATAAATAAATACGAAATAGGAATAATCTTGCTTTCACCGTCAGCAATGTATTTGCGTACTAACTTTTGGGATTAGTGTTGATTTTGACATAATTTATGTACTTATCAATATAATAATATTTATTAATAATAATATAAGTAGTTACATAATATAAAGTTCAACACTGCTGGGTACACCACACCACCCGCAGAGAGAACCCTTTATCAATTTCGATGTTTTATCGCACCATACAACTATTTGGAGAGGAAGGAATGCAAATTCATGACTCTAATCTCAGCCTCAGATCTGTCTCTCAGTTATGATCATAATTATTTATTTATGGCGTCGTCTCCTCCTCGTCAGCGTCAGGGTCATTATCTTTCCAGCGACACCAGCTCAGTTGATGGAATTGGTTAAGGGTGGACTCGAGGGGTTCATAGGACTCCAGTTGACCACTGCTTGGTTTCGTGTCAACGGCTGCGGATTTTATATCCTGAAGGAGTTTCCAATTCGCGAGAATGCGTGAATACTCGGTATACTTGCTTTCCCTTCCGGTCATAAGGTAAACTTGTAGAAGGCCTCGGTAGTCATACTCTAGTCCCGAGTACGCTTCGCCAAACAGCCTTTCGCCTGATTATTTATCGTACAGAATTATCTTGTGGACATACATGCAGTTAATTAACCGTTAAACAATTACCAATCGCAATTGATCGGAGGTGAAGATGTTCCGCTTTGTGGAATAAACCGAGGTCGTAATTGTATAGCGAAGCAAGATGGCCCACAGACAATGCCACCTCGTAGTCCCATTCACCCAAGAGTCGCTCCTTGATGGAAATGGCCTTGAGGTGCATCACCTCTGCTTCCTATGTATCTCATTCCAAAATTAGTTTGTTCAATTGATTTCAGAATCTGTTGTGCTTCTATACCTGATACTTCTTCATTGTTTGATACAGTCTCCCCAAATTTCCATAATGTTTTGCCGATTGGACGTTCATTTCCCCAAACACGGAGAGGGTTAGTTGGAGGCAAGTCATGTGAAGGGTTTCCGCCTCCACTAACAATTTCTCCTCGGAGGGCGATCCTGCATTATCAATCGCGATTTCCTCTAGAATAAGTGCCAGCACACGCGAAGAGGAGGCTTGGAGGAGGTGTTTGGATGGCAATAGACGACTCGCCACTGTCATTGCTTGTTCAGCGTAACATCTGTAAAGCAATTTTGTATTAGTGTAAGAAAGACACGCAACTATTTTTTTCTGACGAAATTCTACTAATCCTTCAGTGGTACTGAAGAAAGACTGACCTAGCAGTCCCAAATTTTCCAGTATTATACTCTTGAACGTAGAGAGAATAAGCTAGCTCTGTGAGTGCAAGGACAGTATTAATGTTGTAAGTTCCAAAAGCCTCTTGCCGAATAGCTACAGCCTCCTGTAAAGCAATTTATGAAATACATAAAATACGTACTACACATACACCTCATCCCATCTGTCTATCTATCAACTCACGGTATAAACGTCCACACCCTGTCGTACGTTGTCGCTGCTTATGAGATAAAAGCCATAGTCCATGAGAGCATCTGCATATCTGATGCTCCTCGTTCCAAACACAGATCGTGCTAGGACGAGGACTTTGGTGATGAGGAGCTTAGCCTTGACTAGTTCACGCTTCACAGAACAGCATATGGCAGCTTGGCGGAGAACGTCAATAACGGTCATCGCACTGGCCGGTGATGAAGACGATTCAGCAAGGGAGGGGCAGTACGTCTGCTTGAGCCCATTCATTGCTGATATACTCCATCGCAATGCCTGATAAATATATATTATGTGGATTAATGGAATGAACCAAAATATAATATTTTGGAATAATAAACATATTTTACTATTGGTTAAAACTACTATCGGTTATAGCTTGCCTTGTCATATCTGTTTTCTGAATAGTGATAGATGGAAAATGCATTATAGACTCTGATGCGAGTTAAGCTCTCCGCGTCCTTCGACTCTGTGATAAGGGCAACTAACTTGGAATAAGTTGTTCCAGCATCACCCACCAGATTATGATACGATTCGGCGAGAAGGAGTCTGAGCATGAGGAAGAGAAAGCACAATTATTTACAATAAATACTGCCAACTAGTCAAGATTGTCACACTCACTTTTCCAAGGCAGTCAGTCGTTGTTCGAGATTTGTGTTCATGTGCTCCAACACGTGTCTCATGACTATTGCTGTTTCCGAATACCATCCAGCGTCCAAAAGGAAACCACCTACGCAGATAAAAATGTCGATGAGTGACGACACAAGTGAAGAGTCTTCACTGAAGACTCGAAAAGGGTTTATAGATGAAACTACCTAGTCGCAATCCCTCCTTAGTGTTTGACGACGACGAGTTGGTGAAAGCAGTAGCAAGTCGTCGTGGTAGGCGATGTCGCGAGTGACCATCAACAACAACATCACCACTTCTGCCCTCGTCCTCCTCCCTGCTCAACTCCTTCTCACTCACCTCCTACAAAACAATAATTGAACTATGTGACCACACTTCGTCCACATTTCGTGATAGTGAGGTATCGCTTGTGGGTTGCAGGTTCAAATTGATTTCAAACCTGAATGAGACGATGCAGCTGATCCCTTTTATGGAGTGGGAGGAGGAGTAAGGGGAAGAGGGTCACCACATAGGTGCAGAGATATTCCGTGTCCACCACTCCGCCATTAGCCGCACAGTCGCCAGTGGCCACCTAAGAAATCAAGGGTCAAGTGTTAATATGATCCGCTGGAGTTGGACGAATATGGGTGCGGTTGGGTTGATTTACGTGATGAAGAATGTCGACGAGAGATGTGACTGGGAGTGAGGCTGCGAGGAGATGGGGTGAAAATATGGTCAAATTACGTCCAACCGCTCCCAATGCGAGTTTAACCAGTGTGGGAGGAGAAGGGCCCATAATAGCGGCGGTGAAAGTCAGTCCGGTTGTTACAGGCAGGACGAGGACTCACTCTGCAGTCTCAGCTGGGATGGGAAAGCAGAATTCAAACCAAAGCAAAAGAGTAGCAAAACAGCACGCAAAACAATAACCTAGCAGGCAATCAATGTATACTTACTTGCGTACATGTATATGTACTCTGCTGCAGGTTGTGGGTCCAAAGATGAAACCAAGGTTGTGCAGGAGATCGAGAGGAATGCAAGAAATCTCAATCTGCCTCCTTTGTCTCATCGTGTAAATCACTACACACTGTCTGAGGAGCTTCACCCAATAAATTATTCGATGCATAAAAGTAAATTCATTTATGGAATAAATGCTATTTATTACTCAGTTTGGTAAAACTCAGTTTTCAACTCTCGCAATAAATACAAATTTGTTGTCTAAATTATATTCTAGTTTCAGTCATCTATAGTATAGTTACTGAGACCCTTGAAGAATAAGCTCATTAAGGCATGCATGCATAACATATGAAAGGCAGTGATATTGGTTATGCTAACAATTATCTGTGCAATAAATGCAGCAGTCATTAGTCAAGAACTCTCTGGATATTTCGAAACGTTTCTACATGTAAAAGTATAAAATTTAGAACTTGTGGGGCAACTATATACAACGAGTTTGTTTCATAATTTTGATCTAACCATTATAACACAATCTAAAAGCGAGAATGTGTAACTTTAGTATTAAACGGTATAAATTTTAAGTAATTACAAAGTTATTAACGTTAGTGAAAACACTTGTTACGGGAGTTGAGCAATTTTTTGTATAAGGAGCCGTTTATTTTTGGCCAGACTCTCCAAATCCATAGCCTCCACAGTGCAGCAACAAGTAATAGTACAAACAATATATCCAACTAAACAGCCCATAAATACAAGGATAGTAGCCAAACCAATCAGTTCGATAAAAACCAATGCCGGAATTATAAGCACGATAAGTGCGAACACATTTTGCAAAACTAGACCCGTCATCACAGACTTTGGAAGCGAATAGTAATACAGACTAGCGGATCTAAACATACAGATAAATGGCGATCTGAGTATAAAGTAAATCCATGATGTCACCTTATCTATAACCCTCACCGGAAACAGGTCTGAGGTGAAAAGTGTAGTGCATTGGATATGCAAATAGTGTCGTAATTAAGGTCGGGAAGGCATAATTCGTCACAAAGTGGCGCCTGGTATGGGGCTCTGCGTTTTTGGCTGGTTTTGAGAAGTTACAAAAAATAGTTCGAAATTTATATTTTTGGCGAGGTCAAAAGTTTTCATCTTGAGAATAAAATTGGAGGGAGGGCATAGTCTAAAAAATTGGTTTGGCAAAGAAAAAACGCGGAAGGTCATTCATTGTGTGAAAATTTTGTGGTTTTGAAAAGTTAGTGGTTTTTTGCTTTGTTACCATGGCTAGTGGGACTAGAGGTGCAAAGAGGAGAGAACGACGTCAACAAATGGCGGATTTGGGTGCAAATGAAGAGCAGAATGCACAGTCCAATTTCAATAATAGGCGAAATGAGAGGCAAAACAATAGGGAGGATGTGCATGACGTTGATGTTGATGTGTACGATGCTGCGAATTTTAACAGATTTGAAAAGTTACAAGAGGAGGAGACAGGTCATCAGGATGACGAAAGTCAAAATGTAAGAATAGGCGAGAATGTTTCAAATCGTCAAGCTGGGAAAGTTATTGAAGGAAAAGAATTGCAAGATTTAGTGTTCAACTTAGCCAAAGAAAGTCAGACGACCAGTAAGCAGGTGGCAGGGATTTTAGAGCAGTTGACTTCAGTATTAGGAGGATTGAAAATAAATCAATCCGATTCTGTCCGTGCGTCAGGAGAAAGTTGGACTAGGGAGAAAGCTCTCCCTCATTTGAAAGGAAAAGAGTTGGTGATTCCTAAATATGCTGGATCTCATGAGTTCAAAACTCCATTTGACTTTTTAGCGGAATTAGAAAAGTATCGATTATCAGCGGGTCTTTCTGAGTTACAGATGTTTATGTCCATTGTTCCAGTAGCACTTTCTGGTCAGGCGTATGAATGGTTTCAATTCATTAAGGACAGTATTACTTGTTGGGATCAGTTTTGACAATTATTTCGAAAAGAGTTTCAACCACCAGGTTATGACGAGGAATTGAGAAGAGAATTAGAAGAAAGAACACAAGGCCCTCATGAAACTCTATCTCACTATATTAGAATAATCAATGGGTTTTATCAACGAATTGACCCTCGTACACCGGAATCTGTCAGGATTTCTAGAATCTTAAGGCAAATGCACCCAAGTTATAGACAAAATATTCTGAGAACTGGTGAAGAGTTCCTTAGCATGAGACAACTGGCGGATGCTGCCTTAAAAGTCCAAGAAGACATTTGGTACGAAAAAGAGTATCGTGAGCCTAAGCAGTTTTCTGTAGTAGAGCCGTCGTTAGCCTATAAAGTACCAGACTCTCAGAAAATTAACTTTAATCAACCAATTAGGAAGCCGTCGTTTACACAGAGTACAAGTGATTTACAACATAGTTCTTTTGATCCGTTTAGACATTATCATTCCCAGTCTTATCAACAGTCAAGTTTCCGCAATAATAATAATAATAATAGCGCTACTGTAACCCCAGGAATTAGGAATAACTCTATTTTTGAGCAGAGGAGGAGCAGTGACCAGGGTCAAGAGCAATCACGTCAAAATTTTAACACTCCTCGAAATGTGAGTTGGGCAAATCCGTTAAATGATCCGGGTCATGTTAGTCCTGCACCTACCCAACGTAGATCTTCTGAGTCGGAAAGTAGCCCCAGAATTAATTCCTCTTTTACAGCAAATAGGTCGAGTAGTTTAGAGAATGTTACAAGTTCACAGCGCAATAATGTTTGTTTTACTTGCGGATCTGAGGGACATTTCTCAAGGAATTGTCCACGCCGACAAAATCAGAATTCGGGAAACGAACCCAACCTGAACCGGATGTAGGTTGCGCGGTTCAGGTTAATAATACATCGAGTGAAAGCAACCAAGTTAAGGATAGGGAATCAGTTATGTTGTTTGATAATAAGTCTCCGTTGATTAAGGTCTCAATATGCGGTCGTAATTTTTTGGCGTTGCTGGACACGGGAGCTTCAATTTCATTAATTAATCATGATGTTATTAAGTTGGTCGAGGAATTAAATATTAACAAAGAAAAGTGTTATACAAATATTAGTTGGGTCAGTGGAAGTTCAGTAAACTCTGAATTTGTTAATTTAACTACGACATGGGTCTCGGGGAAGAGGAGACAAAAATTTCATTTAGTTCCTGATTTGCAATATTCGGTTTTGTTAGGGCGTGACTTTATTCATGCAAGTCAAATAGTTATTGATATATTTTCCGGTGGCTGGTATCAGGGGTCAGAAAAGCAGAAGTTGGTTCCCTTTGATTCAATTCAGGGAAAGTGTGAAAGTAAAAGATCTCGATCTGTCTTACAAAGCAAGGATTTACCTGACTCGTCGGTTGGTTGTTCCAAGACCGGAGGGGGTTCACCACCACCTACTAGTGACTCCAATTTTGGAAAGGGTATATACACTGTTGGTAGCGCTACTGTAGGCAAACAGTCAGACGTCGACCTCCTTTGTAATGCGTTTACCACGAAATATACGCAGGGCCATGTGAAACTAATAGAAGAGTTAAAAGAGTTCGAGGAAGTTCACTTGATTTTTGAAGACGCGTCGGTCGAGTTGTACCCCAGTCAAAATGAGACTTGCACCTCCCCTCTCGATCTTGACGATATTCTTTCAAAAACCGGCCTGACAGACGAGCAAACATTTGGTGTTCGAAATGTTATGGAGGAGTTTGCTCCATTATTTAGCAAATCTCCTGGTTATACTCAGAATTTTGAACATGAAATTGACACCAGAAATTCGAAACCAATTAAATGCAACCCTAGACCCATGACACCAGCTAAGAGGAAAATTTTAGAGGGTTTAGTTAACGAATTACTAGCAAAAGGCGCTATTGAAAAGTCTAATAGTCCATGGGCATCGAATACAGTTATCGTCCCAAAACCGAATGGCAAATTTCGTCTTTGTATTGATTTTCGCCCCCTGAATAAAGTTACCGTTCCCGATTCTTATACAATGAGCCGAATTGATGACATTCTTACGTGTTTGGGTAGTGCAAAGTACATTTCAACCTTTGATATTACTGACGGCTTTTATAATATTCCACTTTCTCACAAAGATAAATGTAAAACAGCTTTTCATACTCCTTGGGGTTTATTTCAATATTTGAAAATGTGTTTTGGGCTCCGGAATAGTCCAGCAACGTTTCAGAAGGCCATGGACCGAGTTTTAGGAAAATATAAATGGAAATTTGTTGTTGCTTTTGTCGATGACCTTATTATTTATTCAAACTCTTTAAAAGAACACATTGAACATTTAAGAATAGTATTTACACGGCTGTTAGAAGAGGGTTTACGATTACACCCAGGCAAATTTCAGTTATTAAGAAGTAAAATTCAATATTTAGGTTATATTATCGAGAATGGCACAGGTTCTCCTAGTTTGGATAAATTGAGTGCATTAGAAGGATATCAGAGGCCCAGAAATGTGAAAGATATCCAACTATTTTTAGGATTATGTGGTTATTACAGACAATTTATTCCTGACTTTTCAAGCATCGCAAAGCCTCTCACAAGTATGATGAAAAAAGGGGTTCCTTTTTTTGGTCAGTAGATGCTCAAAAGTCTTTTGAAATATTGCGCTGTGAACTTTTGAAATCGTGCAGTCTGCGTTTACCAGATTTAAATAAACCCTTTATAATTCAGACTGACAGTTCGGATATCGGTTTAGGTGCTGTTCTTCTTCAAGAGCATGAAAATATTCGATATCCAGTCTGGTTTTATAGCAGGGTTCTTAACGATGCTGAGAGAAACTACTCAGTTAGTGAGAAGGAATGTTTGGCAGTAATTCAGGCGATAAAGAAGTTTAAAGGATTTATTGAGTATTCTCACTTTACTGTCGAAACTGATCATCAAGCTTTGTGCTGGTTAATGAAAATCAAAGAGCCGACAGGTAGATTAGCTAGGTGGGCTTTAGAGTTACAGGGGTACAATTTTGATGTAGCGTATCGAGCTGGTCATTTAAATCGCACTGCAGATGCCTTATCACGAGCTGCAGTTGTTTGTACATTCGAGTCACTTTCTTTAACCAGAGAAGAGTTAGTTTCGGCACAAGAAAGTGATTTAGCTTTGAAATACATAAAGGAGTTTGCTATGCATTCTACACTTCCTAATGTTTCATGCGAACAGAAAGATCAGATCTTGAAATTGGCTCGAGGTGCATTTGTCTCTTCAGATGGTTGTCTGTATAAACAAATTAATCCACTGTCAAAACCATGGGAGGAGGACGTTAATGATTATAAAGTGTGGGTGCCAGATTGTTTAAAAACTAAAATTTTAGAGTATTTTCATTGTAGTTTATTAGCTGGCCATTTAGCAATTAGGAAGACTTATTTTAGATTAGAGGAAAGATTTTGGTGGAAATCGATGCGTAAAGATGTCGTAAAGTTTGTCGCGAGTTGCCCGATATGCCAGAAAGTGAAGCCAGACAGAACCGGAAGTAGTTCTTTAGGAAAAGCTGGTGAAGTATTGGGAGCATGGGAGAAAGTTTCAATTGATTTGATGGGTCCTTACACTCGTGGGGTAAATCAGTCGAAATTTCTATTGGTAGTTGTCGACACCTTTTCAAAATGGGTTGAATTGTATTGCATACGTAAATCGGATGCGAAAACAATTTGTACAAAATTGTGGGAATGTTTTTGCCGGTGGGGCTTTCCTGAACAGATTTTGTCAGATAATGGTACTCAATTTCAAAGCAAGGTTTTTGAGTCTTTTTGTGAAACGGTTGGAGCAAAATCTCTTCGAATCTCTCCTTATCATGCACAAGCAAATCCCACTGAAAGATATAATCAAACCATAAAATCAATGATTGTGTCCACGATTTCAGAATGTAAAGATTGGGACCGAAATTTGGCAGAATTAGGTTTTGCTATCCGCTCTACAATAAATGATACTACTGGTTTTTCCCCTGCGTATTTAAATTTTGGTAGAGAGTTGAGAACTCCGGTAGATAACAATCTTGGTATTGCTGTATCGAAATGTGTAGGAGAGAATTTTGCAAAGAGGATGGGATTTATTCACAATTTAGCGAAATCGAACATAGTTTCAAATCAGGCTCGATACATGAGTTCTTATAATAAAGAGAGAGAAGAATCAAAATTTAAAGTAGGTGATCACGTTTTATTAAAATGTCACCACTTGTCCCAGCTAAAGGTGTTACTGCTGCCCTTCTTCCTAAATATGACGGGCCATTTGAGATTGTAGAGAAAGTTGGCAATTCTACATTTATTCTGAAGGATGGAGAGAGTGGCGAAAACAAAGGAAGATTCAGTGCAGATAATTTAAAGCGTTTTGTCTTTGTAGATGAACCCGCAGCAAAAGTTAACGTCCTCCGATCTTCCCAGTCCTCATGTGTACAAATCTCTGATGAGGTCCGACAAGATGATGGGTCTTCTCCCTGGGACTGTCCGTCATCCTCAGCTCGAAGCCGTAGCACTAGTGTGGAAAATGGCCGGGATGCCGAAATTGACCCCGTTTCCTCCTCCCCTTCCTCCACCACCATCAAAGAAAAAATCGTTAGCCGAACGCTGGGCCGACCTTCAAGAGGAGGAAATTTCTTTGAAGAGGAGAAAGGAAGAATTGAAGGCGAAAAAGGAAGCGTTGTGGAGAGAACAACGAGAGTTGGAAGCTACGGGTACTCTTCAAACCTCACCACATCTTCAAACGCTGCCCTCGGCCGTACTCACAGCTATGCAGTAAAAATGCCCATCGATTGTAACTCCAGTTCACTCCACCGAAATCTTGATTCCGCCACGTCCGTCTCCGTCTCATCCCCGGTTTCCGAACGTCGAAGTACATCGACCGAGTGCTGAGATTTGGGCATCGAATACCACCAAAAAATATGAGAAGGCCAAGCGTAAAGCTGAAGAGGAACGCCGAGCAAAATCGAAGATTCGGCGACAGTGAATTTATACATATTTTATATTGTTTGAAACTTGTTGTTTAAAAGTATTGTTAATTTATATGCGTGGCTTTGGGGGAGGGGATGTGTGAGAGTATTATTTATATGTTAGGAGAATATTCTTAGTATTTTATTTTGGAGAAAGTAGTTTTGGGGTAATGTGAGTTGTCATGGGAATGCTCTTGGCTCGCTGCACAAAACTGCGTGCACGAGCAAAAATCAGTCAGTTGGTTGCGAGAGTTGGCCGGACAAGGTAGCTGGGAAAGAAGAGGAAAAAGACAGAAGCTGTAGAAAAGAAGAAAGAAATTATCGTGGCAGTAAAAGCGACAGAATAAGAAATAAGGGTACGTTTTAGGGCACCGCAAAAAGGTCATCCTATGCGGGTAATGTACTGATAAAGTCATCTAGTCAGTACCAAAAAGGTTTCTTGTCTGGTCACAATTTATGTTCGGTCAAGTTAGCTATTTGTCTCTCCTCCCTCCAAGCCATCAATTTAATAAGTCTCGTTGTGGGAATAAATAGTGGGGATTTTATAAATTGTAAATCTATGCCGTGGTGTCATATTTATTGTAACGTAAGGTGTTATCAATTGGTCAGTTGAGTCATTTTTCTCACTACAACCTAGCAGTAGAACCCGTGTAGTGCATTGGATATGCAAATAGTGTCGTAATTAAGGTCGGGAAGGCATAATTCGTGATAACCTACATTTATAAATGCAAATTAACATGCAGATTATCATTTTAGTTTTAATTCGTTACTACTACAAATTATTATTAGACATATTATTAGACATTTACAGCCAGTGGCGTCATTGCCATTTCGGTTTATTACCTGTTAGGAGCACTACAGCCCCAATTCTAGCAATTTTCCACCATTTAGACTGCATCGTGTTGTAAAATCCGAGAATTATTTCATTTTCCTTTTCAACCAACATCATCTTGGATTTTGTCAAGTCCTCCGATTTTACCGTTTCGATGAGTTTGTCGTTTCTTCCTTTGATGTTCGTCTTGACCAAGTCACTACTAGCAGCTCGGGCGATGGACAAGGCCGAAAAGATGAGAGACGCCACTGATAGCGAAACTAAGCAGAAGCGTATCGAATTAATATATGCACAACGCTTATGCATGCATACAGTTGTCGATATATGATCATCTTACACTCGATAGTGGAACTATTCTGAAACCGTAGAATACGGAACAATGTTAAGCCCGCTTGGAATGATGCTTCCATTTGGGCTTCATTCTTGACCGAGAGCTGCATCATTTGCTTTGTTTTGTAGAAGGTAGCCTTTATATTGGGAGAGTCCTTATGTTGTAAGTATTCTCCCGTTGCTCGCCAATGTTTGAAGCTCCTGTAGTTATTGAAAAATTACAAATTCAGGTCAAGAAATACTGCATTTACTGAATTAGTAATACAACATCACACGCATACCAATAGCAAGAATCAATGATCCCCGTTTTAAGCCACCATGACTTAAACTGGACTTTCTCTGCTGGAGAAAGTACAAATAAATCTTCTTGCTTGCTGGACATAGATGAAGAAAATTTAGATCATTGCTAAATTGATTGTACATACATGCTTGCACACAAATATGTTACCGATATGGGCTTGACACGTGGTTTATTAGAATAGATCCTAAGATTGGAAGTAAGATCATGACACCATGGAAAAACCTTTCGGAACCTCCGTAGAGAAAGTTTTGGACTGCAGATGCGACGTCCGTTATTGGGTCACACATTGAAACAAGAATTGCAACCAAATTCACGGTTGGATAATATAAACCCGAACATGCCTTCTTTTCCGTAGGACAACTGTTCTGGTCTTCGTCATTTGCTTCGTCGTTCTCGATATTACGGATGCTGAACAAGTTGGACTCATCCCCATGTTCAATTCTAATAATTTCGCCTCGCGACAAATATCCTTCCTCTAGCTCAGTATTTTCTTGGGGTTCCTTTATCTTCTTAACCATTGCGGTATCTTAATTCTAAAACGATTAAAATCAATAATAGTAGTTTCAATAGTAATGATTATACTTTAAACTAATTGCAAGTCAGTCTGAATTAAATTAAAAATCCTATTTAAAATCGCAAATCACAGTACTAAAAGTTACGTATTAAAAGTAATGTTTTTTGAGCAATTAAGATTATGTACATCAACTTGATGTCATCAAGCCGGGTCTAATTTGTGACTCACAAATGCAGTCCAAGCAAGAACTTTTATCCGTTTCTTCTTCGTTTACTTCACTTCGTAGCTCATTGTTTAGTCCAACTATTGTTGGCATATGCATCCATCATATGCACATGTAAATACATGTATGCATTGTCTGACTGAACAGACATTAATAAACAAAAGTCATGCTCAAAGTCATATGAACTGACGGAGTTCGAAACTTCCATGAATTTGAGTTTACACACAGTTTTTTTAACTGATCGAAAAAACTAAAATTTTGCACACTAGACAAACATATGGAAAATTGATACGGTAAACCACAGGGCTTTTTGTATTTACTCTAGAGTGAAGCCCTATTAAGACTTTGTCCGTCTATCCGTGAGCATGCAGGATAATGTGATAACGCATTATGAGCTGATAGAGATCGGTTTGCGGCATCATACATATGACCCCAGGGGGAGGATTCTATCGGTCCCCCTCGAGGTCAGGAGGTGTGGCTACATAATTTTCTGGGGAATTTCTTGTTCCACCCTATTGCTACATTTCGTTAGTTATGGTTTATATTATTACGTTTTATTGAAGGCATCAGATAAGCGTCGGTACACCTACTGTTAAAGAGTTTTAGACTGACGCGAGCATTTGCGGGCCCCATCTTTATAAATTATTTTTTTAAATAAATTTTTGATGTCATGAATTTGATAATAAGATGAATTACTCAGCCAGGGGTAACTTCTTACTGAATAGGAGCATAAATCTCCCAGAAGGTCACCCCGACTCTTAATCACCCAAACGGAGAAGCAGCATTAGCTGCATAAAACAATTTTGTGACGTGGCGTTTAAGGAATTGAATTGGAAGTAGTCCAAATGCATCATCATCAGATTCAGATCAAATAAACTCATCCCAACAACGAAATGACGGGGAATGTGAGCACATAAAAGAGACAAAAGAGCAGAAATTTCGACAATACCCAGAAAATGGCTCCCATGACTAATGACATCCTCTCCAGGACATGCTCAATAAGCAGCTCGTTTGCTGAAGACTCCAAGCAGATGCCATAATGTGCATAACTGGAATAAATAGAAAAGTGGGTTTGTCATCAATCAGCATTTTGCTTGATTTTTTGCGTATAATCTCACCCCCAAGAAAAACTGGCGTTGTGTCACTGAACAGCGAACCCATGTTAAGGTTCAAGATTTTCGACTTGATGAAATTCGAGTGTTGAATGGATTGTGTAGGTCTGGGTCTTGTTAACATTTGGCTGTTCTTAACAAATGAACTTGCTCCGATTGATCTCTGCCTAATCCTCTGATCCCAGATTTATAGCAAACCAAAAACTGTACGTATCAGCTCAATATACATGCCACCGTGGGCGTGCATTATATATGATGCGATTTTTACAGCTTTTGTTGTCTAATGAACTCATGCATCCTTTTCTTTGCTCACTCAACTCATCCCTGACTCATTAGTTCGTTAGTCACTCTTGTGCTCCAAATAATACTATTAAGCGTGGTTGGACGGATTATAACGTATGTATACAACATGCACGAAAATAAACGCCCTCGGTTTCAGTTTTAATGATTTTGGGCAAAAAACAAACAGTTGAAAACATGATCCATGCAGATTTTTCTCCACCTCCTCGTCTCCTGTGTACAAAGAGGGTGTTAATAACATGATGCTCTGTGTGGATGGGATTTTTCGTCTCGAATGGTCTTGATGTCTGAGAAAAGTAACAACGCGACGGATGGGTATAAATAAGTGGTTGGCACTTCATCCTCATCCAATTGTCTCCCATCGCATCCATCAGACACACATCCGCATTCTCATTTGTTCTAATACTACCACTCTCACTCTTCTGTTCTGTTCTGCTGTCTCACACACTTTTGTCTCAGAGTCAGTTCTTTCTACTTATCTGCTCCCCTTCAAAGACTGAAGAACAATCGAGGAGAGCGCTCCGTATTCTTTGTCTATTTTTGGACATTCTTCTCCCAGCATTTGACTCAATCACAGGTCCAGAATCAGAGCTCGTAGTAAGGACAAATTTTGCAAGCAGCAGCATCACCTTCAAGTCAGCAACCTGTTGGACACACCCACAGCAACATCATGTCTGAGTTCTCCTCGTCAATTAAAGTGAAGGAATCATCCTCCAAGAAAGTCTCGTCCTCTTCGTCAACGTCTTCCAAAGTGTCCTCATCCACCTCCGTCAGCGCATCATCCGAGATTGATTCTCTCCTCTCGAAATCCGCCGCAGTTCGTGATTCTGCTCGAAGCCTTGCCTCCAAATTAAGCACAGACCTGGAAGATGAGATGGAAGGACTGCTCGTATCATCCAAGATTAACAAGCCATCTCTCTCAATGGGGAGCAGTTTCGACAGCGATGGAGGGGTGAAATCTAGCTCCACCATCAAGAGCCACTCCTCCTCTTCGTCCACCAAAGCTGCCCTCTCCACCAAAACGGCTATCGTGGATGGAGTCGTCGTCTCTGCAGAGACAGCAGCGGACAAGTCGGTGCGAAAGGCGGAGGCAGGCATGGAAAAGGTAAGTTAATAGAAACCACAATTTCTGCATTTTTTGCTGCATAAATAAATTCATATCATATATATTGCCATTATGTCCACTCTGATTCTAATGGATCTGAATTATACTTCATTGCAGCATGTCGAGGATGGCGTGGTCACTGATGAGTCTGGTTTTAAGCGGGAGGCAAAGAGTGACGCCAAGTTGCGAGCCACAAAGGAGATGAGTGGTGCCGAGTTGGACGAGTTTTTCAGAACGCCAGCCATCGCGGGTCAGCCTGCGGAAGCTCTTACCGTGGACAAGGGGTCCAACTCTTTCCAGGTAAAGCAGTGATGACGATGAAATTCATAGCCCTCCAAACACCAACACGTTGTGCAATCGGTGTATAATTTTAAACATTGTTCGTGATAATGATGATATTAATACGTACGTCTTATACTCGTTATTATTGTGAATAGCTCGTAACTTTTACAAACCCTGTTGTATTATTGTCTAATGAATGCATACATCTACCACACTTAATAATTAATGTACACTGAAATTGGCTAATAAACCAAAGCTTTTCGACCGAAACACGGAAGCACACGTTTTTCCTCTTATTGTCCTTGTTGATCAGTGTATTGCACATATCATAAATGGGTGTGTCCTGTTGCAGATGAAGTTGTCGGATCTGCCTCAATTTAGCCCTCAGGAATTGACAGTAAAAATCGTTGACGGCGTAATAACTGTTCTTGGAACGCACAACGAAGTTGCGTCGGATGGAACCACACGGACTCACAAATATCTCCGGCGATTCACAGGTGCCAACAATAATTCATTGAGGGTATTCATTATTTCTTCGTATCCATCGTATCGTAAAATAGTTTACGAAGAAAAAACAAGGGGTCAGGTTTAGTAAAAATCGTAAGCGTAGTAACGTGATTTTCGATGAGAAAATCTTACGACGCTTACAAAATCTCGTAAGCGTCGTAAGTTATTTTACGATACGAAGAATACTAAGGATACGAAGAAATAATGAATACCCTCATTATTTTATTCATATGAAACATTAACCAAAGTCCCCTCGGCATTTCTTTGAGGGGGGCTCAAATTCGAAGCTGAGCAAATGTTTCATACAATACATGTGCATACATATGATAATGCCCAACAGTATGTTGCATGACTGAAATTATGTGGTTGCAGTACCGGAGGGGTTGACGAGGGATGAGGTGGGGTGGGAGTTGGAGCCATCGGGAGTTTTGGCAATCAAGGCGGGCGAAGGCGTGGTTCCCGGATGTTCCCAAGTTCATCTCGACTGCACCATCTTCAAACCACGCTCATTCTTTAAAAGTAATAAATAGTGAGTACTTAGTATTCTATAACTTTGTCCATCCACTGCTTCATTATACATGTATGCTCCAATCTATTGTGATTTTATAGATACAAAGTTTTAGAGTAGATTTACTTTTAATTATAGAAATAAACACTAAATAAAATTTATTCGACAATGCAGAATTTATTATTGCGAGCAAAAGTTGATTGACGACAGAGAGATTATTGACTTGATTGACTAGCGAATAAAAAGTCGTCATTTTCTAAAACGTGTTATATTTTACTGGAGACGAGCGGGGGAGTTCTGCGGATGAGGACGTTGCTTAAATCTGCTACAATTTGATTGTGAAGCTCGCACCGCACGAGCAGCCATGGTCAGCTTTCGGATTTTGCAAGATACGAAAGGCTGAGCGGATGAGCTCGGTCTGAAAGTCCACCGTGGCCCCTTCCAAGTACTCGAGACTACTCGAGTCCACAACTACACGAGCATTAGAGTACTGAGGATGCCCAAAACTTCTGCAACAATAAATCAAACACAGCTTTAGTTAACGAAAATAAATAGTGTACAAGAGATATGCAGACAGCATTGCACCTTGCACCTACTTGTCCTCGGGTCCTAACTGGTCGTCGATAAGAAACTTGTACTGGAACCCCGAGCAGCCTCCGCCTTCGACGGACACTCGCAGAAACTTTTTGGACTTGTCACCTGATTCGGACCCCACAATTTCCTCGAGTCGTTTTGCACATGCTTCCGTCACACCCACACCTCCCGTCGCGGCAGGAGCCTTGGAGGCAGAAGGGGCCGACATCCATCTCACCAACCTGTACACCCAAATTATTCAAACCTTATTAATCTAGATGTGTCATTTCGTCAGTATTTTGCTTGGTAGGCACATGAATTAACTGATACAATCTTTCCTGCCTTTTTGTCTTACCCTTTCGTGTTGAGAGTGACGAATGCACGTTGCATGACCAGTTTGGCCATCTTTTCATTCTCCTCCCACCAAGTTCAATTAAGTATTCTAGCAATTAACGTCGTAATAGCACGAGAAGTTTTCTAATTCCGTCTCTCTGTAAAAAGAAACAAAGTCAGACTGCGTAGTCCCGGACTGTTTGCACGGGAAAGACGAGATTTTGTTCCTGGTTGCTGTTTATTTTGTAAACTGCATAAAGTGAGGCACTTTGAGACATTGGTATAATTTCAGACTTTTTGTTTATTTATTCTACAAGGCGAGTATAATACATGGAAATTATGACAAGTTGGTTTAAGAGGTGGTGTCCCACTAATACGAATTAACAACCGAAGAGTACTGCTCAGTCCAGCTTGTTGTCATTGTTGATGACCTTCCCCCCGCGACCACCCCGTCGCCCATAGCTGGCCACAAAGAACTTGAGGAAGAGGACGAGGTAGCTCGTGTACATGGCCAGGGCCCACGCAATGTTGCTCCAGGGTCGGTGGTTGCAATCACCCCACACGGCTGCGTAAACAAGTAACCACACCCACCACACGGTTAAATCAGATCAAGAGAAGGGCCACAAATAATCAATGATGTCAAATAAAATGAGGACAGTATGTACATGTTATGTGCGTGTGTACCTTTTCCAAAAAAGGAGAGGAGGTTGACCCAGAGACCTCCGATCATCTGAAGGATCTGCATACTGGTGATTCCTTTCGAAACCCATTGCGGCACCTTCAACCGCAGAGACTGGATCGCGTATCATCATGAAATTAACAATATATTATTATGCATCAAAATTGGAAATTGCTGGTTAATTAAATTTTAGCGATTCATAAATATGTACATGCACATGTATAGTTTCTACCTTGGAGGCATAGTACAAATACATGAAGGAGTGGATCAGAGCGTTGGATGGACCAAAGACACGCCCCCTATAAATTTTTTAGAGTTAAAAATTACAATTTTAGGTTCTTAAAATTGTGAACAAAGCATAATTATCTAATTACGCAGGATCGAAGGTTGGACCAAAAGTATAGAAGGTGTACAGCATCACAGTTACATGATGCCAGGGGTGGAGAAAGATCAACTTTTGCTTCCTCAACACGATAAACCCAGTGTCACCAAATTCTAGGACTTTGCTCAGAGTGAAGATCAGGCACCAAAACGAGGAGATTACGGTATGGTTTTCCCTATACGTTATCAAACCATAATGTAATCAAGATGTATGTAAGTTGGCATGATTTTCATTCGCTATTATCATTGTGAATTCTTGAGGAGGAGGATAAGAACCTACCGACTGCAGATGGTCTGATAGAAGCCTCGCACCTTGATTTCCTCCACGGGTTCGGCCACCATACGAAGGAACATCCAGAAACTACCCAAGGCGAGGGAGACGTTCCAGAGAAGGAGTGGTAAACGCAGGGAGAAAGCTTCTCTCCGAGACATATACCGCTGACCAAGGAAAATGAGCAGGACATACAAGATCGACACCGGCACTGCCACTGCAAGGATAATTAATTAGCAATTTTTTTATTAAGTATTTCGACAAGTTAATAAAATGAAATTATGTCTCATAACTTTGTTTGGTTCACACCGTGGAATTTTCACCCCTCCCCTCCCCCCCCAAAAAAAGAAAAAAAACTTACCCCATGTCCAACGCCTCTCCATCCAACCGTACCAACCTGCTGCATCATACACCTCGAATGGATAGGGTTGCAGGTAGCGTGGATTCAAAATCAAACCAGCCCCATCCGTCCTCACGCCACTTCCGTTCTTGACCACGTCCACCATCTTCTCAGTCCAAACGCTGCCGTCTTCTGGCTATGCTGCTCGTAAGAAACAACACTTTCATGAAACCATCAGCATCACACATAATTAATTAGTCCAAACAACCATCATCCACCACAATATTGACATTGTTATTGTTATGCGGCTTTGTTTGATTGGTGTCTCACTCACTTGATTTATGTATCTACTGATTAAGTCTGGCAGCACAATTTAATCTCCACACGACTGCACTGGAAGGCTGTGCACAAAGTTTACTTTCATGGATGAATCATCGAGCAGGGAGGTCGTGATGGGTGCATGAGATTGTTGTGCCGATTTTATGACTTTTGTAAAATGGTCAACGAGGAACAATACACTTTTGATACTTGGAATACCTATGTTGTTTAATAATTACTTGATATCGTCACGAGGAGAGATGATGTGATGTCACCACTGCGGCTCATCTCCTACCCACGTACTCAGAGCGTTCAAATACAATGAGGAGGTGATAACAGGTGAATGTTTGCTTTGGTGACAGTGCGTGGATCACTTGCGATCACTTTGCCTAGGTGAAAACTAAGGAAAACTGAATTCCGCTTCTTATTTCATGCACCATAATAAATCGGCAAAATAATGACCCTATTTACTGCCTCCTTGTTTGCTATTTTCAGCATAATTGGGGAAATTACACATTAAAACGCAATGGGGATTTTTTAACAGTTTCCAATACAACACGTATTAACCATCTGCGATATCAGATAAAAAAGTTTTGTAGGTAATTTAATTCCGTGCATACGAGTCATGTTGTGCAGTCTTGGGATTAGTTATATTATTGGGTAAATTAGTATCAATTTGCAAAGGCACCCCACCACACGCACCATGCAAGCCTGCTTCTTATCATGAGCCTTTCTATCCAGTAGTATAGTTTTTTCATGGGATGTTTTCATGTGTTTTTATGCATTTTTTGTTCGCAAACTATACTGCGCTTGGTTGAGGGTCACCCCAAGGAGTTTTATAACGAATAATATTCTTGGGGTCGCTCCCCACAGGATAAACGAATGCATTTCGCAATCTGCATGTTAACAATCCAATCAAATGCAATTTTATTTGCAGTATTATGACAGAGATCCCTAGAGTAATGCATAGCAGAATAAACACTTAATATCCATCCTTGTTACAATAAAATTGTTGTGAAAAAATAAAATTTGAGTTCGCACAATGAGCAAATTGGATAAGATACATATGCATGAATAATGAGAATATGTACGTACATACTTATGTACGTACGTGATGCTAATTGGGACGCGTCACTCCCACCAAACAAACACACGGCACGGCACCCACAGACAGATACGGATGGGTGGTTCGAGATCGACTTTTCGTATCCCCTCTCAATCCTTCTATTGCATATGTACATATGCATCCCGTAGGCGTTTAGCATTAAAAGTTACGTGCTGAGTTTTTATTGCGGATAAGGATGGATCGAATTATAAAATAAGTAACAAATCAGCAACTCAGTAACATTGATCGACAACTTGGTACCTTTTTGTGAGATAAGAGTCTGAGATCATATGCTTTACGCGTCAAGAGTCAAGAGAGTGAGCAATTATTTAACTGCAAGGAACGAGGGATCGATACGCACAATAACCAAGTTCATGATCATTTAATTTGTGCATTGAATATCCCACTTGTCTTTTCTGCTTGATCATCCATAAACTCTAACTGCTAAATTAGGTTAAACTTACAATTCCGAAACTAATATAATAATGCACCCTGAGCTACATTTTTTGGATGTTCAGCTCGGCCAACACTATTCATTCTGTCAGATTCCAGATTAAAATAATTGAGTGAATAAAGATGCAAATATATACGTCGTATATCGTATACCAACAGATTTACGTATATTCGCAGAGTTCATAATGAAAAAAATATGAGCATCGTGTATATAAAACCTATAGTCTAAAGATTGCACATTCAAAATCCTTCTGACGCTGTACGCCAAAATGTGTTTGCAATATTGCGCATGGCTGAAGCAATATCTGACACCTATGAAGATCCGCTAATGAAAACGTTCTGCTGAGGAGGACCACGACGACGAGAGGTTGTTGGCATTTGGTCATTTCCATTTTTCCATGCATCGATCCCCACTTATGTTATAACCCAAAACCATCGAACCTTTATATGCACGTCTATATGCATTCTATTTATCCAGAGACCAGCAAATCCCATTGTTCTCCATTCAGTTTCGAATTAGGGAATGTAATTTGAGATGTACTGCTGCACCTGTAAACTTACTCACCAAATCCAACACAAGTAGTGACAATTAAGCCGTCGTCTCCTCTTGCACTTCTTGGAGTGGGGAAGGCAATAAGCAATTCCGCTTATCATTTATATTTAATATCCTTTTAACACATATCAATTATTAAGTAGAGGCGTCGACTGGTAATCCAGGATGTTGTCGGAGATGCTGCTGCTGCTGCTTTCTAGATTTGTGCTGATCGAGTCCTTGCCCACCCCAAATCCCACCCTCAACCCGGATAAGTTTGTCCAAACGGTAAGACTGCGTAGGCCTGTGTACGTGTATGTAGCATTGTATTTAAATAGAAGGAGACTAAAATATGAAAACTCAATTTTGACGATGGGTGCCACAGGTTTGGAATCCAATCTATCCGTTCAACTATGAGGTGCCCCCACTGCTCGCCTATGTCCACGCCATCGGACAACTCAAAAATATCACATTTGGAAACCCATACGCCGACCTGGAAAGGGTGGTTCGAGGGTCCACTGCATACTGGCCAGGTTAACTAGTTAAATGTCTATGTGCAACTAATGTTAACCATGCTATGCACGTAAATATGTACATTATGTGATACGCTCATGATTGCAGTGCAATACTGCGGGGTGCACTTTGTCAACAAGGGTGAAGGTTACATCCTGTCTGACCGAGCGTTCGATTACCAGCCCACAAACGATCTACGCTGCGTCTGGGGTTTCGTGGGGGATAATTTCTGCACTCCACGAATTGAATGTCCAGAGTTTCATAGCGTACCGGGAGCCTCTTGTCGTTCCAACTATGTTCAGATCACTGATGGCGGAGCGTCCTTCATTCATCAGTACGGTGCTCCTCGCTACCCATAGAGAAACTATTAGAATATGGCGTATATGTTCGTATTTTGTGTTGTGAACTCACAGTTTTTGCGACGATGGGGCGAGGTCACCCGGCAAGAACGAGTCTTACATAGCCAAGGACGGAGTGTTGGACGTGGTTTTCCGCTACTCTAACCCCCTACAACGGCCCAAGTTCACCTGCTGGGTCAGCTGCGATAACTATCCAGGTCAGCAAACTTTGAGCACCGCCACTATGTATCAAATCAGCCTTATATATTATTAACCTGCTTCTCGCTGGGTCATTCTCATAGTGAATTACACGGTAAGCGGGTCCAACGCGTTGGGGTCACAAACGCCGCTGACGGTTAAAGTCCACCCTCCCCATCAGACCGGAGTTGTAGACACGCTCCCAGCTCCAAAAATTAGTCCCAAGTGCAGTGAGTTGCTCATTTTTTTTATGCTCACACTTCTACCCAGTTAAATTAATAAAGCTAATTATGCCACTCTACTTTTTCCCGTTAGATTGTGGAGTTGGAAACAACAAACGTGCTGGAAGTACCAATGATGGTGGTACTAGCAGTACAACGTCCCCATTGCCATCGGTGAATCGGACGCAACGAGTGGTAGGAGGTCGTGTGACCCTCCCCAATCAGTACCCGTGGATGGTGGGGCTGCTGAGCAAGGAGGGGAAGCTGCCGTACTGTGAGAACCAATGGTCCTTTTTTATTTGTCAAGGAATGAGCGTCTGTGCAATTTATTAGGTGGAGCTGTCCTCGTGTCTGCAGAGTACATAATCACGGCCCAGCATTGTGTGGAAGAGTAAGGTCAACCACGGACAAGAGTATCCTACCCCCGAGTTGTCTTGATGTTGATATTCTCTTTTTCTTGTGTGCGTAGTGAGGACCTTGAGGACATTATTGTTGTCTTGAACGAGCACGACTTTTACAACGAGACTGAGGGGATGGGGGCGGCTGTGCGCAGGGGTGTAGTGGAGGTGATCAATTATCCTTACTACATGGAGTCCACATTCTCGGGGGACATTTCCCTCCTTCGCCTCAGTCGACCCGTACAAATAGCCCAACCCCAGTTCACCCCAGTCTGCCTCCCCCCACCAACGTCCGCATGGGTGGACTTCTCGACCTCTGGAAGGGCTGATCCTTCTACTTTGGCGGATGGTGGGGAGAAATGGGTAGGAAGTGAGGTACTGGCGATGGGCTGGGGGGTAAGTATATTTTAATCTAAGGATGTGTTTACGGAGAAGCATTGGAAGAATACATTGGCGAATTCATACATGCTTTCAGACCACCCACGGAGGACCAGGTGCCTCAAAGTCTCCCAAACTCCTTGAAGTTCCGCTCGTCGTCTTACCAAACCAAGGTGTACAGTTGAATGAGTGATTTTTTGTCAATCACTTTGATTTTATTTTTATTGTTGATTTGCTAGCTTGCAACGACTACCACTCTCACGACCCTCCAGAACCACCACAAGTCATGGACAATAGTAATAGTCAATAATGAGGAGTTCTGCATACACACCAATGTTTATGCTTACCATCAGCTACTTACATATAATGGTCTTTTCCTTTTATAGTGCTCTGTGCAGGTTATGCTGAAGGAGGTCGGGACACTTGGTAAGAAAAGCTAGGGCTTACATATTTGTACTAATCAACAGTGGCGTCCTTCATAGAATTATTAATGCTTTTTGTTGGGACTATATCACAGCGCTGGAGATAGCGGGGGTATGAATATGGACAATTACATATAAACTGTTGAAATGAACCAAATACTACTTCTTCTGTGTGGGTTACTATGTATGCAGGTCCTTTGATAGGGTTAAACAAGTCATCTGGAAAGTATGCCGCAATTGGGGTCACAAGTTGGGGATTTGGATGCGCCATTAGGCTCAACCCGGGCGTCTTCTCACGAGTTTCCGGTAAAGCAGCTCATTCAATTTGCTTAAGTCGAGATTAATAGACTAAACATGTTCCCTTGTGTTTTGTGCAGCATTCATGTACTGGATCCGAATGCACACAGTGGATGGTCACTTTTGCGAATAAACTTAGCTCCTCTTTCATGTCTGACTTGACAATATTGCAATATTTATTTACTCTCTCTCTCTCTGTCCAAATACATGCACATCCCACTTTGCTCACGTACATAATTAAAATGATGGCGATGCAGTAATATGGAGTTTTGAGATCTATTATCATTTGTACAAACAATACACACACGCAAAAAAACTTTCTGAAAAAATGAATACCTATTAGATAAGAATATCTAATACGTCCTTCTATAAATATTTAGATATACGGCACGAGTAGTCAACACCCAAAAGTACAAATCTATACCGACAATAACTATAACACAGTCCACGCAGACTAACAAACAACGGGAGAAGGTAAAATTAAAGTTACAACAACAATAGCTAACAATTAGACAGAAAAGTAGGATAGTTTTAATTTGTGCAGTCACAATTATTATCAAAATAGAGAGTTGTTACGGCTACTCCATTTCCATAGCTTCGCTGACCCCAACGACCGTGGTGGTGGTGCTCGTGGTGGCGTTGTTTGCTCCTCCAGGTCGCTCTTCAATGTAATCCTGAAGTCGCTTTGCAAAGACTTTGGTGGGAACTTGGTCAGCCATGGAAATGGCACCCTCTTCATTTTCTGACACTAAACGCTTTACAGCTTTGGCCCTGCACACACAGCAATATGCATACGATAAGTATAACAACAACCCAAATATATACACTATCACCTGACAAACTATTTGAATGCACTTACTTAAGCTCGATACCGCTGGGCACTTGAAGCATGGCGTTTATGGCCTTGAGATTGTTATTGGGACTCAATCGAGCAGAGAAATTGTACCGGAGGGGTTTTGAAGGAGAGGCTATTTTTGGGTTACGAAGAGTGCGAAGGTAAACCGAGTGTTGAGAAGCGACACGATGACACGGGGACATCAGTGGAGTGGATTTGAGGTGAGGCACTGGTGACAAAGGTACCGTTGCGTCTTCCTGTGTGTGGAAAAAGTAGAAAATAAAAATAAATAAAATAATATTTGGTGAACGGATGGACAACACATATTATTTCTCTTATGGTGACTTACAGATTTGCTCGAGAACTTTAGTGCATACTTTTGAATACCATTGATAAAAATGGTGTTGTAAAACTTGATGAGATCTCCACGACTTTCTGTTGGTTTCCCAGCATCCAAAAGCATCACGTTTCTGTAAACGTGAGAAGCTGATTGTGGCTGAAGTCGGTAGCACCGCATAATCTCTGTAAAACTTCGTTCCGACCCCACAACCTGCATAAACAAGCAACATTATGTCGTATAATAATTTAATAATAGAAATTATAACACGTACCTTTGACACGACATAGACAATGCACATAATGATTTGATCCAAGTGACGAGCCTTCATCAATTCTTCCAAATTGTTCTGAATTGCTTGCTGGAAACAAGTCCAAATCTTTCGCAGGATTTCATCTTCAATGGTGAGATTTTTGCAAAGGTCCTGAAGTCGAATGAAACTAAGGTGGTAGAACTTCCGGAAGAAGAGTGCCACAGAGGAGCCCTTCTTGGGCTTGTCCCCATGTTTGGAGGGAAGCACGACACCCAGAATCTGGGAACTCGTTTTGTCTTGAATGATTAGCGTGGACTGATTTGTTCCACCCACCGCAACCGGGACACACTTCTCACCCTGTGGAGCTGGAACAATTAATTAGTATTTGCTATAATACAGCCATTGAATCTAAGAGTGCAACGATTTATAAAAAAAAGTGCTTACTTTTGATAACGGCATATCGTTTTGGAGCATTTTCTGTGGACTCATTTCCAGTTTTTTCCATTTGTGATGGAAGGAAGACTTCCTCGCAAGAAGGAACGGGTTCTCCTTTGGTGAGAAGAATGCTCCAAAGTGGACTGTTTTCTTTCCACGCCAACTCCTCCAGTACCTTCTCTTCCACTTGGCTCAAATGTTTGACAACGTCCCGGCTTAAACTCTCTTCAGTTCGGACAATGATTTCAATCACTTTAAAAAAGTGGTAGCCAGCCAACTGGAGAGCATCGAGAATCCAGGGAAAGCGGTGGTTAGAGTTGAACGAGAAGAGGACGATTTCCATGCTGCAAGCGAACAGGCTCGAGTTGAAGGCATCGTCCATGAGGACTTCGGTCAACTCTGCTTTGTCTGCTCTTAATTTGGCTTCACTTCCCAACACACTTTCCAGTAATCGATAGTACAGGGTCTGTCCCAACTGGCTTCGGTAAAGGGCAAACTCTTGGTGGAATCCAGGTGCGTTGTCCCCTCGCTTTGCCAAGTAATGTGCAATAAACATTTCGGACAAGTGTGCCAACCGGGTTTTCATACTCGGAAGCGGATCCTGTTTGCAACCGTTCAGCAGCTCTTTTAGCTTTTCCGATGCTTCCGATTTGCGACCACTAAGCATAGCCTGCATTCATAGATGCATAATAAAACAGTTTATCAGAACAATATGTATAATTCTAATACATAATTGGACATATAAATAAAGAGCATATCACAAATGTTAAATCTCGTGTAATATATACTGCTCGTACCTGAAGTCGGCTAACAGTTTGTGTAGCTTGGCTGATTGGCGACTGCAAGTACTCCTCTTTATCACCCAAATACTTTTTTCCAGTGAGTGGGGTTTGAGGCATCAGGTGTCGAAGTTCTTGGAGTGGAGGGTATGTGCGATAAGGGCTTTGACATTCGAAACTTTTCAGATAGTCAATGTTTGGAGAATCCATTCCAAAGTCGGCATGCTTCTCTGGGCTGAGATACATTCGCTCATCAAAGTCTCCCTCGGTAAGAACATACTCTTCGTACTCCTTTTCCAACTTGCGATAATTGTTCTCAAACACTGTCTCTTCCATGAGGCCGCTCAACGTGTCAGGATCTCCACGGATGAGTCCAGCGTCAATCATGGTTCGAATTTTTGGTCTAAGCCAGTACTCCTTGATCGTCTTGGCCTCCACTGAGACCCCGTCATACAGATCGCAGAGAGCATGAATTATGCAAGTGGGGTCTCCACTGCGAGGATCTCCCCCAGCCTCAGCTAGATCTGCGAATAAATTAAAAGGACAACCATTGTTAATATTCTAACATTTGACACGACCACACAATTTTTACCAAAATCAAAAGGCTTCCATAATTTAACTACCTGCAAATTTTGTAGTTAGAAGATTGTTGCGACAAGCTTGAACTACGTTGTGAAACACCAAATCCACACAAGCAAGCAACAAATGGTAGGAATTAACCAAGTCATCACTTATCCGCAGAGAACTTTTGACGCACAGGAAAAGCGTCCAGCAAAACTCAAATAAATCGGCCGCCGATTTCGGGGTCAACCTAAGCCGCATCAATGATTTAATTACTTGATTGGTTAAATTTATTCTTGTAAGTTTATTTTATTAATGATAGTTTGTTACTTTTTGCGGTTGGCCCTGTACTCTTCAATGTTGGTGGTAGAAAATTCTTTGAATAGTCCTGCGAAGATGGGTTCAAATTTTTTGTAAATCACAGTAGTGACTGCAAAGTTCCTCTCCAGTCGCTCAATCTTGCTTCTAAAATCATGGCTCATGTTGGTCATATCTCCCCATTTGCGACTCTTGTCGAAAAAATCGACGAGGCTGAGTTTCGAAGTACGAAGAAGTCGAGTGAGATTGACATAGCTGCCGTGAATGGTGGGCGAGTTTCCCACGGAGGGAATGTTGGCCTGTTGAGACATATTACTGAGTTGTTATTTGCAAATATTAATTTCATGCTAATTTAATTGCTGTAAACTAACCTGGCGACAGGCAACATACACTGCACAACAGAGCCAATGCCCAGGGTCCCCCTAAACCACAGTGACAAAACAATATTTAAGGAAACTCGTTTAATTGATAAGTCGTCGTATTAATTCGATTTGGCCATCCGCTCACTCACCTCCAGAGTGTACTTTTGTCGCACGGTGGCAAAAGTCCTCCATGTGTTGTCTCTCGTTGTGGCGTCGAGGTTGAGGTCAGAACAGAGCTCATTGAAACTCTCCGAAGTTTCGTCCTCTTCCACAAACATTGCTTCGTCCTCTCCAAGTTCCTCGTTATTATTCATCCTGGCTTCCGCTCCACTTATTTTCTTTTTCCAAGTCCTGTCTACACCTTCCACAATCAAACCAGTTATAATACTGTTTACTCTCAATTTATATTCACGTATACAAATAACACGTGGTTGCAAGTCGGGCGAGATGATTATTGTGTGTTTATCGCTGCCACTGGTCCATTAATCAGTTAAGCTGAAAAGTAGAGATGATGGACAAGTACTCACCTACGCGGCGGATGAATTGTAATTTCTGCTACTGACGATTGTCCCCAGAAGAAGTGAAAAATAGAATAATCCCCCACGGAACCTCTGTCTCTCCAACTTTCGGCAGAGTCTGGCTGCTGCTGCTGCTGTTTCTCTCTGAATTTGGATGCCTTGCAAGTGAAGATGGCCCCTCGACTCGGGCCTGGCTGCAGAGTGGCCAGAGTGCTTTTGGGTAGGGCCAACTTGACGATGGCTGAGGAAAGCGCGGGCTGCGATCCCTCTTTCTTGTCCTCCTGCCGCGAGAGGCTAAATGTTGAGCGGAGCTCACAAGAGATTTTCCTCTGGGAAACCGCCAAGACTCAAACCTTCCAAATTTCTCTCCTCCTCCTCCTCCAATCTACGTGGACAATCGTCAAGTGGAGTATCAGTCATCAGTCGAGTGTTGTTTGTTGCTATCAAAGTCACCACAATAATTATTGTCTCATTTGGGAGGACAAGTAGTAAGTACACACACGTAGTCTTAATTTGCAAGAACCTTGTCCTTTAGAAATAAAGGGCCAATCAAGATAACTCTGCTGTGCGAAGAGGTCAGTAAAAGACAAGTTCTTGGTTTGTTATTGTTTTGTTTCGCTTCGTTGTTATTGTATTTGTTTTGTGTGGTTGTTCTCAGGACACATTCACTTATCATATTTTATGTTTTTTACCATTGGCTACAGGGTATTTATCAAGATGTTGAATACAGAAGGTCCCACTGACGGTCCACTACCGAATGTTGATACCATGGGCGCAGCGGCTTTGGGTTCTGGAGAGCAACAGGTCTTGCTTCGCGTCAAGTCGGCTAATCACCCAATTGGAGAAGATCTCGAGTTTCGGGCCAACTACTCATTTACCGTTTTGCAAGTCAAGGAGACTATCCAGCGACTGTCTAACCACCATCCCGAGGTGAAAGACCAGCGACTCATCTACTCTGGACATTTGCTTGACGATGGCCAGTTGCTGAGAGAGGTGTTGACGGTGAAGACGGGCACTCCGCTGGATCCCCAACAACCAGTCACCTTCCATTTGGCCACCACATCCAAATACATCTTTTCGACATCTTCTAATGGTGCCAAGAATGGTGGAGTCAACAATAAGGGGGAAGTTGGAAGTCAACAACATCCACTGCAGCAAAACCACCAACAGCAGCAAACGTACATGTTTAACAATCCATTTCTAGTGGGAGGAGTAGCTCCACCTCTTGCTCAGTATAACATTACCAACCAATTTGGCCAATTCGGGGTTGGAGGAGCAGGACATTCAGGATTTTATCCAGATACTGCAGCCCTCCATGCAGCGTATGTGGAGCAGATGACAGCATACGTCAACCATTGGAACCAATGGTACATGTAAGTTGATTTTACTTGTGTTTTATGAATGTAGTCGCGACTGGTATTAGTAACTGTAGTCTGAAACCTGTGTTTATATTCTCATGGCGTAATCTCTATTTTTTCTCTCTCCCTACATGATAGGCTTCAGTATGGACAGGCTTACCAAATGCCACCATCTCAACAACCACCCGTGATCGATCCTCAGAATTTCTACAACAATCAAGCGCCGCCTCCTCCTCAACACCAGCAACAACCACCGGTCCCCCAACAACCTGCTGGGGTCAGAGGTGGGTGATGTCACTAATTACTATTTATAATAAAAATAAATCCAAATCTACCCTCGTGTCCTGTTTTTAGTATATCTTGTTACTAATAATTTTGAATTATTTGTCTCCACAGAAAATGTGCACGTGGCAGCAGCACGTGAGGCAGACAATGAGGAGAATCAAAGAGACCTTTTAGATTGGATGTACACATTTTCTCGCGTCATCCTCATTTTCTCAGTCGTTTACTTTTACTCTAGCTTCTCGCGGTTTTTCCTAGTTGTATTATTCACGGCGCTAGTCATGATGTGAGTACAATTATATATGCATGACTGACTTGTTTGCCTCATATAACAATTTCTGATCCGAGGGATTAATATATGTGACCCATTGTATTTCCAGATTACAACGGCGTAATGGCCGCCCAGTGGTTGCTGAGCAGGCGAGAGCTGCAGCAGGAGCACCCGAAGCTAATCCACCCCAAGCCCCAAGAGAAGATGGAGGACGTGATGGGGTTGTGGAACAGGGACAAGAAAGAGAGGGTGTGGCTACCCCCGAAGGAGCAGTTGGAGACGAGGGTGTCGTCACTCCTCCAACCACTGACACACCCGAAATTCCTCCCGCCATTGTTCCTCCTCAAAGAAATCTCGGTGACATCGCATGGACCTTTTTAACGACTTTCTTTACATCCCTCATACCAGAAACGTACCAGAATAATTAAACGTTACACACATTCCTCCTATTATATAAACCACAACTATTACTACCTACCTACCAACCTACATAATTACGATTATTTGTAAATATATATACAATTGTTGATGGTGGTTCCAAATTATAAAAGAAACCTTATCGGTGTATCACAATCGCAGTCACTCAGTCAGTCAGATAAATGTTGAATACCAAAGCATAATTTAATGCCATATGTATTGAAATTTGTGGTAGGAATTATTCTCGTCTCGAAATGATGAATTTTATTTATTTTCTGTAATGTTAGCTCGTATTAACTGTTGTTTTTCCAAAATAAATGTATCGGATTTTGCGCCTATCCATATATATCTACTACTGTCGGTTTTTTTTACAACAATTTAAGCAATGACATGTTTATCATGGGGAGCAGAGAACGTAGCCCTCCAACAACTGTCCTGTTCCACCATCCTTCTCGTGCCGGAGTTGAAGCGTGGTGTGACCAGGATGGGTGGTTGTTTTCTGTAGACGAGCGCTCTTTCCGCAATATGTCGTGCTGGTCGTAGTAGTGAGGACAAGTCTTTCTTTATCGCAGGACATGTCGACCGTACTGCCTCTGCTTAGATGGGTCACGAGGTGGGAACAACCTTTTCCCTCACGTTTGCCAGCGAATTTCCAACTGCACGACGTTGCACTATCTTGGGAACGACTTCTCTTCTTGCGACTGCGCTTCCTCACTTCGTCGCCTCCTCCTCCTCCTTTGTCGCCTCCCTGCACCAAGAGGTCAAAAAGATCGAGATGTTTTTTGTCCAAGGTGGTCGAAGGGGGTTTAAAGTAGCCACTGTACAGGAGGGGGAGTCCTCCGTTCTTCCCTCCGCTCCCTTTATTCGTCCCATGATTAGCATCACTGCTTTTATTAATACGATGATAACTTTGCCAAACTTCCTCCATGGTAGATTTCCCCATGTCAGTGTTATCTTTATTATTATTATTATTATGCACTGCAACGGGTTTCAGTGTCTGTAGTCGATGCTGGCTTGCTCCGATCACCCATTGCCAACCCCGTTGGGAATTTTTTATTTTGACCCTCAATTCTCCTTCAACTTGATTAATGTCGTCCATCATTTTTGCTGGTGATCGATGCTTGGCATTGGAAAAGTAAACCGTCTCCCCTGGACGTAGGGTTCGTGTGTGTGAGCCACAGAACGAAACTCCAGCTTTGCCATCAAAAGATTGGTCCTAGAATACGATGCAAAACTTTGTGCAATGTCAACAAAGTCCAAAGTCAAGTAGGAGTTGTTCCTATATTTATGAAGTGATTGATGAGAACGTACCCCAAAGTGACCCACAAGAGCATGAGCAGTCGGGGAACCGACCACCAGCTTCGTTGTAACAACAAGTAGCACGCAGAGGAGGACGCTGTGATGGGGATGAACCATTATTATTGTTATTCCGACAAGTAATTAAGCAGTTCCAATGAAGTGGTGGAACAGTGGACCATGACCAACAACTTCTAGGCCATTCGAATTCATATATATGAATTCAATAAATGACGGTCGGTTTGTCAATCAGTAGCAATAGTAAGGTGCGTCGCTTCAAACTCTATCACACTATTTTTACATAATTAATAAATGATCATATACGAGCATACGTATTTAGGTATGTAAATAATGTATTCGACAAGTCATCATGGTTTAGTTTTTACAGTTCATTATGAAGGGCATTGTTCTAATAAAAACAATGTGTATGGGTTACTGGGTTTTGGCATTAGCACATATCTACACAATTAGCCTTGTTAATATTTACATAATTAACAGCGAATAGGAGTAATGAGAGGGAGCTTTCTTCTTAACTTTCCCTTCGCAGCATGCACTTTCTCAAGTTTATGGTCGCCATAAGCCATACTTCTAAAATACATAATCCTTTTAACAATGCATATAAATATTCAACAATTAATCAGGGTTTTCATCACTCAAGACGAATCCGACAACATAGTTAATTATTATGCTCTCTCGTAAGTGGGCTGGTTATGGCGTGGAAGGGTGTGGCCAATAATTTGAGAGTAGTATGGCTCTTCATCCATTATTTCCTCCTCCTCCTGACCTGCCACCCCACCACACGAGTCAGTGGTATCTTGTGTGGATGGTGACTCTCGTTCAAAGGAGTGATTCGACATACCCAACCCTGCAACGTATCCGGTAGGGCGACGACCACTTGAATTTGTCGTCTTTTTCTTCACGTAACGTGTCGCAGGGATGTGAGGTTCCTGGGACGGAGGGAGATAGCGAGGAAGAAAGAGAGATCCTTTGCCCCGGCCCGTCAGCGTGTCCCTAAATATATTGTGCATAATATTTAATATTCAGCGCATTGATGATGTTGATGATGATCACTTATGAATTTCAGAATCGGTAATTCTTACTTTGTACATAAATACGAATTTGATGCCATTACCTGTATATGGATGAAGAGGTGGCAGTGTTGGTGGTCGTTGTGGTTGTCGTCGTTCGGGTGGGATAATTATGGTCATGGATGGAGAAGAGCTTTGATGACTGGCTGCTCATGGGGTTAGTGTCCCTCCGGTCTCGGCTACAAGAAGTGGCCACTTTGGTGGCGCACTGGGTAAGTACGGAGGCTCGGATGGATGTGAGTGCAGGGAGAAGGATGGCGGGTAGAAGGGCGAGGATAAAGAGGTACTCGTGAAGGAAACCGGACCCGTACGCGGACAGGGGACAAGTGGCACAAACGAGGAGCAAATAAGCGTGGAATGGGCTCCAGGCGAGTGCATTGAGGGAAAGAGCAGCAACAAAGATAAGTCCGTGCTGAGAACGCAACTTCCTTTGCCAGCGATAGAGGGTGGCGACTGGGGGTCGTTGCTGCGAGGGTCGCGTCGTCCTCCGAATGAAGCAGTGGAGGTGGACAAAAATGGCCGGGATGGCAGCCAGCGTGGCAAAGTGGAAACCCCCTACGAATCTGAGATAGTCGTCGTTGAACTGGTGAAGGAAGATGCAAAAGTTGAAGGGGTTTCGCCACCCAGAGAGGGGAAGGGCCCCTATAATTCCAGACGGCAACCAGATTGCCAATAGCCACAACGGCACCGTCCCTAAATTAACCATTCCCAGATTCGTTAGAAAATGCCTCACCCGATACAAAATTATTTAGACTAAAACAGGCTAATATAAAATGTGTAAGAAATTGGGGAGAAGGACTGTGTGAGGAAATATAAAATAATATCTTACCTTGCGAGAGCTGGCTGTACTTTGAGTATGAAAGGCGTTCGGCTAGCACCCTGTCCACGGCGAGGCTGAGGAGGTGGAGGCTGATGGCGATGGAGAGCGCAATTATGGCGCAATTCACCAAAAGACATTCACTCCCCTGCTCCGCAACGATCCGCCACTCGAGGAGGACGAAGGCTGAGAGAGATACCTGCATTCAGGGTGGTAGATATTATGCATTAGTGAAAAATGAGGCAAATTGAGACGATAATGAACACATAATGGTAGAGCAGGGAGTTGGTCGTGACCTGGGAGTAGAAGGTGATGAGTCCGAGGGCGAGGTAAGCCGCAAAGAGCGAGTGGAGTAGGCCTTGCGTAGACTGGGGGAGAAATAGGAGGCCGGGCGTCCGAAGAGAGGACAAGGTGCGGGAGGACCGCACCAACCCCGCGATTGCCATCCCGTTGAGGAAGATGATGAGCGCCGCCATTAGGAGCTTAGGAAGGGCTGTAGCTAAAAAAAGATCTACGTCGACGGCAGGGGGGTCTCTCTCCCGGAAGTACATTGAGGGAGAGTGTCTACTGGTGGGGCTGGAGGGGGCGAGGCCAGAGGACGCGTTGAGCAGGTTCTCAGTAGCTCGTCGAACGTTGAGAACACAAAATCGGAACTTTGACGAGTATAGGTTGCAACCGGACTTGAGACTCAGAGCTTCCCTTAAATTATACAATATCTCGCATTTTAAAACAATTTACGCATGTCGACTGTAAATTAAACTCACCAGCCACCCAACACCAAGGTCATCACCATCTTTGAGCACCACGCCCACTAACACCACACCTATGCACTTATAAAACTCGACCCCAAGTATAGTACCTTATTCCATGGTCGACCCGAAGTATTTATACTCCAGGGGAAGCTTATTCTGCAATCCGATAAGTCACTGCTGCGTTGATTGGGGGCATTTTAAGAATATGACCACCAAGCCTCTTGAAGACGTCCCTGTCTTAATAAGTCCAAATGTATGCATGTGAAGTGTGAGAGTACCGTTCACCATTTAACACTTACGATTAGTATGTACTTTTTGATTAATTCTTAGGACATTTATCCTTCTGAAGCTGGGTGTGGGTCGTGTGGAGCGAGGCGCAGATAGTTGGAGAATGACTGCGATACATGAGATTCTGCATACGGGGCTGACTGAGGGGAGAATGGAGAAGGGTTAATAAATAGTGGTTGTGGAGGAGAACGAGCGAGCGGAAGTGAGTGACTTCCTCAGTTACCGGAACTCGCCCCATATAAATCAACAACGCCATCCACATATTCCACACATCCATAAATGAGGCTGGATAGGATATGATATGGCTGTTGGTTGGTCCTGGTCCATTCTCCGATCTACCTGGACAGTTGGTCATTCATTCCTCTTCTCAGTTCAATTAACAAACCTGTATACGTACTGCCTACAAAGTCAACTCTAGGCAGTCAGTCACTCTGACAAACCTTTGAAAAAATATCGCCTCTTTCATTCTATAATACGACACAAATGGTGGTGGTCTGGTAATGAATGACTGCTTTTTAACCATATTTGTGAGAGAAAATAACTTTCTCACTTTGCCTCCACTTTGCAAGAACCAAGCCACCGGATGGGTCATGCGACGATAGTTTGCTGGAAGGATAATGCACCAGTTGCATAATATTTCGTCGATGCATGAATGATGATGGAGAGAAAGGGGAGATGAGAGCATAAAATCCCTTCATTGCATGGTGCATTTTTTGCGTCAAAGTTAAAGGGCAGTAGCAACTAGTGAGTCAGTAACAAGTCCAGGTGTGCTCCCTTCCAGGCCAACTTCCTTTATTTTTTGTGAGAGGATAATTAGATCAACTTCCATCCAGTTCCTTCCGTCAATCAGCTAACTCACCCTCACACCCCACCAGCACTAATCTTCTTTATATGTACTCCCATATGCCCACATGACATGACCATTCTTATTACTTCCACTTAAAATGGAGTGTGTCATCTGGTCATCCGGCTTGATATACATCACATAACAATATGCATTCCACAAGCACAATACAACACTTTTACACAAATGTATATGTAGTAATCCGAATAGATGATGGTCTACGGAGAGACCCTTTAATTTTATGCACCAGAAACCCGTTACACACATGCTCCATTCCATAAGAAATAAGATAAATAATAAATATCATATGGTATGAATGCAGATCATGTTTTTCGAGGACCGGATGTGTGAGTAGTATCTTCATCAGCATAGCAAAAACAGCAACAACCTTATCAGAGGCGGAATTGATATTTTCCAGCCTTTGTGATATATTTGACCCCTTTGAAAGGTCGATACTTTTCCCCGTACATGTCCAGTCGGCTCACCTTCAACCCCGACACGGCCATCTGATTGATCACGAAATGGACCGTGACAGTTGGATTTGCTTCCACCGGACCAGCCCCGGCGCCTAAACTTATCTATAGAGGTAGTAATGAATGCAATTAGTGTATCATGTTAGATTATTAGTAGTCTAACTATTGATTTATTAATTACCGATCCCTTGATGTTAGGCAACTTTGTAATGTCAATTTTTCTCACGTCCCAGTGAAGCACTTTACTGACAGGGTCAAAGGTATATCGTCCTTGGGAAGCCGTCAAGTTGCAATTAGCTACAGATTTTGGCATGGGGATTTCCAGGGACACTTCCTCCACCTTTAAGAAGTCACACTCTCAATTACAATGTTCACTGACACACTAACAAAATGCGCGTTTAAAGTTCGATTTATTAACTACTCCATGTAAACTAAATATACCAATACTTTACAAAATCATCTAGTACGTATGTGTGTATGTTTAATGATCATGCAAATCGTGAGGTATATACACTCATCATAAACCCTGATATGCATACATATAAGTGAATAAAATAATGATTGTACGTACCTGTCGCCCCATGGTCTGCTTCGGCCCAACTGTGATATCCAGCTTCCCCTCTCGGAATGAAATATAGTGTTTGAGGTAGATAGGAATGGCCACGATGCTCTGCGAACTGATATGGTAGGAAATTAGACGAAAGTTGCCATCAGGGGGGATAAATGACAACACTTTTTCATTCTATTAACGAATAATTAGTTATGAATATTTTAGCGTATCGAATAAATCACAATGTCAGCTACCAACCTCCCAACGTTTGAATCGAATGCAAGGGTGCAAGCTTAGATCGTCCAGCAATCTCGGGTTTACAAATGTCATGGTTAGATCTGGCATCCCACTTAGCTTAATACAACAATCGATCTGAAAATATTTATCAGTATAAACATCTGCAATTTAGAGAGACCTATATTTTGCATTTGCTATGATATTTTACTGTGAGTGCTTAAACAGTGACTCACATATCCTTGAATTTCTGCAAATACAGTGGATCCATTCTTATCAATGATAGCATCCACTTCTTCAATTACATCGAAATATGCCTCGTTATTAGCATATTTGACTCCGGATCTTCTCCATGGAATGTTTGATAATTGTCCAGAAGGCAGAGTGCAGCTCACACTGAAAGACGGCACACAAAAACAATGATAGATGACCTGTTTCACACAATCAGCTAAAAAGCTACATTATATGTGCAGAAAAACTAAATCACTTTGTTTTCCCAGTGACCGTGTTGGCAATTGTTCGAAGAATGTTTGGAGGTTTGATTAGTTCCTTCAATATGTTAGATTCCGTAGCAAGAGGAAACCCGTTATCCAACATTTCGTCCAACAGCTACACAAAGAATAAAACAAACAATCAGTTACCAAGTCCTAGTTTTGCTTTTAGCGTTAAAAATGTCGTAATGTATTATGTATTTGCATATACCTCATAAATGATAACGTAGTGCTCTTTAATTATAGTCTCATTGCATTCGCCGAAGTAATCTTCAAAAATATCCACGACGCGGTGTAGAAATTCCAGCACAAAGAGAGGTGCGACTATGATTGTAATCAGAATTACATTTTTTTTTAAAATATACATACACCTTTATGCAGTTTAATATTTATCGGATAAATTTTATCCTATGCCGGCGACGACGATACCTTCCGTTGTAGTGGTTGCGACAAAGTAGAGATTGTTCCTGAAAATGGTGATGAGGTAGTGGTGTGGCGTAGCTACGACGGGTGGCATGTCGACAGGCGAGGAAATTTTCTTCTGTTCCTCGAAAAAGTAGTCGCATACGGAACGGGAGATTACTGACTTCCAATGCTTCTCCATAAACACGTCTCTGCAGTCAGAAGAAATAAATCAATACCAAATTAAACTAATTGCTTATTAAAATTATTGCACTATTTAGTATTTACCCAGAGACATTGATGATAAAAAGACTGTGAATCATGATGATTGACTTTGTGAGGATATGTCAAATTTGCAATGGTGGTGTTACTCGTACCTACAATTAGACCGTACAAGTGTTGTCCTTTACATGTTCTAACAATTGTTCAATTTCCGAGAGAACTTTGGATTGGAACACAAAATTACTTGACGATAGTGATAGTGTTGACAGTGGACTGACACGAGGGTTGTGCGGATCATATGCGAAGAGAAAGTGAACATGTGTTGCCCCAGCCCAATCTGCAAGGCGGTCCGTGGACGTGTGTACACAGCTCCCCAGAAAGAAGGACACGAATTGTGAATTCCTTCTTTTCACACTCACTCACTTTCTCGTTTTCTTTTCTCGTCGTCTTTTTCTCATTCGTTCGTAAAAATAAAAACCGTGGTCAAACTTTCTTTCTGTTGCATGTTTCGTGTAGGTGCGTGGAGTGTAAGTTACACGGTGTAATGTCAATACTGTCCTCTTCTTCGTGATAGCTATTTGAATTCTCTCGAGTTTGTTAGAGAGATCAAAATTTTGCACCTGCAGTACTGATTGTGCGATGTCATGTTCATGTCGATCATCATTGCTTAGTCAATATTCACTCGATCCTTAACTTCATCTTCATGGTATGCAAGCTGTGACGGAATGGGAGACGTTCCATCTCCGATGATGGAGATAAATGGAGGCACTTCTAGTAGCAATTTAACTTCCGAGTTGCAAAAAACGAGAAGAAAGAAACAACAGAGAGAAGCAGAAGACGTCGCAGGGGGAGGAGGAGGAGGAGATGTCACCACGTTGGATTGTGGGTGTGGTGAATCGCAGTGGTTGCAATGTGAAGATCAGACGGATGGGATACCTGAAAGTTTGCGCTTCAACTGGTTTGATATTCTCTGCATCATTCTGTCCATCACGACGTACGTAGTGGACTTGGGAATGGATATCTATGTGTCTTACGTCTACTACTGTTCCGGCTATTATTGGTACTTTGCCCTTGCTCTGATCTTTATCATCATTCCGAGCGTCAGCATGACGGCCTTTAGCTTGAGATGGTGAGTGACGAGTGTACATAAAATAATAGTCCTTACATTTACACTTTACAGTATTTTGAATATGATTATAAATACGATGTGATGAAATACATTAACATTACTTGTAGGTATGTCACCGACATGGACAATCAGACAATTCCGAAACCATCCTGTACCAAGTGGATTATTCGCACTGTATTTTTGTTGCTACAGCTTGCTCCAGTTCTGAGGTGATTGTAGTTTTACAATTAAATAACTATTTAGCCTTTGTATGTTTGTTAAAATTACTTTGTTGTTTTATGACAGGTACTTTGACGCTTTAATTTATGGTCTCAAGAGTCGAAAAGCTGCGGAGAAGAATGACCGCCCAAATCAGTACAAGTATTATGCATACATGATCAATGAAGACGCAGACTCAACCTTGTTACGACTTTTTGAAGCCTTTATGGAATCTGCACCCCAAGTGACACTGCAACTATATATTTTAATTTATCACTTTAATGACCCCACCAGTCCGTTCAAAGATCAAGACGGAAGCAGAGGATGTAAATAACTCAAAATAAGGACATTGTTTTTTGTTAAATAATATGAATTATTATCATTACTAGAATTAAATATTTCTGGCTTACAAACTGTGAATTTCAGATATGATACAAGTTATAGCTGTATTGTCGTCCCTTGTAAGCCTTGCTTGGTCATTGTCTGTATATCATCGCTCGGTTAGTCTTGCTGTCTAATATCTTAAATGCATAATTCCAGTTTTGAAGTATCAGTATTGTATTGTAGTGCATTATATATGATGTTTTATTTGATTTACTTTTAGATTCGATATGCACAACAAGAAAAAATTAATATTTCGTATAAAGGAACTCTTTTACAATTTGTATGGCATATTTGCAGCATTAGTAAGTTTGTATTTAATAATATATAATATCGCAATTTATAATGTACACTAAACCTGATTTAACAAATTTAGGTGCTCGTGTTTTTGCTCTGGCCGTATTTGCAGCGACGCACCCACTTTTAATTGTATGCAAAAGCTCGGATATTATTACCAAAACCATGTTCGTAGAAAGCGTGTATTATTATTCCTTAATTCGTGTTTGTTTGTTACAGTTTCCCGTTTGTATTGCCCATTGGTGTGCAATGGTGGCATGGCTGATTGTCCAAAGAACAAAAGCATGTGAGAATCACTGCGAGGAAGCACTTTTTAATCTGATTGTCGCTTTTATCTACGTTTTCACTTTTTTTAACGTTCGAGATGAACCTACGCGATACAAATATTTGACGTTTTACATTATCTGCTTTCTGGAAAACAGTTGTCTCCTATTTACATGGTTCTTTTCGTTTAATCTCAGCACGCCGGATATTTTATGGTTTAGAATTTCTGGTCTTGTTGGAGATTATGCAGTATTTTTCTTGGGAATTTTGTCTATGGTATTATATTATGTGTACTTTCACCCCTCCGTTGGGGTACATCAATCCGATCAAAAGAACCCCACAAAAGCGCCTTCTAACGCTTCAATTTCATTTCCGTCCGATCTCCCAGTTAGAAGCAAGGCATTGGCAAGAAAAGGGTCCATGGACACGTCTCAACTGGCGGGCGTAGTGATTGGAAATGGTGGAAGCAGCAGCAGTCATCAGTGTGGGTCATCATCTGCTTCTCGTTCCCGAAATGTAAACTACTATGCTTCAGAAAATTCTACACTTGCTGCTGAAACATGTAGACAACTTATGAATTCAATTCCAAAAGTTGACCATGAAGATGCTACTGCCACTACTACTGCGCCCATCAGCTCCGTGACCAAAGACCAAAAACAAACGAGAACATGTAGTGATGAAACGAGACTATAAAAGTAAATGTCGCCAGTTAAGCGTAGTCATACATTCATACATAACCGTTGTCATTAGTACGTCTATAAAATAGCTTTTGTGTGATATGCCCAAGGCTGGTGAGAAATGTTAGCTTTTATCTATTATTGGCTCGTTGTATTTGCTACAATGCGCAATTTTAGCTAGCTCAGATAAGTTGTGCCGTATTAGGAAAACAAGTAACAAACAAATCTATATTCAACTTCCATATTATTATATATTGCATAGTATTGTACAAGTCAAAATTACTAAATAATACCTCATCATAATAATTGTACATCTTCATCTTCTCAACATAGTTTTACCGAAAAACTATTATTGTTTGTTTGGTTAGTATGCATTAAACATGGATGCTAATTAATATAACATAATCTGTATTTATTTATCACATTACTGGCGTACCTATAAAATAATTGTTTATTTCATGACGTACCTTAATCAACAACTATCTCACCGAACTACTTATACAATACCACTTATTAGTATTATATATATACGAAACATACATATTTATTTAAATGTAGGATACATTATTATATAGACTTTATTTTACATAATACATACGTGCGAATCGAGTATAACTGATTACAAATTGATTCCCAAAAATACAGATTATGTAATATGCTGTGAAAGTACAATAAAGAAAGTGGTCCGACTGTTGTGAAACTCGTAACTGATGTATGCAACTGGTATGTTCTATACGAAATTGTTCTTGGCGACGATATATATTCACAGGAGAGTACTTGATGGTAGGATACTAGTTTCAACAGAGCTGGATATCGCAACATAGAAGGGTTGTATGAAGTCGACCTTACTTTTGACAATGTGTATTGGCGGCACAACCTTGAAGAAAATCAATCAAATGACCGTTAATATAGTATATAATGTTGCACGTGTGATGGGTGGGGGTAGACTTCAGCTACTTTAATTGCAATTGCACATTTAGCCGCCCAAGGGTTTTGCCTTTCGATGCTAATGTATTAATCCTCTAAGTAGAAATTTTCGAAAAGGATGGTTTTTGAAGTACTTCAAAAATCATCCGTTGATACTTATCAAAGGAAGTGTCGCTACATGTGATTGCTAATTCCGATTCGTAGTTTGCGACTAGGGTAAAAACATTTAATGATTCGTTACCCTAGATCCACATGGGCATTTAAATCCCGAAACGAAACTATAAGATCCAATTCTTGCTTCGCATTTTGGACACATAATTTTCCCCTTGGTCCAATCTCCTTTATCCATACTGGCTGTCATCCACTCTGGCATGGACTCTTCAGGAATGTACCTAATTAATGAATGTACAGATAAAATTATTTATCCATATTACTAAATATCTGACTCATTTATACTCTTACCACACTTGTGAATGACATGATGATGGTCCCTTATTTTCTAAAGTCATCAGGTCTACAAAGGGCTCGCCGTGGCTGTCCTCGACAGGAACTGGAAATCATCATCAAATCGTATTATCAAAACCATAAAACTTCAGCAATAAGCACAGGACAGCAGCTTCTTGCACCTTTTGGATGTTCAAGTAGAAGAAATCTGCATTTCTTACACTTCATTGGGACTACGGTTGATTCTAATTGATTGGGGTCCATATTAATGGGAACTTTATCATGAGTAAATCCACATGCGGCGTATTTATTATTTGTTAGTGGCCAGCAGACAGATCAGGCTGGATTGCCGACTGGGTGAAAGTTTTAGATTTGGCGGGGTGGGCGGGGCGAGGAGGGTGAGTGGCTGGGCGGGAGTTGATAGGGCTGTTGGCGTTGGTGTGGAGGCGTTGCGGGCGCAGTCAATGAACCTGGCCCTGGACAAGCCGAGCGAATCGGGCATCGCGGCTCATGTCGCGTCTCTCAAAGGGAGGCGACGGCGACCGACAGCCTCGCCTCGCATTTTAGTCGCATTCCTATCTCTTTCTCTCTCCTGGGAGCCCACATCACGGCTGTCCCCCACTTTCTCCAGCAGCAGCAGCAGCTTTTCTCCATAACCTCCCCATCTTCTCCCCACGCTCTCACCTCTGCGCCTGCACGAAACAATAATAAACCACCAGGAGCTCTTCTCATGTGGATGACCCACAGATCAGCGACCTACAGCCGGGTGCCTCATCCATGCAAATCCACCAGATTACTGGTCATGGAGAAAACTTGGCAATAATTTTTAGCATAACTTTCCCCTTCGTGGTACGGAGTCCAAGTGGGTGTGGTGGCGAGAGGCGCTGACCTAAGGTGCCTTCGTGCGCGGAAATAAGGATAATCGTTTGAGGAAAGCTGAACGCTGGGCGTGGAGCGTCCGCTTGGCCCGTGCACTTGGTTGATGGAGAAAGAGGAGAGGACAGCGACTGGTTTAGGAGCAGTCCACTCGGAGAGAGAGTGGTGAGAGTCGGGGTGGTCCGTGTGCATGAGAAGAGAGAGACGGGAGAGTGAGGGGAGCTTCAGACCAAGCTAGCACTATTTACTACAACTGGCGGACGAAGCTCCAGACCACTATTATTATTGCTAAGCACATTGTACAGTGGACGTTCGTAGTTAGGGTTAACAAGTTCAAGGAGGTGGTGAAGAAATTGTGTCCGTGTGACCTGAGCCGAAACGTCGCCGAGAGGAATTCCAAGGGACGGAGGACAAGGGCGCGGATATCTGTGCTGGAGTGATAGATAGATTTGGCTATAATAGAGCATTTTTAGGGTTGGTGGGTGCCTGGTGCTGCTAGACTAGAGCTCTCTCACTCTCTCTCGTCGTTGCTGAGGTGGTAGGGAAATAGGAGGAAGAAGAAGGATAGATCTGCTGCTGCTCGGTCGTCGGATAATGGACGATCACCTTTTACACTCCGCCACCACGAACTCTATAGGAATACCCATCTTCAAGCCCCTAACTGTATACCAATCTTATCACCACTGCGCTTATCCCAATTAATTAACTAATTAATTCTTGGGACACCACTTAACAATATTACAAAGGACGAAGGAAGGAAACGACTCAACTATGCTATATGGTAAGTGAGACCAAATTATTTCCTTCAAAAATTTACCACAAATATACAAGTCAGAGGCAAAATCATCAAAATCATGTTTCGAAGTAGTAGATGAGTAGCAGTATCGTGTTTAGTGTCAAGATTACGTCAACTAAATGTGGAAAGTGAATGCCAATGTGATTAGATTTAGATCAGTTTCTTCTAATTAATAATACGAAATATTGAATATATTATTTTTTCTTGTGTTTGTGTGTGGTGTGTGTGGGTGGGTGCGTGTTTCAAGTAGTTCATATTTTGACATTTCTTAATTTAAAAAGTTTTCTACTTATTTGGTCATAACTTTAAATTTCATCAGATTTGCTTGCTTTGGGACATGCTATATCATCTGTTTGGTACAGCGCTGCAGGATAGATAACCTGAAGTTGTTTGTTATTTCCTTCGTCTCACTTTAAATTTCATTCTTGAATTCCATCAGTTCACGGACGTGTTTGTTTATGCAAAAGTTGCTGGGACAATTTTATAGATTAGGTTAGACGCCGTTGATAATCATAATTATTGAATCAATAGTAGGTAGCTGGAGATTTGAGATGAGGTTTTGTCCAGAGCAGGCATACGGCAGCTGCTCATTTGCACATAGTCACTCGCTTGATCAATGCACTTTCAAACACTTGTCACGTTTTTCATCAATTTCCACTGGTACAACTTGTATAATAGTCAGCACAACGTGTACTGACTTTGCAAAATGCATACATTCAACATTTATTCATTTAGGTTGGGATTTAAAGATTTTCATATTTACATTCCGATGAGATTTAATACTCTAAAATTGTGAATGCTAGCTTTCGTTTGTATTATTTGAGTATCCTAATTTTAAGAACATTGCATCAGAAGTTCTTTGTGGTTGTTATTGATAATATTGATGCATAATATTATCTATTTAGTATTAACTACAATCTATTTTTTACTTTCAACTTTTAAGATATTGATTAACTAAAAATTTGTAAGCCATGAAAAAGCATTCTATTATAATATATAATATTCTGGGGTCCAGGTAGTTACAGCACACTTGCACAGCTTATCAATATAACTGCATGGATTGGAGCTGCGCTGCACTTTTTACACGTGTTTATATTGCTTCATATGTTACAGTACAAGCAAGTGAAAGCAGGTTGATGAGAACCTACAATTCATAAACCTATTTTGCAAGATTCGCAGTACTACTATTTTTTTGCTGTTTCACATTCACACAGCATACAATTTTCAAAAGATATTATTGATTTAGTTTGTTATTGTTTATTCCTTACCTGAATTTATTTGTTTTGCGGAACCCCTGCGATACTAAAAGTTTATCTTATCAACATCACCATTTCTAGTCCTTATCATCTGCTTGTGTATTATTATAATTTCCTCTAATTGATAAGATAACAAATGTTTGCTTATTTTCGGTTGTACCATTGTCTTCGACAAAAATTAAGTTATAAGGCATTCAAAAGGAGGACGTTTAGACATTGATTAGTTAGATTTAGACTTTAGATCATCTATTTTTATTCGTAATCAGTGAATTAGTGGATAGGAGAAATTGAAATATGTCAGTTTTACTAATACTCACACCTGGACATGCACTACCTCATAGAAATTCATAGAATGCACTGCATGGGATAAGAGTAGTTGAATGTTATTGTTGGCGACAGCAGTCTTGATAGTGTATCTGCCATTTCCTAAAATCTAGAATCTGGGAATAAAATGGAGAGGGGCAAGATTAAATCCTATAAGTGTAATGAACGAGATTCATTCTCAACTGTACGAGAGATGTCTTCACACAAGGTGTGAGAGCAAGAGAGCATGGACCCTGCATGTGGTTGGCTGGTCGGTTGTGCTGGCTCTTGTAAAACAACTTTTGTTGAGGTTTATTAGAGTGGTTTATTTTTTGAGATGTTCTTCTACTGCTGGACTTTTTTTGGTTTGGATATTTTCCACACTCACTCTCCTCAGGTTCCATTATGGCATCATTCAACTCGGGACCACTATTTTGACTTTATGCGATCGATTATGTACGATATGAGTGATATTGCAGAATATCTGAAAAGAAAATTCTTGGCAATATAACAAATTAAATCATCTGTGTTTGATAACAATACTTATCACATGAGATGCCGGTAAAATTATGTCATCAAGAATCGACAAGGGATGTGAGATTGGATTTTTTACGCTTTATTTTACACTGTTGCAAAAGTACAATTTGTTGTGTATTTTCTTTTCAAGTTTGGACTAGTGATTTCAAATTCACGTGTATCTTTTAAATGCATGGTAGACGTGATGGTACGAGTTTTAGAGGAGGGAAAAGTATAAAGAACTACAAAGACAAAGCACTTTTGGTTAGCTAGAATTTGGATATGATTGGGGTTGTTGGATCATACGCAAGTAAGCTCAACTCAACTCTCTATCCATTGTTAAATGGTTTTGCATTTAAATCCCTAGAGCAATTTAAGAGGCAAAACTTATTACTCTGTCTCTAGTTTACTTACTTGGCGTAATAATGCTGCAGTGAGCACCACTGTTGTGTCCGGCTCACATCATATCCGCTCTTCACTACTAACAACGCTATACGTACTTATTATATAGCTTGACTTGAATGAATTTGGTTGTGGTTGTTGTATTATTTTGTATGAAAACTGCATTGCATTCACTCACTCTTTCATGGAAAGAGCAAAAACTTTTTGGTTTGATAGAAGCAGCTAGGTAAGTAGTAGGACTTTAGTACGTGAGTGGCGAACACTCACCCTGAGGTTGAGTGAGCTGAGATTTGCCCACAAGTCGAAATGAAGTCTATGTAATAAGGATTGGGCTTGTTCCTTCATTGTAGTGCATGGAGGACATCATCCTACGCTCATGCTAATCAACGGTGTATAGTAGTTGTCGAGACAGGTAGGCAGGATCATTGTGTCGAGTTTTAGATTAGTGGTGGATGTATGGATGGAGGCAGATTCCACCATCATCCCCGTGTGTAAAAGTTTATAAGAACCAAAAGCATTGCCATTTCCAACCAAGAAGGGGTTGACAAGCTGCATGCCTGGTCTGCTGCATGAGCATGATGAGGTGGTAGAAGAAGTATGTAATGTAGTCTATGGTGGGAAGAAGTGCAACCTTGGCAGGTTGGTTCGTTGGTTGGACGGGATTTGCACAAAAAATTGCGATGAACATCGCCCATGGCAAAATGCTGGGGTTTAATGGTTCTGGTGAGTCTCTCTGCCTGCCTGGTCTCTCCACCATCATTATTCACATCCAAGTCTCTCTGGGATGCGTTGGTTGGTGCAAGAAAGAAGTGGTCGTTTTGTCAGATCTCATCTTCTTCACTTCTCCTTACGACGACGACGACGACGTGTGCAGTGCAAAATGGAACCCATAGAACAATCTGTTTCTCTCTCTCTCTCCATATTTTCACTTCAAACGGAGACATTTAATTATTGCTGGAAGACCGATCCCTTCAGTTCTTCTATCCCGGACTGCCCGATTGTTTTTACTCTCATCAGGAGAGTCAGAAGAAGACACTACTACAGCAACGGTAGCGGCACCACAGTCAATACCCGTGGTCCTCCAGAGTTTCTAGGAATTTCTAGTTTCCGGAGGGGAGAGGTCATGTCGTTTATGTAAAGTTAAGAACTCATAAGCGTATGGCTTTTCCCCTTTGGAATCTGGAAGAGCATCAGTCAGTGAGCAGATGAGCCAATCATTCTGGATTTTGGATTTAAATCAGAGTGTTGAGAGAGAAAAAATACAGAGAGATGGTGGAAATCAGTTTCGAAGTATTGGACCATTTTGAACTAGGATGAAAAATAAAATGCAATGTTGCGAGCAAGGATGCTATAACAAACGCAAAAGTGGTGGTGATGATGATGATGATGATGATGAAAATACTGCAATATAGGATTACCAGTGGACACCACCAACAAACAACACGGCACCAGCCGGAGAAGACCAACAGAGAGAATGATGTGAAGCCATGTTGTGGATTAGAGAAAAGGAAGACGAGACGATGGGAATGATGCAAATTGCATGTTGATGTTATACTTCAATTTTGTTACTTTTTGTCCGGCGTTGTTCGGCCGGCTTGCATACTTAATAATCATGAAAAACTTTCGTACAGCCTACTTTTTTTCTTATACCACGGACATCCATACACACCTGCAAATCCTCAATAGGACTAATAAAATAAACAAGTTGACAATCTCTCCACTAACTAAATAACTAGCTAGACAATGCTACATGAATGTTTTTCCTTCCACATATTCATGTATGATGCCAACATGAATGGCTCTGTTCTGATCCAAATTAATTTTAGGTGATCATCAATTGCAAAAAAAACATTTTTGTACTTTGTTATTTTCAGTTCCGTCAATGGGGGAACCATACTAATAATACCGGAGAATTTATACCTATATATATATTATATATGCACACAACACTTTTTATATAAGGATAAGAACACGATGTCGGTCACTTGCCGTCTTTCTAGCGAGGAACTTATTGAGGGTAAGAAGATCAAGATTTTAATGATGTGCTTATATATGTGTAATATGGAGAAAACTATGTACGCATAGTAAATATGAGCAATGAGTAAGTAATAATACCTACACGACAAACATTTGCTTTGAATTTAATAGCCGGCTTACACACTTCACTTGGTCATCATCGTATTCAAGACCAGAGGCAGTTGACAGTTTAAACAATGTAGTAAGCACCAGAACTTGTTGGACTGAGCAGAAGCATGAAGTGTTGTTTCCACATATATCCACAAAGAAAGGACGACACAACTTGTTATTTGCTAAAATCACCATGATACAAAAACACCTTGAAAACGAACAATGAGATGAAAGTTTTGTGCAGGCAACAACTTTTGTTTGAACTCTGCCCGCTGTTTGTATTTCCAAGTCGTGAAGACTAGAAAAGGAATTCAAAAAAATGATAATGTTGTTGGTCAACCCGATTTGTTCTTCAACTTCTTAGTGGCGGATTCCTTAAGGAATGGAAAATTACGATTTATTTGGCGATGACCTCGGAAGTGTTGGAATGCTTGATGGCTTGGGGGATTTAGGAGGAGGGAGTAGTAACAGTAACAACTTCAACCACTCATCTAATCAGCCCACTGGTGCAGGGAACATGATGCAGAGCTACAATAATCAACAACCTCAATACACGCAGATTGGACAGGGCATGGCTCCTCCGTCCAAGCCGGGGGGCTATCCTGACTATTCTAATCAGTATGGTGGAGGACTCGGAGGCCCTTCAATCCCACCAGGTCTCGGAGGTTATCCCAGCTCCACTCCCACGCGCCCTATGGCTGGCTACCCATATCCTCATCAACCTTCCAATGCTAGTCCCAGTATGCATTATCAAGGTATTTAATTGATTAAAATAATGTTTATTCTCGTCTAATCATACATATACTTGAACTTTTTTTTTTGTTTTGTTAAGACTACTCAGTACAAAGCCAAGGAGGGATGATTCGCCCTCCTGGTCCTGCTCCGCAACATGCTCCCCCACCAAGAATGGCAACACCTGGCCCTGGACCTCAGTCTCAGCTGCAGCAGCAGCAGCAGCAACAACAACAACAACAGCAGTTTGTGGGCTACCGGCCTCCAAGTCAAGAGTCAATGTATCTGCAACAGTTTCCACGTTGGGGTGAGCAACAGCAGGTTCCTCCACCTCCTCCTGTGGGAAGTTCGTATGGAAGTCCCTCCCTGGCTGCTCACCACTACCCATCAAGCTCTCCTTCAGGGTATCGTTCCTCCATCGGCCCACCGCACGCCTACCCTTCCTCCCTCCCACGACCCCCTCAACCCATGACGCAACAACAACAGTCCCCACAACAAAATTCACAGGCCCCACCCACCGGTGGCGGGGGTCCCAACTCTAGCCAGCAACAGCAGCACATTCCATTTATGCCCAGGCCGCAAACGCCATCCATACTTCCGCAACCTCCGCAGTCTCCGTACGGCCAAAGTATGTATCCTGGGAGTAATTCAACTAATCAGTATCCAAACTATCACCACGCTTCTCCTTCTTCCGTCGGCCAACTTGGGAGCAACAGCCACCCAAACCCTTCTTCCTCTTCATCATCTTCTCCATATTCTCACCATACTCAACAACAACAGCAGCAGCAGCATCAACAACAATATAATTTGACATCTCCAAGCACACAGCATCAGTATAGTAATCAATACGGACAGTATTATCCAACGGGATCTAGTGGCTCCTTACAACAAAGTAATCAGCCACCTCCTTCATCTTCCGCCCCCTCCATGGCATATCCCGGTTCATACCCACCTCCTCCCGTTGCCTTGCCACCCTTAGCCAACGGAGCTCCACCAACATACAGGCCAGGTTATGCACAAGTCCCTCAGCTTTCTCCACGACAGCCTATCCCTTCACCTCGACAAACTGCACCAAGTCCAAAACCTCCCACACCTACAATTCAACAGTCTTCTATTCCTCCCAACATGTCATCTCAGGGTCCACCGTCACAAAACATCATGCCACCAAACACGCAACAACAACCCAGTAGTTTACAACAATTGGAGCAAATGGTCATGCCACATGTGAATAGTAATAAGAACTCACCTTCTCCGAAACCACCTCAGCACAGCAGCCTCTCTTCTGCGGGTGGTGGGGTGCTGAGTCCTATGAGCATGAGCGGTCCTAAAACGCCAATGTCGCCCGGAATGTCGCAACAACAAGGAGGTCCAAAAACTCCAATGTCACCAGGACAGTGGCAGCAACAAAGTTCAATTCCACCGAGGGCCCCGATAGCTTCAAAACCATCCTACCTCCACCCCCCTTCTAACCAGCAGCAACAAGTCCCTTCTCCGAGCAATTACGGGATGAATAGTAATAGTAGCAGTAGTACTGGGCCATCTTCTTACTCCAATATTGAAAGTACGATCAATAACGTGTCCAGATCAACACAAGAATCCTCAGAAATAGAACTAGGGAGCATGAGGGCAACGTTGGATACGGACAGTGTTGGTGGTATGGGGTCTTCCTCGACTGGTGGTCCCCCGACATCGGTAGACGACCAGTTGAAACCTTCCACACATCTCCAGCAGCAACAACAACAGCAGCGCCATTCCTCATTGTCTCATGAAATCAATGGACTCTTGAGCGACGGTGGGTCGCTAGACTCCTCCTCCAACAAAGAAATTCAATCACAGATCTCATCGGGTCACTCGGACGAGCAGCGGTTCTCAATGCCCACAAATAATAATAATAATAATAATAGTAGTACCTCCTCCACATCATCATTGTCCAACAATAACGTAGCATCAGAATCTCCAATGGAGGCAGACAAGCCCAGTGCGCTTACATCTCTCTCATCCCCTATGGACAATTCTCACATGTACTCCAACTCTAGCCCCTCCACTACGGAGCACAATCAAAACTCTGCTGGTGTGGGTCTCGCTGGCATGCTCAATTCTTCCTCATCGCCCTCAACACCCATGAGTATGAACATACCCACGTCGAGCAGTAGCAACAACAACAGTGGACCTAATTCCTCCTCCAACAATAGTCAACACCAACAACAGCCTGACTTTGGGTATTCCAATAACTCTTCCCTGAACGGGTTAAGTAGTTTAAACGGGAGCAGCGAATCTCCTCATCACCACCAACAACAGTCGTCAGGATTAGCTTCTGGATTGCAACACGCCTCGGGGGGTCAGATGATGGGAGCAAACATGATGGTTGGGTACCCTTCTTCACAACAACAACAACAAGGAGGAGGAGGAGGAGGGCATGGTCAACAGCAGTACGGAAACTCTAATATGGAGCAGCAGCCATCACAATCTGGAGGAAAACCATCTATGATGCCAATTATGCCTCCACATCCTGGCGTGCCCATGCAGTACCCCTCACAACCGAGGTTCCCCACAGACCCCACCAATGGACCATACATGAACACCTATCCGCCACATGCGGGCGGGGCAGCAGGAGGAGGTATGTACCCAGGCAGTCCCTACCACGGGCAGCCTATGAGACCTCCTGGCCCACCACAATATTCCATCAACAGCATGCCGGGAGGACCCGACAGGTTCGGATATGAAATTCATCAGCTGAACCAACAGTTACAACACCTCTACTCCTTGCCCCCGAACCCGCAGAGTCAAGTACAAATTAACGAATTACAAGAGAGATTACGTAATCTTCAACAACAGGCCGCCCAACAGCAAGTTATGCCTCCTGGAGGCCAGTACCCAATGCAGCCACTCCCTATGCAAGGAAGTATGCCTCCTTACGGACAAATGGGAGGTGGGATGCCCATGGATCTCCTTCCCCCCGAAAATGGTCCAAGCAAGTCAAAGAAGAAAAAGGGAGAGAGGAAGCCGAGAGGCGAGCCCAAAGCCAAGGGGAAGGGAAAGGGTGGAAAGAGCAAGACACTTCCCATTAGCTATGATGACCCTGGGGATTTTGGAGTGGGTGGAATGGGAGTAATCCCCCCGCATGAAATTTACGATTTTCAAGATATACCCCCAGAAATTCCAGTTAAGAAGGGTAAAAAATCATCCAGGTATTTATTACATTGTTTTTATATTTATTATATTCTTTGATTATCTATATAGATATATTATTAGAGTATAGAGTTCTATAGAGTTCTATATTATTACTCTTCATATAAGCAGCATGAATACTAGATAGCTGTAGTTGTAAAATGTGTGTGTGTGCAGGAAACCAAAAGAAAAGTCACCCCCTAAACCAAAAAAGGCAAAAGAACCAAAGGAGCCAAAACCATTAAAAGAGAAGGCAACGCCAAAGAGGTAATTTTCAATACAATTAGTGTCCACATGTCTTCTGCCTGTGCTACAAAAGTTTAATTTTTAAATATTTTGGCATTGTTTTAGGTCAAGGAAGAAGAAGGGCCCTGAAGAGGGGGCTGAGGAGAGCATGAACTCCTCCTCATTTCCGGGAGGAGAAATGATGACGATGACGACAATGGACAGCGGAGAAGGGGTTGACATACAACCAAAAACTGAGGGTGGTTCGGAATCGGACCAAAAAAACGGGATTGGTGCTGCTGGTATCATAGCAGCTGAAGCAGGCTCCTCTGCGCCCATTAGCGGAGGAGACATAGATACCAGCACCCAGCAGGATGGGATAGCGCCAGAGGACATAGGAGCTGCTGCAAATACTGAGCTTGCAACCCCAGAAAAACCAAAATCCAAGCCCAAGAAACCAAAACTAAAATCTAGTTCTACGGGGAAAAAACGACCATCCAAGTAAGTCATAAAATATAATCCATGGATCTTTTATTTTTATTTATTCGATAAAATGAACGATACGTTGAGTTAAACTGTAAATTATTCTACTACTTTCCTTGCAGAACGTTGCTAGCTTTTCAAAATAGAAAGAAAAGGAGACGAAGTGATTCTGAAGTCTCTGACATTGAACGAACACCGCCCCCTTCACCTCCTCCAGAGGAAGATTCCAATGTAAGAATAAGATTCTCTTGTTGATTTTGTATTCAATATTTCTAAACCAATTAACACTGAAACAAATTATAGAAACGTCGATCTGGACGGAACACACAGCGTAAAAAGTATATTGATGACATTGACCTTGCCCTGTCGGATGACGATCTGCTGCTTCCCGACAAATCTCAGTTCAAACCCCTTGAGACCCTTGTACCTGTCGTTGTTGACGGGGCTTCAACAACCATAGATTCCATGGCTGATGCTCCCACGACGAACGGCCAGGGCCTGGCGACTGATCCATTGGATCCCAGCACGGTTGCCGCCGACGCTGCTGCTGTTATTTCCGGTTCTACAGGCCCTATTGTCGGTACCTCTGCTCCTATCCCCATTGTAACTACCCCGGCAAAAAAGGGGAAAAATAATAAGACTGCCACTGAAGAATCTCCTAATTTAAATAAACATAACTTCTTTTATGTGGTATGTCGAATGTTATGTGTACATGCACAACTTTTGTTTACATAATTTTCAAAATATATGCCTTTAATACGATGACCAATTAAAATTATTTCAGAATACTTCTGAAGAAGATACGATGGTAGTTCAACACATCTTGTCCACGAGAATGGGTACTCGGGAACTTATTGATTCGTCCGACGACGAAGATGATGACGATAATGATGTGAAAAAGAAGGACGTAAAGATTGAAAAGGACGAATCAACTGATGTTAAAGCTACCGCCAATGATAATACCCCATTAACTGAACACATTTCTACATCACAAGAAGAAACTGCTGAATGCACTGAGAAGGAAGAAATAGCAAAAATAACACAACAATCTGCTACTCTAGAAAATAATGATACAATTGATACTTCCTTCGCTTCTAATCCGCCGACAGCACAACAGAAGACTGACTCTGGTAATAATTCAAATGAACTGATGACTGATAAGAAAGAAGGATATGATATTACTACCCCAATTACTACTACTAATAGTAGTAGTACTGCTGAGCATGATGAGCCACAGACTGATTCTGCCACTTCAATTACTGCTAATTCAAGTAACATTTTGGATACGAAAGAAAATCTATCACCTCCTTCTTCAGATCCTCAAAAAGATAGCGAGGATAAACAACCCAAAACTGAAACTGAAACCGACCCCAATACTAGCGGAAGTGAAAGTGACAAGACAAAAGCAGATCAGGTGCCTCTTGATGCTGTCACTTTGCAAGAGCCAACCGACCCCGCCTCCACCGAAAACAATACAACAGCTACAAAAGCAACAGACATCAAATCTGATGCAGACGATGCTCTCAAGACGAAAAAGAAGAAAGAGCCTAGAACAATTGAAGTTGAAGAATTTTACGTCAAATACAAAAGCTTCTCTTACTTGCATTGTGAGTGGAAAACAGAGGAGGAATTAATGAAGGGAGATAAACGAGTCAACGGGAAGATTAAACGGTTCAAGCAGAAAATGTCCAATAATGCTAACATTTTTGAATTCATTGAAGAGGATCCCTTCAATCCTGATTACGTTGAGGTGGACCGAGTGCTGGACATGAGCGAAGTGAACGATCCGACAACTGGGAAAGTGACCAAGAACTATTTAGTAAAATGGAGATCGTTGCCATATGACGAGGCGACATGGGAGCTGGAAGATGACATTGATCCAGAAAAATTGGCGCAATTCCATCGATTTCACAAATGTAATAATACAGTTTGTGCATTTGTATATCATAATAATGGGCTGAAAAACTATGTTATCGCAATTATTTAATCATTCAACAAAAAAACTTTTTTAGGTCCCAAAAAAGACCAATGGAAGAGGAGGAGCCGGCCAAAGGCTCCCGAATGGGTCAAGCTAGATGAAAGTCCTGTGTACAAAAATAACAACACCCTTCGCGAATATCAGCTAGAGGGGCTCAACTGGCTCTCCTTTTCATGGTTCAATGGACGAAATTGCATCTTGGCCGATGAGATGGGTCTTGGCAAAACAATCCAGTCCCTAACTTTTGTAGACTCTGTTCACCGTACTGGGATTCGTGGACCTTTCCTCGTCATTGCTCCCCTCTCCACAGTTCCAAACTGGCAGCGAGAGTTTGAAACTTGGACCGACCTGAATATTGTCGTATATCATGGCTCTGTGGCGAGTAGAAATATGATTCAAGAGTACGAACTATTTTACCGACACCCCGACAACCCTCAAATGAACCTCAAAGATTGTTACAAATTCAACGTGCTCATTACCACCTTTGAAATTGTACGCTGTAGTATCATATTATTTGTTACATTCATTGTTTATACATATTAACGGTGATTGAATTTAATATAATGTTTTATGTAATTAATAAATAGGTGCTCACGGATGTAATGGAGTTGAAAGACTTTCCCTGGAGAGTATGTGTTATTGATGAAGCTCACCGACTGAAGAACAAGAATTGCAAATTGTTGGAAGGTCTACGTCTACTTAATGTAGAGCACAGAGTCTTGCTTAGTGGAACGCCTCTACAAAACAATGTCCAGGAATTATTTTCACTGCTCAACTTTTTGGAGCCCAGTCAGTTCAGTTCGGATGAAAATTTTGTTAAAGAATTTGGTGACTTGAAATCTGAAACTCAAGTTCAAAAACTTCAAGCACTTCTCAAACCGATGATGCTTCGACGACTGAAAGAAGATGTTGAGAAGTCTATCGTAAGTCTGATTTGGGACATTAATTTAATAATACAAAACTTTAATTCATATATACACATCAAATGTCATCAAACAATTGCAAGTCAATATATAATGACATCATAAGAACTAAAATTAGGTTTAATCATGTTTATATAATGTATTAAGTTAAGTTTGGAATGGCATTCAATCCGAGTCAGAATCATTTTCGTTAACATAAGTTCGTCGGACAGTTCTAGGTGAGGGTGTTGTAAATGGCGATGCTGAGTCCCTTTCTTGTTCTGATTTTTCAAAATCAACGAGAGCCTTTAATCCTTCTGCGTATACTTCCTCATCAAAGTTGTTGTTCAATAGAAATTTTGAAGGTTTATTAGACTCCACACTACCTTTTTCCAACAAAGTAAACCAATTCGAGTAGTAAGAACTCGTCTCTTTGACTTTGCCACTGACATTTTCTTTCAGACGATTAGAAAGTGAATTCTGCATGTTTGTTGATTTTGAATAGTAGTGAGGATAATTGGCATGAATAAAGTCAGCTACATCAATAGCGGTAAATGATGTTAAAGCAGGGTTTGCCTTTATAAATGCAACAACTAGTGTCTGAAAGTGTACAGTTGGAACTCTGCAAAGTTAAAAGGATTTAGCGTTTAATAATTAAAATTCAATACATATGCAAATTAATAATATTACATACTTTTTTGCACTTTTCTGGTTTTTTCGTGACATCACTAGCTTATGAGTCTGCCTGACGGAAACGGTGTCTCCACGTTCTGGTAGACTTAGACCAATACTTCGAGATGGCAATGAGGCGACACTGACATTCCCATTCATTCCCCTTAGTCGATCCAATGTCCCGAAACGATGCATGTATTGCGTCTCTTTTACTGTACATGAAAAATATCAAATTAGTTGATGGATTAATTAAGATCATATATGAACATAATTTACTACATATACTTTTGCGCTTCCGTAAATCACTGATTTGTTTCAAGAACAGAAAACGCATGAAATCTTTGCATTCACCAGCGAAGTGACAATCTACTCCTGCAGCTCCCGTGTTATCAAATTGACCAATATGATCGTTCATCCTTGACTGTAGTGTAGCTTTCCCTTCTCCGCTAATTCCAAAGTAGATGGGTCCAACATATTTGTCAGGACAATTGGGGTTTATGCAAATCATTGCATAAACACCTTTCTTTGGAAAATGGCAAGTAAAGTCTTCCTTCGAAATCTTGAAATGAAGTGGTCGAGTTGCATATAACCTGCAATAATATCATTTATTATTATTTAATTAATTGATCTAATATTTTACATTTATTAATGAACTCACATATTAGGAACAAACTCAGACTGATTAACATATTTGCATAGCGTGCAGTGTGGAATGTTGCACTTGACCGTTTTTCTTACAATAATAGCACCCCCATTTCCTCTGTCCCCTACATCATCACTATCATCACTTTCCACATCACTTTCATCACTTTGTAAAACACTCTGATCACTCTCATTATCGGTTCGTGGCGTTTTAGGAGCAGTACTTGAAGAAGAAGTGGACATACTTTCACTATCCCTTCGTTTTCTATTTTGCAATTCCTGGTTGCACAATGATATTGTATGTGCAGATGAACCAATAAGTTGCATTATCTGCTCATCCGTCATGTCTCGAATATCTGACATTGTCGCTCACAGTTTTACACTACCACGATTATAATACAATGACTAATTTCACAAATTTCAACTAATTAAATATATATTCACACTTCAAATGTATACGTAAACGAACGAACAAAAACATAAACAACTTTCTCTATGGTTCGATTCCCGCTCTTTTTTCTATGCTTGCAGATGCCCAAAGAAGAGACAATTGTTGAGGTGGAGTTGACAAATATGCAAAAAAAATATTACCGGGCTATTCTAGAGAGGAATTTTTCCTTCTTGAGCAAGGGAACAAGTTCTGCCAACATTCCAAACCTAATGAATACAATGATGGAGCTAAGAAAATGTTGTATTCATCCATACCTTTTAAATGGTATGCCAAAAAAGCAACTGTTTTTTAATTATATCTTACAAGACTCGTATATAAGGTTGTATTTAATACATATTATTATTCACTTAAGGTGCTGAGGAACAAATCCAGTTGGACTATAGACTGACTAACAATCTGCCAGATAGTGATCAGGATCTCTATTACAAAGCCTTGATTCAGGTATTTTTATCATTTCGTTATATATATTTGTCATCCATTTCTATAAGAAACAAATATTAAATCGTCAATTTAGTAGTGAGTGTAGGGAATTTTAAGCATATCACTAGCCTAACTTGTCAACTTGTATATTTAGAGCTCTGGAAAGATGGTACTGGTCGACAAACTTCTAGCCAAGTTGAAGGACGGAGGCCACCGTGTGCTCATTTTTAGTCAAATGGTCCGCTGTCTGGATATTTTGGAGGTTACAATTTATTTACTTTCATGTGAATTATTTTCCCTCGAATTTGCTCAGCATGGGTTGGTTATGGGTTCAAGTCCCCAACAAAATGTTACAAAATTACAAATAACGTAAACGCCCAGCCGCTACAGTAGATTTGAGGAGAGTTGTAGGAAATTGTCCCTTTAACTTTAACTGTGTTCACCGGGAGAGTGAATGTGATCAAATCTTGTGACGTAAATACATGACCAACTAAGATTGTATTTCTTTGTATTTTAGGACTACCTAATTTACCGACAATACCCATATGAAAGGTTAGACGGAAGAATTAGAGGTTCCGTTCGTCAAGCCGCTATCGACCGTTACAGCAAACCCGACTCGGATAGATTTGTATTTTTGCTCTGTACAAAAGCAGGTGGACTAGGGATCAATTTAACTGCTGCCGACACTGTGATAATATATGATAGGTAAAATACCTAAACAATAAACACAAGTTTTCTTCCTAACATGTTTTCTTCCTAATGTTGGATTGCAGTGATTGGAATCCCCAAAACGATTTGCAAGTAAGTAAAAAAATGTGAATTTTTTTTACATTAAAAATGCGATTCCCTAGTAAAGCCACATCTGGTCAGCCTTATTTTAGTGTGATAGTTCACATAAATCTTATGCAATTGACATGGCCGTACTAAAATACCAATTTTCGGATGTGGTTTGACGGTTGAAATATGTATTACAAATGACATTATTTTTTTATAGGCTCAAGCTAGATGTCATCGAATTGGACAAAGCAAAAAAGTCAAAATTTATCGTCTTATCTGCAGAAATACCTATGAGAGAGAAATGTTTGACAGAGCATCTTTGAAGTTAGGTTTAGACAAAGCCGTTCTTCAGTCCATGAATACAACCCAAGGGGGAAAAATTGACCCTAATGCAACAGCCTCTAAACAATTGACAAAGAAAGAAGTTGAAGATTTACTGAAACGAGGAGGTAAATTATTGTTTTGTGGCATTTTATTTGTATTATCGGAATTAAGTATGAAACATGGAAGCACGAGCCTTGTTAGGGACTAATAGTTTAAAGCTATGTAATAGTAATTGTTACATTCCATATAATTGTTTTTAGCATATGGCGCTTTGATGGACGAGGACAATGCTGGAGAAAAATTTTGTGAGGAGGACATTGACTTTATTTTGGAACGACGAACGCAGATCATCACTTTAGAAAGGTAACTATAAATAAATGGTCATATTTCGAAAACTAACTGATCTATATACTAAATATCACTTTTATTTTACTTTGGAAGCGGTGAGAAGGGCTCTACATTTTCAAAAGCCTCATTCGCAGCTACAGGAATTCGTGAAGACATCAATATCGACGATCCAGACTTTTGGTAAGTAAATTTACATGAACTATAATCGTGCGTTTCGCCAAGATGGGTGGATATTGGATAACCAGCATGTTATTAATATTTGTAGGAAGAAGTGGGCAAAGAAGGCTGAAATTGATTTGGATGAGGGGGGAGAAAAGGTACAGTCTTCGCAAAAATTTGATTTAATTAATTAATGATGATAATGTTAATTTTATTATCCCTATTGTTTTAAAGAATGAGCTGTTGATGAACGAACCACGAAGAAGAACCCAAATCAGACGATACGGTCATGACGAAGGAGTTATGGAGATTTCCGAACTGGACTCTTCTTCAGATTCGGACGAAGAAGGCAATGTCGGTGACAGAACTCGGAGTGGGAAAGGTATATCGCCGTGCTATGGATTTATAAGTTTGATATTTTAGTATTTGTTGTTTAAATTAAATTCAAATTCGTGCCTATTTAATATTTTAGCTGGGCGAAAAACGCGTAGCGGTAAAGGAAAACGTGGTCGACGTGGCAATCTTGAAGACGAGTATCAAATTGACGATGGGATCGTGGAGTATGGTAAATGGTCAAAGAGTGAGTGCTACAAGATTGAACGTGGCCTCCTCACATATGGGTGAGTTCGAACTTTGACAATACACTTGTGTGCATATGTGCGCATACCACCTCCCTATATTTTCCCTTTATGATATCTGGTTTTGATTGGATTTTGTCTAATTACACAAAAATATTAATGATGATTCCCATGCTAATACTGAAAAGACATTTCGTCTTTTATGCGTTAAAATTTCAATACGTAAAGTGCGTGCACTGAAATAAAAGAATTTACCTTTGTAGAGTTTATCTGCTGCTCGATATTTTTTTTTAATAATCGGCATAGTTCATATAAATGTTTATTGATTTTCAGATGGAAAAGGTGGAATAAAATTCTGGACCAAGGGCAGTTTCGTATCGGTTGGAACGAACATCATATGGAAGATTGTGCTCGTCTTATCGTACGATTTTTTTTCAATTTTAAATCAATTGTGTTTATTATAAAATAGTGACCTAAAAAATAAATATATGAGCTCCCATTCTTAATTACAGCTCCTGCACTGTGTCAACAACTTTAGAGGTAAGAATATAACTTCATTTGTTGACTATAGTATACTTACTTGATAAAGCAAACCGAGAATCATCAACAAACAATTACCTTTACTAGGGGACGAGAAGGTCAAAAGTTTCGTAGCGGATTTGATCTGTCCTCATGAGAATGCGAACAGTATAACCAGAAACCACTCTGGCCTTGCAAACCCTGTCTCTCGTGGTGGTCGCAAAAGAAAGAACAAGGATAAGCCGATGAAACCCGAGACGCCAGAGTATGAAGACTGGATGAAGGAGGACCGATTTGAGACTGACGTCCACCTGGACCCCACGTTCATTAAGCATTTGTCAAAGAATGCTAACAAGTAAATCAGCTTTTTGATAATGCATTCTATATGTAAATAAATACTTGTGTATTGATGTTTTGGTAAGCTACATATAATATATCATGTCTACAGGGTGCTCTTAAGGATAAGAATGTTGTACTACATCAAACAAGAGATTATTGGGAACAAGGCTGCACAAATTGACCTAGAAATACCTGCATGTGAATTAAATATATGTCCACCGAGCCTGACTGTTGATATTGGACCTGTCGATTGGTGGGATAAGGATGCTGATGCCTCACTCCTAGCGGGAACTTATAAGCATGGCTATGAACGATACAATATCATGCGACAAGATCCTGCCTTAAGTTTCTTAAATCAGTGTGGCCCACCCGATGGCTCTGCTGTTTTGGCAGAGATATCCGCTGAAGTGTGAGTTTGAAACCATATCATGTACATAATAATAACTCGCTGCAGTTATTATTTTATTTTTTTATTTTATTTGTTTCGGGTTTAATGTTTGGTTGCGTTTCGTTTGTATAATTACAGAAATGAGGAAGAAATGGAAAAGGATGTGGGAGCTGATGAGGAGGACGAGGAAAGCAATATGGAGCCGAAAGATATCAAAGAGGAAAGGAAGGAACATGTATTAAAAGAGACTGAGGGGTCGCCAGAAGAAGGGAAGGATGAGGACAAGGAAGAAGATAATAATACTGCTGTTGCTCCTGGTACTGATAAACCGTCTGGTGAACCTGTATCATCAACTGCTCTGCTTGATGAGAATGCAAAGCCTCTAGAACCCTCCGACCCAGAAAAACCATTATGGCCCTTTACAACTGACTTGAATACTCGGATTCGCAAATTGATTACTGCTTTCCAACGATACTTTAAAAAAGAAGAGATCAAAAATGCACAAAAGGCAAAGGTAATTTATTGAGTACGCCTCTGATTATTTTTTTCTGGGTTGGAAAATGAAATGAATTGAAAATTAATGAAATTAGTAATCATTATAAGGATGACTAAATTTTGTTGTGAATTAGCTAACTTTTAAAAATCTAATTTTCACAGAGGATGGAAAGAAAAGAAAAGATTGACCAGATTGTCCGCGATAGAGAACGTCAGAAAATGGAAATTCAGCAAAAGCGTTGGTCCAAGAAGGAGGAATCTGATTTCTATCGTACAGTTTCAACTTTTGGTGTGCAAAGGTATGTTTGCATGCATAATCTGCATAATTTTGAAATTAATAGGTAAATCTAAATATATCTGTTGCTGTTCTCTTGCTTAGAGTTGAAAAGAACAAGTATGACTGGTCAAAATTCCGAGCGATATCTCGTTTGGATAAAAAATTTGACGACACTCTCACAGAATTCTTTCGAGCATTTTATGGTACGTGTACCGAATTTTACCAAATTGATTATTTTTTTATTTTTTGATCGACATCTGGAAGTGTTATTTTTGTTTCAGCCATGTGCAAGCGCATCAGTGGTCAAAAGTTGTCAGAGGAAGAAGGTATGTGTGCTGTGCATATTAAATAATAGAAATGTATGAAAAATGAAAAAGCGTGTAATGTTTGGAAAAAATACGATTCTAATTCGTTGACTTTTTTCAAAATTTGTTCTTGCGGTTACGGGTTGATTGGGTTATGCTCATTCACACAGAATTTGGTAAGTGCTTTTTGGGGTAGCTTATTCTGACTTAGCCTGCATGGCAGAACGTCATGGGTGACTAATGAACAATATTAATGCATACTTTAACTATTATCGTAGACCTTATCCAAGTCCCTGTGGACCCTCTACCAGAAGATAGGGCACGGAGAACGCTGGACAGAATTGACCTTCTTAATAAAATCCGAGAGGAGGTCATTCACAGTGACAAGTTGGATGAACGATTGAAACTTTGTCTTCCATCTTTGGACATGCCAGAATGGTGGATTGCTGGTGAGTAATAATAATATAGTATCACTGTCGGCAAAATTGCATATTAAAATATGGTATATCATCATGTAACCATCCGCACGCGAATGGTTCAATATTTACGCTTTGACAATAATAGCGATGAATCATTATACTGTACAAAAAATAAAGTGAAGAGTAAGGGACGATAAAAAGTGAATAATGCATGTTTGTTTTCCAGGAAAACACGATCGCGATCTTTTGCTTGGTGCTGCAAGGTAAGTCGCTCCCTGCATTATAGATACAGTTCCATCAGTGGACTCGTAGAATAAAACTGTTACCTAGTATTAGATACATTTGCACATAGTTATGATTTTTAATTAATACATAATTTTCTATTTTCGCAGGCATGGACTTGGGAGGACAGAATTGTTTTATGTTAATGACCCGGAATTGTCATTTCGGGAGATTCTTAGACGTCACATGGCTGGTGAACCTTTGGTAATAAAGAAATCATTGAGCAGATAGATTACTAACTAACGTACATAACAATATACTGTACTTATTATTTACAGGTTGATCCAGCCGAGAAAGCAGCTTACAGGAATTCGACAACAGAAAGCAAAATTAAAACCGAGCTGGAACCTCCACCACTCAAAAGAATCCGACCGGACATGGTTGATATTGAAATACAGGATTTGAAGAGTGAAATTGAGAGAGAAAAGCGGAAAAAGTTAGCAGAATCGGAGAACAAAAAGCTTGACGAAGGGGATGCTGGAGACAAACCATTAACCAATGAATTAGATCATCCAACAATCATGGTTGGATCTGATACAGTCGTCTCTAATTCTGACACGCCCTCAAAAACACCACCTTCCGACTCTTCAAATTCTGTTGAACCGGAAAAACAGGAAACAACAAAGGCGATAATAAAAGTTGAAAAACCCGACTTCGAAGAGAGCGCAGATAACTTTGAAGAGAAAAAGGCTGAATTACCGGTTGATCTACGCGATGATACAATTGTTGTTAAACAGGAACCCATCGAGGCTGAAGATTTAGATAAATCACAGCCCATGGAGATAGATGAGGTGAAGGAATCAAAAGAGAATGACTCGGAGAAAAGCCTAGACGATACTCCTGGTTCCGAAAAAGAAAATATTGCTGTTACTCCTACTACTACTACTACTACTAATTCTTCAGATTCACCAACAGATGATGTCAAAAAGACCTCAGAAGATAATGGTATGCCCTCTAATTCTGTAGAAATCAAGGAATCAGAAGAATCTTCCAATCCTGAGACCACAACTCCTGTACCTGCTACTCATGATGATGATAACCTAGTAAAGACCAAGGAAGTATCTCCACCTCTTGCTCCTACTCAAGATGTTCTACCAGAAAAGGAAAAGATTTGTAGCGAGGAGGATGAGAGTAAAGGCAGCAGCAGCATGGAAATGAATGAAGTTCAAGTTGAAATAAAGAATGAACTCAAAATCACCATCAAGCTCATGCACCATACAGAAAAAATGAACCGGGTTGAGGTGCAGGTGAAAGGATCCCCAAAGTTCTCAATGCCAGAACCACCTTCCGTAGTTCAATCACTAATCCCTCCTGTGGCTGCTGAGAAAGATAAGGAAGATCCTCCAATCAAACTTCCAACATTTCCCAAATTCGACCCTTTCCTTAACACGGATTCCAGCAATGGGGACGCTGCTCTGAGCAGTCTGCTCAACCAAATGAATCCCATTCGTTGGGTGAGTTTGTATGATTTCGAAATATTTTTCAATAAGCATACTGTTTGCATGTAAATACTTGATGGTTATTTTATTTGCAAAACCATCAGTTGAAATACATTTGATGACTGCTAAAACAAATAAAACTCGTCATCAAACCTTGGTTAAAGCCAAAATATATGGAATACGAGACAAATATAGTTAGTCCATTACAAAAAGAAAGTTAATCGTCATCGTTTTTGTTCATCAAAATTTTTAAGTAATGCAGAGTTCTTGCTTTCCGTCGAACCCGTCAACAGGATTGAATAATCCTGTCAGGATTGTATATCCTCTCCTTATCTCAATTCGTCATCTTTTTGGGGGTAGTGGGTAGTGGGATCACACTTTTACTGAATGAGTCATGATGAGTGAGCTGTAGGATATGTATTTAATAAAGATAAATGAGATCCAAATTCCATAATCCTGGCTCGAGCTAAAAAGACAGGATAAATTTAATAAATTTACCTGAGGATATCTTTTATATTAATGCCCTAATTATACTTTTCAGCCCTGATAGTATATAGTTTCATGCATATTATTGCTGTAGGATGATCAAAATAATTTGTTTACGATCTAATTTGTTGTTTGTCCGTTTATTTCAGCCTCGAGATCGAGCCGTTCAAATTCGATTAGAACACATTGTGCACGCTATTGAACACAATGAGTGGCCTGTCTCTAGATTCTTCAGTTCTGCCGCAATGGCTGAAACTTTCGAGTATTCACCTCAAGGAACTCCAGAGACGGCGACTCCCGTTCGTGATACCCCCACGCCCATCTCCGAATGCTCAGACTTGGCTCCCACAGAAGACCTCATAATGAGTTTACCGCATTCTAATTCCTCATCGACGGTAACAACCCCATCTCACCTAGTTTCCTCCACCACTACCATCACTCCCGTGCCTGGAACTGGGCGTCGTGGACGAAGAAGAAAGATTGCCATTGATGTAGAGACAGAACGAGCCAAACTGCAAGCCCTGTTAAGCGGATCTATGCACTCATCCAACATCCTTTCCCATATTCCAAATAATCCTCGTCTCAGCGGTGCTCTGCGTCGTGAGCGGGGAAGAAACACTCCCACCAAGGGGCTCAATTTATCTCACAATGATAACAATGAGAAGGAAAGTTTGGAAAGTCGCATCGCCAGCCACATGAATATTCCTCAGCTGGGAAAGAACTCGTCCAAGTTCCAACCGCCGCCTCCTGCTCATCAACATCACTCCATGGCTGGCACTGCTGCCTCCCTCCTTCGAAATTCTCACCAACAGCAGCAACAACAGCAACATCGAGCTCGATCACCCGTCACTCGCCGTGGGTCACCCGGCGGTGGGTTCAGTTCCCAAGCTCAGTCCTCCACTCTTGATCTCAGTATTAAATCGTCGGGTCACAGCAAGGATGTGGCAGCTGCAGCAATGTCGGCTTTGTCATCTCTCAGCAGTGTTACGGTGACACCGGTTACGCTTCCCTCTCCATCTTCCAGGTCATCTTCTAGAGACAAAAATCGTGATATTGGAAACAGTTCTGGTGGGCTGACCATTAGTTCTTCTCCCATGGATCTGTCCGGAGGGTATGCAAATACATGCGAGCATCAGATTTGTATGCAATAGTGGATAATTTTGTGGTTCATTGTTTTACAGAATTTCAAAGCGTTCGAGGGAGAGTCCATCATCCCTCTTGGAAAAATCTTTTGCTCAGCAGCAGCAACAACAACAGGATGTCCCGTTCAACTTTTCCTCTAGTTCTCAACAACTACCAAAGAAAATTTCAAAACTTGAAAACATGTTGGACAAGTTGAAAAAGAGAAAGGTATATGTTTAATTCTTCACAACCCTGTTTGTTTTGTAAATAGAAACAATAATAACAGTATTGTTGAATGGTTTTGTTAGCTGGGTGATGCCCCAGACTCTTCTGATCCTATGCCAGTGGAAAAGGATAAAAAGAAGCGGAAACTAGACGAGATTGTGTTTGGCTTGTCAGCTGCGAAGGGGTCGAGTGTGTTCTCCCCACCTTTGATTCCAGAAAAGAGGTCTTCCGGAGCAAACCTTTCGCACTTGTCTTCCTCACTTCAGTCTCAACTCTCTCAACAAGCTGGAGGTGGTAGAAACAACTCGTCTTCTTCCCACTCGGGTGCTCGTAGCGGAACGCCGTCTCCGGCCATCCCCACTTCTTCCCCCAAAGATTTACAAGCATTTCAAAATTTCATGTCCAACCCTCTACTCAGCGCCCTCTCCATGTTCAATGCAAAGGACTTGAAAGACCTTAAGGATTTTAGCAGGTTTGCTGCAAATGCCGCCAACAACTTTTCTGCAGCTACAAAGAAGGATTCGGGTAGAGCCGGAGGTGTGTGTACTTATCGTCTAAGGCTTAAAGTAGTTTAGATGTGGTGTAGTTGTGGCAAATATCATTGTCGAGGATATTCTTAATTTGTTAAATTAATACTGTACTATTTTATATTATTACAGCTTCGGGAAATACATCATCTGGTGGTGGTGGTGGTGGTACCACCTCACAGAATCCAGAAATGCCTAAATGTGATTTAAGTCGTTTAGCTGAAATCGCCGTTCCAAAGTTTGACTTATTTTCTCAAGATGCCAAAGTCAACAAATGGCTAGGTAAGGTTTAAGCGGATATAGTTAAAGCGAGTTTTTTTAGTTGATGGGGATAATTAAATACATCATTACTAGAGATTATTTATTTCTGGTGATTTAATATCGTTCAATTTGGATATAATTAATCCTGGAAAATTTATAGCTGAACATGCCAACATGACGCCTGAGCGGCCACCCTCTCCCGAATTTGTTGACCGACGGAGACGGCGTCCAAGAGCCGATCCGCTGATGATGGATTGGAATAAGTTGAGTGGAGAAGAAAATGTACCTGTGATTCACCGTATAAATGGGAAAAAGGTAAAAGCAAGAGAGTTTGTTATTAAATTATACCATGTTATATAACTTACGCAACTAGTCAATTAGAACCGATTACAAAAAATAATCAAAATCAATCAATTGTTGCAGATTACCGGACCGAAGGCCCCACAACTGAAGCATCTTGCGCAATGGCTAGTCGAAAATTCTAACTATGACGTTGACCCACGGTGGACTGAACTTGTAAAGGAAAGAGGAAACCTACCTAATGACCTACAGAAGAGGCTACAAGGTGAAAAGAAAAAGGGACCGGGGAGACCCCCAACTCTGAGCAGCCCTCAACCAACCACGCCCACCACTTCCTCCTCCAACACCACCCCATCCATCCCTACTTCTACTGCTGCCAATAATGCATTTGCTAATCTCGGTGCATTCGCTTCACTACCAGGTAGTATATGATGACAAAACTGTTTACATTATATAATATGTGCATGATTAACGTTGATTAGTAAATGTGTAATACCATTCACTAACTAAATAATATTTTGATTTGTTTTACGCAGGATTGTCAGGCATAAATCCCAGTCTCTTGGCCAGTTTCGGTGCTCTGGATCCAAAAAATCCATTGTTTATGCCATTTGGTGGTTTAGGATCATTAGGAAATTTGGGATCGTTGGGAAATCTGGCAAACTTGGGATCACTCAGCGGCATGGGAAATTTTGGTCTTCCCAACAACCTATTTGGGCTGGGTTCTCCATTCATGAATTTTGGCCAAGACATGTCGGGAATGGGATCCTCTTCAGGAGGAGGAGGAGGAGGAGAAAAGGGGAACACTTCCAAGGACTCGTCTCAACCATCTGCCAATTCAAGAAATCAACATTCGTCGTCTAATCAATCTAAAAAGGACGAGAAGGGAAAAAAGTCATCATCTTCTTCATCTACATCTGCCGCTGCACAAGCACAAGCTCAGCAAAATTTGTTATCGAGCTCTCTCCCATTCTTATTTCCTAACCCAGGTGGCCTCATGTATAACCCTCTAGGATTAGGATCGTTTCCTATGGGGAGTGGAATATCGGGATCGCCATTTGGTAATTTAGGGCAAGGTTCAATGCTTAATGGTCTGGGTGGTGATGGGTCATCTTCTTCGGGGGGTAACAACAGAAAGTCAGCCGGAAACAACAAGTCTGGTAACAACCCACTGTTAGCTGCTGGTCTTGCAGGCCTCAACATCCCATCCTTGTCCAAAAAGGACTTGAAGGACTTGGCAGCCATGAGCGGGCACCTGAACTTAAAGAATGAGCGATCCAAGAGTGACAACAATCGTAACAACAACGCTTCTGTTGCTGCTCCTCCTCCTCGCCCTTCTTCCAAAGAACAGGCAGCTCTTCCCTTGGCTGCAATGTTATCACAAGCTCAACCATCGATGGGAGTTGATGACTCTGACGACGAGAGTCTGAAAAGCTTGATGGGAAATCATCAAGACGAATTGCCCGATGATGACCCAACTCCTGACGAGAATGCAGAACGAATTGTTCTCAGAGGTATTTTAGAAATTATTATTATTATCCGTTACACTTGTCAATTTCTAGTTATCATGCGAACTAATTGTTGACTTGCTTGTGCTTTTATAATTTGTTTAACAGAGAGCAAGGAACTGGAGAAGGAGATGGCTCAACAGAAAATGGAGACGCGCCGTGAAAAACGGCTTCGTGATCGTGAGGACCGTGGCGGTCTCAGTACCGCTGAGCGTCAGTTGCTGATGGAAAAGAAGAAAGAGCGCTTAGCGAAAGAGGAGGAACTACCTTACCTTCGAGAGTCTGGTAGGACGCGCACCACCCGTGCTTCTCGCAGCCGTCTGGAAGACGCCGTCAGTAAGATGAAAGAAGTAAACGAAGATGCTGGTGGTGATTCCCCATCGAAAGATTAGGCTGACATTAAAATAAAGTACTTTCATTGTGACTTAATTAGTTTATTAAACTCGAAACTTGTGCTGCTGCTTGTTGGCAAAAAGCAGGTACAGAAGAGACCACCCCGTGTGCTGAACTCGCGTAATTTTCTGTGCATAATTATTTTATTAACTAGGCTGATGATGATATGAGTAATCGTGACACGATAGTGGTTAAGAACCAACCGTATTAGATTAGATATATTTATATTTATATATATATATATTTATTTATGTAGAAGTACATTTGTGTGTATTTATACCATACAATATTACATGTTATTAATAAGCCAGCCAACCTCAAGCTCCCCTTAATCATAAAATTGAAGATGGCCCATTCGCCGTTGTTATTGTTGTTACTACTACCACTGGCCACTGACCATACAAATTTAGCTGATATCCAACCGGTTTTGTATGTAATGATATGTAAATATAACTCGTATTCAATTACAACTTGGCTACAATTGTGTATATATAAAAGTAACGTTTTAGCATAAATATTGATCCTATGATCGCGATATTATTATTAATTAATTACTGGGGAACGGTAAGTTATCTTTTGTTTTAAAAGGTATAAAATAATAACCCGATAATACGAAACTTCCATGGACTGAGTTTATTCATCAGAAGAATCAGACAGAGGTACTTGTTCTTTCTTTGTTGTACTTCTTGGGCTGCTGCTGCTGCTGAGATTTATTTAATTTTGAACATGATGCTGATGCTGGTGATTCGTTTGAAGTCGTTTGTCTATTTTACTACTAATTTAACTCCAAGTATTATATTAAGTATGATGTGTATGCTCTCATTTTGTCCTTTGTATTTATTGTCCTGCGTTATGAACTCAGCAATTGTTCTCGTCTCTTAAATGCTAGTTCATAAAAAGAGTGGGATTGATTGATTATTACTAGTAAACTTTCTTGTTTTTGTTATAAGTTTTTTATAGAAATACCAACACTATTATTTCTAAACCTGTAATATTATAACGTAAATAGTCTCAGGTTAAAGCAAGTACTATTTATAACCGTAAATGATCCAGAACCATTTTTGTACGTGCATCCATTTACATGTGTGTGTTACTTAGACTAAAACTAAAGAGAAGGAGGTGGTAAAAAAGAATCGAAAGAAATTCAATAAAAAGCCGAAATATTTATGAAACTTTGTAATATCATCATTCTCATCAATTGTGCCCTTGCTTCCATAATGGAGAGAGTTTCGTTTGTGATGACGCACACCGGGAATGAGCAAGTCGGTTCTGGTTTGAGGATTGGCGGTGTGAAAATGGCTGCATCTCACTCACTCAAGCAACAAAGAGGCGAGGCGCGTCCAGGAGCTCCGTCCTCCGTTGCGCTGTGGGGCCAGGATGGATGCTCCCATGAAACACTAATATCTCTTGTCTTTGAGACGACGGGGATTTTTACCGGCCTTTTCGTTTCACCAACCATCACCATTACAGCACCACCACCATCATTACCTCATTTCGCTCGCTCACTCACTCCTCTCTTCCTCCGTCCGCGCAACGAAACCAATTATCAAAAACTATTGCCATCAATCGTTCCCTAAAGGAGGGTCACTCTCTTTGCCTAAAAGCAAGACTAAAGGGGTGGTGATAGATATTTTACCTTCTCTTCAGCAGGTAACAAAAACACTGATGGGTAGTGAATAGTTTAGTAGTTTGTCATTTGTAGTTAGTTACCTAAATAAAAGCCAATTGTGTCTGCTTTACAGGAAATTATTTTTTCGATTGGTGGTGAAGGTGCGAGGAGGGATTCAAAGACGCCACACAAAAAAAGACATCGACATGGCGAACACACTGGTTCCATTTTTAGAGAAGACGGTATCGCCAGGTAAATTATTTAGCAGTTATTATTGTAACACCTCAATTAATCAATTTTACCGACTGTTGACTGTGTAACCGATGTAAATTGTAATATTTTTTTAGTCTAATTAATTGCCAACATTTTATCTGTTCTTTTTTTAGATCAAAATGAACTCACCAGTGCACAACAGTTTTTGGAACAGGCGGCAGCGACTAATTTTGTAAGTGTCAGAGTAGTGTCGTCACAAAACAGCAACCAAACTTCAATCTATTTGATTATGCATTGTATTTATTTAGCCTGAATATGTTCGCACATTATCCGAAGTTTTGGCGACAGTTGGGCACAGTTCAGTGGCTCGAATGGCATCTGGCCTCCAGCTCAAAAATCTTCTTACGTCGAAGGACTCTGCTATGAAGGGCCAGTATCAGCAGAGGTGGCTAATGCTGGCGGACGATATTCGAGCCTATGTTAAAAAGAATGTGAGTTATTCATTAAATAGATCCACTTTAGAATGAATGCATCGCTTATTGTTATTATGTGTCACAGGTTTTGGGAGCACTTGGCACTGAAACTACAAGACCAAGTTCTGCAGCCCAGTGTGTGGCTTATATTGCTGTTACAGAACTAAGTCAAAATCAATGGCCAGAAGTCATATCTTATCTCGTGAACAATGTCACGCAAGGATCTGCTGTTCCCAATGGGGAACTTATGAAGGAAGCCTCGCTTGAAGCCATCGGATACATTTGTGCAGATATTGTAACGATTTTTACTAATCTTTTTTTTTTACATACTCCACTATTCACCTATTATAATGGAGCATAAATTAATTTCAGGAACCCGAGATTTTAATGACTCAGAGCAATCACATTTTAACGGCTATCGTCCATGGAATGAAGCGGGATGAACCTTCCAACAAAGTTCGACTAGCTGCCACGAATGCACTTTTAAATTCTCTAGAATTTACAAAGTCAAACTTTGATAATGAGGTAATGATATAACTAATCCAACTAAATTATTATGGACCTGATTGTCATACATCTACTATTGCTCTTTTGCGTATATTTAATTTATTCAAGAACGAGAGCCTTGTTAATCATGTATTTCGTATTGCAGCAAGAACGACACTACATTATGCAAGTCGTTTGTGAAGCCACCCAGTGTGAAGATACCAACGTAAAGGTCGCCGCTTTGCAATGTCTGGTGAAGATTATGTCGCTCTACTACCAACACATGGAATTTTACATGAAACATGCCTTGTTTGCCATCACAATGGATGCAATGCGATCTGACGTGGACGAGGTTGCACTCCAGGGAATTGAATTTTGGTCAAACGTTTGTGACGAAGAAGTCGATTTGGCAATTGAACTCAGTGAGGCCCAAGAATTGGGTCGACCACCACAACGAACTTCTCGCTTTTATGCTAAAGGAGGACTCCAATTCTTGGTGCCTTTGTTGTTGGAAGCTCTCACTAAACAGGTGATTATATATATATTATATCTAGTACTAGTATTATTTGTATATTTGTAATTACAAAATGTACCTCTTGCTAGGAGCTTGTGGACGATGATGATGATTGGAATCCGTGTAAAGCGGCCGGAGTTTGTCTAATGCTGTTTACAAATTGTTGCGAGGACGCCATCATTCCACACGTTATTCCCTTCGTTCAAACCAATATTAAACATGAAAACTGGAGATTCCGCGACGCTGCGGTCATGGCCTTTGGTTGCATTATGGAAGGCCCAGGTACGAAATTAATCTTCTATGGTAGCATCGTTAACTAATTGACACGTATCCACAGACCCAACGTCCATGAAACCGTTGGCTGAGGACGCCCTTCCTACACTGATATCCCTGATGAGCGATGAGAACGTGGTTGTTCGTGATACGACGGCATGGGCCCTTGGAAGGATTTGCGAGGTCGTGTCGGATGCAGCCCTAACTGCTTCTCACTTGCCACCCCTGTTGACTGCACTCGTTGCTGCGCTGCAGGCTGAACCTCGTGTGGCGGCCAATGCATGCTGGGCCTTGAGTAGTCTGGCTGAAGCAGCGTATGAGACATCGCTGGAAAACAGGGTTGATGATTCCAAAGATCCAGATACGTACTTGTTGTCAAGCTTCTTCCGACCAATTGTTGAAAAGCTGTTAGCCACCACGGACAGAGCGGATGGTGGGCAAGCCAACTTGAGACCAGCTGCTTACGAAGCACTTATGGAAATGATAAAGAATTCTCCACGTGACTGCTATGAAACTGTACAGCACACAACCTTGGTTATTTTAGAACGACTTCGAACGGTGCTCGTGATGGAGAATCATGCCAATGGAGGAGACAGAACTCAGTACAATGAGCTACAGAGTTCATTGTGTGCAACCCTGCAAATCGTGCTTAGGAAGGGTAATTAGATATGCAACTTATGGTCATTATTATAAAGGTTAAGAAAACTTTTACTAACTAATATTATTTTATTTAATGATGTATTTAGTGTCTCCTCAAGATGCACCCAAAATATCAGATGCTGTTATGAATGCACTGCTTCAAATGCTCAGTGGCCCCGGTGGACGATCTGGAGGTGTTCAAGAAGACGCACTTATGGCCATCTCTACACTCACAGAAGTCATGGGCGAAGGGTTCATAAAGTACATGGATTCGTTCCAGCCTTTCCTCATCACAGGATTGCAGAACGTTAGCGAAAGCGCGGTATGACCAAACGCAACTAATAATAACTAACTATACTACACTGATATAAAATAAAAGTCTATCCATGCAGTGAATAATACACTTGAATTTTTGTTAGGTTTGCTCTGCCGCAGTCGGCGTGAGTGGAGATATTTGCCGATCTCTGGGCAATAAAGCACTTCCCTATTGCGATGATATTATGACCCTGTTGCTACAGAATTTAGGGGTATGCATTTTAGCAAAACTTATGCCATTGTCATAATCAACATATTTGACTTTGTAATATTCATTAACTGACTATTTTAGAATGCCAACGTACAGCGATCGGTAAAACCTCAAATATTATCTGTTCTCGGCGATGTGGCTCTGGCAATAGGACCAGAGTTCAAAAAATATCTTGAGGTAGTGTTGCAAACCCTTATGCAAGCTTCACAGGCGCAAGTTGATAGGGTACGTAGGAAACACTTGTTTTATCGTTATTATATTCTAAATTATTATTTACTGATTTGTTGCAATACTAATTTTATGTTTTCATATACATATAGACTGACTATGAAATGGTCGATTATTTGTGTGAGCTCCGAGAAGGAGTTCTAGAAGCTTATACCGGAATAATTCAGGGGCTTCGTGGAGATGCGGCGTGTTCTGTTAATCCTGGCGGAGCTGTGACGCCGGATTTGACACTAATTGAAAGTCATCTGCCCTACATGGCTCAGTTCTTGTGTGAAGGTTTGTTAAAAAACGAGCTATAATTAATTACTAATTATTTTCGTGCCTTAAATAAATACACAATAAACTGACTAGTTTTTGGTTATTTTATTCTAGTTGCAAGAGATACAGATAAGTCTGATGGCAACATTGCCGCCGCCGCTGGTTTAGTGGGGTAATAATTTGTATTTACTGTTGTTACATAAATCGCCCTGGTGGCGCAGCCCGGTTCTAAATTGTATGTTATATTTTAAACTTTCTGTTTAGCGATCTCTTGGTTGGTTATGGCGCCAAAATTATGCCGTTAATGGATAACGACGTGATAAACGAAGTCCTCACTCTTGGCAGACGATCGAAAACGAACAAGACGAAGATGTTGGCCACTTGGGCAACAAAGGAATTGCGAAAATTAAAGAATCATACGTCTGCCGCCGCGAGTTGGTAAGAATGTTGCTGGCTAACATCTTCTTCTCCGTGCATCATCATGACCACCCTTTTAGACTTACTAATTTGTACTATATTCGCGTGCTATCCCTCGATATAATAGACATTTTAGTAAACTTCAGAGTAGGCGAAATGTCTTAAAAGAGGGTGAGGAGAAACTCGAGCCCTGCACTAATAAAGTTCCTTTCTATATAAGTGTGTTGGTTGGTAGGTTGGTTGTTGTTGATGATGAAACTGAAAACTTGTGATAAAATTCGAACGCTTTTTTTATGAATGGGAGAACTTGCTCTAGTCTTTCGGCAGTTAGATAATTACGACAAACTGTTGTGTACGTACGTCAGAGAATTTATACATAAAAAGAACTGCACTGGTGCATTATAAAGTGTGTGTGATACGACATTATTATTCGCCTCTTTGGCTTGAAGTTTAATTTCTTCTCACCGGATTTATATGATGAGATGAAAGTGACTGCTCTATTGTAGGTTCAGTGTCAATGTGATATAAATGTACAATAATTATAATGCGTGTGTTTATACCATTTTTCTTAATAGTAACAATCAACGATTGTTGAGATATACTATCCATTTATACTTGTAGTAGTAGTAGTAAGTACTAATAGCAGTAGTGGTAGTACTTTCTGATTAGTTCTAACTAAATACTGAGGAAAATGCGAGATGGATATTTTTAAGAAAGAATGAGCGAATCTGTGATTGAATGTTGACTGATATGTTGGTATGATTGTTGATGTCCTCCTTGCAGATGAACTAAATGGAACACGCCAAATGGAGTCTGTTTGGAGGAGCGCTGGGTGAATGACGAGAATATTGGGAATGTGTGATTATGTCGTGCGTGCGATGAGCAAGCGATCCTCTTCAAAGTTCAAAACTCGAACCTATAATGTCGAGTTTTTATATAATCTATATGAACGTAAAATACTTTACTTTTACTTTATCATCTATCGTCGATATTACCCAAAAATATTTGTATGAAATTTTTTGAATGAATGCTAGTTTGAACTGTGTGATATTGTACGAGTAAGACACGTCTGTATGCGCTCCGACCGAAGTCCTAATAAACAGCGTTTCTGAAAATACGTGACAGTTTTATTGTTTGCTTATTTTTCAAGTAACCACTTCATCCTTCCTCCATTCACTTATCAAATACTTGGCGTTATTAAATTGCTCTTCTTGTACAATTAGTTCTTCTTCTTCCAACCCTACTTGCTGCAATACAACAGCCTCAATAATTGCTCAGCCAGATGCCCACCAATTAGTTACACACATTTGTATTATACCACATATTTACTACCAAATACATTTTCTTATTTATTTGTTCTTTTTTTACGCTCAGACTGAATGATGCTAATTGTTGTTCTTGTCGTTGTTGCGGGTCTGGATGGATGAACCCTATAATGAATTGTGAATGCGACCAACGTCAAGGGCTGGTTGGATATGAATGACACTTGGCTCACGATAATATGTGCACATAAATTATGGATTTTAAATAGTGACAGATTTTACTTTTATGTGAAACAACTAAATTTTTAGTTTATATTGATGCTCCATTCAATTTTATCCACTTTTGCTGTGTAAATCACGCTGTCAAAATGTGGACATGTCAAAATACAGCCAACTTTTAGAAGTTGTTACAAGCCATAACTATGACTATACTTCCGTCCCACCACTAATTCATTTCATGTTGTATGTTGTATGCAATCTTTGATTTCTAGTTCCTTGTCTAAGGATAAGTTGAGATGGCATTCCTTTGAGTTTGTCCAAGTTTCTTCACCCAAATAAAAACTTGGATTACCTTGATTGCATGCGGAGAAGCATCATTATTAGTTGAGCATTATTAGCTGTGCAGTAGGAGTGTAGTTGGTTTTTGTAATCATTCCTTTCGCATCTTTTTCGTTGAAGATTGAATCTCACGAAAAGCCAACACGTCAGTAATGACATTGTTCGATAATGGCTCAAGTGCAGATTCCGATTCATGTCAAAGTTTGTCCGAGCGCTAAAATAACACCCCCATTTTTATCTACCGTTCATGGAGGAACGAACTCCAAACAAAGCCATGAGAACCTCATCCTTTTGTCTCAAAAGTACAACTGCCTGCAATTCTAATAGGAATGACTGAATGCCAATTGCCGGTCATTAGTGTGTAGTAGCAACTCGCAAGACGTTAAATCTTGCACTTGTAGAGATTCATCGGAGGCTTGTCCGTCTCCTACGTACTTCCATACGTGTGATATTCAAAATAACGTTTCTTGGGCATAAACGACGAGATACATACATTGTTCGCATTCCCATAAAATGCGTTCCCTTTCGTCATACGACAAAATATATCTTGGAATAGACTGTTTCTTTCGCGAGGATGCTTTTTGGACGTGGGAAAACAACTTTTGAACACTCATCCATGCCCACTCTCGTTCTGTTTTTCTCTCCTCTTGTTTACTCAAGTCGAATAATTATACTGGAGAATTAATTATAAATTATAACAAATGTTCCAAATAATTAATAAACTTCAACCTTCCTTCTTTAATTTATTATTTTGAACTGGTTCTTATTCTCTTCTGTAGTGATTGGGGAGTGAATTTTGTAAATTATTTTTGGTAAAATTGCATTATTACGGCCTAGCTCGGATTTATTTCAGTGGACTAGCTCGGATTTGGCTGATAATTTTTGTGTAAATACCTATTATGGTCCCCTGAGCAAGAAAATACTTTTTTTTGCGGCGGTCTCGAAAATTAAAATTTCTAGAAAGCTTCGAAATTTTGTATAAAAATTATTTTTTGCCTCAGATTTTCCTGAAAATGATTTTATAGACTAATTAAACTATGCTGAACAAGAATATGAAGGATTTTTTGAAAAACATTCAATAGTAAAAAAGTTATAAATTATTGAAATTTTGTATACAAATTTTTCTTGGATGTTCCAGAGAATTTCAAGACTTTGTCTCAGTTTCCCACACGATAGGAATATTTTGTGGTAAAATCAGATTTTCGGGGTAAGATGAGATTTCTAGTTTCCAGCACTCCTAGCTAGCTCTCCTAGGTACCACTACTAGCTAGCTCTCCTAGGTAGCACTACTAGCTAGCTCTCCCAGATAGCTCTCCTAGGTAGCACTACTAGCTAGCTCTCCTAGGTAGCACTACTAGCTAGCTCTCCTAGGTAGCACTACTAGCTAGCTCTCCTTTTTCAAAAGCAATTTTCATGAAAATCTAAGAGAAAAATTATTTTTATACAAAATTTCAAAAATTTTTAGAAATTTTATTTTTTGAAACCGCCGCGAAAAAAGGTATTTTTATGCATATGGGACCTTAGGGTATTCACACAAAAAATTTCAGTCAAATCCGAGCTAGGCCGCTATACTGCAATTTTACCATAATTTCTATACCAAATTTCAAAAATTGACAACGTTTTTGTTTTTCGAGACCGCCGTGAAAAAATTGAAAACTTATTTCCGCTATTTTGATTAAATTATAACCCATAAAATGAATGATTTTCGTTCAGATCATTTGTTGTATTGTAATATGATGCACACTTTTCTGTGTGGACGTGCTCTGGTGCTAAGTGTGGAAAGGCCCGTGCACCGCACCAAGTTGAGGCAAGTTGAGCTATCTATCTAACAGAGCTACATTTCTTATCGTGTGCCCTTTCGTCTCTCTATTTTGACATCGTCCTACAGCATGCATGCATCCACAGAAGAGAGAGCAAGTAAAGTAATAAGTTGGCAATTCATCTCGTCGTGTAGAGTACAATGGATCGAGTGGTGAGAGGAAGGTGGGCTCATGGGCTGTGCATTTATTGGACATGTGCAAGTTTTGAAACTGCTTTGCCTTCGCCCTAGGGGGATTATTTTCTTGTGCACTCACTCTTGTGGCGACCCCACGGCTATAAAGGCATTATGCTCCGTCATACACTTTCATTTGCAGTCAGCCAAAGTACAGCCTACCAAACCCCACTGTAGCAAGTGCGTGCGTTTACAGCTCGAATATGCATGGCGCAGTAGTCCAACAATAAGCAATGCAATACTATGGACTTTGAAATCGCGAACCACACACTATGTGATCTAAATAGATGGTGTTTGCAACTTTGTGTTTCGGTTCCCCTGATTTTGAATTTCAGACCCAACGACTCTTCATTTCTAGTTGAATAGTCAAAATTCTCAGACCTTCAGCACGGTACAGAATATCTGGACGGGCTGGTGGCATGTCTTAAGAAATGCAAAGGATTTGATGCAGATTTCTCACAATGAGTGAGTTGGTTGCATTGTTGGGATTTCGAAGGGAGTAATTTACCTGTAGCAATAGCATAGGACATCCAAGATCACACCATGCAATGCTTCCCATGCTCACTCTCCAACGTTAAATGGAGTTAGTACCTTTCTGACAATGCAGTGAGAGACTGCTGCTGCATCTCGTCGACTACCTGCTGCATGGATCCTCGTCTTGAGCATTTCTGATAGTTTTCTACTGCCAATGACCATCATCGCTGCTTGGTCAGTACAGTGGTTTGCATAGAGGAAGAAGAACTGGACATCTGCATAGGCTGGATGATAAGGCAAATCTGCCAGCTCTGTCCCTCTAAACCTGAGAAGAGCATTCGTCTCGGGAGCAACTGACTGACTGACTGACTGGGGACCGAACAGAGGTCATTTGATAATCCCATCGAGCATTGAGTTGACCACCCACACGACGTTTCCGTGGGGAAGAAGTAAAGGGAAGTGAAATGGAAAGTCGGGCAGTGGGGGAAAAGAGTGTCGTTAGTTTATTGTACAAAGTGCTGTGTGATGTGAATTGTTAGCTGTTCTCATTTAAGACTTACTTGATCCAAACTGGTTTCAGACTACTGCTCCTTCTCTATTGTTTGAGAACTGTGAAATTTGTGTGCACCGTGACTTCAAGACTCTGCTGCTGATGGCAAATTATTTCATACCGGCCTCCGTTCGACGATATTTTACATAAGTTTGAGTGAGTGATGGGTGAGCGAGTCTCCTCTCGAACAATTTGAAGTAGTGTAAAAATCTTGACAATTGTGTCAGGAAGTGTTGAATTGGAATATAGCGGAACGAATAAACAAAACCAATAGATAAACCGCATGTGAAAATCTGTATCTTTCAGTCGCATCCTTCTCGTCGTTTATTCAAGTGCGTCCATCCAAACTACTACTTGGAGGTTTGTCTCTCTCTCTCTCTCTCAACCATTTTCCGCATCTTTCCTCAACTTGAGAATCTCAAGCCTCGTCATCATGACCAAATAATACGACATGTGGGATTGATCAAGTGCTCGTAAAAGTTTGTGCACAACGTGTTGGCCAAATATATAAATATGTCTCCGATGGTCTTCTGTTTGCATATGCACGAAACTTTGTAGTGTGTAAGCAAATTGCGGACCTTGTCAAGTATATAGTAATGATCCCTCCAAAGAGTACACAAATTGATGAGAGAACAAATTCATGAGCGTGAACTAAAGTACGACGGCTTAGGAGTACTATTATATGCATATGGTGGGGTACACGAGGATATTGCTGTGATTGTTGATTACAGATTGTACATAGTGAGCGAAATGCATTATTATTACCACACCACCACCACAATCTTCCGAATAACCAACCAAATTCTCTATCTTTCTTGTCAGTGAGAGAAAGTTTTAATGCGAGCAGTGCAAGATACGACAGAGTTGATTTTGATTCATTTCGTCTGAGAAGTACATGCACTACATACATCTTTGCATCAGTCTTCTGTAATAATAGTGCTACTAATAATGATCTGATTTAGTTGTGTTGAGAGTTTAGGCAAGAAAATCAATGCCCTTTCCCAGGTCCCTGCCGTCCACTCTAAATTCACATTTAAATATATTTACATTGTACAAATAAATATGTGTGAATGTCCCCAATCACCAAACATGTCCCGAGTAAAAATATTTCTCAATTTAGACTGAAATGAGAGTTATTCCCTGTAGCAGTATCATTATGAATCGCCGTAATGATGGGATGGTGATTAACGCATATGTAGCTTGTCCTTTGCAAATTTAACACTGCATTTTAATAATAATATAATTTTATAAATGGATCATGTTCTTAAATGATAAAGATGGTCCTCGAAACCGTATATAAACATTTCTTTCGCACTTTTCTATTTTACATTTAACACTCTTTTTGTACTACTCGGCTGTACTTTTTAATTTAATCTCTTACAATTTGACTTTCGAATTCATTACTTAATGATTTTTTAAAGCTGTATACATACATACGCATCAATACGTACATGAACCTGTGATATGCACTATTGTTATTGTTTTCTGCTCAACTTGGTTTGTGTATTAATTAATCCATTCCACTGCAGAGAATTACCGACGAATACAAAATGCAGTCAGAACAATTGACTCGATATGTTGTGTTTTCATAATGGCGTTATGGTTGAAAAGTCACGAGCACAAGCAGTGTTAATAACGTGTAGTAATTGTTTCACCTGTTTATGATTTTTATTTTTTATACGGTTCATACAATTTTGTGGAATTTTACTTTTCCTTAATCGTGGCAAAGTCCCTTCTCTCGTCGAAATTGATATGGGCATGACAATAATAATGGTGCGATTAATAAGACGTGTAAGATTTATTTTCTAATGGGAGGGCACACAATTATTAATTATTGGCATCCGCTCTTTGTTTCATAAACTTTCCTCCACTTTATTCGCTTTTACCTCATTTGTGTTGCCGTATTTAAACTTGACTTTAAATGTCTAACATGGATGTCAACCTCGGAGAGGTGGATAGGAAGAGTCGAAGGTTACCGCTGTTACATTACAGTAGATAAATATAAGATCACATATGCAAATACTCCTTCTCAGCAAGTGTGGAATAGTTAGAAAGTAGTTCACATCAGGTTTTGACCATTGATTGTTGAAAATACCCTCAATGTACCTGCCTGTTTACGTATTTCATGGAAAGTCGCGTCCCTCGCAGTTCAGATCTAATATTGGAGTGGTCAAGCTATATATGTGGTCAAGGTTGTTAAAATAGAAATCCGGTTCCGTGTAAATCCCATCCACCCGCACTCGACATATATTTACATAGTTATGTAGGAATAGGATACTTACTTACGTATATAATGTCACTGGTAAATAGTGGATACTTAAGCCACTGTTTCTGACAAAGAAGGTGACCCATTTTTCAGAGCAGGTACGCAAGTACATAGCTGGCTTATGGATGACACAACATGTCAGTCGATTGGTGATTATTTCAAACTCCTTTTGATGTACACATGGTGTATCCGTCGTGGTGCTGTCATGAGAATAACACTATGCGATCTCCTATCGATACATGCGTTATTATTTCTGCAGGGGTTGTGCCATTCTGTATTTTATCAGTGTCATTACCTCAACAATTTCCTCAGTTATGAGAAAATTCCTCATCCAACTGCTTATACACACAACTCACAAGGCAATCCGATCTCAATTGGCTAATTCGCAGTTATTTTATTTACGCATTACTACTTCAAACGTGCTCGACCCACACAACGCGTCCTCAGAAGAAGAGTTTACAATTATTACACAAAATTCTTATTGTTTATGCATATGTAACCCCTACCAATTAGTTAGTTAAATTGGTAAAATATGGGCCTTACAGCTTAAATATGAACTTGATTAGAAATTAGCTGTCTAACTTCTTAGCGTAATTTTTATTGCAAGTACAACCGGCCATTTAAGATTGCAATTTGTTGATTGCGACGAGATCGCAGTAATGCAAAGATTGGATTGGTTGCAACTAAGGCGAAACTTTAAGCATTCCAAACAGAAATCATGCAAATATCTTTGAAACTGTGTGCATTATTCCTTGGTCAATATCTTATCACTTGCACTTTTGAATGGGCGTTGTGGGTGCATTCAATGTCGATCGAGAGTGCTAAAAAATGAATCAGATTCAAAATTGCATCAGTCTCGTTGGGCACCCCATCCATCCATCTGAACAACAATAGGAAAGAATGCACAGAATGCGTGGGGGGTTATAGATAGTCTTTTGTGGTTATTGCATAAAGGACCTGCTTAAAAATATTTATGATTGGATTGACTCAGTTATTGTACCCATCGATACACGGTCAGGCTAGAGATGTTGGTAGTGGATACTATGCGCTTTATCCATCCATTGTGTTGTCGGCATCAAATTGTGTGTGGAGATGTGTGTGTGATATTTAGTAGCCGCATAAAATATGCACAACCGTTGATGCAGATTACTATGTGAGCAAAGTGAGGTGATCTCATTGTTGTCTCCTCTCGAAATATCGAATCCCATGCACTCATTGAAGTCATGCTGTCTTAAAACGAATGCAAAATTCTGCCTCCTTTTCCTTTCCCTTCGTTCAGCCAACTTCTTGAGCAAGGATAACATAAATATATATCGCATATGACGACTCGTTGGACTGGTTGACGATGACGAGTGGAGGAGAGCTCAGCTTATGCAAGCCTCAAGGAACAATATATTGGCAATGCACTTCTTAAATAACGTCGTCATATTATTTATGGAGATTAAGCAATAGCTGAACAAGACTCACTCAGACTGAGATTCAATCAGCCAAATGAAGTTGTTGGTGTTCTTGCAAATGGAAAGTTCTCTCGTGGAATGGATTTTGCTAATAAAACGGGTCGTCGGATGGAGGGCTGGCCTTGCTTAATTATTATAGTGAATAAAATATCAGGATTAGTTGGTACTTTCTGTCTCTTCGTAAAACAATTTAGGTCAGGCATGACATGACGAGACAAACTTTTTCGCTTTATTTTCTACTACCGTTTTGATTCTTGTTGGTTTTACTTTCATTATTTATGCGGAGATGCAAATGTCATAAAAAGAGCGTCACTTGTTGTTTTTTCGAGTTTTGATAAGTATTTCATCATTTGTGCATATCTTCTGCCTTAAAAGAACAGGTGAGATTCATCTTGTACGTACATATCTAAATGCATAATTTGTTGTTATGAAATCACGAAAACTGCATGCATGCAACTACTCATATGTATTACAATGGATATGCATGCATATTATGTTCACACTCGACTAAATGATCTTGGCTATCAATCAATTCACAGAGTTGTGACTCAATCTCAACATTTAATAATAATGTCATTTTAATGAAATGAGTTTCGCTAGCAAAATCGTAAAAGTTGTCCAAATTTGAATGTCTTCAACTCGTAACACAATTTTGCGTTTGTGCTGCACAGTACAAATTCAAGTGTTATTTTTAAGGTGACACCGACGACCACTGTACATCGTTTACTATCAACCGCATCGTTCGTCCTACCCTTTCAACCTCAGAATAATTAAACCTCCACTCTAGCCCTCCATTGTAAAAGTTATTTGGAAATAGTAACAATGAGCACATAATTCAGGAAGGTCAGCTTGTATGCAATTTTTATTTTACAGGCTTTTATAATTTAGGCGTATCTGCTTACTAGTGCATTTTTGACTTAAGAGTTGAATAATGCGTTCGGCAACTTACATATAGCGCCGACATGAAGATTGATGAATTTATTGCACAGGGATGTACAATAACCAAAAAATGTAGAAACTGCTTTACTTATTTTGAGCTCAGGTTTGAGGTTTGTCAACAAGACTGCTCATTAGATAAATGGAACCTGATACATACATCTTTATTTTACGGGCGGAGCATTCGTAGCATCACACAGAGTTTGTCTGTTTCGGAGGTGTCTTTCTGCGTGTATAAATTGGCCATCAGAGTTAAACAAGATTGCGATTCTAGTCTTTAACCAGCAACATTCCTTGATCGGCAAAGGCGTGGTCACTACTTATTATTTGGAGCTACATAAACCTAATAATGTCACAGGCTTCTGTTGTGCCTCTGTGGAGTAATGAAACACTCACGTTCGCTGCATATACTTATATTATTTATTAGATAAGTGGCGAATGTGAATGTTTCATTCGTCCTTATTAAGAACGAATTGTTGCACATTTTTTAGTCTACCTTCTTGTACAAAAGAAGCTGATCCGCGTCCGTAGATCTCTCTCTTATAATACGCTACGCATTGTAATATTTGCTACAATATTCTCTCTCCAAGTACTTATTTGCGCAAATAGTTTCATGGCCACGCTAGTTCTAGCCCTTTGAAAGTAGAATATGTATGGTTTGCTGCGAAGATCAAAACCAACTCCTTTGTGTCAAAATCTTCATGCTCTTGACTACAATTAAGTCAGCCCGAGACCAGCCCAACAAACTAGGCGTCCAAATGAAGGAAAAAATGTCGTATGATGCTGGACAAAAGTCAATATTTAATTATAACATATGATCCTATCGTTCAACTTTGCAAGAAACTGGAGCACCTTGGAAGGTGCGGCAGGCATCAGGTTTCCGCATAAGAAATTAATGTATATGCGTTCACTATTAATTAAAATCAATGGTTTATGGTACCCATTCTTCAATAGAGGCACATAGTTATTCCTTGACAGCTCCTACGTACTGTGACCTATGGAAAATTGGTCCATTCGCTTGCTTGTGACGAAGATTGTATATGCATGTAAAACAATGAGCAATTAGGGGCTAAGTAAAACTAAAGGGTACGTTCATGCACATTAATCTTGGCATCTGCAAAACTGAAACGGACTGAAGGACTATTTTATCTCTAATTATTAATTATACATCCATACTCCTCCCATTTCGTAAGTATCTCTCACCAGCCTCACTGACTCAGTCTGCAATACACAATAGTTGGCAAATTTTCAGACAATATTAAATCCAAGGGGTTTAGCACCCGTCCATCGATTGATGAATTGTGACAAGTGTGTCCACACAATAATTGCCAGTATTTAATCTCTGCGATTTATTATTTCTTGCAGGGAAAGAAGTTTCGCAAGGCCTTTGGGATAAAATGGGATCGTAATATTGTCATCTGACTAATTACCTGCACCTTGGTAAGTGGGAAGCAAATAATTTCAGTCCAATTTTTGTCGTAGAGCAGATCGAGAGATAAAAGTTATGGTGTAATCATCACTCCGTACCAACTATCTTCATTAATATTAATTCTAATTAATTATGCATACGCTTTTTGATTGATTACTGCTCTCGGAATAATTGTTTCTTGATGATCGAATATTGTCACTGTAGAAGATTGAATATTGCTTTATTTTTTTATATTATAGAGTTCATTATTCCTTGTTAGGGAGCGACATGTAAAAGTGCAAAAAATGACATATATTTGAGTAAGACTGTCGAATCTGCAGCAGCTCTAAATATTTGTGTAATGCATCCCCCATATATTTTATTGTTTTGTTTTATTTATGTAGTTGCATCTTGTCTTGTGAAATAGGAAAGAAAGTAAAATCCCAGCAAGCTTTAGCGTCTGAGGAGTGCATGTCATTTGCAAATGTGTAATTGGCTGTCATGTAGCCAGATGTGCATTTAATTCATATTTCGGAAGTGTACAAAAACGAGTGTACAAGTTGAATGTCAATGTGGAGTAGAAAAAAGTTCTCACTCGCACAAGACACTCGTTGTTTGTTGTATGCAAGTGAGAATAAAGTCGTCGAAGAAGTTTATGAAATGGCAAAAGTACATACAAAAGGCGTTAGGACATGGTTTTGACGAATTCGCGGGTGAATATCTCTGGCGGGGAGTTGAATTTTGAACTGATTTTTGGTCAGTTGCAAGATAATACTCTCAAAAAGATATGTTTAAAATTTTAGGCCGATAGCTTTATAAATGCCCCCTCCAGTGCGCCCAGAGTTGGAAGGAGCCAAAAAAACACTTTCCAAACTGAATTACTCATATAGCATGATAACCTAAGAGGTCAGAGGTGAATGATTATTAATATTACCACCCTAGATAATCATTGCATTTAATTATAAAATAATCCACAATGAATTACATAACGTTGGGCCTCCATCGTCGCTGATACTTTTTCATGAAAAGTGATCAATCGGACCGTGCATAGGAAAATTGACCTGCTGACCTTGAATGCGGATCCACTCGGTCAAATGAAGATTGAGGGCAAAGCTCTAAGTGTCCCAAATAATATTAAATTAAACAGTGAAGATTTTGTGTAAACAGTTTTGGAGCAGGACCCTAGCGAATCAGCTGTCGCGGAATCCTAAAAAACTCGTGAACTAATTTGGTAAATTAATGGTCAAATTTTTTCGAAAATAAATTTTACTAATCTTTTTGTGTCCCTTACTGCAGAACTATTTTATCTACAAGGTGCAAGTGGCAAAATAATAAAATTATTGCGTTTTGGTTAGTTAAATTATTTCTGAAGTTCGACATCGAAAACGACGGGAACTTTTCCAATAATTTTACAAGGTCTGATGAAAACTCAGTCCGTGGGGTGTAACCACTTATCAAAATTTTGTCAAAAGTACTTACAGTGCAATATACTATGTGTACCTTGGATAAAAACCACGTTAGGGATTTTTAGCATAAAAGTCGTAAAATGTGGGGGCCTTGAAAGTGGAAGAGTTGCGTTAAAGAGCTCATTCCATTAGGACAAGTATGAAATTAGACTGCAAAACGGACTTAAAAGATAAACATAAGGCAAACGTGGTATTATATAGTGAAAAGCATGCTAAGTCCCTTAATAATAGTCGCAAAGACGATTTTTGCATCAGGACCTCAGAAAAAAATATCTTGTTCAACGCCATTTTATAAGTACACTGGTTTGGAAAACTAAAAAAGGACACCTCTCCAAATTTGACCTTGCCTCATTTCGCAGAGTACACAAAATCGGAAGCCAGATATGCTTACCTATAGTTTGAGACATGGGCTTTCACATAAAAAAAGTTAGAAATCTCTACGACTAAAAACCATCCCGCAATTAAGGTATGAATTCGTCAAAACCATGTCCTAACGCCTTTTGTATTCAGATGTTTGTTTGGTGTGCGAAGGAAACTGGGCCATTCTCGAAGCGTTGAGTGGAACCCTTTTGGCCCACTTTGCTAGCATCTCCCCATTTGCCCACCACTTCAGCCCTTTCCATTCCCCTCTGTATTATCCATCCATCTAGATATTCCCTCATCCAAACTTACCTCAATCACGATGATTCTGCAGTTGCCACTACAATTTTAACAAGTCAGACCAAAATTAGAAATCCCGTGGTCCATTCCTATACATACACAGCCAATCCTTATCACCAGATATTACTTTGCGCTGTTGCTATTCTTGTTACTCGTTGCAGACCACCTTTCGAAGAATGTGGCTTCCTTTCTGGCAGTTTTGAGCACAGCGTGAGTACTTATTTGTGAGTCTGTGTGATATGATTTTTTATTCTTGAACTGCATAAAACGTTACAAATTGGTCTAACGTACACGGTGTAGCAAAACCAACCACAGCTTTGTATTGTTCACCCAATAATCTGTGGTTCATGCACCAATTACAATTTTCCATGTTGGACGCGTTTTCATACGTGATTGGTTAGTGGTAATCCTTCGTTGTGCTTTACTCAAGACGACATTTCTGTTGTTACACATTTTTGTCTTTTCTCCTCGAATGTGTGAGCTGATTGGAGTGATGACCTTGTCGGCTGAGATTGAAATAGCAGTACGGCGTCTGTATGTAGGGACACATAAAAGAGATGTTGGGAAGGGAGGATTTCTGCATTTCTTGATCACTAGTAACATATGCATCGCTTGTAATTCATATAATATACACGTGATGGTGATGTGCGACATATATCTCCTGTGCATGACGTGCATTTAGATAAACTCCTCAAAATGACTTTGATATGGTTTCATTTAGATTGTTATCACTTGGGTTTGAAATTAAGCCCAGTGTGAGAGATGGCCTTGTTCATTCATCTCTGCAACAATTTCTCAATCACAATGCCAAAAGACAATGCAATCCGTACTTCCTCCTCTTCAAGACTCGATCTCTATATTCAATTTGTCAACAAAAACTGACTCCATGCAAAAAATTCGATGTATTCTTAGGAGGGGCAAAGTCTGTGTGCATGGATGCAAATAGAGGGAAATTATGTACTAATGAACGCTACATTTCCAGATCGGCAGAGTTGACTCCTTCAGCCGGAAGGAGTTCCAGGGTTGAGGACCATGGCCAAGATGCCGTCGATGCGGACGGACGGGTCGGAGCCGGAGTACAGTGACGACGAAACGACGCCACTGGCACACAGCGATATTTATGGAGGAAGGTATGCTCATCATTTGGTTAACCCTTCTCAGTTTGCTGGATTTTTTCAAACGCTTTACATGGCACGCGATCATTGAATTCTTGTACATATGAACATCGCATCGCTACATACATCGCTGGATATAAATACATCCCTTTACAATCACGGGGACTTGTAGCAATGTTGATTCTTCTGTAAATATGTGTGCTGACAGATTGACAGGATAATAATTGAACCCAGCAGCTCTTTAATAAGTTCTTTCCCACAAATGATCACTCTCTTTTATACTGACGATCGTAATAACTGGGGAGAGAGAGACGTTGAGCTGTGCTTCAATTTGATGTGGTCGTCTCAACATTCCCATTCACGTCAGTCATCCCACGTCTCATTTCGTCCCATTCGATATCACAAGAGCTATTTATTCATTTATTTATTTATTTAGCTATGCTTCTGACTGATGCTGTATGTACATCGTCGTCATCTTATTTTTTCAGTCACAAGAATGTGGACACCAAGAACTGGGACGTGTTTCGCAACCTCCCACCAGAGGTAGGTTTAGTGCGATTTATTCAAGAATACTCAAACGTTGTTCACTAATTAATGAAATTCCCACCACAGACTGAAAGGGAGGACTATGAGAATCAGACTTGCTACCTTTTAATCATCAAGAGTTTGAAGGTGAGATTTTATTTTATCCTCCACATTCGTGTGGTTGACTATGACGATGATGAAGATACGAACAACAGTGTGTTTCCAAGCTCTATGCATGGTCATGACATGAGGACGTGGAACAAAGAAGAAAGGAAAAGTGAATGACCACGGGACAATGGTTCAAAATTATGACGATGATGTTGCATTATGATTAAGAGTGCTAGCTTTTCAAACACCCGTTTTCAAATCAGTTATGTCACGTCAAGTCTTCACATCTAGATTTCATTTTTGAGTTCTGGGGTTCATTTACATTTCAAGTGTGGGGAATGCAAGGCTTCGAATTCTTTGAAAGTTTCCAGCTCTACGAAGAAGCTAACATTTTTCCCAAATTATGGTTTCCAGATCGTGGCATACCTCGTGACATTTGCCGTCGTGCTGGGAGGATCCGTCTTGGCCAAGGGAAGTCTGTTACTGATGACCTCACAACTCGAGCCGGATAGGACGATCCCATTTTGCAATAAGAAATATGGTGAGAACGACAATGTCCACTTTTCAAGAGGGGACAACAATCGTATCTACATATTAATACACCACTGTTATTCACTATTTCAGGAAGAGACAAGAAATTTGAGGCCTCCATTTCCGAGGTGGAGCGCATCTCGTGGACATGGGCAATATTTTTTGCTTTCATCGTCCCAGAAATCGGGACTTTTATTCGGTCCCTTCGTATCTGTATTTTCAAGTCATGGAGGAGACCCACGGTTGGCGAATTTTTAGTTCCCCTCATTTTCGAAGTAAGTCGTTTACTTTGGATGAAATTATCTATGGGCGCTCCACTTACGAACTTATAAATCCACTTTTATTGTATTGACCAAGCTACACGTTCCCAATGTGACCACCTATTAATTATTGAATCTTTTATTTATTAGACTTGCCATGTAATCGGGTTGGCATTATTCGTATTTGCCGTACTACCGACGGTAAGTCATTCGGAACACACCAACAACTCAACGTATCCTTAAGTTATGGGTTTAATAATAGTTTTATGAAATAGATGAGCGTGTTAAAAGCCGTTATGCTTACAAACTGTGTGTGCCTTGTCCCTGCCATTTTTGGTGAGACTAGTTTTCCACACCTTCCGATTGTGTAGACTTACTAACAAGGGGCACTATTTTCCCGACAGGGATGTTATCTCGTCACCCGGAGAGAGACGCGAAAGGAAAGTGGGTGCTCCAGTGCACTCTGGACGTGATTGCGATCCTCTTCCAAGTCAGTGGTCTCTTTTTATGGCCATTGTTTTCGGCGGAGACCAGTCCGCGACCTTGGCTCCAGCCCCTGTCCGCGTTCCTCATCTCTTGCGGCTGGTGGGAAAATTATGTGGACGTCAACTCCCCCTTTGGCCTCAGTAAGTTGTGCCAAGCTAGGAATGTGCCATATACATTGAGAATTTGATATAATTTGGTGGAAATTTACAGTTCGAGCCATGGGAAAGGTTCGCAGGAATCTGGACATCAAAAAGACGACCCGCTATTTCGTCTATATTTTCATATCACTCTTCAAAATACTCGCATTCTTCTCCTCCATGATGTTTGCTGTAAGTTTACAAGAGTTTGTTTAGTACAATGTCACTTGATGAAATTAAATTGCAGGTGTGGATTGCTGGAGGAAATGTCAACAACTTGTTTTCTAAAATCTCCGAAGGATTTTCTTCTCATCAGATCAACATTACCGAGGTGAGATGATTCAAACACTGGGCTTCTCATCCAATTTGTTGTATGTAATTATTTAAACTGAGTCTGAATTAGATTCGCCCACCGGAAGTAGGAATTCTGCCCGACCTTCCAGGAGCTTCACCACTCGTGGATATCATTAAGGAAGAATCTAATGCAAGTCTGATACGACGAGTTCTCGGTATGTGACAGACATACATATAGCGTATATTTACATATGTTGTGTTTAAATTAAATATGTGTGTACACTGCTAAAATTTTGCGATGATTTTCATTAGGTGTACAAATAGTAGCAGCTTATCTCACCTACATTTTTGGTTAGAACAATTTACAATTCCACTTATTTTGTATGTTTTTGCCAAATAATCTAATAAGAATCTTTCTGCAGGGAAATTCGCGTGTAAAATCTGCATACAAGGATTTAGTTTTGCGTTTCCTGTCAGTTTAGCCGTCCCAGTTACACTCTCAATACTCATTTCACTTTGCGGGCTACGAAGTGAGGACGCTTGTTTTCTGGAAAATACTCTCCCGCAGTACTTGTACTGGAATTGTCCCAAGGATGACTTTACCTACAGCTTCTTTACAAAAGAAGTGCGTACTAATTCACAGATGTGTTGCATATTATTCGTTCGCTTGTAATAATAACGTCCCCTCTATAATTGCCACACTTTAGCATGCATGGGTTTGGCTCTTATGGCTCTTGTCCCAAGCATGGATTGCAATTCACATATTCATGCCAAAAGCGGAACGTTTGGCCAGCACAGAACGTAAGTACCTTATCGTATCTCGTTTATTTAGAAGTAGAGATCAAGTATTAGAATGCAAAAGAGTTGCAATTATAATTTACTAAACTCATGCTGGGATCCGAATTCTCTGTTAAAAAACAACACATATTAATGACTTTAATGCATGATACTTAAGGATATATGTAAATTAAGGTCTCTTTGTGACGCCGATGTACAACTCGCTCCTCATCGACCAGTCTATGGCGATGAATCGACGGCGAGATGACGACAATGACATTCGTGCTGACGACGTGGAACAAGAACCCGCAGAAACGGACTATGAAGAAATCAGATCCATTGACTCTTCTCACAAAGAAAAAGAGAAGGTTTTTAAAGGCGACACCATCCCCAGAATTTATGCGTGTGCAACAATGTGGCACGAAAACAAGGTTCGTGCGTAGGCAAACCTGATGTTTTTTTACTAAAATGGAATTAGGTGCATCAAGCTAATCAATAAATAAATTTTCAGGAAGAGATGATGGAAATGTTGAAAAGTTTGCTACGGATGGACGAAGATCAGTGTGCGAGGCGAGTGGCTTTAAAATACTTTGACGTGGTGGATCCTGGATATTACGAGTTTGAAAGTACGTCACAATTCTCCAAATTAATTAATATGAAACTGGCGAAAGATTTTTTTAAATATAACAATTTCAGCTCACATTTTCTTTGATGACGCATTCGAACTTCGAGATGAAGGAAGTTTAAACTCTCCCGTTATTTGCAACTCTTTTGTGAAACTGTTATGCTCCACACTCGACGAAGCAGCCACGTTTGTTCACGAGACTCAAGTCCGTATCCGCCCCCCAAAAAAGATTCCAACGCCGTATGGAGGTCGGCTTGAGTGGGTGCTACCCGGAAAGACTAAAGTCATCGCTCACTTGAAGGACAAATCCAAGATTCGACACAGGAAACGATGGTCGCAAGTCATGTACATGTGAGTTTCATGCCGATAAACTTGTCCTTCTTATTTTAAAAAATGAATGCTCTATACATAATTAAATGCATAAATTAAATTGCGTTCTAACTACTCAAGGTACTACTTGCTGGGTCATCGCCTCATGGAATTAAGTATCCCTGTCGCTAGGAAAGAAATGATTGCCGAGAACACCTACCTGCTCACCCTCGACGGAGACATCGACTTTCAACCCAACGCTGTCGAATTGCTGGTGGATCTTATGAAGAAGAATAAAAATCTGGGAGCCGCGTGTGGTAGAATTCACCCCGTCGGGAGTGGACCCATGGTTTGGGTAAGCAATACTCACTCCACTCGTCACTTATTGCACTCTTGCCATGTCATTAATCTTATTGCGAATCTTTTTTCTAATTTCAGTATCAAATGTTCGAGTATGCTATTGGGCATTGGCTGCAAAAGGCTACGGAGCATATGATTGGTAACCATTTTTGTTGTATTTTATTTTCCTTTAATTAAACCCGTTGAATGTCTACTTTTCCGCCATTAAAAACTCCCCTTTCCTTCCTCGCAACAGGTTGTGTCCTCTGTTCTCCTGGATGTTTCTCTCTCTTTCGTGGGAAAGCTCTCATGGACGACAACGTGATGGCCAAATATACGCTTCGATCCGAAGAACCACGCCACTATGTGCAATACGATCAAGGTACAACCCTCAAGACTGTCGTTTTTAGTTAAATTTAAGTTAAAATTAAGTTAACCAGACTTCCAACAAAGAAACAAGTAATTCGTTTATTCACACTTCAATATCTCGATGAACGACAAAAATCCATTCAATTGAGCATTCTTCAAAACAAAACTGCAAATTATTATAAACATTATTATATTTTATTCAAGGCGAGGATCGTTGGTTGTGCACGCTCCTCCTCCAACGAGGATATCGAGTGGAATACTCTGCCGCCAGTGACGCCTGGACCCACGCCCCTGAAGGGTTTGGAGAGTTCTACAATCAACGTAGGCGTTGGGTGCCGTCCACGATTGCCAATATTTGTGACTTGCTGGTCGACTACAAGAGAACGATCAAGGTCAACCCGGACATTTCCCTTCCCTACATTATTTACCAGTCCATGTTGATGGCTGGCACGATCCTTGGACCCGGTACGATTTTCCTTATGTTGGTCGGTGCTTTCGTCGCGGCTTTCAGGATTGACAACTGGACCAGTTTTTACTACAACATTATCCCAATCACACTCTTTATCGTCGTTTGTTTTACAATGAAATCGGACATTCAGGTAATTAATTGAAAATAGAATGCTTTTTTCACACCGTTTTTGAGTACCATCAAATCATCGTGAGCGAAGTCGACACCTATCTCCATATCTGAATTTAACTTTATAGCTGCTGGTGGCTCAGATACTGTCCACGGGGTACGCCTTAATCATGATGGCCGTAATAGTGGGAACAGCGTTGCAGTTGGGAGAGGACGGCATCGGTAAGTTAATATATATTTTCAGGCCATTTGGTACAGTTCGCGACACATCGAGCTTTAGCCATACAGTTATCGGTGGGGCACATTTATTTGGAAGTTTACAATTCGCCCCTGGTCCAAATGTTTGTTTCACCGTATTCAACGAAATTCTGATTTTCAGGATCACCTTCGGCCGTGTTCTTAATTTGTCTCACGGGGTCGACGTTTATAGCTGCCTGTTTGCATCCCCAAGAATTTTGGTGTGTGGTTCCCGGAGCATTGTATCTTATGTCGATACCTTCCATGTACTTGCTCCTCATCATCTACTCTCTGATCAACCTCAACGTTGTGTCCTGGGGTACGCGTCTCATATATGTTTTCTTTATTATAACTTTCATCTTTCTTGTTTTTTTATAAAAATTTAAAACTAATATTCCATTATTTTTTATTTTTTTCTATTATTTTATTTTTTAGGTACTCGAGAAGTTCCAACCAAAAAGTCAAAACAGGTTCGACCTCATTAGCATTTCCACAAAGTTAACTTACTTCTCGCATGGGTCGTGGGTCCAATTGGTTGCCAAATTTAGATGCACATCTCATATTTATGAAAAATCTTGACGAATTGTCAGAGAACTTGATGTACATATCTATTATTTTTTGTCGGGTGTTAGGAGTTGGAGGCGGAGAAGAAGGCAGCCGAGGAGGCGAAAAAACGTGCCAAGAAGGGCGGATTTTTGGGTTTGATTCCTGGAACGAATGCCGACGACACTGAAGGCTCACTCGAAATCTCCTTTGCCGGATTGTTCAAACTCATGTGCTGCACGCACGAGAAGCCCATTGACGAGAGGCAACAATTGCTCCGAATTGCAGAGTCCTTGGAGAAAGTGGGTGAGAAAAAGATATTATTATATTAGTTATAGATGTTTTTATTCCCAAGCCTTCCTGAGCGTTTGCATTTGCATTTGTGACATTTCTTTAAGCTGAGGTTGCCTCGGTAATTAATTCATTTACTTACATGACAATCCATTCAAAACAAAATTGTAAATTATCATCACCATTATTCCTGGTCGGACACTTTAGGTCCTAAACTAACATCTACTGAAAACTTTTCCATTAAATACCCGTGTACAATTCCCCACGACTTTTTATCTACAAAACTCGAATTGATCTGTCTATTAATACAAAGAGGGTGAGATTGGGCAGAGAAATCGGACGGATTTATACAGTTTCGGAGTCGTAAGAGTGATGCTATCAGGGCACAAATTTGGAGATGACACTCCCACTTGTATCGCTCATCGTCACGAACGAGTCCAATTGGGACAATCTTGGGGTCAGGATGGGAGGGTGGCTTGTTATTTTTGTAGTCGACGATGGGGTCTGCATGATTGAAAGAGTTACCGTGCACGCCACTTTTGAGGGCTTGTCCAGCATAAATTACATACGGACTCGAGAAAAAGTATAATGCAGCGATCTTCTCTTTCATCTTGTTTTTCCCGTGTGACAACAACGTCCCTATACTTTCACCCTTTTCTGCTCTGATGAGAAATGGAATTTTGAGACTCTCCTCCAGAGTAATTGCTGCTACTGCTGATGATGACAGCTTATCATGAATTCTAAGCTCCATCCCACATAGATCCATCTCGTCGACTAACTCCTTATACGCACCATTGGGGAGGTTAATGTTCACATGTAGGCAAATTATTTTGATGGTTGTATCGGGCCACAAGAGCAATTGAAATAGGGTCGTAGTCTAAAAAGTATTGATTATGAATTATTAAGTGAAAGAGAGTTACATATTTACAGCATTATTATTATTAGTACCTGTCGTGCCGAATAAATTTTCATCAATTCATCCTCATCATCAAAGTAGAGGCGGCGCTCTTCAAGTTCAACTAATTCGGGGACTGGTTTCTTGGCTGCTTTACGCTCTTTGGAGTATACGTTCCACACCGATTTGTTAATCTGAGAATTGATTGCCCGTGTGGCGTGAGCTTGTTTTTCATCCCCATAACTGTGTGTGAAAGAGGCAATAACGTGGAGGATAACGTTGTGCTTCTTATTTGCCCCATCCGTAAATTGGCACAAGACAAAACCAATTTGTTTTCCTTTGTGGATTTCACATCTTGGGATCTGTTCCATAATAGTGGACGTTGTCTTCACACAGTCTAGAAATATGTCATACTTACAATCGGGTTACATATGTAATTCATTATTAATAAAAAAAACAGCTTACTTGGAATCTCGGCACAAATAAAATTATATTTCGTGTTTGGTTTCAAGTATACGAATAATCCATACGCCCGGTTTTGATTTGGTGGTGACCACGCCACCCTTGACGTTGTTCCCGGAACCATCAAACCGTCTGCCCCCGCTTGTCGTATCTTAGTCTCTGCAATCTTTCTCTCTGCAGCAGTGAGTGGGGGATATCGTCCCGTAATAAATTCGGGGGTGAGAGGGGTCAGATCAGAAATGGTCGACTGTTGGGATCCCATCTCTTCATCTCTATCCACCGTTCGTGCCAAAGTGCAGATAAATTCACGTAATTTATTATCTCCTTCATCTAAAGACAAAAAACAAACCATTTCATAAATAGCACACCTCGTAATAATATGAAATGCAAATAATTTTGCTCACCCTCTGACTTATTCGACATCCTCTTGGCCGTACTCAAGGCTTTGGTGATTTTCCACCAGTCAGTACCGGCCTTATCCTCTCGCAGATTAATTTTTCGGTTGACATAACCTCGTTCGGGGGACTGGTGGGTGTGCCTCTAAAATATCTTGTTCCTCCCTCTTTGCTCTCCACCATTGCCCACTCTTGTTTCACCACCAGTTCATCTTCCTCGTTATCATCCTCATCCGAGTCAAGTTTAAGAAATCTGTTGAAATTATGCATAAAAACAGTCATCACATATTATGGCATGGTTTTCATTATTTGGGAAATTACTTAAAAGTTGGCAATTCCTCCTCCTTGGCGTCATCATCGTCACCCTTCTTTTTCTTTGATGATTTGCTGCTGGTGGGAGTGGCTGCTTTCCGCTTGGAAGAAGTCGATGGCGTGACTGGCTCTGTTGTTCTTGAACAAGAGGAGGGAGGGTTGACGAAATCGTCGTCACCAGACTGATCACTCATCATGAACCTACATAATAATAATATTTGGACAATTAAATTAAAAACCTTGTCATGATCATATGCAAACTAATTATACTAATAATAATAATATCATACATGATAAGTACTTACGTGAAATTACTAGCTAATTGGTTGAAATTGTAAAAAAAAACAGTTTATTATTGGCGGTAAGAGGGATGATGACTGTCTTTCTATGATGATATCACTTTATTCATTCGGATGGGGAATATTGATAATTGTATTATATAATTGGAGTTTATCAAAAAGAAAGGTACACAAGGAGAACAAATAACGAAATGAGGTTTTATTTTCTTCGTAGGGAAACGACTGGACGGAATAGAAAGGCAGATGGACATCCCTGTCGCCGGAAGACGCATTTCCACCGTTGCACACTCCGCAGCCAGCCCTCGCCATCGGGACAACTTGAGTGGGCTGGAGGAAAACAATGGGGAGGACGGGAATGAAAACAAGCACGATGATGATGACGACGATGAAACGTCCTCATCGGGTGAGTTTATCAGTCTTCGGTAAAATGGGTTTGTAGTAAATAATGGAAAGTAAATAATAATGTTACTAACACAGATACGAGAGAAAAGCGTGACGACATGATAAACCCATTCTGGATTGAGGACAAGGATTTGAAACGAGGTGAAGTGGATTACTTGTCGGGAACGGAACTCACCTTCTGGAAGGACCTAATTGACAAGTATTTGAAACCGATCGATTCTGATAAGCAGAAAGAGGTTGGTTGCAAAAAAAATATTGTTTGACTGCGGGTTCTCATGACCATCCACTAATTTCCCAAATTATTTTATAGGCTCGTATCGCCAAGGCTCTTGCAGAATTGCGCGACCGTTGTGTGTTCTTCTTCTTCATGTGCAATGCAATTTTCGTGATTATCGTGTTCCTTATGCAACTAAACAAGGATGCCTTGCATCTCAAGTGGCCATTTGGAATTAAAAACAATATTACTTACAACGAGTTGACTGGAGAGGTGGGCTTTTAAACAATCATATTTGTAACTCCATAACCGTAAAGTTATAAATATAATTTGCTATTTATTCTCAGGTTTTTGTGACAAAGGAATATTTACAATTGGTAAGTTAATAGATAAGCATTCCTCTTTGCAAGCACATTAAAATTGTCTCATACATACAGTCAACTGAAAAATTGTGCACTAAATTGCATTACAGGAACCTATCGGCTTGGTCTTCGTAGCCTTCTTTGCTCTTATTTTGATCATCCAGTTTGTGGCCATGTTGTTCCATCGTTTTGGAACACTTTCCCATATTTTGGCCTCCACTGAGATATTCACGTGTGGAAAGGATGTGGACACAATTAACCCCGAGTTGAACGTGGAAAAAGATGGAGTCAGGCTTATCCGACAGTTCCAAAAATTGAAAAACTTGGATGGTAACCAGTCTAAAAATTTTACTATCTGCAGACTTTCTAGGTTATGCTAATATTTCGTACGGTTGTGTTTTTGAAGGGGACAGCGACAGAGGTGGTGCTGGTGATGTTGCGAGAAGGAAAACTATTCACGCCCTAGAAAAACAAAGAAATTCTAGAAAACAAGTTGGAACGCTGGACGTTGCATTTGAAAGGAAATTCAAGGAGATTCTAAACTGTGAGTCGTCGTAACAAGGAGCTTATTTTTTAAAGTGATCAAGCTAACTTAATTAAACTCGTCTTCTTATATTTAGCACCCGATAAGCAAGCGCGAATTTTGGGAGGTGACCATTTCCAAGTGACCTTTGAAGCGTTGAAAGAGCGACGAACGAACGTTTTAGAGAGACGAACTTCGAAGGCTGAGCGTAAAAAGTCGTACATGGAGACGTTGAAGGGTCCCATTTTGCCACACCCCAACGGTGCTGGTCCCCCTCTCAACGGAAGTCTGGTACCAAACTCGGCTTCCAGGACGCGTGGGAAGGCCCCCAAACCGAAAGTGACGAGCATAGACTTTGCCAACAATGGGCTTCCTCCCCCAGCCCACATGCCTGCACCTGCTCAGCTCAATCCGGTATGACCAGCACATATTTATGACATGCATACATATTCATCAACATTACGCAATGATGATAATTGATAATGCATTTCTTGATACAAAAATGTACTCTCCATGCACAGGGTTTCTTGTCGGACGATGAAATCCAATTGTATAATGTGCAGTCGAATAGGCGAAATTCAAGAGACTGGAGAGACCCGGACGTCGGTGGGAGTGGGGAAAACTCTTCCTTGCGAGGTTCCTACGACCATCTACCCAACCGACGAAATAATAACAGTCAGATGTGATTAACTAAAAGAGGACTTATCGAGATATTATTATTACAATTATCTGCCTAATTATAAATGGAATGCACCACTCTAAAAAAAGCATGAAAGTGGATTCATCATTCATGTTTTATATTTTTAAAAAAATACAAAAATGTATATATTTATTTTCGTCCGTTCCATAATGTTATATATTTTTCTAATTTTTTATACAATGACGAAAATCGACACATTAAAAAAAAATTTCCATCCCTCATAGAACAAATATATTATTGTTCACTTTATTTTATTATGTATGCCATACTGTTGGACAAAGAATTTTACTTCTAATTTTAAATTGTTGTACTTGTACTGTGTTTATATCCCAAATGATACGTAAAGTTGTGTATGTCAACGACGTATAAAAAGTAATTATTACAAGTACAGAAAAAAATGACATCAGCTATTTTAAAATGAGCATGTCGAAAATGTGAAACAATTTTTGTAACGAGATGCGAATACGCAACGAATGAAATTGTTTTAGTAAGAAATAAAAAATATTATTTTGACGACTGAATCAACTAATTGATGTAACTCCAAATTTTAAATGTAATTAGTTCAAGTGTGCATGACACGCATGACGATGACGACTCATATAGCAGGGGGACTTTGAGCGTATTCCTCTGACCTCTATTCTCTCTGGCCGCTACGTAAAAATTGTGCATGGACACTTGTAGGAAGTAATTTCTAGGATCCCTGAATTTTTAGTTGCTACTTGTGGCTAATTGTAGCTAGAAATTGTTGCTATTAATTCTGAGATATTTTTAGCTACATCTGTATGTGCTCACTGCTACTCTTTCTCACGAGTCTTCCAATCGGGAAATTGAGACTATTTACAGAGCCGAAAATGATCGTGATGGTATTTAATAAAGGTGAATGGATGAGAAAAGCAGATCCGACTAAATTCCGCCAACATTGCACACTAAAATTTGATACAAATAAACAGAAATATATTAAAGTAATGTTTAAAATGTAATGCATGGTTAATTACATGAGCCAAGGCGTGACGTCAACCTGTGACGGCCCAATCACTTAAAGAAGTCGAAAATATGTGGGCACATTCAGCTCTGGAAGAGAGAGCAAAATAGCCGCCGTACGAGCGCAGATAGGTGAGCCCATAGTTGAATTAGTAAGTAGCAAATAGTTCACCGAACTGTGACCAAATACCCGCAACGTCAGTTACACAACTCATGTGTTGCCAAACTCGGAATGGCTGTATCATCATCATCCGTCACCAAGTATCATAGCTCGGGATGATTGGCAGTGCAGGAGAAAACAATTTCATCACCATTACATTGGTAGAAAGTGGAAATTCTCAATCAGCGCAACTTAGAAATTGCACAGGCGATGTGCTGCTCCCCACCAAAAAATACTACGCCATGGATGGTTTATTATTACACATCACTCGAGTCAATTGCTTTCCTCTGCCGTCGTGGCATGAGAATCGTCCCATGAAGAAAACCAGCCCTGTGTGTGAGCTATACGTGCATACACAAAGTAATAATGCAGTGAAAGTTGGTGGGTTTGCATGCAATGATGAATCCTTCATTGGTCCCTCTTGCTCCTGAGAATGGTATCCACTCTCCAACCTCTCCGTGAGACATAGTATGCAATGCCTTACCTCCTGCCATCATTCATTACGTACACACTCTGCCGAGGTCGTAACAATAATAATGTAATGAAGCAAGTAAAAGCGAAGGCGATATCTCTGACGGCATCAACGATCGAGTTTCACCTTGAATTCTCCTCGGAGTGGTTGTGGCATTATTCCGGTGCTGGTTGGTGGGTGAAAACAGGGACCAAGGTGTGCATGTACTTTCATTGTGATGAGAAGGTGAGGCAACCAGGCGACGGTCCTTTGCCACCTCACCAACCAACCTCATCTCTCCATCCACCCTACGCCACACCACGTGTGCATATCTGCTTATCCAGTCCACCCACATGCTTTAAACCCTAACCCAAGGATTCTGCACTTGTGGTGGGAGTGCTATTTGGGAGATTAGTTTGACTTACTGCAAAGTAGTTTGTACTTAACCACATTGCCAGAAATTCTACAATGTCCAATTATGTAAATTGACAGTTTAAACCATTCCAATCAAAAGAAAGTCAGGGTCATGTAGAGGGGCGTGAAATGTAGATGGATAGGTTCAAGTTCAGGCTGCTGCATGCCGAATGAATCAATGAATGAATGGACGCATGCAACTTTCACCCACCCATCAAAGCGATGCTGACATGCTACACCCATAGGGATTCATCCACGGCATTGAAATTCTGTCAATGCGAAGGGACACACTGACTGTGTACAGAATTTGAACGACACACATGGCTTAGGAGTGACTGCATCTCGCCCTGCAATCGCTTATATGCCCTTCTTCATGGGTTGAGCTGGATGTGCAAACCTTGCTCAAGGAATTTTGCAGAGAGGTTTTTGAGTTGCGAAATAAGACTTAGGCACAGAGAACGAAGCCGTCATAAAATCAATGATGTCATGACCTTCGTTTACGTCATCGTTTCCTTTCCCCGTTGAAGTTGGAGTTATCTCACTGGCCATGAGGTGGGGACGGACCGACTTTGGCCAATATCACTGACATGTTTCTGCATTACATATATCTAGTCATAATATGTAATAGTTCGCCGTCTGCTGCAGAGGAAAAGGGACTCCGCCCTCGCCGAATTCTAAAACCGGCTCTGCTCCAGACATTGCCTCGAACCATTTCGTTCCAGGGATCTCACTCCTCCAACGCTTCTTTTCCTCGCAGGGGGCACGCAGAAATTCTGGGGAAGCAGACCTGTCGCCCTTGTGGATGAATCGCACCGCTTGGAGTCGTGCTGGGGAGACGAGGGCGGCGACGAGGAATTACTGATGGATGACCCTCTTTCGTTGCAAGTTGGGTGGGGAAAGCGCTTTCTCCTTGACAATACCATTGGTGGAGGTCGAAGTCTTTCTCTGGGAGAGTGAAAGGCAGGAGAGTAGGAGACGGAGAGAGGGATGACGTCAATGACAACGATGACGGCATTGCGACAAAGGCGTCATCGTTTCTCTCCGTCCTGGCTGTGGCTGTGGCTGGGAGCGAGAATTCGGGAACCGACCACGTTTATATATGGAACTCAAACTCACTCACTCTCTCACAACGCTCCACGTGCTGCACCGATTCAGATGTGTCCTCCCTCAAAGGACCACTGCCTTTTTTCTCCACACGACGACTTACCGGCGAAAATATATACAATTCGGTCGACGACATCAAATAGCCAACAACCTCTTGAGCGACGATAACCTGCTGCAAGAGATGCACTCTAACTGCATGCAGTTGAAGACTGGGACGGCTTTACATGAAACATAAACACAAGTTTTTCGGAAATTTCCTCAATCTTTCCGTGCGTTGTGAATCTCTCGACCTGTGAACACACACTTATTGTACCTGGACTACCTTTCAGTGAAAAAGAGAAACTGTGCTACGGACGCCACGCAACTAAATTGTGATTCTTCCTCATTCGTCAACATACCTGAAATACATAAACAGTGTCAAATTCTTGTGAACACTATCGATACCTGAGCCAATAACTATCTACAAAAGTACATAGAAACCTATACACAGTAAATACTACGTAAGTACAGACTCAATCTACCACATTCATGCAGGTGCTGGTCTCGCCGCATGAGTTTACTCGGCATTACGATTAATATCAAAAACTATATACGCTTCGAAAAAGTGCATCCCTTGAGGAACCAGGAAAGAAGCAAGTCAATTAAGTGAAAGGAACGGTATACATGTTGCAAATCTGGAGTCGCTTTTGTGCATCTCGCCAATTCCTTCCGAATTCCATAAACTTTCTCCAAAGCCCATTCGCCGAGTTCTCGCCACAAACACCACGACCGGTAGCAGCCACCGGTCTTCATCATCATCATCTCATCAACGTCTAGGTGAGACAACCTTGTTTTTATTCTGCTTGAGAAAAATATGGAGCATTGTTGTGGGCGGAGGGGAAGTTGAGACGCGGAGCAGCAGCTACCATGTAATTAGATGGGACAAGTTTGCATGCATCGACGGGCGTCTGCTGTCATATGATCATACACACAAACATGCAGACGTATGTATGTACACACTCAGGGATTGCGGAAATTTGGCAGAGGGACAGGTTTCTGCTGGTGAGCAAGTGGGAGAGGCAGGGCGAAGATGAGCCCAATAAAGCACGTGGAAGTGTAAGATTAGACAGGAGGAGAGAGAGTTGTATGCAGAATGGGACAAGTTGGGAAGGGGAATGACGTCAATTCGCTATTGCAGCCGTACACATGAACGTCATTGTGCCCGTGATGACGCCAAATGGCGAGGAGACGACCGACACACACATAATACTCACACCAACACCGACCAGCACTCTTCCTTTCTGCCATAAATTATCCAGTTGGGCATCTTCTTATCGGTGGGTTCATAAATATCGTCTTCCCGCTTATCTGACCACCAAATCGCACATTAATAAATAGCTTCCAAACCAGGGGATAAATTCTTGGGCACAATCCGGTCTGCATGTGCGGCGGTTGAGGAGAAAGTTGACAAATTGCAACTTTCACTCGACATGATGGGAGTGGGATAGGTGTTCCCGTTTTGTGATTGCTCCTTCCTCCCCGTTCCCACCAGGCACAACTATCCTGCCCACTGCTACCCACATTCGGGCATTTCTTCCGTGTACTTAGAGTGTAGCTCGTGCCTCCTGCTTCTGCATTGGTAATAACGCAGTAGAATGGAACGGCCGAACGTCTTATACATTTATGCATCGATTCCCTCTTTCTCAAGCGACCAGCTCTTTTTTCCCTTTGGGATTACTTCACTTTTTGGGCTAAATTTTCAATGGGCTCCCCAAGAACGTACATATGTCGATTCCACTTTTTGGTCGATTCAACAACACCAGAATGAACTATCACTAATTTACTCCGACATACCTACGCGAACGATGCCGTAGGAATGCTGGAAAAGTTTCTCCCATACGGGTACATTTAGTTACATACGTAGATATGTACCATTTGGGCAGTCACTATTCTATGTATTCGCTCACTTTTGGCATGATGAATTTACCTCATCCACCCACCCACAACTACACAAGTCATTTGTCATTGGAGGAGAAAAGGGTATTTTTCTCCTTGATGTCAATGCGAGAGAGGTGGATGATCTGTCATAATGACTTTTTTATGGCTCTCCTCCTAATTCAGTTAGTGGGATTTTTAGAGATTGGTTTGCTCCTCAACTTGCCAAAATAGAAAGGCGTCCATTACGTTTGGTGACGTCTTTCTCTCCAATCATATTGCGAGATTTGCTTCAAGAAAAAGAGGCACTGCAAAGAACACGAGTCCTGATAATAAATATCATTTTGTTGTCGTGTGTCTGATGACAATTCCAATAATAATACGCCACCGTGTCACACAGCAGCGTTTCCCATTTCTTCCATCACTTCTGTCATGGAGAAAGTCGGTGCATAGTTATATTGGTTGGTTAGTAGTGGTTGCTTGATTATATTTCTTACATTCCTTGGAGCATCTGAATCACATTTTGGCGTCCCCACCCACTCACCCACCTGGATGGATGGATGGATCACCGCATCTCCTCACCGGCATTGATGATGATGGCATAATGTGCGAGGAGAAGACGTGCTTGCGTACTTTCACCGCTCGCTCTCCCTGCGATATGGGCTCCCGGAGTGGTTTGGTTGGCAGGGAACCGTTGAGGAGCCATTGTCTATAATTCCATAATTCTATAAATAAGGCATTTGCCAGATTTGCCACACCACCGACCGCATCCATCTCCATCCAATAGTAGTAATCCACTCAAACAACAAAAGCCGTACATCCCTCCGCATACGTACATATTTACTACACACGCCGCCATCAGCATAGATTTTCATATGCAATAATCACACAATCGAATCTCCCGATTTCTCTGGCACGGACGTCATCACGAATATTTCTTTCTGCAGTCAACAAACAGTGCATGACTATATTTAGAGCCCCTTGACAGACGCCGTGTGTACATACATTCCTACAAATTATGTCTCCTTTTCGTCATTCCCGATCTGGTGAAAGGACGACTGACACATTTGACTTTGACTCGTGTCGCATGCATCGACGTGAAGTAATAAAAATGCTAACGAGAGCGTCTCAATCCGTGTAATTCGAGATACCGATTAATAATAATAATAATAGTAAAAAGTATAATAGCGTCCCATTAATTTGGCTTAATGAAAAAATGCGGTGTATGGAAATGGATACATAAAATGAAACCTCTCTTCTGCCCGGATTAAAATTAAGCGTGTGTAATAGCACCACATCTGCTCTGCCAACAAAGGCTCACTCTGAATGAGGTCTCAAGTTACCTTTTCGCCCAGTACTCGTTTCTCCCATTGCACACACTGCACCCCTCTCAATCATAATAATAATATGTACTTATGTAAGTACGCTGCACTGCAAGATCGGTAGTCGACTCCATGCAGATGTACACTCACCGCTTTTCAGTAGTAGCTCCTTCAGTGTGGAGAAAGCAGAGGGAAAGGCGGCGGAGGCGGTGGTGGTGGTGGGGTGACAAGGTAAATTGAATGAGGAGGCAATGAAGGCCCATAAAATAAAACGCATCAGGATAGATGATTACGTTGGATTATTGCCTCTCAATGGGGACTGGAACAAAGTTAATTTAGCGTTTTGGTACAGAATGATGATGTCCCGTTCCACATTCTATTGTCTGCTTCCACTGTGGATGTACACCTTATTATTGTGCCCATCATGCAGTCAGTTTGCTATACGCTCTCCACATGCTCTTCATTGCTTCACTACTCGTATCGTATCTGATATTATTCGTGCATGCACATATGCATGCACGTACATGGAGCGAAAGGTATTGGGCAGGAGTTGAAGAATGAGTAGTTGGCTGGAGAAATGATGAGTGAGTGAATGAAAATGAAGGCGATTTGGTAATTTATGGAGCGTTGAGGAGGAGGAGGAGACACTGGAGTTCTTTGTTGGCGGAAGAATGGGGGGCAAGAAGCGTGTCGAGATTTTGGAAATGCCAACAACTCTGGTGATGAGTCTCTGGGGCTGCCCCAGCCAGAATCCTCCGCTCCCAGGGGACACTTTGCACTCCGTATTAAACAAATGACCCTTGACTCGCCAATCTGCCATCTCCTCTCCTCCTCCTCCTGCCACCACACACACCTCCTCCTCCATCAGCGTCCATTGTGCTGTCCATGCATCGTCCTCCTTCCCTCAGCATCATCTCCTTGTCCTCCATTGTTTGCATATAAATATGAGATTGGAATTCATCCATCGCCTTCACTTGAGACGAGGACCCTGGGATGAGCACATCTCATCATAACGACACACAATTAGCACCACGTACACACTCACCTAACCGTGCAATTTATGAATATTTCTCAACTGTCCCCCGAAGAACAGGCCGACGAGCTGAGAAGGACTGCAGGAGTAGTAATGACAACGTACCATGTTTGTGAGTGAGGCATTTTGAGACCGAGTGGCTTTCCCTTCCTCACAACGACATTGCTCTGTGTACACTACGGGGTTGTATTTCTTATTGAAAAGTGTGTCATTTTTTTGTTTTGCAGTGAGTCGAAACAGCGAAGATTGTGGAGAACGGGCGTCCTTCGTCTACGGCCAACAGCAACAACAATCGAGCTCTGTGGCAGATATCTCCTCCCCAGCAAGACACCACCTTCAAGTGCCTACTGCTCAAGTCAGTGGTAGTCACCTCAAGACATCTCATCAACATTCCACCTCATCAACAAGCATGCTTCTCCTCCAGCCTCAAGTAAGTTTTATCCCCCTGCCCCCAATGTCCGAATATTCCAATGTTCACTACAGATAAAGTACGTTTAACTAAAATTTAACTATGGCGAACGCAGGTCTCTTTGCCCGGATTTGCCGAGATACCCGGATTCCTGGACGCCTTAGTGGACGCCGAGTCGGTACTTCACAACTCAGACTCCGAGTCAGAGTTTCTGAGCGGAGTAGGAGCAGCGTGCGGAAACTTTTACGAGTCGGTGGACTACTCCAATATTGCCATCCCCCAAGGAATCCAAGGACTGCAAGGAAGCGGCGGATTCTCCCTCCTTTACGGCGCCGGAAACAATAACCCATTTTCTCAACACCCCCACAATCATCATCACCACCACCACCACCACCAACACCAAAGTCATCCCCACCATCATCATCATAGCGGACACCAGTCCATCACGACCTACATGGAAGAGACGTCCAACAGCAGCAGCAACACTGAGCAGACCGAGAATGAGCAGAGCCCTGCATGCTTTCTCCTCGAGTCCTCCTCCCTCTCGCTGGACGGAGGGCCACCCGACCCAGGAACCCCACTCCCATCCTTCCAGGAAACATACAGCCCACGCTACAGGCGGGACGTCTTCAGGTATCGCACTACTTTAATTTACTTATTAATGTAATAGTTATTTTTACGGTCATATTTCAGTCATATTTTGGAGTTTTATCGATCATATATAGCCGACGTCTGATGATTACTAACGTTTTTTCAGCTTTGACGAGGCTTCCGTCTCCCCATCCTTCTCTGGCGGCCCCGTGGTTGGGGGACCCTCTTCATCCGCCCCGGCCACACCCCTCACTTCCTCCTCCTCCTCCTCCACCGCCACAACCACCACTTCACACGGTGGGCAGCAGACGCCTCATCATCCCGTGAGCAACCGACGCCACCCATTCCAACACCAGCACAGTCTGGACAGTCCGTCCTCCTCCGCCACTGCCAGTCCCCAGACGCCAATGTCATATCAAATGTATTACCCCTCTCAGTCCCCCTCGTCCTCCTACGAGCTCATGCACTCGCCTCCCCCACCTCCTCTCATTCCCATCGCCACGACTGCGACCGGCTCTCACTGCTCCGCTCCCAAACAGCGCAAAATGTATGTACCACATTGTAACATTTTACTCATGGTTTTGCCTTGATTTGTGGATGGTGATGAAAGTTGCTGTGATGGTGAATTGTTTTATTCTAGAAGTGGACAGTGTCACATGAAGCAGGTGAAGGTAGAGAGTGGGGGGAGCAGCAGTCACGACAAACCCTGCTCCCCAGCAGAGGAGCAACTCTCGAGCGGAAGTCATCATCATCATCGTCATCTTGGGCACGACCAGGCCATGGAAATACAGTCCGGCTCATCGTCATCTGCCATGACACCGCCGGCCGAGAAAATGTGCGCCGTCTGTCAGGACATAGCAGCATGCATGCATTATGGTATGTAAACTTTATGTTATAAAGTACTGATTGATTTTTCAGACTAGTTTCAAAAAATTCATTCAGAGCGTGTTATTCATTGATCTGATTTGTTTGGGTGACAGGGGTTCGAACTTGCGAGGGGTGCAAAGGGTTCTTCAAGAGGACTGTGCAGCGAGGAGCCAAGGTGAGATATTATATCAATTTATAATTTATTTCACATTATTAAATTTGACAACATTAAATTGAGCAAATTGAGAAGGTACGTAAGTAAATCTAAATCTAGTGGATGGTTAAAAATCAAATTTTGATGAACCTGCGGCTGAGGGAGGTCCCAAATACAAATTTAATAATGGTTCCCAATTAATGGATGAAACATCAACACCTTCCGGGATGGTAAACTCCAATTCTTGGCCGGTCCAAAATCCCACCAGCTTCTTCAGTCTATCCACATGACGATCCTCCCATTCGGAAAAATTCTCGTACTTCTCAAAATCAATTTTGATCGGGTGAACGTCAGTCGTTCCTCCCAACATCTCGCAAAGGAGTACTCCCATTTGTCCAACCCCTTCCATCTTCTTTGTCTCCTTCTCTATGAAGTCAGCGTCACCTTCTATATTATTTACAGTTAATATAAATTCAAGTTAATAATAATTATTATGATAAGTCATCTTCACCTTCACATTGGAAGAGAGGGATTCCCTTATCCGTAGGAGGGTGACTTGGGTGGATGAAGGACTCTGGTCCACCTGCTCTAGTACCCACCTTGCGTTGGGTAACCGTTCCAACGTAGATTCTTCCTGCAGTGCCAAATTTCTCATAGATCCATTTATCTCCGTCTCTCCACTTAAGGTCTGCTATTTTCAACAAGGGGGATTCCTTCGATTCTGCATACTCTGAGGTTTCTCCTAGCTCCAGTTTGAAGCCACAGCTTTCTAAAAGTGTCTTCACGACTGCCCAATCGACTTGGTCAACGAAAAATTGATCCTTGACGAATTTCACAGGATTGGCTGCATTCTTTTCATGTGAATTGATGGTGGACATAATGGCGAGAGTAACGCTAGTGGTTTGATACAATGTTTTGGACAAGTCCAAATCTTTCGCAATCCAAGGACGTGGCGTCACCAGCTTCCATTTAGGAGAAAGTTTTGCTTCCTTCTGCTTTTCCTCGTAATTACAAAAAGCGGCATTACGCGGAGGATTGTTCCTTGCTGTCTCTAGAACTCCATCTAAAGTGTGGGTGAATTTTTTAGTGTGGGGATTGGTTGTCATAAGGGTGTAAGTGGGCAAAGGGTTGTTTTCATCCTTCAGAAGGAAGTGTGTCACATAAGAGTCGGCGTGTTCATGACAGGCCCCATCGTTTGCTTTTGATTTCCAGCAATCCCCGTCTTTACATATTCCATGTCCCCCGCTACCATCAGTCTTCCACGTTATTCTTCCTCCAGAAAACGTCACATCCACAACAATTGTATCTTCCGCGTTACATTTCTTCTTGCTGCTTTTTCCGCTTTTAGATTTCAGGGTTTTATCTCTCCTATGCATAGTTTGGTCTGTCACCTTCCTTGCATCTTTTGTGATCTTCATGACTTTTCCAGATTTCAGCAGTGCTTTCATGTCATCTGAGGTTTTCATGAGCCTGTCTTCTCCATCATATTTCAGGTAATTCTTCACATGTCGGAATATGAAGTCAGCCATTGAGAGTGGAGTGGGTGGAGTCCATGGTTGAGCTTTTGGAGGGGAGGGGGAAGTAGCGGTTTTCCACGGAAAGCGTGTAGCCTGAGTCTCTTGGGAGTTGAAGGGTGAACACTCTAGAAACATTTTCCTTAAAATTAGTGACTAAACTATACGAGAATTAATAAAGTAATTTAAACCTTACCATCAATTTGTTCGAGTTCTCCATCTTCGCTTTTCACGTAGATTTGAATAGAAGAGCCAGGAGGGGGTTGATACACTGTGAAGTTTAATCGAACTTTCTTCTTCTGTATGGGACTACCTTCCACTTCCGAACACGCATGTTTTGACAACATTTTCACGAAAACAAACTAATTTTAATTGGTGATTATTAATTAAAAAAGAACAACAATGCGAGAGAAAGGGAGCGACCGAGTTGAGTGGAGTTGTTGTTGTGTGTGTGAAGGTGGGTTCGCAATTGAACAGGTCAACGACCGCTGATTAAATTTTGTATTTTTTATGTTGCCAAGTACGTGTGCATGGCCAACAGGAACTGTCCGGTGGACAAGCGAAGGCGGAACCGCTGTCAGTTTTGCCGGTTTCAAAAGTGTTTGACCGTGGGGATGGTACGCGAGGTGGTGAGGACGGATTCACTGAAGGGACGACGGGGGCGGTTGCCGTCTAAGCCGAGGGGGATCGTATGGGGGATCTGAGTGGGGGCAGCCATGCTCAGCCCCACCATGCCCCCACCCACCCAGTCTCCCTCATCACTGCTCTCGTCCGTGCCCACCTGGACACCAGCCCCGACTCTCGCAACAAGGACTACGCCATGGTATGTACCTCCACATGCCTATACCAGCAGGCAGGCAGTGCAATTTGGCTGCATCACTCGATTCATTCGCCGTATTGTTCTCTATTGCAGTACCAAGAGCCACCCTTTCACGAGGGAGACTTGCCCCAGGACAAAGAGTCGCTCTTGAACCACCCAGAGTACATTCAGCAGTTTTTTAGTCTTCTGAGCAGTTGCTTTGATGTCATACGCGCATTTGCGGAAAAGATTCCGGGATTCCTCGAGTTCAGCAAGCAGGATCAAAATCTTTTACTTCAGAGTGCGTCCCTGGAACTTTTTGTGCTCCGACTCGCCTACAGGATCCAGCCAAACGAAGATTATCTCACTTTCTGCAATGGGATTGTTCTGCACCGAGATCAGTGCAAGTCCTTGTTTGGGGACTGGTATGACACCATCACAGAGTTTAGCCAATCCCTTCAAGCCATGCAACTCGACCTGTCCACCATGGCCTGCTTGGAAGCCCTCGTTCTCGTGACTGGTAGGTGGCTCGTGTTCTTCAAGTTGATAACCTTGGTGGAAATGTGGCGAGATATTCATGCATTTAAATGTGTATACACAGATCGCCATTCACTGGAGGAACCTGTGAAAGTAGAACAACTGCAAATGAAAATCATCGGCTCTCTTCGAGACCACGTGACCTACACTGGCGACGGGCAGACTAAACCTCATTTCTTTTCCAGGATTTTGGGGAAACTACCTGAACTGCGAAGGTAATGTTTACAAATTAAATTATTTTTTCCTTTCGAGCATAAATATTTACTTGGTTATATTCTCATTTAACAGTCTGAGCGTCCAAGGTCTTCAGCGCATTTTCTACTTGAAGTTGGAAGACCTGATTCCTGCACCTCCTGCCATCGAGGCCATGTTCTCCTCAACCCTGCCCTTCTAATAAAATCCCACGCTTCTTCAGGTTGAGGACAATGAACTAGACATCAGGATGATATAAAACAATGGCCCCTTTGAAAGACTTTTGCATTACACCGGTACAACGTAAATTATGGCGACTGTACTTATTGTTGCACGATATTGTAGGATGTCATCTTGAAGCGTTGAACGTGAAATGTTTATTAGACTGCTGGGAATGGTATACACTTAAAAATATACATAATTAGGTAATAGGAAAGTTTGATTGCTGATTGGGTGCGAGTGTATTTGCATACATTTGGCTCTCGGAGGGGCGCAAATGAGGTAAAAGCCACACCCATCCACTCACATCATGAACCCAATTCTCATCTCATAATAGTAATTGTGAAGAGCAAGTATTAAGTCACACATTCTTGATAATATATGGTCACGTAAATTCCCCTCCCCGGAAGCTATATATTATCTAATATATTTATAACCACGCTAGTCTCATTCATAATATTTGCTACCACCACCCCCACCAAAGTACAATAGAGTACCAAGACATTATTTTAATCCGACTACTAACTATTATGATTTAGATTTAGGTCATAATATGTATGTACAGATTCAGTACCATAATAATTCACATAACGCACTGTTGTGTCACTCACATCACCAAATATCTCCATCCACTTTATACCACGATTATTACACCAGTTAAGAGCACTAAATATACTAAATAATAGATGGGAAAGAAACACCAAGTTAATTGTGTTTATTATACAAAATATTATGTAAAAGCCAGCCATGCTACCTATCCACCCACCTGGCACCCACAAATTAAGATATCATACTGATAACAATGTACTGAATAATCACGGTCAAGAAGAATGATATTCAATGCTAATTTATAAACTTTATTGACTCTCTCATTCATTTTTATGTTGCATAATAATAGTTGTGTTGATGATGGTGATGTATGTAGGTAGACGAGATACATAATATTGTTAAGAAACCAAAGCTCTAGACAAAAGCTAACAACATTAAGTAAACTATTAAGTAAACTCGTACGACGACAAAGTTGTTGTTTGGTGCATATTATTTACTATTATGTATTAGTATTATGATACCAAACGTTGTTCTCGTTAATAGGATTTGTATCTGTTCTCTACTTATTACTTTATTACTCCATGAGCCAGACGTACACACCCACTAATATACTTACTTACTACTACTTCTACGGCCGACAAACAGTCGAAATATCTGTGAAATTCGTGTTATGTAATAATTATAATAGTCAACATTCAGTCACAACAATAATATGAGTATTTATGCATATAAATATATTGATCAATAAATCTGAGTTGAAACAAGTATCAAAAATATCAAGAGTTGTTATTATTAAGTATCATTGTATTTTTCGTTAGTTATTAGTTAGCAGTACTGTCGCTATTCGACAAAGCTCGATCTCCACCTCCTGATTTCATTTTCTTGAAAAGACTAATTGGTCGGTTATTAGTGGTTGAAGAATTTGTGCTGTTAACTTTAATATTAGCACCAGCAGTAGCAAAACTTGAGTTATCTTTCCTGATTGGTTTCGTCATATTAACATCAGCAGCACCATCAGCAGCCGTACAATTTGCACTCTCAAACTCATCAGGAAGATTGTTGGCTTTCGTACCTGTTTTTGTGGTGGGAGCAAAACCAGGAAACATTTTGTAAATAATATTGGTATCATCATATGACGACTCGGGTATGCAGCGTTCAGTAATTTCAGGAGATATCGTTTCAGCCAGAAGAGCCTTCTTCATGTTGACATTGGCCGAGGTGCAGAGCTCCTTATGACTAATTTTTGACGAGTCCGAGGAGGAACGATTCCCATCCAGAATTCCTCCGTCTGGACCTCGTGGTTTTAAAATTGACTTCAAAGGAGTTTTATCTGCTCCAGGAACTGCAATAGATTTCGCTTCTAACGAAGGAGGGCCAAACTGGGCATAAATATCACCGGGGCCTCGTACAATCTGATAGTCTTCATCGTTATCCGAGTCCGAAGAAGATTCCTCTGATAATAGTTCGGCAGAAGAGTTCAGTTGTAAACTTTCGGTCGAATTCTCAGAATAAGCTTTTTTATTGGAGTCACCACCGCCAGAGGAGTGGAGAGCTTCATGGCGAAATCGGATGAAAATTGGATCATACAACCCATTTTCGATGCTCTGTTCGGAAGGTATATAAAGCTCGACTATGTCATCTTTTCTTGACTCGCAACACTCGGTAACATCCTTCCCTTTCTTCTTGAGAGTATTCAGATCTGTTAAATTATGAATTATGTTGTCTGGACTAAATGTGACTTTCTTCCCAGACGCTGCATTGGTAGAATTATTGTCTGCATCTCGGTTGTCCATTACGTATAGTAACTCTGCAGCTTCTGGTAAACTTAATTTTGACTTGTTTGACCTTTCCCGTATTTTTACAGTACACTTGTTGTCGTCATTATGATTATTCCCAACTGGCTCAGTCATGCGTTGCTCGTAAATGGCTTGTGCTTCCATGAACTCTTCTTCCAACTCTAGGGCGTCCAGTCTTGTCCACAATTTTTCTTCCTCTGCCGTCTTGCCAAGATTATTGACCACGGCGCTTGTTTGTAAGGCTTGGCGTTGTCTGGCTAGCTCTTGGTGATGCTTTCGAACTTTCTCTCTGTGCGTATTACGCCACTTTTTCTCCTTCACTTCGTCATATTCCTCAATAATTTCAATAGTTCCATCTCCAAGCGTTTCTACCATTTGCCGTTCTGCCTCGATCTTCCAAGAGTTGTATAATTCCCTTTCCTTCTCCACTCGATTAAGCGTATCATCAATTTCTGAGGTGTAAAATCAAATAAACCATTCTTAATAAGTAATGATAGTAATAATAATAATGACATTATCATAGTACATGCAGTCATATTTATTAACATATGCAAAAAATAAAAACATTACTTTTCAGTCTATGAGTGATAATTTCTGCAGCATCCTTTGCAGTACACTCAATGAATGTATTTTCACCCAAGAGGACAAGTATCTCATTGGTGTGGATAATTTTCCCAGGGCACAAGGCTTTTGAACAAATTGGCACCATTGCATCATACTCGATCTGTAACATACAGTCAAAATATGAAGTGGATCTGTGCATATCACAGTAAATAGTACAGTGCACACATGTTTAGGAGAATATGTACACATAAATATGTGCCCCATGCTGGTCATGTTTTATGCTACGTAAACAACGGAACAAGATATACTATATGGGATAAACCTTATCAGGAAGTGTTTTAAGGCGAGATTTAAGCTTTATGTAGTCATCTCGGAACTTTTGAAATTGGTCTCGTTTGCTAAAGTTGTCCTCCAAAGCCTGTAATAAGCGTGGACATATTTATTAAATTATGCCATTTACTAAGACTATATCATTGTCACTAAGATTTGACCTTATCATATTGGTGGACAAGACTGTCAAGAGACTCGCAGTCCACTTTGTGCAGTGACCCCCCAACAACGTGGTCTGCAGGGGGAGGAGACGAATTCGACGACATGCTGCTCGTCGTCACCAACAAGGACGTAGGGCAGACCAATTAAAACAAGTCTGGGCCCCTCACCTAGGCTTCTCCTCAAAAGAAACGTTCATTTAAACTCCCTACGTCGGTATTTATCAACATTGATTTGTCAATCTTAAAGTTTAAGACTTAATCTAAGCTCAAAAAGATTAGTTGGTTATTATTATTTAATTAAGTCGGTTGTCCCTTTTGTCCCATTAAAAAAATGGTTTCGTTCGTTCTTTTGATCTCAGAGAGTGGATCTGGTTGCCAAAAAATGAATCTGGCGGTGGAGTCAAACTTGATGACCTTGTTAGATTGATCAGTCAGATGATACTTTGATAAGCAGCTCTTATCACTGTACTGACGGTTCCCCACTGCCCACCTACGTTCCAAAAAATGGTGACCATGCTGCTGGGTTCCCTGTGTCGAGGAGGGCTAAGAAGGCCGGTCGAGGCCGGCTGCAACCGGCGAGCTTTGTTGTTGTTTACCAACACTACACGTGCTCGGTCTACGACTGGGACTATCCGACTTCCTCTCTTCGCCCCTGTTTTTGAGCCCAGGTTTCAGGAGAAAGTCGCTTTCACCGACCACCAGGGTCACCACTTCACGTTCGCCCAGCTAGGTCGAAAAGCGGTATGACTGGATTTAACTGGATATAATTACTAGGATCAACTAATTAACGCTGTATTACTTTAACTAATTAGGCTGGATTGGCAGCGGAGTTGGAGGCAAAAGGAGTGAAATGCAGGGGTGGCGACGAGCAGAGGGTGGCCTTCATGTGCGAGAGAGACCTCAGCTTCCCCACCACGCTCATCTCTACCTGGATGACTGGCAGCATTGGTGAGAAAGAGGATAATCAACAGGGATCTTGTTATTATCCATATTGTTGTTATCCATAATGATGATGTGGTCCAATTAATTAATTATGCACAATTTTTCACTCCCAGCAATTCCACTTTCATCCAGCCATCCGGACACAATGTTGGAATACTTTCTGAAAAGTACGGGTTCAAAGTTAGTTTGTTCAGAAATATACAAGGATAAATTGAACGGCGTGGCGAAATCCACTGGAACCGAGCTGTTGGTAGTGAATTTTGATAAGTTGAAGGACGGAGATGTCAGTTTTGGAGTGAAAGTGGCAAAGGAGTATAATTACGAGGGGAAAGGGGGGCTAATTCTTTTCACGAGCGGGACAACCGGTGAGACACATTAGAAACATTTTTGCATAAAATAATTTGTAATTCAATTATACGATTATTTCAGGTCAACCAAAAGGTGTGCTCAAATTATATTCTGCATAAATTAATTGAAGGCTAATCAGTTTTATTTAATATGAAACCTAATAAGGCGTACTTCTAACTCATTCCAATCTGCTGGATCAGGTATATGTGCATACAACATGATTGATCACACGCAGATTTGGGTTGCCAATGTAATGATTATGCTGTTCCTGAAGGTAACAAACATTTGTGACGCATGGGAAATAACTGAGAAGGACACAATGCTACATGTGCTCCCTTTACATCATACGCATGGGTTAATTCATGCTTTGATCAGTCCACTTGCAGTTGGAGCCAGGTACATATCCGTATAAATCTGAATAACAATAAATTATACACTGTTGATCAAATACAATTTTGTTTTCTGGACAGGAGTCATATGCTCCAAAAGTTTGATCCTGCCAAGGCTTGGGCAGAACTTTTATCGACCGATAATGAGCTGAGACCCAACGTGCTAATGGGAGTACCTACAGTTTACATCAAACTCATAGAAGAATTTGACAAATCATTTGCCAAGTCCCCTACCAAAGTTGCATTCATTAAGGAAACATTGAAACAAAAAATGAGGTAAGTAATAAATATGATGATGTGATCTGATTATATAGACATTTACAAAACTTTGGACGTTTGCAATTTTTCAGGCTGATACTCAGTGGTTCTGCTTCCTTACCCGTCCCAGTGCTGGAGAGATTTGAACAAATCTCTGGCCATCGTCTCCTAGAACGGTATGGAATGACTGAAATTGGCATGGCCCTCACAAACCCTTTACATGGCGAAAGAAAACCAGGATTCGTTGGCAAACCCTTTGAAACTGTGAAACTCCGAGTGGTTGACATGACCTCGCGTGATAATTACAAACTGTTGGCGGAAAGCGACTCGCATGGGACCCGAATACTCGTGGACAAAGGAGAGAAAGTCATTGGAGACTTACTGGTGAAGGGGCCTTCTGTATTTAAAGAGTACTGGGGAAATCCTGAAGCTACCAAGAAGGAGTTCACTAATGATGGATGGTTTATAACAGGTGATTTGGCAGTCGTGATTTGGCCGAAAATATAAAATCTAACCGACTTAGAATTAGAAATCTGCTATATTTGGAAATGAGGGAATGGAATTGATTTTGTATTCTGCGTAAAACAGGGGACACTGTCGAGTTCACTGAAGGTGCTTACAAAATTTTGGGACGAAAATCTGTGGATATTATCAAAAGTGGTGGATACAAACTAAGTGCTTTGGAAATTGAGACTCAACTTTTAAGCTTTCCAGAAATCAAAGAGGTTGCAGTAATGGGACTTCCCGACCCGACATGGGGACAGAGAGTGGTTGCTGTACTTGCTTGGAATGGAAAAGAACTCAGTTTGGCCGAATTCAAAGAACTTGCCAAAACGCGAGTTGCTCCATATGCAATTCCTACCCTTTTAAAATCTCTTCCCGAACTTCCAAGAAATCATCTAGGAAAAGTAAACAAGAAGGAACTAGTCAAAATATTTGCCACATAATTCTGCTACGGCTAAAATGCATATGTTCGGACCGGATTAAGTAAACATGTTCAACAACTCGTGACCAAATAAATTAATACATTCCTAAAATTACTGGGTAATGGTGAACAAATGTAATATTGTACTCTCAATCAGTTAAAACACATTTGTACATATTGAGAAATACATATTTATATTTAGTATTGTGTTGAGTCTGACCTTAAGCTCAACCGTTAAGCTCGGTCTGTTTATACAAAGAACTGAGTACATCTCTTAGTGTCCCACCGCTCAAGTAGTCAAAGGCTTCGTCTAACACTTCATCCTCGTCGCTAACGTTAGAAATATCCATAACTTTTGAAGGTTCATCCTCGTCAGCATCATCGTCGGATGATATCGCCATGTCCTTTCCAGTTTCGTCGAATGAGTAACGAGACATGAGGAGACTCCCTGCTTTTGATTTAGTCGATTTAGTTTCCACTTTCATAATATCCGCAAGACTTTCTCCAGCATAGAATCCTTTAATGACAATGTACAAAACTGGAAACTCGACAATTTTCTTCCCTTCTAAATTCGTTTTCAATGTCTGTGTTTTGTCCAGGAGATACATTCTGTAGCAATATTTGCATTGGTATTTACTAATCTATAGTAGCAATGTAGGTGAGAATCTATTGAATGAATTAATTGTAAATGAACTACTCACTTTCGTTGAGCGCCAGGAACCTTTTCTGCTTGAAAAAGAATTTCGATATCCGATCTGGCGCATTGGTACGCCTCAAAATGTTTTCTCAATTCCTTTTTACGCGAAAAAGCTTCAGCCAAGCACTTGTCGATCACATCCTCTAGTGCCAAGTCTTCAGGACATCTGCAGTCATCAAAAAACAGGGAAACATATAAATTGGTCACTATAATTTTCACTTTATAATTAGTACCTACCTTGTAATAGGAAATGTAAACTTTTGAGCGTGAAGAAACACGAGTTTCAGTCTCCAATTGATTTTCTTTGTCTTCCAGTCAAACATGGTGGTGTTCTCTTTATGCCTTGCAAAGTTTTTGGGAAGGAAATAAATTCGAGAATTTCTTTGGGAAACAGCTTTGCGAAGTTTTTGTAGATGCTGAAAATGCAGATGAACAACATATAGTGTGCTGACTACTTTATAAATTACTATCACTCAACAACTCTTAACGGGATACAAGTACTCACAGTAGGCAAGGGCGCAGACTTTCTTGTATTTCGTCGAGTCGTGTCCCTCGAACAAGAATCCGCGACTCGGGATAACTCCTCTAGCAAACGATAATCTGGAATAGGAAGCGAGTTTGTATATAAGTTCCAATCCAATCCAATCTAATCATTGTTAGAATATTTTCTTTTTCGAAAAAATAAGCCCACATGTATACGAAACTAATACATGTGCATACCACTGAGGAGATCAAGTTCGGTCATTTCATTGACAGGCACAAAGGTGGTCTTGTTTCGGATTCCGGAGCATTCGAACGTTTTCTTGTGGTTGGTGCTACAGATCAAACTGCAAGAGACGAGGTCACACTGGGGGCAGCGGTACTTTGCCGTCTCTTCCGTGCACATCATACAATTCCCCAATCTATTATTAGCAACAAATGTTCACAAAATTTAGATACCGGAAATATTTAATATTATTTTTACAAAGACTACCTGTTCATTTTTCGGAATAGTTGGTTATTTATCTATTTGTTTCTTTAATATTTAGTATTTTAGTTGGTCGGAATAGTGTACCAACTGTTCGAGGATTATTAATTAACAATTTATTAAGATAAACTAAAAAAATCAAGTACAACTGTGCAGTATTACAAGAACTAAACTGTACGACATGAGACATGAGATGATGAGAGTTGATGAGAACATGTGCTTGGCATATTTTATATTTGGTGCAGCAGAGTCAGTAGAAAGATTGAGTCAATCCATCAGGAGTGTTTGCACATATTACAATTTTACAATTACAATTACACCGTTTTAAATAAAAATTGGTAATTTATAATGGAGTGTCACGAGGAAGACGAAGAAAAATCTTCTGCCACACCGAGGGCAGTTATCCAAAAAGCTCCGCGTTCAAAGCGTCCACATAATTTTTCATCTACAGAAGGTACGTTCCCCAAAATGCCAAGAAGTTTGAAAATCACAATATTCGTAATTCCGTCTTATATATAAGTAATAGTTTTTTATTGAATAGTTAATTTGTCATTGATATCATTCTTTTTAGGGTCGAAGCGTCGACTGTTATGTACAGTGGAAACGTGTGGATATTCCACCCCACACTCCAAGGACTTGACTCGACATATGCGGAAACACACGGGTATTAAGATTAATTAATTGGTAATATAATAAAAACAAATACCCTTTAGTATTTAATTGAACTTTGAACTTCCAGGTGAAAAGCCTTTCAAGTGTGACCAATGCGAAAAATCATATAGCCGTGCAGATAAGTTATCGCTTCATGTTCGACTTCATCAGAACAAAAAGTTATTCGCCTGTAGCACATGTGATTATACAACGGTCGACAATCACAGTTTAACAAAACACCTCCGTGTTCATAACGGTGAACGGCCTTTCAAGTGAGTCCTCACAATTTTGTTCTAACCAGGTTGCATAATACATAAATCTGTTTAACTAATAATCACTAATATTTTCAGATGCCAAGTGTGTCCATATGCTGCAAAAGAATCGTCCCAGTTGGTCGTTCATCTCCGCAGTCACACCGGTGATTGTCCTTATACTTGCTTTACACCTTATTGTTCAGCTGCCTTCAAAACACTTTCCGACCTTAAACGCCATGCTCGCCTCCACTCAGAAGAGAAGCCATATTCTTGCCCTCATTGTACTCATCGTAGTCGTGTAAAATCTAATCTCATGTCACACATTCGCTCCGTGCACAAGGATCAATTAACAACAGATGAGGGTGTGCTACCTCCTTCCAAAAATTGGACAAAGTCCAAAACGAGCACTAAAGCAGCAACTATTATTATGAGGGGTAGGACAACTCAACCAACTATTCCACTTCTTGAGGCTGGGGTGACTGATGAACAGCAGTATGTTTGCGGAGGAGAATATGTATCGTTATTGCGTCATGAAGAAGAGGAAGAAGAGGAAGAAGAAGAAATGAGTATGAAGCAGCTGCCAGTTCAAATGGTAATACTGGAGGGACGCAGTATTCATATCCCACCCAAAAAGGAGTCCTCGTCACAGGATGTAGAGGATGAAGAAATTCAAGATACCCAACTTCCATTTGAATTTGCATGCAAGAAATGTTCCTTTCGTGCTGCCAACTACAGTAAGGCATTCAGTAATAAGTAAGGTTATATAATTAAATAAATAATTCACAATACGTGTAACTTTGCAGAAAGCTTTGTAGCCCACTTAAAAAACAGTCCTAAATGTGATGATCCAAATCAAACTCAAGAATTTCTTACAAAAACTGTTCCAATCAAGAAACCCGTAGGTCGACCCTCATTGCGAGGTCGTCGAAATGGCGGCCTTCAAAGTGGTTTGGAAACATATTTCAACTGCGACTACTGTACGGCATCATTCGTAAGGAAAGATTCTCTTCGATGTCACATGCGCCAACATTCTGCAATACTTTCTTCTACCACCACTGGCGTTACTAGCGTAGAAGAAAGAAGTAGTGTAGAAGTTGGTGGAGAACGAGGCCCTTCTTATACATCTTCCGAGTCTCCTTCTTCATTTCCCACAACTGAGCCACAATTTCTAAACTTTTTAAACGTCACGTCCTCAACCTCAGGAGCAACAGGGAGTGGTGGGGAGGGCTTGTTCACTTCCAGCTACCCAAATCTCAACTTTCACCCGGCCACAACGACCTCCACCACAACAATAATGGAACCCAACATTCCAAGGGGTAGTTGTAGAAATACTATAAATGTGTCAGTGCCCAGTAGTGTCATCACGGAGAATCCTTTCATCCCTGCCACATCAAACAGAAGCCAAATATTCCTAGTCAGCAGCGAGTCCTTGGGGAGCTTGCCGTCACAGGATGCTGTTGAGAAAATTTCTAGAAATAGCCCATCCTCCGTTTCTTCACCTCATTAACGAACCTACTCATGAATTGTGTGTCTATAGTTAAATGATGTGCATCTCTAAGTACAATCGCAGTAATTTATTTATTAAATCACGAACAAAAGACACTGCACATTGTGACAATAATGAAGAAAGTTATAGTTCAAATAATTTGCAATGATTCACTCATTTTGTTGTATCACAATCACTAATTACAACCCAGTATGAAGGACATTTTCCAAACTTCAAATCAACCTCATTACAAATGAAATTGTGTTTAAAATAAACTTAATAAAACATAATATTGTCATTTCTGTTGGTGGTCGTACATAAACAGGCAATACCTAAAATGCTATGATAAAAACAAAGATAGAAGGACGAGAAATACCTTCACATTTTCCTCCGACAGATATATGTGGTTGTCTTGAATGTATATAAAGTCTGGTTATTTAAAATGGTATTAGCAATATTTATTTTTATAAAATAAACCGACAGAAACACATGCTCTTGTGCCTTTTTGTGAATTAATTAATTCATTGTGCGAGTCACTTGTTACAATTCATCGTCATTATTATTGTTGAAATTGGGAGAAGGAATGAGAGGCGAGAGAGGATTGCGACGAGCTGGATTTTATTTGTTGGGGAGCTTTACCAAACGCCATTTGCAGAATCTTGATCCTCGGTAATAAGCTGCTGTTTAAATTTCTGTCTTCAAACTTGGTCACGGCGGCTTGGTATACAGGGATGAGTCGGGTGACGCCCTTTATATTCTTGGATTCGCTCATGTCAAGACACATTATGCTCATATTTAGGTAGCTGGAAGACAATAAAATTGTGAATGGAAGAAAGACATTTACATCATATTATTATCAGCAGAACTATTTTGCTTCTTGTTCTATCAGTTGTACATACTATTAGCAACCAACTCTTTGTGTGAATGGAGAGTACGCGGGGTGAAGCAAATTTGCGGCACCATGTAGCATCCAGAATGGACATCAAAAAACCAAATTGAAACCTCGGCATATTGTAGAAGATATTAATTAAAAAATATTTTCATCTATAAAATTTTTCGAAATCTTTCGTTTCTGACCTTTTATTAAGGGGTCAAACCCCGTCCGTCCGCATTATGATTTCTTCAAAACGGATGCGAATTTTGACATTCAGTTTTCGCCAAAAGAGTTCAGAATTCCCCCGAACGTTGACGGTAAAAACCGCATGTCAAAATTCGCATCCGTTTTGAAGAAATCATAATGCGGACGGACGGGGTTTGACCCCTTAATAAAAGGTCAGAAACGAAAGATTTCGAAAAATTTTATGGATGAAAATATTTTTTAATTAATATCTTCTACAATATGCTGAGGTTTCAATTTGGTTTTTTGATGTCCATTCTGGATGCTACATGGTGCCGCAAATTTGCTTCACCCCGCGTACTCTCCATTCACACAAAGAGTTGGTTGCTAAGAGTATATAGACTTACTCAATTTTTACTTCAGTATCCTCTAAAATATCCGAAGCTAGAAGTTGCATGATCGATAGATGAACCGAAGAGGAGAGATTCAACTCTGGGAGAACGGCAGCATTATAACTTTTACAGAGTTGCATTAAAGTATCAGCATCCCCGAGGCTTGAGGCCTACAAGAAATTAAAATCTGCATTAGTTACAATGTCAAGAACATTTAAATTAGTTGTAGCTTAATACATAAGTGTTAAATTTGTGACTAATCCTAAGTACTATATACACGAACCAGAGTGAAAGCTCCTCGAACATCTCCATTCCTCGCCATTTCCATAACTCGTCTCTTGTTGGCACGAGCGTCGGAAACTGGCATTCCACCCAAACTCTCGCAAATGGAGACGGCAGGGGTGACAGACCGGGGCCCAACGGAAAGTTCTAGGAATCGTTGCTGCTCTTGAAAACTACGGCTGAGTTCTCGTGTCATGGAATCTTCAATCTGGCGAACAACGCCACCTTGAATTCTGTGATAGAGAGCAAAGTATTATTAATTATTATTATAAATGTAGCTAAACGAGTTTAACGACATACTCACCCTCCCAGAACTCGAACCATTTGGGCCTCAATTTCCACCTGTAGTGTGCTGCTCAGAGCATCCTGCATTGATGATATTTGTTGAGTAATGAGCTCCTGAACATTCTCACGTCTTCGTTCCCTCTCCAAAACACCCTCGAGTCCAGTCAAGTCTACACAAAGGAAATTGTGCATATACTTAACATGAACTAGTAATTAACCAGTAGCTCTTGCTTGTTTTTGTAATACAACTAACTTATCATCACGGACAAATATCTGAAAAATGCTTACATTCTCTGGTTCCATTCCTAAATGTCTCGTTGACTTGAGTCAACATTTCTTGCACGGCGGTCTGACACCGAGGAAATACAGAGTTCATGAAGATATCGTTGAAAGTCGAGTCGAACACGTTTTTCGTAATAGATTGGAAATTATTAGTTAACGTCTGCCATATTCTGTCTCGTTGCATAATCTGATTAATATTCTGTGCTAATTTCGCCTCCACCACGTTTGTCAGGCGGTCAATTTGTGTCTGAAAGTAAACAAACATTGTAGTAAGTACACACATTCCTTTGGTCAACACAATTCGAGTAGACCGTGGACTTGAATTAAAATAGTTGTTATTCATAATACCACCACGTTCAATTTGGCGGGATCAAAAACGGTGGACAACGTGGCAGGAACGACGACGTCCAATTCTGTCTTGACAATCTTCCCAATGCTTGAGGCCAATAGTTCGGCCAAGTTGGGAGGAATTACAGCTTGCGATGTGTGGTGCTTTTCCTGCCACCATAAAGGAAATTTATTATTTATTATTTTAACCAATCTTGTCAGATTGAGTAAGAAAAGCATTCAATGCAGAAAGATGTGTGTCGACTTGCGTACCGAGCTTTCTAAACTGCGTATCATTTCTTCAATTCTGACAAACTGACTCTGAGTTAGCTTTGCGTGATTTTCAATGACTCGAGTAAGTAGATCCGACTCTTGAGTATTTTTCTGTAGTTGCATCACTGTAAGACGATTCATTTCTTGTTTCATCCCCTAAAACAATAACAATTACAATAATAGTCAATCACGAGATGCTCGACTGAGTTATATTTTAATTAATATTCTACATGCGTTTTGATGTACCTGAATTTGATCCGCTTGAGCACAAACTAAGGCAGTCAAACTATTGATCTTCTCCAACACAAGGTGGTTGCCCTGAAAGTCCGTGTTGGTTGCACTCTTTGTCTTTTGTGGGCTTTTGCGGTCTGAAGACCCCAAAAGCTGCTGGTACCCAGCAACCGAGGACATTATGTTCCCATTCTCAAAAGTTGGGTCCAATGATAATGTAGCATTTAGGACACTCAATGGATCGTCAAATCCAATATTTGAACCAACTCCTCCAACTATACCGTACAATTACATAAAAAATTATACTTCGTTGATTAATTCTACTTCCGTGTGAAAAGTTAATGTTAAGTTGTTGGACTTACAATTTTGTGTACTCTTAGGACTCAGAATTTCTTCTACTTCTCGACTAGGACTTGAAGACGTTGAAGTTTTACTGGCACTGCCGTTAGTATGTCCTTCCCTCCCGCTTACAAACGACTGGACTGGTCTTGGGCTTGGACTTTTTGTTCGTGACGAAGAACTAGTCTTGGCAGAGACTGGTACTGGAGGTGCCGCCGGAGACACGCCCATCAGTGAACTCAACTGTTCAGTCATCTCTGCCGCCGAGGGCACTTCTCGTGGTACGTTGTTTGGAGATAGGGAGGACGTGGAGCGACGTTGCTTAGTGGAATGGGAAGACGAACCGATACTGTGGTTTGATGATGTTGGGGAAGGTGGTTGATGTCGCCGATGATTATGATGGTCTGCTTCCAATGAAGTGGCACGGATAGGAACCATCCCACCCGAGCTGGCGGTGAGAACGTTACGCACACTTCTAGTTCCTTCTTGGTGTGAGAGATTTTGTGGAGATTGCGACTTGTCAGGATCTACAAACTCTGCAATTTAACAATGTAAGCAAATTGTAAGGTGCTGAAATTTAACATGTAGTGTAACATGGTTTTGTAAAAATAAAAATACACATCTTACCTCTCAAGTCGATACTTCTATTAAAAGAAATTCGTCGTGCTCCATTTGAACGACTTCGAGTAAATATTTTTGGCGATTTTAGAGCTACAGAGCCCTGTTGCATGGATCGAGGTTGAACCACATTTATTTCCACTAGATTCAACACATCTTCCTTACTGTAAGAACCATGATCTCCCATTACTGAAAATTGTGAATAATAGCAAGGTAACCACTTTTGAAACTGCTGGAATAAAGATTATACTTATGCATGTTTACTTGCTGGTCCGTATCCCTTTGCCACTGCGTCGCCAAACTGTATTCTGCTTGCAGAACTGAGATTGAAGCCAATAGTGTTCCAGGGCATGGAGAATTCCTGGACCCAGTCAAACCTAGCTTTGTGTTCGGTGCAGTCCAAGTGGAGAAGATACATGGCCTTTACGAGAATAGAAACAGCAACAATAACATAAACACTCGTAAATAAAAGTAACTCGTAAACAGAGGATAATTCTATCGTGTCGTGCACCTTTTTGTGAATATCTGTCGCCATCAAATATCTCGCCGTGAGATTAAGTTCCAGCTTCCACTGTGACGTTTTAGGTGTAGTGAATTTCAGCGTTTGAAGACATTCCCAAGATTTGCAGGTAAAAAGCTTTAGTTCTGAACAGTTATCCGCAGCTGTTATCATAAATTTCCAGTACTGAGATCTATCCCCAAACACATAATCATCGAGTTATAACAAATGGAAAGATGGCGAGATAATGGAGTAGCATAACGCATATAAATAAAGTAACAGCATAAAATATGGCATAAGTACGTGTCGCCTTCATACTCGGAGACATTGTCTTTGCTCAAGGTGTGGTTGTCCAGAAAGAAGATTTTGTCGACTGGTCGCCCATCATGTGGAGCCTGCAAGGAATAATATTCGCAATTTAGCCGGTATTTCAAAGTAGAAATCTAAAAATGAAAATAAATTGAAAGCTTAAGCTACCCAAGAGTAGAGACATCGTGCTGGAGCCCGTTCTTGGAAATATATCTGGGGAAAAATATTCACAGTTAAATGTTGAGTATCGTTATAAAATTCTAACGGTTAATAAGAGTTGAACAAGGTGGGTACACGTATATGATGTGCTCATAGGATAATGATATTATAGACGCACTTGAAAAAATTTGACGGTTCCGTCCTTGCTAGCAGTCGCGAGTGCAGTCCCATCTGGTGCAAATGAGGCATCTGTTACTGCTCCAGAATGAGTATCAATTTGTAGAAATTCGTCTCTAATCTCATTAAATTGATGTGGACCTTCTCCCTGATTCTGAACTAATTGAACTAAATTCCCAGCATATATCTATAAACATAAAGGAAAAAACATAGATTGTTGGTCATATTACTAAATTAATATTCTAATTACGAAGTTTTATGGATCTACATACGGTATCATTCTGAAGAACAGCATAATGATATGCGCAATCTTTCGGTGAGGCAACCTCTTTTAACTCATCCGGAACATATTTACACCAAATAAACCGTCGATGCTCCAACCGGACAGGAGAACCGTCTAGCGTCACTTTGATAACGGGATGAGCTCTGGATAGTGAAACGTCCGATCAAAAAACGTTTATTATTAAGGTATACCAATTAAACTATTATTTTTACTTACGTTAGTTTGCCAGTCTTGAGTTCTTTAATAATTTTATTTATGTAGAAAGTTCCATACTCATCAATAAAGGCGAGTATGACATCATCCAATTTGTGAAGAAAGTCGACATCTTTGATCAACCCCTTGTCTCCCTTCATCAAAACTCTCTCCTTTAAAGGAAACATATTTTAAATTATTAGTACTATTATTATTATTATTATTGTATGTTACCTTTGACTCCATATCGATCACCCGAACAGCTCCAGCATTGCTCACTAAATAATACGATTAAAAAATATTACAATTTATGTTTCAAAAGGTCGTATTGACTATCCCCCAAATCCACTCACCCTTCACAACATAGGCAATAAACAAGGACGAAATGTGCGTCGCAATGAGTCGTCCATGTGAATATTGGGTCTCCCAAGTGTAATCAACAATCGTATTAAAATGGAAGGGAGAAGAATCTCCAGCAAGTTCATGGCTAGGATGGACACGGACCTGTACACCGTTAAAATGATAAATCAGATAAATGATAAAATGTAATCACATTTAAATTAACCAAAACCTCAACTATTTCATCCTAATACCTGTTTTATGTCTGAATGAATGGCAAATCCATCCTTGCCCGATGCTTCGTCGAATTGGACGTCTTCACCAACTCCCCCACCAGCCTCTTCACCCCCATTTGTTGAAGCGGCTTGTAGGTGTCTCACGTGTTCATCTGGTGACGACGACATGCTCGAACCAAGAGCAGCCAATGCCGATAAAATCTAGATCTGCAACGAATATATATTACAATTTACAATCACGAATAAAATAGTTATCTTACTTAAGGTAAAAAAATTCAAAGTCAAAATATACTAACTTTTTTCAGGACCAAACAAGCATCAATTTATCACGGTTGTAAAGTCCTTTTTGCTTTCTTGTCGTTGTGGGTGACGAGCTGCTGTAATGGTCGCACAGAAGAAATGGCGAAATTGGGAGCAATCGTCAGTTAACTGATGAAAACAAATTGTTGTTGTCGAAGAGCGTCGTCCGACGAACTGAATGCCGACTGACTGACTGAGTGAGTGCAAGTTGGGGGAAAGCGAACGTGGCGCCGGCTGAACAAGCGGAACAAACGAAATCCGCAACTCATCAAATCTCACTTACACAACACAGCAGTTCTCTCTCCGTCCCGAATTTTGCTCTCGAGTGTGGAGAAAATATATTTCGAAAATACAAGTCAAAAAATTTTGAAATGGATTCCTCATCGAATACGACAATAGTGAGCACCGGAAATGTGACAGTGGACAAGGTGAGAGTGAAAATTGAGCTTCTGACTTTTGTCCAAGTGTTGAACTCAACTCAACACAGCTTGTGTTTCAGTTCAGCACTTGAACAATTAACTTAGGATGATCATTACTTGACCGTGATAACTAAATTATCATGAATTAGTTGAAGTTTCAACTTTAACAATGATTGCTGTTTTGTTTTCAGGTGGTGGTTCATCCACTCGTTCTCCTGTCCGTTGTGGACCATTTTAACCGAATGGGGCGCATCGGAAGTCACAAACGGGTTGTAGGTATTCTTCTCGGCTCTTGGTCTTCGAAGGGAGTGCTGGATGTTTCAAATTCTTTTGCAGGTGAGCTATTGCAACAATTATTGCAATAGAGGGTTTATAGAATGTATCCTTAGTTTAAACTAATCTTGTTTCTTATCTAATTACAGTTCCATTTGATGAGGATGACAAAGATAAGAGTGTCTGGTTTTTGGATCACGATTACTTGGAAAGTATGGCGAATATGTTCAAGAAAGTCAACGGTACGAGTTACTCTTAATGTGTACTACTAATTCAGGTCTCAAGTGACTAAGCCATGTATTAATATGCAAATACTACGTTTTTTACCTATCAGCCAGAGAAAAGGTCGTGGGATGGTATCACACTGGACCCAAGTTACATCAAAATGATGCCCTCATTAACGACCTTGTCCGGCGCTATTGTCCATCTTCAGTTCTGGTTATAATTGATGCAAAGCCAAAGGACTTGGGCCTTCCCACCGAGGCTTACCGTGCGGTTGAGGAGGTCCACGAAGATGGGACCCCCACAACGAAAACATTTGAACACATCGCAAGTGAAATAGGAGCAGAGGAGGCCGAGGAGGTTGGAGTAGAACATTTGCTTCGTGATATCAAAGACACCACGATTGGGTCACTTTCCCAACGAGTCACCAACATTCTTCAAGGATTGAGAGGGCTTTCATCGCAGCTCACAGATATTCGCAACTATCTGGACCAGGTCATTAATTATTGATACATACAATTACATTCTTCTTCCTCTTCTTTACTTTATAAAGTATAATTTACATATATAAATATATGTAAATTATCAAATAATAGGTGGAAAAAGGTTCTCTTCCCGTAAACCATCAGATCACATACTTGTTACAAGATGTTTTCAATCTCCTCCCGGATATTTCACACCGAGACTTCGTCAAATCAATGTACGTGAAAACAAATGATCAGATGCTGGTCGTGTATGTCACTGCTCTTACCCGGTCCATAATCGCGCTCAACAACCTTATCAATAACAAATTATCCAATCGTGAGACGGAGAAGAAGGAAATGGCTAAAAAGGATGATAAGAAGGAGGTCAAAGATGAATCAGCAGTTAAAGTTGAGGCAGAGAAGGCAAAGTAGCTATAGTCTAGATTAGAAAGAATCGTTAAGTTTACAACAAATCATCTTTTTTTTACTTGCTCTATAAATTATTAACAATCCAACCTAAAATATATTGCAACACATGTACATGAAAAGAGATTTGAGGCGGAATAATAATTTCTGGTAAGTGGCCCGTTGGATCTTGAGGATGAATGTTTACCAAAATTTTCCAGTTTTAACAACTTAATAAAAACATTTTTGAGAGTAAATACAAATTGCAATGCCAGAAATTTATTGAGTTTTTTTGTACTACTCCAGTTCTGGATTTCGTATATTGACAATAATGAAGACGATAATTAACAGTGTTTCGTAACACATCTTTTCAAATTATTCCTGTCTGGACAAGGTATTATAATATATTGATCGAGCACAAGACAAGGTGCTCGATGGTTTGGTATAAGGTGATTTTGCGTTAGGTTTCATATTTTGATGGCAGTCTTCATCATTCCTTGTGCAAAATCTCTTAAAATCTTGCCCCATTATAATTAGATTTGCATCATACCGAAATAGTATTATAATATAACCGTAAATTATTTAAATGTTGTCGTTAGTATAATTTTTGCGTACAAAACTGGAAGGGACGAAACTGGGGTCAAAAGTCACAATATGATTATATGATGAGAATGTTGCTGTTGTGAACTTTACAGTCTAAACAATCACTTTTAAATTTTTGACTATACTAATTTACACTTACTTGCAATACAATCACATGATAAAGTACACAAGAGTTGACTGAACGGAATAACATACGATAATAATAATAATAATAACGGAACCTAACAAATCTGTAAAATCTGATAGAAAATTATTAATAATTGCACAATCTAAAACAATAAATCTACGCTATTATGGTGTCCTAGATTCATCAAACATTATTATCGCTAGTAGTTGGTAGAGTTTGTAAGAGTTTTTAAGGTAACATCACAACATGCGCATTGGTTCGAAGTAATACAAAATTATACAAGGTCTTTTTTGGTAGTACTTTCTGAGTCATCCAACACGTGCGGTACGAAATAAATGGACAGAAAGAGAGCGGTGAGATTAATGGCTAACAAAAAAGGTAAATACAAATCAAAGGGCTCTTGTCAAATTGAGGGTCACAAGTTTCGAGAATATAAATAATTATTACACATTTTATTGAAATTATTGGGGAGACCTACTACTGATTTATTTGCTGCGATGGTTCTCTCCTCGTCCAAGGTGATTTTTAAATCTTATTTAGAAATCAATCCTATCAAGTCGAATGAGTCCCGAGATCTGTATGAAAAATCGTATTTAAAAGTAAACCAGAGGCGTCCCATTGCTCCCATTTGGCCCATCCGACGACCCATTCCCATTGTTATTAAACTTTGGTGTTGGTTCTCGCCTGGCTTCAACTTTAACTTCGACACAATGATCCGGAGAATTCCTGAATAAAATAAACAATCACGACTATTAGTAGAGTATTCTTAGAATAGTTAATTAATTGAATTTTTGGAATACCCAGAGACTGGAGTGGAATCCGCAGTATCGATGGAATTGTAGTTCCCATTGCCGTTAAAGTTGTTCCACGAGTGCCTTGTTGGGTATGAAATTCCATCTCCAAGACTAGAAAAGACGGGAAGGAACCACTTTTTCTTATCATCACCAAACACTTCGATAAAGTTGTTGTATGTCCCCAAATGAAATCCTTTCTTGTCCGGACCGTGTCGAAATATTGGGCCACGGAACGACTCTAATGTGCTTCTATTTTTGGTCACAAGATAGCAGTGATAGCCTAATAACGAGACCAAACTCACCTGAAAAAAATATTAATGTTAATAGTATCATATTAATCTGTGACAAGAAAATTATATATGCACGCATATTCATTGTAAAAAATAGTACTCACGGCAAACATGGCAGCTACAAAGAAGACAAAAAGGACATGAAATTTGCCGTCGACAGACCCGTGCGTTGTTAAATCTCCTCTCCAAAACTGGATAAAGTATCGACATGAGATACTAAACACTACGAGGCAGTAGAGAAATGCATAGGCCAGGAATAAGATAAAAAACTTGTAGTTATCAAAGCACACGCAATTGTTGACCCAGGCTGGAACAATTACAAAATAATAATTTTAATAAATTGCATAATTACATCCACCTTTTAGTAATTTGCATGATATAATCATAGTGAATTGCGCCATTACGACAATGGTGATCCATTTTCAAGATACAGTGACCGCATACAGAACAATGGTGTGTTCTGTCTGGCTTAATAATTTGACATTTCTCACAAAATCTGATTTGACTTATATTCGTTCTCGTTTGTACCGGAAGTTGCTATAATAATCAATAAGACCAGATAAATAAAATTGTTTAACATAAAAAGAACTAATTAGTATTTATTATAACGTTTTGTTCATAAGTTTGGCTTTACCTGGGTACGCACAAGATTATCCAAAATCTCTGAAATCTCAGTGTCATTCGTCGCAGACTCTATTCTCTCCATTAAATCTACAAAAAAACGAATATACAAAATTTAGTAATTTCTTAACCCTTACAAGCAATTAGAGTAGTGCTAAGTCAAAGTGTTTTTGTACATAATCGCTTAAACTTTGTGAGGTACTTACTCTGGGGAATTTTGAATTTGCGTGGAACACGATTCGACGTTGTGAAAATGGTTTGAAAGTACGCCCACAGGAACAAAGTGAGCGAAATGTGGTAAATAATGAGGGATAACACCTGCCAAAGACATACATTTACTATAACTGTACAAAAACAGACAGTTTCGAAATTATTTAACAAAATAATGCATTTTTTTCTCCATATTACCTTGAGCCACACCTCTTCCATGGTGTACAGGCAAAGTTGAACAACGAAAGCAAAATAACTCCATGCGATCACGGCCAAGATGAAAACCACGGGTAGCCATTTTGTAATTCTTATGCACAACCCACAACGTCCATTGTCGCCCTCCACACCCATTCTGAAAAGTATTGAAAAATAGTGTCACATCATTATTTCATCTTCAAGACAAGTAAGTTCGATATTACAACGTGATTTACTATTAATTATGCTACATTATTACGTTAGGGAGTTGTAACTAGATTTCGCTTTCTTTCTTTTCAAATATCGTTGAACCTTTTTCGTTTGCATATTTTCTGCTCGGTATGCTGATAAGTAGGATCCATAATCCATAATAATGACTAATGAGGATCAAAGAATCAAGAGTCATAATGGCATAAGCATAACATCTCAAATGCAACTATTTGTGTGCTTTACTTATATCTCAAAATTATAATATATTAATTTGTATACAGATTGTGAATACTGATTTTCGCTTTCTTTTCTTCTGTTTCATGTGGCAACACGCACGGTTGCTTCACATTTAGTGCCTAGTTACCTCCCTAGATTGACAAAGAATATAGATTGATAAATTGTCATATACTCTTGGGCAACACTGATAATTATTCTTGCAAATATTTAGGTCGACGAAGCCAGGCTAAAATTATTTGACAAACTAGTTTTAACCCCGTTTGTTTTAACATTTACGAGCTACAGTTTACCACTATTCATCCTCAGTGCTTGATTGAGAGGATTAAATACTACGGGACTACGGGACAGATGACTTACTTGGTGTAGAGGGTGGACTCGAGTGCAGAAACCGTGGGGTCGGGAAGGTAGTAAGAACAGCAAGGGCTCCTTACCGAGGAGGACGGCGCACTAACTCTCATTCACCTTCTTGTTCTGTACAGATGTATGAAGATGAAGTCCTATCGAGTCCCAGCCGAGAGTTTATTAGATTCTAGATAACTCCAACGCTTTCGTGGTTTGGTCGCACCCACCCAATTCAACAGTTGTGAGGATCGCAACAACTGAAGAAATCCTGCATCATACATCGACGACCTTCTCCTTCTTTGATTATTATATTTTGATTTATTGGTTGTTGTTGTTGCAGATCTCCTATCCTCCCTTATAACCAAATACAAACACCAATGTTTATGTTTATTGTTTTTTAATCATTGCAATTGCAATTGAAATTAGTGATAGCCCGCAAAACAAAACAGTAAATGAACAATGTGTAAGATATGTGACATAAGTGAAATGGCAAAGTTGCGAATTACTAACCACGACAATTTGTTGTACGATCGATGAGTTGGGCGTGGAGTGTTGTGGATGGGTGGGTGGATCCGTTTAGAAGATTTTTATGCCTCTGGCCTCTGTGATGTGTCAACAGTCAGTGTCCACTTCCTGTCACTGTCACTCGCTTTGGCTGCTGTTGATATTTTCAGGAAATCTGGTTTGAAGTTTGATGGGCATTGTGGGAGACGGAGATCAGCCGCAGCACAACCCGCCAGCCAACTCTCAAAGGCGCTTATTATACGCAAACACAGAATTCGGCAACAAAGACGACAAGAGTTGCAGAACGCTGTTGTTGAACTCTGACCTGGACGTCCTTTTTGGTGACGGTTAATTGAAGATGCAGGCAGGAGGTCAGTCCAACTCGACGTGGGGACAGGCTCGGGTGCGAAATCGGTACAAGTGCAACTTGGCTCGTCGGATTGAGCTGATTGAAAATCGTGACCTGTACACGAGCCCCATTTCCACCTACGCCACCGCCCCCAATGCCAACCTCTCCGTCACAGACTTTGAGAGATATGCCCTCGCCAGGCTCAAAGGTATCGTCGTCCCGGACGAAGGACGTGCATCCTTTTCACTACAATTTATCATTTGAAATTAAAAATTCCATGTTTGTTTTCATGTTGTTTAATGCGCCTTTAAATTTATATAATAGTTCTCCGAATTATTGAGCGACAAAACCTCCTGTCTCCAGACAAGTTCAGTGTGGAATGGAGAAACAAGATTGAAGCTGAGATAAGGAGACAAGATATTGCAGAATTCATAATTGTGCTGGTGAGTACCATTGGTCGTAACATGATTATTATTTCTCTCCGAATGATAATGTTCGGAATAATTTTGCATGCAATTTACTCTACATAGTTTTCTTCCGTTGGCACTGAAGGAGTTTCAGAGACTGAGATGATCAGGGCTAGAGAGTTTGACCACATTTCGCATTTTCTTCTACGTTTGGCATTTGCGGGGTAAGTAATAACTGTGAAAACTTAATTGTTAAACAAAATGACTTTAAGATTTAAAGAAGTATGACCTATGTAAAGGACGGAGGAGCACAGAAAGTGGTTCATCTCACTAGAAATGGACTTATTTACTATGAGACTAAGAGGACTTGTTGGTGCTGCAAGCCTGCGCAACTTTCTTTTAGCAGAAGAATTTCCTGGGAAATTGGTACCCTCATTGATTAAAGTTGCTTCATGAGTTCATAATATTCATGACTCGAACATTGTAAATGCAGGTCGAGAAGGATGAAAAGGAAAAATATAGAACAGAAATATGCAATAGTGTGCTCCTTGGAGGCGGACTCACTATTCAACAGCACAACAAGTTGGAAACAGATATTTACAAAGTTTCCTTTGAATACGCACTTGATCTTGTTCGACTCAGAAAAGTATTCCTTCGTAATGGGGAAGCCTATGTTCACCATAATGAACTTGTCTCCATCATTTGCACTGCGTTTCGAAGTCACTTGTCTGAAGGATTATCGGTAATAGTAAAGAAAAACAGTATGGTTTGGGTTTACAAGGACGATGAAGTGTAAATTTTAAAGTTGATTCTCAGATGGTGAAGAAAAACATGCACATTGTGGAACAGGATGAAAGAATTATGCAAGTCGTCGCAGACTTTGACCGGCGACACACGGGCAACAATTACGGCAATAAAAAAGAAAACGTCTCTGGAGTTAGTGCAGATGAGCTCCCAACTGTATGTGGTTTCTACAATGGATGTACAATTAATTAAACTGTGTTTCTTTTTTGCTGTATCCGCTGTATGTGATTTCCTATATTATTACAGCTCTCTCAAAAGTCGTTCCCACTTTGTATGAGGTCACTCTACGACGTCGTGGTGAAAGAACATCATCTTAAACACTTTGGTCGACTGCAGCTTGGTCTCTTCCTTAAAGCTATTGGCGTCCCCATTGACGAAGCGGTCAAGTTTTGGCGAGGTCATTTCACTAAGAAACCAGAAATTGATGGTACAAGGGTGGGTTTGAAACTAAATTATAAATTACCCAACCAACCCAGCAATAAACCTGAAAAAAATCTGGCCGGCGTTTAACGGTCAATCTCTGATAATACTGCTTTTTGATTTTTAACTCTCTAGTTTGACAAGCAGTATTTGTATAACATTCGTCACATGTATGGCCAAGAAGGGAGGAGGGCAGACTACACGCCATACAGTTGTATGAAAGTGATCATGTCCAACGTGGGGCCGGGTGACCATCATGGCTGTCCATTTAAACATTCTGACCAACAAAATCTAAGAGCTAAGCTGGTGGAGGCACAAGTTCCCTCAAATGGTGATCCTTCAACCATTCAACCCATTGATCCAAATCATTAAAGAAACCAATTCTGTATTATAATAGCTGACTATTATGCATGCATGCTTTTAGGAATGAAAGAGATTATGGACCTTGTTGAGAAGCATCACTTTCAGATCGCCTGTCAGAAGTATTTTGAATGGACTCACGGTAGCATGACTGTTGAGGGTGGGGTGAACCATCCCAACCAATATTTTGAAGAGAGCAGAGATGTTCTTAGTGGGAAAAAGACGATTAAAACTGAAGGTTGGTTTTTTGTGGGGGTGTGATTTTGTTAAACTTAAATTAATCTCGTTTTCTTTATGCAGACGTCATAAAGACAAAACGTGTGGTGGTGATGCCGGATGGGAGTCAGCGTACTCAGACACTGTTAACTTCCGAGATGGAAACCCAACCGCTATCATCAACAAATCCTGAGACTGACGGTGATCCACTGGATACTCCGATGGAGGAGGATAGCGCCATTGTGGATTTTCTTGCTTCACAGGGATATTAGGTTACGACGATACATACAGCAAGAATACGTATACATTAGTAATGTTCGTTAATTGTTTTCCAGTGAAACTTGTACAATTCTGTAAAAATGAATTTAATGATAATTTTCCAAAAGATTTACTTCTCGTTTACGAACTCCCTTTGTTTCATATTTATTCTACTCATTAGCCAGTTTATCATGCATTGCAGCTTTATATGTGTGCTTTGTACATACGCTGTGAATATGCATGAATCCGTATGCAAATACTCACAACTGATGTCACACACATAATGAGGACACTACTTACTGCTAAATATATGTATACACCAGGATAAGTCTGTTGTATTAGTTGTATAACTTCATTTGGCTGCTATTGCATAATTCATTTATCAAAGCAAAACGTAAAGCAAGCAGTAGTTGGGCAGTCTCAACCTTAAGCGCATTATATATGGTCCCATTAAATCCTACACCATTTAAGATTCCATGCAGTCGTCATCACCATGAGTGGGTTAATTCTCACAAAAACAGTTGTCTTTCACAATAAGGGTCACAAAGCTGAGTGTGAATGCCGTACATACTGATACATACATGTGTTTGTCTTATTGGCATTCTGTTGGGCAAGGCATAATTTTAGTCCGAGTCAAATAGTCAGTTTATGGAACTGTTGTGGTTGTTAACTATCCCACTCCAGAATTTGCAAAAATCCAACCACACTGCGTAACAAGTCTTTGTAGAGGTGACGGTGTTTCGTTAGTTTGTCCCACCATCTAACCTATCTCTAAAGCTTTCTCATAAAATCATATTCGACAATTAAGTCATTGGGATGATGCAATTTCGAAGATTGCTGTTCATTTTATTGGTCGCTACTTTCCACGTGGGGATAACAGAGTCCCAATTCATCCCAATTTTTGATTGGATAAGTTCATTTTTCGGAAGCTACGAACAGCCGGGGTACACATCGGTCAGGAATATCACGGACGTGAGTCAGAGTTAGTACATAATATGCATGCACCCATGTACGCATATGTATTTAAGTGTATTTTTGCAGCAAGTGGAGGAACGCATCTACCCCACGAGTAGTTGGGCATGCAGTGAGCAGTTTGCCACGCCGGTGACCAAGGACTCGAAAACAGCGGAGAGTTTCATGACCATATTACGATACATACAGGGCAAGAACGAGCTAGGTAATGGTCTCACAGCTGTCACAGTACGTGCAATTTTTGATTAATTGCAAGTTTGACTCTTTCAGGCAAAAAAATTGAGATGACAATCCCCATTGTGACCAAAATCGATCACCGTAACGGTAACCTCCGTTCCTACGAAATGTGCTTCTTCCTTCCTACCGAGTTCCAGAAATCTCCACCCAAACCGGTGGACAATCGGGTCAAAATTGTGACCTACCCACCCCTTCGAGTCTATTCAAAGTGTGTTGTCTGCAATTATGCTAATTACTTATTTATGTATTGTCCATCGATAAATTCTCTACTGATCTGCAGGATGTACGGTGGATACTCCTCGCAGACCGTGGAGACCTCGCAAGTGGCCAGTCTGTCCGAAGTCCTGAGAAACCAGAGCATTCCATACTTTGAAATGAGGGACGGGGATCGAGCCACCTACTTTGTCGCAGGCTACGACTCGCCCACCAAATTTTGGAACAGGCGAAATGAGGTTTGGCTCCTAAGCAAGGACACACCCAAGTCCATCAACCATCACTTTACAACGGCCGTGAGACAACAAGGAGGAGACGCGACTGGCGAGGACGCAGAGACTTCAGAGATGAATGAACCTGTCTGATAAGTATTTATAAAAAAATAGGATAGCAAAAATGATATCATTGAATATTTTCAAAACGCATGACGCAATAAAAAACTGTATTTCGCTGCTAAATATTTGTCCAGAGTTTATTCCGTCATCTTATTATCATTACGTAATTGTTAGATTAATGGGAACTACATAAATGTATTATTGAAACACACAAGTTAAAACCAGAAGCATAGTTTATCATAAATTCTAAATATTATTTTATGCGACATATGGAATATGTATTTAATACATTGTACAGTTGCAAATCACAGAGGAGTGAGTGTACATACTCATGTTTAATTCAGATCAGATCGTTTCAATTATTTCTCTACATTGTTAACGATTCGTGTGAATTAGCTGCTTATGGTTAACGTAAAAATTGCCAACTATGGGTCAACAAACTTACTCTAATCTAGGATAACCTACAGGTATATATCTTCCCATCACAGAACACGTAATACATACATGCATACATACTCATAAAAGGTATTTAATTGCGAAGAAGGCATTGAATTATTAAATTATGTTTAATCGTTAAAAAAACTGCTCAACAGTTTGTCAAGCCATCGTGTTTATGACCATTTCCTTGTTGTCACCTCGAGGATGTCAAGCCACAGCTCGAGCCTTGTCCTCTCCTCTCGTCGTCGTGTAGTCGTCCCCTCCATCCCTCGGGTGGTAGAGGGGGCGGAGGTCGCTCATCATGGAGTCCACCATGGTGGTCAATCCATATCTGGGAGCCCATCCCCAGTCTCTCTGGGCACACGAGTCGTCAAAAACCTGGGGCCAAGAGTCAGCAATGGCCTGTCGCGGGTCAGGTCGATAGTTGAGGACGAAATTTGGAATGGATTTTCTAATTTCCTCCCCCACCTCGGCAGGCGTGAAGGAAACGCCGGCCACGTTGTAAGTCCTTGAGGGCAAAGAATCAGAGGGACGCTCCATGAATTCCATCACTGATCGGAGGCAGTCGTCAATGTGCATCATAGGGAGGCGCGTGTCGGGTCCCAAGTAGCACGTGTAGGCTCCCTGCTTTAACGCTTGGTGAAATATGTCGACAGCATAGTCCGTTGTGCCCCCACCTGGCGCAGAGTGAGAGGAGATGACCCCTGGGAATCGGAGACAACGGAAGTCCAGCCCATACTTGTGGTAGTAGTATTCTCCCAGCAATTCAGTGTGCACCTTGGCCACGCCGTATATGGTTTTAGGTCGTTGAATGCATAAGTTTGGAGTTGGATTTCGTGGCGATTCAGGGCCGAAGGCTCCAATCGTGGACGGGATAAAGAGACGGAGACCGTGCTGTTTGGCCACCTCCATCACATTGTGAGTCCCTGCAGCATATTACATAAATGAGTTCCAAATCCCAAAAAGTCATGACACACAAAAATAACCGGTTAACAAAAAACTGAATCACCTTCAATGTTGACCTTCATGGAGAGAGGAACATTCGCCTCTGCCACGGCGGAAAGGAGGGCCGAGAAATGAACTAGCCAGTCAATCCTGTAGTTCACCACGATTTGTTGGAGGCACTGGAAGTCGAGGACGTCTGCATAAAGATACGGACCCTTGGACGCCACCTCGGTTGACGGCTTCCGAATGTCGGACATGAAGACGTTGTTCTGTCCGTACTTTTGACGGAGGAGGTGCGCCAGACCCGAGCCAAGCTGGCCCAAGCTGCCCGTGATGAGAACACGAGGGCGCTCCTCGGGGAACGTGTCGACATGAAATGGCGAAGGGGGTGTGCCCAGCGGAGTTCCACCCGAATGGAGGAGTCGCTGCAGGAGGACTCCGGCCAGTCGATCACCCCTCCGGGAAAGGAGAGCTCCACCACTTTGCAGCATCTTCAATCTGCAGTGAATACACAATTTTTGTACTTATTTAAATACGTGTAAAATACGATGGTGGTTGTTTTATAGACGACCCTCTGTGCCGATGGAGAGAGAAAAATGGGGTCACGACGACGGTCTAGCCATGCCAGCACTGTCAGTAGTGCAAAAATAATCTGGAGCAGACGGAGGAAAAGATCGATTAAATAAGAAACTGGGGTGCACGTCGGATAAAACCATGCAGAGCCCTTTGCTTACTATTTTATCGATCAAGCTCTACCGCAACTATTTGGGCTGGAACTGGACTAAATATAGTACCAACGGGACAACGGAGGATCAGGTAATAATTATGCCCAAGCCAAACCATGAACGAGACAGAGACAGACAGACAGGGCAGTCTGTGCGTAGCGTGTAGGTTCGAAATTCTTATCAAATTATGATGGCATGTCACCACATTATCGTTGAAAGAATTCAGCCTGGTTAAGTGTTTAATTGGCTGGGTTTATGGGTTCGAGGAAGTGAGCAACAAGGTAGCAAAGACAAAAGTATGTGCCCACCATAAAAAGGTTATGAGTTGCTATATTAATAAATAAAGCACCGAGAATATAAATATGTGCCCCGTCTCAAGCTACAGAGACTGAAAGAGTGTTATGCAATACATGGAATGCATATGGAGAGGCAAGTTGAGACTGTGACCTTCCTAAACTAAATGTGTGTGCACAAAGGAGAAAGTGGTCTCAAATTAAGTTTCCCATTTACCTGGTGAGTAAGGAGGAGAAGAAGACGGAGGCTTGTTCTGGCTGGATTGGGAGCGAGATGGGAACTGATGTGAGGACGCAGAGGCGAAGCGAAGGACAAGTAAGCAATCAACTCCTCATCCTGGCAGGGCAGGATTACAATTTGGCAGGACGACGCCGACCAAGGAGGAGGTGAGGTTATCTCCCTGCAGTAACAATTGCTTTGCCTTCCAACCACCAAGCAAGCCAAGCCAGCTCCCATGTAAAGCAGACTGGATCCAACCGGTTCATCAGCTACCTACTACACTACTTACTATCAAACTTTTAATACGACACATTGTCAAATCAACCAGTTAAAATTTACAACGCGTCCCAACCATGCTTAATTCTCCTACGAATCTATAACAATAAAATATACTCCTAAATTGGTTACTATTTAAGCTGCATCAAACATTGTGTCACATTTCGCACATCTATTTTTGCAACGCCCAGTAATTGATTTATGTATTGCAGCAGCATCTTAGCTAAGACTAATTGTAAGACTATTGCAATATCTATAAGAACTGCATGGACGCTGGAAAAGCAACGCTACAACTGATCATCATCGTGGTCATTATCGCATAAATTATCGGATTTGAAATCGTAGACTGAAAATACACTCTATACAACATATGCAATTTGACGTACGTATGTACATATCACATGATGACTGGCCCCCCTCGAAAAAAAACAATGAGTAATAATTTTCCTTTTATTGCGTTTCTAACCGTTATTAATAAATTCCATCATTATTTCGTGCCAAAACAACATTGTATATGTAACAATGTAATGGTATTACGTTGCAGATTATTGCAAATTGGCATAGTGTTTCCTATTTGACATTGACGAAGCGTGTGCAGAAGAAGAAAAGGAGAGAAATTTATGCAACGTCGTACGTATCCCAACATGATGACGTACAGGTCGGTAGCCAATAAGCTGCTAGGATTTGGTGGTGTGGCAGAGACACACCCCTCCCACCACCTCCGATACCACTTTGCATGCACAATCAATGGAGTAGTAAAACATTGGCAAAAAGTAGACCCAGCTTCGCCAACTGCCTGGAGGGGAAGTGGCTGACGTGACCTGACTCGCAAATACATGCCAAAACATTGCAAATCCACTAAAAAGTTACTTTTGCTTGTCTTTCCTCCTTTCTGCACATCATTATGCCATGCCTGCCGACTCCTGCTCTTTGCATTCTTCTTGATTCCAACCAATTCCTGGGCTGAGATTGATTGATCTGAATTGATATTGATGGAGTGGCATATGTAAGTAATTCAACTATTTAGCCATGGTCTAGTCATTCTCAAATGTGTGCAAAAAATAGCATAATTTCGAAGAATAGCCAGAACTGAATTGCATCATAAAGTGCTTCCGATGGTGGAGTGATGAGACAACAGTAATTGAACCAATCCAAACACTAAATTTAATGCCAATCTGCTCATGTACTGTGTCTTTAGTAGGGATGTAAAAATACTTATGTATTTTTTTATCACAGCATTTTTATTGGTGGATTTTTAAACCATGCCGGACAAGGATTATTGATGACACCATTCAAGGAAAGAAAAGGAAGAAGAAGGATTCACTCATTTGCTTGTCATCATTTCCTGCGTGCGTCGTATTTAATAATAACGAACGACACTGCAAGAGATGTTGTTTTGTTTGTTTGCTTGTGTCCTCAATTCCGAAGGTAGCGATAGTCAATTTTAGATCACAAACAATTATTACTATTTATCATCGGCATATAACTTTGTTGATATGAAATTAACGTTGTTTGTTATGCATGTTCTGGTTGAAAAGGTGAAATTAAGGACGAAATTCCTTTTCGCATACGAAATATCGCTACTGTTTGGTACAGAATGGGGAAATGCGCTCTCATTTTAGTCAATCACAATAAAGCAATCTTTTTTTGAAATGAAAATTGAATTGAAAATTTATACTATTATTGTGCAGGATAAATTTCGAGGGTAATTTGAGCACTAAATTGATCTTGAGAGTACCAGAATAATGCTCCATAGGTTGAAGAGTGAGGCAAATGCGAATGTCTCACCTTGCCTCATCCTCCGACCAGATAGGAAAAAATCACACCACAACACTTTCCGCACTCGAAATAACTCTCCCACCAGAACTGCTGAACAAAACCTATTTTAATGATAATTACGACGAATAACAATAATAAAATTGGTATTGAGTATCAGGGATAAGTACGATGAATGCTAGTAAAAAAAACTAGTAATGTGAAACCTGAGCATTTTCTTCCTGCGAATGAATGGAGTGAAAAGAATAATCATGATTCCGTCTCATGTTGCCTCCTCCACTGAATGAAATATCTGCAGCTGCAGCATGTCGTCACCGTCCCAATTCTTCTTTCGTACACGTTTTCATAAAGAACATAATGCACGTATGTACAATTCACTATCCAGACATTCCTTGTGATTATTGCACTCATACCAAAAAATCGACAGTTACATAACTACCACATTTTTAGCTGACTTTTCGTATAAAGTTGACTCCAATCATGTCTAATTTCATCGCATTGTACTAATAAATGCATATATTAAATTAGTAATCCTATGGAATGAGATATGATCAAATTTTTCGTAAATCTTGTGTATTAGGTATTCTTATTTATTCCATGTAAAAACAAATACCAGCGTCAGGAGTTGTCTCCAATCAATTTGCACTAATCTCAAATGGCACTTTAGATATTGCAGGCAAATTGAAAGGGTTGAGGCGTAGCGGTTTGGTGTGACAAGAGCAATTACACGAATCTCAACAATTGTATTACATCGCGTCACACTTTCAAATCTTTCCCCAACAACATCAATCAAGACAATTAGCTTCTTCAACATGTCGTTTCAATTCAGCCTTTGCTAGGCTTTGGGCAGTATACACAAAATACGCTCGCGATTTCTGTTGGTTTAGGTGGTGGTCACCAGTTTCACCACAGGTCAACACCAACACCATGCAGGATGACATTCCCATTGTCTGCTGATCATCGACACGAGTGAGGGGAGCAATTAGTGTAGAAATTAGTTTTCCCTTTCCTTTATTGCTACTCAAACAAATACTTGGACGAGAGTTACATGGTCAGGTTCATCATGCTCTTTTGCCTCGTATCGTCGTCACCACCACGAAAAATTAGATAGCGGTGGGTGACCAATTGTTTCGTGCGTCTCTCAACTTACCCCTTGCGTATGGTCACACATTTGTAACATGGTTGTCTGTACATGCATAAATACTTACCCATCACCTTTCCATAAAGGTTCGCACAAACTCTGATCTCAATGGTCTCTCTGTACATATTCTCATGTCGACATTTTTGGAAACTTTGAGTACTCCGACTTGGTGGTTTAACAATAATTGTTCGTCGCGAGCAAGTTAATCCTCCTGTTACGTTATGTTCATATTGTTATCTCCGTTTCTCATCTAATTGTTAACCTCTGCACACGCACCGTGACGAAGTCATTGTCCCTTCGTCCAAAAGTTACGTTGTCTCATGACTGATGTGAATATGCACCAACCAGCACAGTGCATGAACAAATGCTGTTTTTTTTAATTTTTGAATAACGCGTCACAATCTTTGATGATAACTTTAGAAATATAGCCTTGTTTTCCTCAAATGCTTCCGATTTTTTAAAGATTGTATCTGATTGGCGGTGCTATTTTTTAATGCAAAATGTTGGTCAGTAGTGGTGGTTGATGGCGGAGTCGAATTTTAGCTGATCAGGATAAACGATAGCTTGATGGGTCAAATTAACTTTAGCGCAACTAATCCTCCGTTTTATTAAGTGAGCATATTATTTTTATTAAGTATGAAGGGCTGAGCTCAACTGCATGTGTGTAACGCAGTAATTTATTTTTCGTACATGTTATTATTTGAGCGGTGGTCAATCGTGACCGTGATTCTTCGGGGCTGAATTGCTATCGGGGTCTGTATGCCTTTGTTTTTATGGGGCCCGATGCCTGATGAACAGGACGCGAACAAATTAATAATAATACTAAGCACCTGCTGATCCTTATGATGTTGGGAATAAATGGTGCGCATAATAATGTGTAAATGCCCCCATGAACTTTAATTCAGATATTTAAGATCAGTGAATAAGCATATTGGATTTTGTGCTTAATTCGAACCCAATCTGACGACGTGCATTGGATTTCTTCGGAGAGAAAGTGGACACTGCAAGAGAAGGACGACATTGCTAGCCATGGTCATCATCAAATTGGCACGTACTTATTTCAGAAGTTTAAATACGTACTTTGCATAATAAGAATATTCGGTATATTTGCCATCCTAACAATTAGGCAGTTGCTATTCTCAGCCCAAGTTATTTTCCAGTGCGAATCTCATTCAAGTTTTTATTCCCATTGTGACGACGTTCATTTTTCTCTGAGAATGTTGATTGCTGTAATGCTGTAGATTTTGGCTGATTATAGTTTTCGAAAAAGTTATTGTTGCTTTTGCATATATACAAATTACCAACTTGATCTAATCTAAGCTACGTAGATTAAGTTGTATAAGTTCACTTGTTACTCGTGTTCTTGTTGAGGAATTAAGGAGACAATGCTCAGAAAGAGAGAAAGATTGATTGTTGTACATACAGTGGTGGATTTTTCGGTTGAGAAGAACTGGGGCGGAATGGGCAGGGCTCACTCTCACAACAACGAGCACTATTTTATTCAGTATTCGCACAGGTATCTACTCACTGCACTTTTTAAAAGCAAATACGCAAACGGTTGCCTTTTTGGCGTCTCTCTTATTGCAGACCGCGTTGATACCAGTCAGTCCTAGTCAGTCAGCCAGCGTCGGCAGTAGTGGTACGAACAAATCCCCCAGCCGAGCTCAAGTACGTAAGGATAACAAAATACAGTCGAGTTCTTTCGCAGTTATCTCAAGATAAGAGTTTCATAACAAAAATGTGAGTCATTTTTGTGAGCAGTGAATTTAAATTTATTCCAAATTATGGTAATTATGTACCTGCAAAAATAAGTCGTGTGATTGTGCAAAGTTTTGTCAAAGATTTATAAAATAACAAATACATATGCCAAAAATATAAGGCATGTGCATACGAGTGCAGGAACATACATAAATAGCACATGTTAGTATCAGGACTGATGATTGGCTTGTGCATTGGTTACACCCAAAGTTGTTTGTTTTGACTATTGAGTATTGGAATTGACCAGCACATATTTGAAAATTTAAATGAAATGTCAACTTGTTGTGGAAAGTGACCTTGTCTTGTGTAATAATGTGAATATAACTTTGGATTATCGAAGGTAAGTAATTAATATACATACGTTATTCATGACGTGTTGAACCTCACGGGTCCCCTCATAAACCTCGATTTTGCACCCACCGAGGTCGCGACACAGAGATCATGACCGCATAACATCCTTTCTCATTTGTTTATTACCCGACCGGAAAAGTGAGCGAATATGAGACAAGTCATAGGCATGCAAAAAGAACGAGAGATGCAGATGAGCCCACGTTTACGGTATAACCTGTGGTCATTGCAGAAAGATATAAAGTTTGCAAACCAATTTAACGGGGTGAGCATTGCACGACTTCCGTTTCCTGCAAGCATATCTGAGTCAAGAAATTGTCTCAAGTCATCTCGCGAGATGCTTAAGAGTATTTTATCTCTTTAAACAACAAAAATTCCTGAAAACTCTACTCTCTTGATTTTTTTGCTCGCTTATTTACTTATGACGTAGCATTGTTGTAGGCAGTCGCCCATATATTCATTTATGTATCTATGTATCTATTTCTGTGTAGCCTCACCTGCAGAGTTGAGTGTGTGGGGTATTATTAATTAAGAAATAAACAATAATAAAAGTAAATAATGAAATGAATAATGGGAGGATTTAGGTCAGGTTAAGTTAAGAAGGAGTCGCCGAAGCGAATCGCCTCACAGAAAGACTGTCCTTTTTATGTATCTCTACCTATACATATATCTAATACTTACGATTAAATACGCTCCCTTTGCTAATTTTTAAACTCCGTACAAATAATAATACAGCGGCAGAAGAGGAGAATATTGGCTATATTTTATGGTTCTAGTTTTGGAACGAAATATTTATGCGATTATTGTTCCATGATACATATCTAAATAATAAAGTAATCACATAATAATAACGCATGCCGTTATGTTGCAATGACTGAATTTTTGTGACATCCTGATCCCTGATCGTTTCTCGTCCACTTTCCGGATACTTTTTTTTTACACCGCCTGGCTTTCAGTATAAATAGCCATGTACTTCAATTACTTTTTATAATTTGGCTAATTTAATGGGAGCGGATCAGCCCCAAATCTCAGTCTTTGGTGGTTCATGCACCACATCGACATACAACGTCGGTGTGAAATGCGAAATTAAACTTATCGTGAAGTGAACCATCATCATCCTCCCTCATCATTTAATTAAACCGTTGCAGCAGGAGCAGCAACTAATTCAATTCAGGTCGAATGTACAACACACTCACTCACTCACTCACAGCGAGAGAGAGAGATTCCTCACTCACTTCTTTGAGTTTGATTCAATTTCTGCAATAACAATAATCAAAAACTGTAACCAAATTGTTTCCATTATTTCTCATCGTCTCAAACAGAAGGAGAGAGAGAGAATAGCAAAAAGCACTTGGATATCAAGTAAAAGAAACGGAAATGAGTCGTCTCAAAATTCTTCATCAATCTTCATCATCATCAACAAGTCGTTGTATTCTAGATTATTTTCGCACACACACTCGATCTCGTCATTATTACTTTGCACAACATTAAGCAAAACTGAGAACCAAAGTCGCAGATCATCGTCATTTCATGTGCGACACATCATAATAATGTCACGTCGGAGAAGTTGCAAATTGCAACTTGCAATAATATGTGTGCTAATTAGTAGTAAATATGTATCGCCGCTGCTGATAAATAACATTGTTTTCTCATGTTATCTGATTGAGATCAGTGATGATTGCACTGCTGGATTGAAGTTTGCCGTGTGCTGCATGGCAATTAATTTCTTTATCAAACACGACAATTTGCACAGGAGGAGGAGATGCAGTTTTGGGTGAAGTTTTCACAGCCCTGAATTTGTGATCTCAACTGAACTAAACTGTCCTGTCGCCTTCGATCGATGTGAAAACGAAATTGAATTACAATGCTGCCTGCATGGCGTCTGGCTGCACTTGCGACACGTAGTGTTTACTTGGCATTCTTACACACAGCGTTTACCTGCCTGCGCCAACTACTTGTTGCTATTCACGTGCCTCTGTATTGTTGGTGGTGCGGTGTCACTCTCATTTGTTATTGTTCTCAAGCTGGGCTTAGGAGCCTCTCGAGGAGAGTTTTAAAACGTTACAACTTTCACGCGCGTCATGTTCATTGCCTCCCCGTTGTCGCATGCATCGCTGAATTCAAGTGGAACGAATAGGAATATGAACGCTCCAAGGATTCACTCACTCACTTATGTGCATATCATCACAAACTCCTGTCATCGCTATCCTTCTTCCAAATATTGTGCAAATATTTGCCATATATTGTTGCTGCAAATTGCAAGTCTGTTCCGCTCGGAGGTTGTTTTCCGAATGCAATTAATTTGTTTACATCCTTTTTATGCTCAAAGTATATAAAATCATATTCAAGGTCCTCCATTTTTAGGAGGTTCACAAATCATGCACATATTTGTAATTAGTAATACGGCATGCGTTTGAAAATTTATTCTGCTATGTATTCTACTTTGTCCCCTGTTTTTTATCCACTAGATGAGGATGAGATGACCAGGGGATTAGCAACATTATGTGCAAGATGTACATACATCAGGCATTATCAAAGGGGCCAGTCTGGATGATCAGAAGATTTTGACTTGTATCATACACGCCACATTTCCACCTTATATTCATGATCCACTCCGAAATAAAGGGATCAATAATTAAGTAAACTTTGAAAAATGACACATTGGGACAAGTGGAGCTGCTGGTTTCTCGCCACCCTCGTCGGCTCCGTATGGATAGGAACGTGTCTGGGCAACAAATGTCCTCCGCCGGAAACTATAATGCCTTGTCGGTGTCGAGGGCGGAATGATCAGATTCAAGTTTGGTAAGACAACATGGTGATGACGTAAATAGTGTTTGAAGTGTGTTTGAACTCGTGGAATGCCTGGCTCGATTGATGCGTAATCCATTACTGGACAACTATTTAAACATGTGCGTATTGGAAATGGTGTAGGTGCAGCCACTCCGATCTCGAACGGGTGAATGGTGCCCTCGAGAATTTGATGCGACTTCGCAGCATGCCCGCTATTGACGAGTTGATCGTGGAGAATAACAAGATGCCAACACTTCCGGCCAGGGCTTTTGGAGCTCTGCAGGTATTTCGTGTGATACTAATAAGCACAATAGGAAAGCAATTAAGCAAATTAAATCGTTCAGATTGGACGCCTCCTCCTCCGCAACAACGGTTTAGAGTCCCTCTCGCGCAATGCATTCGCCGGGTTGGAGGATTCCCTGGAAGAGATTTATATGGTTGAGGACAAACTGATTGACTTTCCCTTTGACGCCATCGAAAAATTGCTAAACTTGGAAGCGTTCACAGTTGAAAAGAGCAGGATGCGGCTCCTCCCCAAATTCAACGGGTTGTCGCGTCTGAAACATATTCGAATCGATGGTTCGGCCATCTCCGCCTTGCCTGTGGGAGCCTTTGCCGCAATGTCCACCATAAAACAGATTCACATCACAAATTCAAAGGTGGATCGTTTAGCAGAAGGGATTTTTGGTCGGTTGGACTCACTCCTCTTGGCAAATTTTAGTGGAAACAGGATAGACCACGTTCAGCGGAGGTGTTTTTCCCTCTTGCCCAGGTTGGAGGTGCTGTCGATAGGGAACAATAGGCTTAGCGACGCCTCCAACGTGGGTCGTTCAATGGAGGAGTTGACCTCTCTCAAGTCCCTGGACCTCTCACAAAACCAGTTTAAGGAAGTGCCTGAGGGCTCCTTTGTCAATCTGAGGTCACTTCAATTACTTAATTTAGGAGGGAACCAGATCTCACGCGTGTCGACACGTTCCTTTACCCATCTCCCCGCTCTCAGAAAAGTGGACTTGAGCAACAATTTGCTGCGAAACTTTCCCAAGCAACTCTTCGATACGACCCCACTTTTGGAGGAATTCAGGTAGAGTCCAAAATTATGTATAGAAAAGTCCACTGCTGTTTGAGAAAGTTTTTTGCCAGAATCTTACAAAAATCTACATATTTTATTTCCCGTTTAACCCTAATAATTTTTGAATAATGATCAGAATTCGTAAGAATCAACTGGGCTCTGCAGCCGAGATTGGTGAGCTGCTCTCCTCTCTAAAATCCCTCCGCTACGTTGACCTCGGTGACAATGGGATCACTGAGCTGCCCTCACGCGCCATCCGGGATCACACCCAACTGCAGACCTTGGACCTCAGTGACAACAGAATTACCCGGCTGCAGCGGAACTCCTTCGTCAACCTCCCCTCCCTGGTCGAACTCAGCTTGAAAAACAATTCTCTCGCCCTCGTCGACACGGAGGCGTGGGACGTGCCCACCTTGAAGGAACTCGACTTGAGCCACAACGCTCTCTCGGAAATTGGCAGTGCTACGTTCAAAGGATTGAGCAGCTTGGCCAGGTTGGACTTGAGTCAGAACCAAATAAAAATATTAACCGGGGTAAGACTTCCGATATATGAACACAATTTGGTGATTTTAGTTGGAAAGCATGTACTCACATATTATGTAAATGTATAATTTGCCAGGCTACATTTTCACCCGTTTCCTCGCTGGAATTTATATCGTTATCTTCTAACCAACTCTCCTCCATTCATTCCGACTCATTTTCTGGCCTCTCCAAGCTCCAGAAATTGGACTTGTCGCGAAATCACTTAGAGATGCTGCTGTCAAACGTGTTCCGTTCCACCCTGGCCCTCGTGTCACTCAACTTGGCCAACAACCGGATCAACTCCATCCCTGCCGACCTTCTCCGTGACCTTGCCTCCTTACAGGAGCTCAACTTCAAGAGTAATTCCCTCTCCTACCTCCCCGTCGGCCTCTTCCAGTCTCTCGCGTCACTCCGAGACCTCAATTTGAAGCACAACACATTGGCCGAACTGCACTCTCGACTCTTTTCCGGCCTCGATAAATTGGAACAGCTTCGCCTCAGCTCAAATCAGATCCGATCTTTTGATGAAACCACTTTCGACAATTTAATCGAGGTCCGCTTTCAGAAATATTGTCTACTCAGCTAGTATTTAACTATAATAAATTTTTAAATAATGTAACCGTTGATAGCTTCGTGGCCTTGACTTGAGTTCGAATCGGATTTCGAAGCTGCCCTCCAGGTCTTTGCGAAATCTTCCACACTTGGAGAAATTCGAGGCGAGGGAAAACAGGATTTCAGTCGTGGACTCGGGCGTCCTCTCCAACACGGAGGGTTTGCACATCCTCGACCTGGCGCACAACGCGTTGACATCAATTCCGAGCGAAATGCTCAAGAGCAACTCTCTCCTGAAAGTGGTCGACTTGAGTCACAATCAGATTGGTCGAGTGGACGGGGAGACCTTCACAAAGTTGGGCTCTCTTATGGAGCTTTACCTCAATGACAACAAGATTAGCAGTATCCCAACGGGAACATTCGCCGTAAGTTATTCTGTGATATTGGCCTAAATTGCACTCGACCAATTGTTGGTGGGTGTTGTACACAATTATAAATTTATGTACGCACGCACGCAGAACTTGAGCTCTCTGACCATTGTCGATTTGGACGGGAATGACGTGGAGGAAATTCTTCCCGAAACTTTTGCCAATCTTCCCCGACTAATTTATCTACGGTTGAGTCGTAATCGAGTCAAACGTGTGGGTCGGGGTGGGTTCTCAAACCTCGTTTCGCTGGATGGTCTGGATCTATTCATGGTATTTTTAGTTGTTTCATTGAGTCCACGTATTCCAATTTTACCCTAATGATATTTTGGTAAATATAATTGTTGTAGAACGAACTAGAGGAAATTTCACCAGGAGGATTTTCCAAGACTGGGGCTCTCAAGTATTTGAACTTATCGCACAATAATTTGGACTCTCTGCGGCGGATGGGAATCGAGTCTTTGGGGTCACTCGAAGTGCTAGATCTTTCTTACAACAAACTTAGCTCTGTGGACACGGACGCCTTGAGACATCTCATTTGGCTCGTGGAACTTCGGGTACATGACGAAAATTTAATTCCTTGTGCGACCATAACACGTGACCTTTCTTCTCCTTCAACAGATGAATGACAATGGAATCTGTTCTATCCCCCTGGGTACTTTTGATGGAATGAGTCGCCTCAAAATGCTCGTCTTAAGAAATAACAGGCTTCGACATCTGCTTGAATCAGTGTTTTATAAATTGAGAAATAATATTGCTTTCATAGACGTCGCAGGTGGGAAATAAGGATAAAATATGTAAATATATCAGATAACAAAAACCCAACTCAAACTTTATATTATAATTCGACCATAGGGAATCCACTACACTGTGATTGCGAAATGACGTGGCTAAGAAATCTCGTGGTCCGAGAAGAGGTTAGTTCGCCACAAATTTTTGATAACAAATAATCAAATTCTGTTTGGTTTCGTCATTGTATGTGTGAATTCAATATTGAAGCTCCAAGAACTGACTGATTCGAGCTGTGATGCGCCCCAGGAGTTAAAAGGTGTGACCATGAAAGTGGCTCGACCTGCACAAATGGTCTGCACCCCCGGCTCCAAGTCCTCCAACTTTATCCAGTCGAGCAATGGGGGGGATGGCGCTGATGGGGACCACTGTCCACCTCTCTCACAATCCAAAAGGAAGCCCCGACCCTCCTCCGTCACCCCCGAAGACAGACCAGCTTTATTTGGAAATCACGGTCAGGAAGATTTTTACACCACTACCGGAAACGGAGACCAAAGTCTGGGAAATTTGAGACACAATAATAGACGGAAAGGTGATTGGATTAGTTATTTATTTAGCTGATAGAATTTCAATCATCATTTTGTCTGGATTTCTAACTTAACAGATGAAAAATTGATTGAATCGAATGATTTCGTCTCTGGCGACACGCCCACGATTTATGCGGGGAGTAGCAGTATCGCAACCTCCACGAAGGGTGGTCAATATAACGGCGAGCAGCCAAAATCTGGTCAGAGTGGTGGCGTCCTCTCCTCAATCTTTGGAATCCCGATCGATTTTGGGTTCAACTTTGGAATTTCGCCAGCATTCTCCTGGACCGACAAGGACAAGAAGCCGGCTCGACCTGGAAAGTCCGCAACTGGAGGATCGTCCTCCTCGCCCCCCACGCAGGACCCACTCCCACCAACTTGGCTTCATCGAACACCTCTCTCTGGCGGAAATGTGTACGAGGCGCCAGAGTATCTGCCCAGAAAGCCAGCCCAGCCCTACATCCCCCTCAGCGACTCCTCCTTGTCATCGCCCCCCGTGGTGGAGCCCAGCGGAAGTGTGGACGTTCACAAAACGGTTCTTCCGCACAACCGGAAAAAGTCGCCTTCCATCAAGTTCCCATCCGAGTCACCATCTGCTGGAGTCAAATCCACGTCATGGCGTCCAGACTACACTCCTCCAAACCCAGAGACAGGGTTCATCCCCATCGAGCCATTCTTCCACGGACACGCCAACAACAACAACCAGGTCACAGCGTCCTATCCCAGTAAAAATAAGAGCAAATCTACAGTGCCGTCTCAACCCCATAAACAGCAAGGCGAACATAGCCCGAGCACGGAGAGTTTTAACAACAATGACTCCCCACCACGTGGCCAGATGACGGGATATCGCGACGAGGACAATCCATCGTCATCATCCCCGTCGGATGAGTCGTCGGATGATGATGAAGAGACGAGATACACACCCATCAAAGTTCTCCAAACCACAGAGTCTCACCCCATCAGTTCCTCCACGAGTAGCAGCACCAACAACGAAGAGAAGCCCAACAGGGAAGTTTCTCTCTCAGACTTTTGGAACATTTTCAGCAGCAGCGGTGGGACCCGGGGAGCCTCCACAACGACCACAACGAATAAAAGTACGACGTCCTCATCAACGACAACGGAACGAGGTCAAAATGCCAACGACGAAGGGGACGGTCGGGGTGGAACCGAGCAGGAAGTCAGCTACGAGGAAGAATCTTCGGAACAAACTTCGTCCAACGAGCGGAACACGGGAAACCCATTCAACTTTTCCGCCCCTGTGGACGCCCCTCTGACACCCACCGAGCCGGACGAGCAGGAGGAGGAGGAGTACAACATCCCTTTCGGAGAACCAGCCCGACCAACACAATCCTCACCTACCCATCATCGAGTGACTGGGAGGCCCACCATCACAAAAATTGTAGAGAGCGACCCTCCCTCCTTCCACACCCACCAGCACCAACAGAACAACAAGAAGCAACCTATTCGAGGGGGTGACGACGAAGTAGAACAAGTCGCTTACAACGAGGTTGACCTCACACCAGACATGACCAATGATGACGAAGGCAATGATCGTCGACGTCATCCGCAGCAGGAGAGACCTCCAGAACCCCTGATCCCACCCGTCATCATCGGCGACACGTCTGCCGAGCCGCGTGACTGGTACTACACCAATTATCACAAGACGGAACCAAGTAAGGACGCGGATCAGGTGCTCGAACGCCTTTTGGAGAGGAGCAATAAATTAAGACAGGACACGACGACGGTCGAAAACAGTGCAGCGTCGTCGTCACGCTTCTTACTTCTTCGTAATAATCTCACTAGCTTACTTTCACTTTCAGTACTTGTCCTGCAGCGTCGAATAATTTCTGGTTAATAAGAACTATAATTTTATTAGTATTTACGGTTTCTCATGAATTTTTTTTATACTAACTAGTTTCACAGTGAATAAATATACGACGATAATGTTACGAATTAATGGATATTTTATTGGAAACGGTTGTAACGTTCTTGAATCTTGCGTTTCTTAAGGATGGAACAAATCCATAGAGAAATGGTGACCATGAGTAGAACCAGAGCCGCCATAAGTACGACCCATCCAGTCACCCCTGACATATAGATAAACAGGTCAAATTCATGAAATACTGTGTCTGTGTTGATGTCTGATTGGATTGGTGTGTGTCAACTTACTGACGATGGTGGACCATCCTCCGTCGACGTTTTCATCTTTCAGACACTCCTTTGACCATTGATCGTACTCGATTACGTAGGGGGCAACTAGGATGCGAAAGTCAGAATATGCACAGGGATTTGGACAACCAGGGATTTCTAAGCGCGTGAGTATCTCATCATTGTCCCCACCGTTCTTGTAAAAGAGCTGGAATGGTGATACAAATAGTGAGAGAATAATTCAGGTCATTCGTATAGTTGTGCTTTTGTAGCTGTTCAAACAGTATACACGTATTCGTGTCAACCTCGATGAATAATGCGTCAGTCCTCCGGTGAAGTTCGACAACCACGGCAGAAGCGAATGTGGGTCGAGTATTTTTGGAAAAGAGGCGCAAGGTGTCGAGGAACGTGGAGATGGTGTGGTCGTGACCTGAAATGAGATATAGCAGTCGACCCTGCTCATCCCCGATCTCTCCCTCCATCGTGAGATCAAAATTATGCAAAACTTTATTGAACAATGGTCCAGCACGGAATCGCTTCATTTCGTCCGTGTACGACAGCGTCTAAAATAATAAACATATGAAACAGAGTGCGTCCTGCCCTTGTCTAACACCAATTGTGTCGCCAGTTATTTATTTATTTGCACACATAGTTCTCACCGCACCTGAAAATAGAAGAGTGTCAACTCTCGCAAGTTTGTCGAGTCCAGGACGCGGTTAGCCCAGTCGGGAAGAGTCAGATTGAAATAACGCTTCAACCACAAATTATGTATTATTCTAGCAGGAATTCCGGTTGCATATTTGTGTATGTGTTAAGTTTTTCTCAATACCTCAACAATTAGGGCATCATAATAATTCGCGAGTTGTTTAATATTCGTAAAATTGGTAATATTGGCATTCCTTGCAAATTCTTGGAGGATTTCCATATTTGCGACAACCTTGTCGGTGACGACAGGGGAGGTGTGGACCTGGTTAAGGAGGGTGTCGTACCTTTGGCAGGGGGACTCTTGTCGGATGACGTTGTCCTGCTTAAAGGGGAGGGTGTGGACAGGAACATCCTTCCAGTGGATCGAACCACATTCTGCCACAGCATCATTGGGAGGATAAATACCAGCCAGCACGGCACTTCCGGACTGAATTGTTCGATCAATGTCTGAGCTGAGCGTATACACATCCCGACGAACGTACGTCGTCGTGTTGACAAAGGACGAGTAACGCTTGTTGAGGAAACGGCCCAGGTCGTAACACTGTGAAATATTGAGGGTATTCATTATTTCTTCGTATCGTATTCTTCGTATCGTAAAATACCTTACGACGCTTACGAGATTTTGTAAGCGTCGTAAGATTTTCTCATCGAAAATCGCGTTACTACGCTTACGATTTTTACGAAAGCTGACCCCTTGTTTTATCTTCGTAAAGGATTTCTAACGTATTATTTATTATTAACATAAACATTGATAAACTATGAAATACACTTAGTTGGCTTGGGGAGTAGAGGAAAAACCCGATGTTGGTGGGTTGGGAAAACCTTTACTTGATCCGGATAGGCGTCCGAGATCACCATTCGGCCCCTTACATGATTTTTGTAAATAAAACGACCTATCATTTAAAATATAAAATAATTCTTCTAATCCTCGTTGACTGGGGACAGCTCCCATGATTGATGCCGCATTCCCGCGTTGAACTGCCAAACTAATCCGTTGAATGAGAAAAGTTGTCGACATTGGTCCAGTGACATCCTTCATCCTCCTCCCAACATCTTGGATGAACTTCAACCCTTCCGTCCCCCATACTCCTGATGTCTCGATAGCCACCGGAACAAAGATATAGTTTGTTTTAAGTTCAGAGTACAGTTTGTGTTTTTTGGTCTCGGCTAGTTTTGCTGCTGTGCCAGCATGTCTAAGTGTGTGAGAGAGATAAGAGGGGGCAAAAGTGTCTGTACATGTAAAGTCCCATATTAGTGAGCGTCCCTGTTTGTAAGGTATTAGTGTTAGACCATCCGGTCTTTTTCCATCTGTCCTACAACACCCTAATGGTTCCCTAATGCTTGGTATGTCTGCAGAAATTAAGGCTCTCTTTATAATGTCATTGGCTTGCGTATGTCTAGAGTGCCTGCCAGCACTTTTTTTACATGAAAGACCATGTAAGCCTAGTTCATCTACTTGTGCGCCGCAAACACATTTATGAGGGAAACATAAATTTAACCCTAACCTCAAACCTATTGCAATCCTGAAGGAATTATCGTCTAAAAGTGTGCCTAAATTCCTCGATGGTAAAGCTTGCAACCATGCACCTGATTCTTTTGACCTTGATGCCAAAATCCTAGCAGTATTTATTGGGGTGGTGGATGATTCCAGGATACGTGAAGATACGTAATTGAAAATTGGACTTTCCCAGGATGATTGAAAAGAAGTAATTGTACTGCGAGGTAGTTCTTCACAACTAATTGACTTCCACAAGTCCTGCGCCTCGGTCACAAGTGAATCGGACAAAGCAGTGACATACGAGGGCAAAATTAAAGAAACCAAGTCAGTGGTGGCAAATGAAGATGCAAGGAAACATGGAGTTGCTAATGTTTTAGATTGTCTAATTCCTAAACCACCTAATTTAATTGGTAATGCAATTTCTTCTAAAGACAAAGGATTAATTTGGCAATTTGTAATTTGTTCTAAGGCATTATGGAGCAATGAATCAAACTCCTCTAGCAAATGTGGAGATTTAAAAATAGGGGCTGCCCTTAGTAGATAAACTAATCGTGGAATAGCTAGTGAATGTTTCAAGAGATAATACGCAATATGGCTTGGAATGGAATGCAATCGACCAGCCATGTTAGTAAAAGCGTGAATCTTTTTGCGGAAAACATGTTCAATAGATTCAAGAGTCAAAGGTGCACCTAAAAGTTCAGCATTTTCCTGAGTCATACATGAAATACCTGGTGCAACTGATTGGAAAGATTCTAGTATACATTGCGTGTTAGTTTGTGGACCTAAAACTGAAACCTCACATTTATCAAAGTTCAATTCTAAACCTACTTCATTTGCACATGAGATAATATGTTGAAAATCGTCTAACACTGTAGTAGGATTGCCACCTAATGTACCATCATCTAAGTACCACATATTAAATTCTGACCCTAAATTTGAAATGACTGGATGCAAGGTTAAACAGAAAAGTGGTGGACCTAACGGATCTCCTTGTTGAACACCTCTACATGAATCAATTAAAGAAGAATTCCACACAAGACTGGATGAGAATCTATAGCACTGATTAATATAAGGATACAAAGTTGGTACAAGTTCGTGAACGGATGAAAGCAATTTCCCTCTATCTACCATATTAAATGCATTCTTAAAATCGATTTTAAGGAAGGCTGTAGGTGATTGATGTGGAAAGGAAAAGAATCTACGGGCAGCGTGTGCTCCTGCTTCAGCACCATTTTTTACGTTGAAACCTACTTGGACTGGACTAAAATAATCCTGAAAGACATGATTCATGACCTTCACACAAATCTTTGAAACTATTCTACGATAAGTGCAACCTACCGCTATAGGTCTAATACCACCTGATTTCTTTTTAAGGGCCGTAAGACTTGCACCGTAAATGAAAGGACAAATATCTAAAGGAACTTTTCCTGCTAACATAAAATTGCAAAATTTTGTAAGAGATTCTAACAATTGAGTTCCTACGTCACCAGTATGTTGTGAAACTAGATCTTTCAGAATTTGTGGTCGTAATGCATCTAAACCCCCTGCTGAACCACTAGGAAATGAGAATATTGCTGAGATAACCTGCTCTGTTGTCGTAGTAAATGGTGGAATGTTAGGCTCATCTAAAACAGTAAAATTGTCTAAAGATTTTTGTGGGTGCTTTTCTACAAGTGTGTCCAAAGTCGCTGAAGAATTGGGAGCGACAACATCATCTGATGTTAAAAGCCGTATCGCGCCACGAATATTTCCTTCGGAAACTTTAGATATGACTTTTGGCCCTATGTCGTTGATTTTGCTACCTGACTTATCAAAGACTGAATTTTTGGATGAAAGTGAAATGAGATAGTCCTGATAAGTATTTTTATCTAAGGATTCAAAAATAGATAAATTATTTCTAATTTTGTTAAGACTTTGACCATTCTTTATATTTGCCCTTGAATCACATTGTAATGTTACATATGGAAAAGTCAAAAGAAGGTGCCATGCCTCTGGTGTGTTTTCAGTTATGCATTTATCTATGGCTGACTTGATTGATTGTGCTACCGGAATTCTACAGGCCTTGGGGCATTGTTTGAGAGTTGGACAATTTTGCCTAAGAGAGGAAATAATAGATTTGAAATCAAAAACAGTTTCTGGAACTTGTTCTGATTTTAACTGGATCCCTACGTAATGATATTTCGAAGCGCCATGAAATTCTGTCCTAAGTCTTTTGGTCCTAATGTTTGAAAATGAATTTTTTATCAATTTCCCAATTTCTGCATCGTTTAAGGGTTTGAAAATGCCTAACGAGTCCTGTCTATACGCTTCATGTAACAGATTTTTCTCAATTATACCTCCTGGGACTATATTGTTATTTAGCCACTCTAATGTGAGAGATGTACATGTTGCTTTGCTAGATATAAAATTTGAAAGTGGTGTACTTAATGTAGAAATTGGTTGTGATGCACGTGGATTTGTACAGGGGCTTGACTGTATAATTTGACTATGTGTGCCTAGAGTAGACTGATTTGCAGGCGACGGTGTGTTTGAGTTTACTTGGGGGCCTATTTGTGTATGTATTTGGGGACAGTTTGCGCAGAACCAGTCATCTTCAGGAATGGCCTGCAAAAGAAGACAAGAGGTGTGATACCACAAAAGACATGCAGAACATTCTATCCACTCATCTGTTGCTGAAGATGATGGTCCTGGGCAGCCCGACACCGGACAGAAAAGGTCATCGGAAACGGGATTTAAACCCTCGGTGGTATGGGGGAGCGGTCGGGAGGATGTGGGAGGAGGACATTTTCTTGGTCCTGTCCTCTTCTTTTGCTTATTCCTCTTCTTTCTTGGTCCTGGATGTGGTCGTGATGAGGATGATGATGGCGGCGGCAGCGGGGACGATGACGGCGGCAGCGGGGACGATGACGGCGGCAGCGGGGACGATGACGGCGGCAGCGGGGACGATGACGGCGGCAGCGGGGACGATGACGGCGGCAGCGGGGACGATGACGGCGGCAGCGGGGACGATGACGGCGGCAGCGGGGACGATGACGGCGGCAGCGGGGACGATGACGGCGGCAGCGGGGACGATGACGGCGGCAGCGGGGACGATGACGGCGGCAGCGGGGACGATGACGGCGGCAGCGGGGACGATGACGGCGGCAGCGGGGGTGATGACGATGATGGCGGGAGGGGAGGAAGTAGCGTCAAGTTTACATATTTCCATATATCTAGTGACTTGAAGAGCGGCATCGTGGTCTGACGACTTGTATCCAACAATACTGGCAATTTCCTTCCACGCTTAAAATATATAGACGGGGGCGGAATTCAAGAGTGAAAGTAGAGGGACTTCCAACGATAGATAAGTAGTATCTCCGGTGTAAGTTACCGTAAACTATTTTACGATACTACGGATACGAAGAAATAACGAATACCCTCATTATAATTTATTAAGTAATACCTATTTTATTTATTACTTGCATATACACACGTCAAGTTAATTACTTGCCTGCACTTTCCCGATGCAGGTGAGCTGATGGAATCCATTTGGCCAGAATTTCTCATCGTTGTAGGGGTCAGACGGGAACGATTTTTCTATTGTGCGGGCCCCGTGGCGAAATATCTGTATCAAAAAAAGTTTCGACGTAAGCAAAGTCACGATAACTAGTCAAGACGAAGGAGTATCTGTATTCAGATTTTAGTGCCTTGCTACAACAAGAAATGGTGACCTACCACTTGGACAGCGACCAGACTTGACAAATCTGGATCCTGTGGTGGCCCTATTGAAGGAACAAGCTCGTCAGGTGAAGAGGAAGAGGAGAGCTGCCCCTCCTGACCTTGGGTGAATGAGACGCTGGTCACGGTGAGCAGGAGGAAAATGACTCGTAGTGACCACATGATGAATAATATTGCAAATTTGCTTCACATTAAAATTATTTTAAAATTATTCAAATATCCATATTAATACATACGTACAATATCTAACTAACGCTATAAATTAAGTGATCACATGTCACAAGGACAACATATGATATCAAATTATCTCATGATATGTTTATCGTCGACGGATACCTTATCTCGGTTTGGAAATTATTATCTTATCCAAGACATGACATAAAGCCGGTGTTTGTATGTGTATACGTGTAACAACAATTATTTTTAGGTGGAGCATTAGCATTGTTGTTTTGCTCAAGGTTTTGATGCATGCATTTATATACGTATTGTAAAATTTTAATTTAATTACATATGCATAGTTAAGTTATGCTCTTTAACAAAATCTCTGGTTGTATCTTCCGGTTTATTAAAATACAGTATTTTGGTGCGACGTGTGCCACATTGATATATTAAATCACAAAGTATTGCTTAACCATCCATCAAGTTAAGTTCTATCGTGCCTCGAGTTTCCGGTCCATGATATTCAATTTCGTCCGTGGGACCAACAGCCCAGACAATAAATTGGACTGCATTCTGCAACATTAGTTGAGTTCAAGTTAAGGTCAATTATTTCGCATTATTACAAGAACAAAATCGCTTGCTATATAACCTCCACTTTAATATCTTCCGTCATATCTCCCGTATCAACAGCTCGAGTAAACTCTAGCACCGTGTGGGTCGCATTTTCAGACGCCGAGACGAGTTGAACATTTTGAACGGCATCCAGTTGTGGAGGCCCCGGAACGGCGGAGAAGCGATCCTAAAATTAAACAAAATTATTAAGCACGTGTACAACCTCTGGAGTAAAATGGGTGGCATTAAAATGCTTATAGGTTGACCACCCACCCCGATGTAGGAACCCTTTGACGCATCGAAACCCCCGATGACCAGGTCGGAGAGAATCATGCTTCCGTTCGGAGATAGTCCCCATCCCACCCAACCCGTCGTTTCTGCCGTGACCTTCACAGTGAGGACGCCAGCCAAGGTGACTCTGGTCTCTAAAATGTACTTGCCATCATTGATTGGCACCGTTCCTCCCAGCACGTCAGAGGCTGCGAGGCAGACTGTGAGAAAGACGCAGAGTTTTGCAAAGGTCATCCTAGCGAAATTAGGGTGGACGTGTGTTTAAAGTCGAGAGAAAAGGCGAGGGGGAATTGTGACTGCTGAAATGTGGGTGACACCGAATTCCTTTTATACCCGATGGGACGTGAGTACGAGTCCGTGGTAACAAGGGCGTCATTTTTTCTTATCACGGGCTTATTAGTTGAGAGAGAAGGATATCTGCTGGTTGGACTTACCTGGTGATGATGTAACCGTAACCCAATAATGATCACAAATTGACTAGTATTTGATGATTACATAACGATTACCCACATATGTACATATACTGTAAATACATGTGAAAAATGCACACGGCCCCACAACTGGGACTCGTTGGATGCAATGCAACACAAATAGATGCACAATGCAGATCAATAGGTCATCAGTTGTCCAAACATTGTAAATAGTTTTTTTATCTAACATAACGATTCGTACATATTTATGTATGTGACGTTATTCAGTAACGGTGATTGTGACGTGAATCGTATATAGAGTTATAAACTGATTGTATAAGTGACCAGTTTAAACTACAAGAAGGACGCGATGAAAAATACCAATGATTACCTATGCATAAATGTACCATTAATGCATTTGTCGTGTAAACTTGATGAAATTGATAGTAATTAAGGACGGAATAACCGAAAATGTATGACGTTGTTCCCTGCGAGGTCTACAGATTATGTACCAGCGTTAATTTATTGGTAGTGACATAATCGTTAGTATGCCAGAAGTCTGAAGAGTATGTTGAGCAAATAGAGCAAATTCACAAACGCTGGAAAAAATTATCATACTGAATTGGTTTGCTACTACGTAAATTAAGTGCTTTGATCCTTGACACAGCAAATATGTAGTTAGCAAATTTGTACTAACTCAGCTCAGAATATACATAATCCTAAAATTATCGAACATGTTTTTAAATAAAATATATGTATTTTTCATAATTCAAGTCTTTATTCGTGAAATATGTGGCTTGTATTTATATATGTATTTCCTAAGCGTTAAAAGTAACCAACATGTTCAGCGTCAACTGAATGCAGTTGTGCATGCAGACGAGGACAATGGTGTTTTCAAAAGTAAAAAAATGGCCGGAAGTCACCCTGACGCCATTGTAGGACTCGGCATGAAGCATCAGCATCTTTTTTTCTCTCCTGCTCACCCCTTTCATGGAGGCAACGCTGCTCCGCCAGCTCAGGTTCAGCTCCCTCGTCTTGAAGCTGATGTCTCCTGCCACGGCCAACGGGGTCACCTAGAATGAGACACCAGAACCGTTAATTAAATATGCTGTTGGGAAAAAATGGCGAATTCGTGAGCATTTACGGCATCGTAGAGGCATTCCGTGGAGCAGAGAGGAAACATGAGGTTTGCGAGGGGAGCAGTGTGCCACAGCCGGACGACGCCGAAGACGAGGGAGGAGACCATGAAGAAGAGGAGCGACGGGAAGGAGGCGAGGTACGGACGGAAGCCATTGTTCACCAGGGACACGATCACTTCAACCCCGCGGAACTCCACAACTTCTGGCCCAGAAGAAAAGTGTTTCAGATCACGCCTATAACCAATTCACTAAATGAATCAGTGCACCAAATACCCGTCATTAATTAGCAACAAACCTAAAGTGGTTGATTTCCTTCAACACCCATGACATTCCAAGGTAGACCATGGCCCTGTTCAAAAACCACGCCTGTTATAAGCCGATAATATGTACTATGTACATATGCAATATTATCGTCAGTGTCGAAATTATACCCACCAGTTGAACGTGATGGAGATGAACATGGTGCAGATTAGATAGTACTCGATCACGATGAAGGGAACCTTGTGGAGGAAAGGGACGCCGGTAGCACTATAACCCAAACAGGGGAATGCCAAGGAGCTCGTAAAGTGTGGTGCACAGGGTGTCTCATTGACCAAGGTCGTGTGGACGCCAGGATTTCCGAGAAAGAGGAGGAGACCGAAAAGTAGATGAAGTCCAAGGCTACGCTCCTCTCTCTGCTCCTCCTTCCTCAGGGTCGCCTGCAGATTTTCCTCTTCCGGAGGCAAGGCCAACTTTCTCTTGGCTTTGGCCCCCCTGTTCTTTGCAGCCTTTTCTTCCTCCCTCTTCTCTTTGTTGGCTGGGTCGGCGTAGTTGAGGAGGTAGTTGCCAAACTGCATGATTTCCTTCTCGTTGACGTCCCACTGGTAGAAAGCGACGAGTGCGAGAGTGTAGCCACCAACCCAGGCGATGTTCAGGATTTTCAGCAGGAGGGGAAATCCAGGTCGAGTGAAAGCTTGGGCCAGACGAAACCCGGAGAAAGTCAGCATCGTCACGATCACGGTGCGGTGGATGCTGAGGACAGTGCAGAGTATAAATTAATAGGTTGATAAGCTTAACTATCTATAGGTGCGCATTATTATTTGATAGCAACCCAAAGGGAAAGGACTTTTTAAGAGATGAACTAATCTTAAGGGGCTACATATCTGTCACCTGAAGTAGAACCACTGGTTGGCCGACCCTTTTTTGAGACGACATTCCTTTCCATCCCAAATGTATGGGAAAAACTTGCAACCACACCCAAAGCTGAGAAAAGAGCAAAAGTAGGAAAAGTAGCGTTGGGTGAGCATTTTTAGTAGTGAGCTGGGCACCGACTCTGCTGCTGGAGAAAGGTGTGACGCTGGCAAAAGACAAAATTCAGAATTTATAGTCCTGAAAATCGTCCTGTTGGCCTTTGTCCAAAGGGAAAATATACGTACAATAAATAATCCCGATTCAGCCATTAAATAAGCACACAACGCTTGCCAACGATCGTTTACCTCACTCCCCAATTCTCTACACATTACGATTTGATTGAGGTCAGTTTTGGTTTGGTTCTATCATGTCAACAGAGAGATGGGAAAAATCCCTTCTGAGTAACATTTCAGCCACTTACGATTAAGATAATTGTGTCTAAAACTATTTAATATCCATCCATCGCATCGTTCAGAGTGGGTTACGTTAGATCGCAATTAAAAAGATGCCGTCATCATGTTTTATTTATTTAATTAATGTCGCTTATCAATTCGAGTGCCTGCAATCGTCCTTGTTGACATAGTCGTACTACGATGTTCTAGAATATATATAAAACGTTCAACTCGAAGTGGTCTATCTTCGGGGCTCCATTATCACGCTGAACATGCTCCCATCCACAATTTTGTGCAACTCAATGTTGGCAGATAAATTAAGATTCCTAAAAGAGCGACGCAATTATGTTGCGCATACATACATAGAAGTATCAGTATTCGTGGTTATTCTGATAGGCTTTTTTAAATTGTTAGGGCCAAATTTACTGTCATTTTATGAAAATCAATATCTGAGGAGTAACGGAAAAGTTTTGTATGCATAAATATGTGGTAAAGAAATAAATGCAAACGCGGACTTATGGATGATGATTTGGAAAATCCATATCAATTATGATTTATGCAATTTTGACTCAAAAACAATTAAATGGCAAAACAGTATCAACGGTTTTATTCTTCCCCTCATTACTGGTTCTTTCTGAGGATACAGTATAAATAAATGATCATCTTATTACTAAAAACATTCTCTGCATTGCATGTTTCTCTGATCACTTGGATAACTTATAAGAAGTATAACTTAATAATTAATATTGTCCTCCGACAGACAGTTATTAAACTTATTCTTAAATTGCGCGTTTGCGAATTTTTTAAAAAATAAAATAAAAATAGTCAAAGGATAAAATGCGACAGATAAAGAAAAAATGAGCAGCTTCTCCTCCGTGGAAGCATCCCCTTTCGCAATTTATATTCAGATTAACAGATTAACATCCCTCGTCTATTTCGTCTTAAATAGATTCGTGTAAAGCTACATGATGTCCTTGTTCATCATTCCTTGTTAAATTCGTTCATAGTAGAGACGATCTGATCCTCGTCCCCACGTTTTGCCCATCGACGTTCCTCCACCCCCAGAGCCGAGGAGTCGGAAGAGGCAGAGCCACAGGAAGAAACAACCCATGAACATCACCACTCCGACAACACCAATCACTGTGGAACAATCAATTAACAGGTAAAGCGTAAAATAAATTGTGGGTGCTTCTCAAAGTGTTTGCCGTTAAACGTTACCCAGTGGACTCGGATAGCTGGAAGCGGTACAAGGCGTCACCGTGAGAAGTGGCGTTTCTTCCAACTCCAAGCTGGCTGGTGGCGTAAATTTGAGCAGGTTTCTGTGCTTCACCTCCCCACCTTTACTATTTTTGCTCTTTTCCTCATCCAGCGAGCATTCTTCCTTCAAATCGCGTGGAATGAGATGCTCCGTCAGCGTAATAAGATCAGAGAGACGGCAGGTCAGCGAGCAGCCAGGGATTTTCAGTTGATAGGGAGCCCGGTCCGTCTCGTTCCGGTAGTAGACCTACCAGAAAATAATGCGCAAATTGACGAGCAGACCTGTCACTACTTGGAAAAAGTATTCACTTATGAATTAGTACTTTGACAAAATGGTCATCCTCAAAGTGGAGTTCGACGAGTAGGCTGGATGCGTAGGGGGGATTGTGAGGGTGAAAGACGCCGATCGTGTTCATTATTCTGGACAAGGTGGAGTCGTGAGCGGAGTAGAGAAGCATTTTTCGCCCACCTCCTCCCACCACCATGTGCTTCTCCTCGGGGGACGAGTATCCCAAGGCCCCTGTCTTGGCCAGCATGTTTTTAAGGAGAAGGTCAAGCAATGGCCCACCTCGAAGACGTTTCATTTCGTCCGTGAAAGTGCTCCACGTGTTGATCTGAAAAATGTTGAGAGGTTGGTGAAAATTTTTAAGTAACAAGTAGTTCTGAAAAAATTAAGTAACAAGTTGTCGATAATAAATAATAATAAGCACCTGCGCCTGGAGATCGTTCAGTTTTGGAAGTGCCTGTTCAATCCAACCAAAAAATAGTTGAGATCTTTTACTCATGCATGCATTCGTTCATTACAGTGCTGTCAGGACTTGGTCACTTACCAGCGTGGCCCAAAGTGGTACGGTCAGGTTATGAATTGACTGCAGGTAAAAATTGGTTAGTTTATCGATATATAAACAATAGTTATAGGCCTACAGACTACAGCAGTAACCCTGACCTCGGTTAGAATGATATCTTGTAGTTGGATAATTTCCTTCACCGTGGACGCCCTGAGTCCACTTTTCTCAGACAAATGGGCTACAAAATCTTTGTTCTCCTCATTCATGGTCAGGACAACTTCAGAGGTTGACATGAATTCGTGATGGAGCTGGTCATACTTGGGGCATTTCTTGTTTACATGAAGGTACTGCGGGGGGAAAGGATACATATGAACGCATGTGAGAAGCAGGTTGATGGATTGGATATTGGATTGGCACATAAAAATTCAGCCCAACCTGGTCCTCCTTCCAGGGAATTGTCCTCAAGGGGATGGGTTGCCAGTCCAGGCTCGGGTGCCACTTGTGAACAGGTGGGAACAATCCGGCCAAGTTGGACTGTTATTAAAAGATCAAACTCAGTGTGAACTAAATTATTCCCTTCTCGAAGAAAAACGTGGGCACGACTAAAGATATCAACAAATTGGTGCTTATACCTCGACGCTCATGATTGTCCGATCCATGTCCGAACTGACCACGTACAACTGTAAAGTCATTATTGAGAGTGCTATTATGTAAGTAGACTCAATGGAAAATGTTTAATGTAGGTAAATGTGGCATATTTATGTATAGGGAATTGCTCGAAAGGTTTGGCACCTCTTGTGCATGGTACTTGTCAGCCAGAAAACCGTTGTAGCGGCGTCTCAAGTATTGGCCCAGCTTGTACTGTTGCATCTTCCCCACCTGCAAAACAATTACTCATACACATGCATATACATAATAATATACTATTCTTGTAAATGATTGTGTAGGACTGATAGATGGGGGCCAATTGAGACAAACGAAGGAACATACACTAGTAAGTTGTGCCTTTCCCTCTGGCCAGGCCGTGGGATCCTTGTTGACTGGGTCGTTTGGGTAGGTGTTGGTTGGTGCCCGGTCGCCATGTCGAAATATCTGGTCATAAAGGAAAGGGACATGACATAGAGCGGCCAATAATGCACACAAGTCGGAGGTCCACCACACATACCACTTGCACTAGTTGAAGCGTGTCAGTGTCCGCAGCAACGGAATGGGATGATGACGACGCCACATTGATCAACGCCACTGCCACAAGTACCACACCCACTGCTGCTCCGATTCCCCTTCTCATCCCAATAATTTCTTTAATCTTAATAGTATGTATTCCTTACGGGCAAAGAAAACTAAACAAAAAATCTAACTAAAAACTTGTGAAATGATTGCAGAATGAGATATTTTTTCTGGACAGCAGCGAAGACCAGCAAGCAACCTGCTACTGCTACTACTTTGCCGGATGGAAACGAGGATGGAACTGAGGGTTGTGACTGTGCTGATGGGGCGACTTTATAAAGGACCCCGACTGACCAGATAAGGGGAGTGATAAAGAAGGAAAGGGTCCAGGTGCGTGGTGGTCTAAATGTTACTGATCGAGTGGTGTTGGGCACATGAAAGTATTTACAACAAACCCGAACACATAGAGTATGTACGTATACATATATAAATATGTATATATATGTATGTACATTACATTATGGCATCAAAAAATGCGTCACAAGGGTCCAATAACACAAAGATTTATGAATTATGATAAAGAATACATGCATCAAATTCTTGCATCTGCATGGACTGACGTTAACGATGTACTCATAATTGTCTTTTTCCTTGAACTTGTTGTTTCTTCAGTCTTGATTTCTTCTTTATTATACACAAGCAAGCTGTAAAAATATGTACATATGTTGATGAGAGAGAGTGAGAGATCACAGGAACTTTACTCTCACTTCATCTCTGGACAAACATTTTGACAGCGTTACAGAATAAATAAATACTTAACGTCGTAATGCACTATCTAATAAGAAGAATAGCTCATTAATGAATGAGTGAGGAAGGAGATGAGTTGGAAATAATAGTTGAATCCATTCTGTACGGGTATCGAACAGCTCAATTGAGACGACGTTTGTTTCAGGAGCCGACGAAGATATTTCTGGCTTGGCTTGGGTTCTTGTCCTTTATTTTTGTCACATGATGAGAGTTAAATTACTTGCTCGCTGTCGCCTGGATGAAAGCATTAATTGTACGATTTATAGGTAAGCTACACGCATTATTGATCAGAATGTACAGCAGTGCGTGTACATGCCCTACAATTATTCTAACAAAATGCGAGGGAGGATTATCACGTTCTGGTTCAATCCGGATATCTGGATATTTTTAAGTGAGAAGTTGCTAAAGAATGCATGGATGGCAGAGGAAAAAAAGCTGTCCCGACCTCGTCCTAACAAACAAAGCTGTTCATAACAAATATTGTGTGACTCATATGTAAGACAATCATCGTTCTACTATAGTTTGCTTGGGACACACATTTTTTAATCCTAATTATTCTCGAGTATATTTCTCGCAGTTGAACTGTAGTTAATCTTAAGACATGTTTGCACACAATTTTTCACTGCATCATATACTTGCATATACTTAAAATGGTGCATCCATATGCATACTGAAAATTGTAGGTGGAAAGTGACTCACTTTTTTAGAATGTCGACTTGTTCTGCATTGTAGAAACTGGGCATTGCACTACTGAATCGTGTTTGCATGTCTAAAGGGGTAATGTGTGCATTATTATGTACACTCGTAAGTAACAGATCTTGATACTTAAAAAGTATCTGATAGGGCAAAAATAAGTACCATTAGCTGAGATTCATTAACTGGTTGAGAATGATTGTTTAGAAAACGGGCAGAGGAATGAAATGGTCATATGCAGAGCTGGGTGATTATTGGTTTTTGAGGGTGGATTAAGGATTATGGATTAACCACAAAACAATGTGGATTGTGATTAAATTATTTTCGTGACATTAATTCATGTCAGGATTAATCCGGATTAATCCATAAATTCTGAAAATTTCGGGATTATGGATTATGGATTAATAATCCGGATTAATTTGGTGATTAATGATTTTTCACTATATCTAGCGCAAAAAATTTCAACTACGTGGTTTCACATAAAAATGATGCCAGTTTCAATTGATACATATATGTATGTAGCACAGGGCAGCGAGAACATGTTGATTCTTCAAATGGTAGCTGACAGAACAACATTGTGAGAACTTGAGACTTCAAGCTACACTGTGGCACTGTGGGATGAATGGAACTATGGGAATTGAACTGAGTAATCCAGCTGAGAATTAATCATGAATACGTAGTAATCATGATTTGGATTAATCTGGATTAATAATCATGATTAGTAATCATGATTGGGATTAATCAGGATTAGTAATCCGTAATCACGATTATGGATTAATGAAATCAAATGGGATTATTCCCGGATTAATTCTAATTCCAGAATAATCGGGATTATGGATTGCGATTAATCTACAAAAAACTCACATTTCCGGATTAGGGATTATGGATTAATAATCCATAATCCTTAATCAGGATTATCCCAGCTCTGGTCATATGTAAGTGGAAAAGTGAGACTGGAATTGTGTGACCTCGTCAAGATAATTTCAGTTTAAAAATTCCGTTTGCTTTTTACCAAGTGTTCATCCAACTATTTTTCCTTTTTTCTTAGGTTTGTTGTTTATTTCTTGTTGTATAATGAGCAAAAGAGTAATTCATATGTTGCATATAGCATAGCATATATGGATACTGGAGATTTAGTTGTTGCTGTAGTCCTATTCCTATTGTTGGTTCAGGTGACGCAATGAGACAGGATGCATATGGTGAGGACGAGGACGACCGTTAATGCCACTCCAGCAACGGGACTGACGCGTTGATCCTCGTCCAGTATTTCCACCCCCAAAGTTCGCAGGGTAGAAGCTACCACTTCCAGACAGGAGGTCGTGGTTTGACTCAAGTCCATGGGACCGTGTGGGTTCAGCCTCTCAACCGAGTCGGATGGGGGTGATGGGTCCTCCAAGGGGAGGAGGACGGGTGTCGAAGGAGTGGGCCCATCACTCAACTCACCAGATTTGTAGGGGAAGGACCCCATGCCTGAGGCCACTCGGGCCTTGAGCTGCTCATAGTGACGCCACACTTGCTCCACACTCCGACTCCGGCGACGCAGAGATGACTCCAATAATTGTTTTTCTTCAGCCACTGTGTGGATGCAATAATCGCCATAATTGCATGAACAACGAGACAATTTACTGATTTTTTCGCCTTGATTGCTTACAAGCTTCGTCGAATTCTGTAGGAATTTCTCTCTCCCTTCGCAGTGAGTCCAAGGCTTCAATTTGGTATTGAACCCGTTCTCGAATCTCACTAGCAATTTAAAGTCACGGTTAACTGTATAAATCCTTTCCTAACTGATACGCAAATTAATTACAATGGTTGTGGGAGAATGAATGCATAAATACCTCCAGTTGCCATCCAGCCAGAACGACTCCAAGGAATGGTCACTCACCACTCCTGTCTCTTCCGTGGTGGTGGTTGTGGGGTGAAAAATGTCCGATTTCTTGCTCACAATTTGCGCCCCTGCCTCCTCGCCAAAGATCACCGTGTTCTGAAGCGGCTGCGGCTGCTTTGGAATTATCGTGGATTTCATCGACACTCGGAGAGAGGCGCTTGTTCCTATAGTATAATCAGCACGATATTGAGTACATATTGACTGATACATATCGAGGCACCTTGATGGATGTGTGCTCTTTGTATTACTATTTGCGTATTGAATACACAAAATTAGATTAAAGGTATTAAATAACCAGTGAAAAGCGACCCAAGAATGTCATCTCCCTTAACCCCACTAGTTTTTCGCTCCTCCCTCTTTGCGACCACCAGCTCTAGCTTGATCTTGCGACTGCGAAGGTAATTTAGAGCCTGTATATTACGTATAGGTATCTTAGTCAATTATGCCACTGTGACGGTAACTACTGTATGTTATATATTTAGGACATATATTAGCACTCACCATGAACTTGCGTAACGTGGTGTCCACCGTGGTCAGCATCTGAGATTCATTAACTCTGAAGATGAGATTGGAAACGGGTCTTCGTCCATCCCAGAAAATTCGCTTTTTACTCATTTCAGCGAGGATGAGAAGATATTTTGATGAAATCTCACCTATATGCAATCATAATTTAGGTTCCACATCAATTTTAATTACCAATGTACATTGTACAGTCTTTCCTTGATTTTTGATTACGTGGAATTTCGGCATAGCTCGAATCCAAGACGAGTTTCACGGTGACGCCTCGACCACACCCACCATTGTTGATGCCCCAGAGAGATGAAAAGTTGTCTGACATGTGACACGGATGTGTGGTTTTGTGCTGGGATGACACGACGTGAGAGACGACGCAGTTTTTGATGTAGTCTTGTGCTGAAAACTTTTCCAGCACTTCGGACACGGTCATTCTTTCGAGTTTGTGAGTGTCGGAGGGCGTGAGTCGCCACACCAGCTTCGCCACGGCCTCAGTCCCACTCCAGAAGACTGGGAGACCCTTGGCGTCCTCGAGAAGGAGAGAGTGCGGTGGGTATGTCGTCGTCATTTTCATATGGACTTTCTAAGCGGTTAAAACTTAAAGTTAGGCTATTCTTATGAATATAATATTCTACTGCAGTAAAAAATATAAACCCACGATTAGGCTAAAAATCTAATGACAAGATTGCTGAACAACTTCATAGCAACAAAGATTGAAAATTATTTATTAACATAAACATTGATAAAGTACGAAATACACTTAGTTGGCTTGGGGAGTAGAGGAAAAACCCGATGTTGGTGGGTTGGGAAAACCTTTACTTGATCCGGATAGGCGTCCGAGATCACCATTCGGCCCCTTACAGGATTTTTGTAAATAAAACGACCTATCATTTAAAATATAAAATAATTCTTCTAATCCTCGTTGACTGGGGACAGCTCCCATGATTGATGCCGCATTCCCGCGTTGAACTGCCAAACTGATCCGTTGAATGAGAAATGTTGTTGACATTGGTCCAGTGACATCCTTCATCCTCCTCCCAACATCTTGGATGAACTTCAACCCTTCCATCCCCCATACTCCTGATGTCTCGACAGCCACCGGAACAAAGATATATTGTTTTTCAAGTTCAGAGTAAAGTTTGTGTTTTTTGGTCTCGGCTAGTTTTGCTGCTGTGCCAGCATGTCTAAGTGTGTGAGAGAGATAAGAGGGGGCAAAAGTGTCTGTACATGTAAAGTCCCATATTAGTGAGCGTCCCTGTTTGTAAGGTATTAGTGTTAGACCATCCGGTCTTTTTCCATCTGTCCTACAACACCCTAATGGTTCCCTAATGCTTGGTATGTCTGCAGAAATTAAGGCTCTCTTTATAATGTCGTTACATTGTGTATGTCGAGAGTGCCTGCCAGCACCTGCAACAAAGATACTTTTTGCAAAACTGCTCGATGCTCTCATAACTCTTTTCCAAAGGTTGCTTGACAACTTTAGTAATAATTACAGTTGGGGCTTGCAATGCAAACATGCTTTGTCCTAAACTGGAATCTAAAAAATTAACTGTGTGAACTTCAAGCAAGCATACCTCATCTCAAGTTCAAACGAGGACTCAAGGGACACGACTGTTGACTGTTGTCACGATGCCGCTCTTAAAATTACTTGATATAGGGAAAAATGTAAACCTGACGCTACCACCGCCATCATTGTCGTCGAAAACAAAGGGGTGACGGCGGGTGGGACCTTACGACATGTCGACAACACCAATAAGAAGCATTGTGCTCAATTTCATGCAAATTGGACGACAAATGGCGAAATTATGGCATGGCGACGAAATTTGGCGAAAACAAGGGGGTGGCGACGGGTGGGACCTTGCGACACGTCGACAACACCAATAAAACCTACAGTGCAGACTTGATATAGCCCGAGTCAGGCACCAATCTGTTTTCAAATTAAAATTTTTAAAACTTCGATTCTTCAATTAAGAGCCGAGTGACAATAATGAAAACCGGAATCACTTCACACCTTTACAATTTTGATTTGGATAAGATTCTCAGCGTTTGTAGAGCTGATTTTTACGAGTCCAGCGATCCAAGTCCCGTGTTTCTACTCCACCCCCTCGCGGAGTGGAGGGAGCTCAAAGTTGGAAAAATCGCTCTAGTCTGCGATTTTTAGCTTAAAGGCGGGTCAATCTTTTTGAAAATAGTTTTCACCAAAAGTTTCCTAATTTTTATATCTACAACCCTTTTCGTGCGTTTTTTGAAATTCTCAAAACGGACATCAGGGTTTTGGATTTTCAAGGTTCAAGTTTTTTCTCAGGATTTTCGACTTTTTTTAAATGACGCGAATTTGTTCAGAAACCATCCTAATTTATGCTAAACATCATAAAATGACGAAATGTCATGGTCCGGGGTCCAACAGGTCTGATATGTGCATGAGAACGAGAATCTGAAATGTTCCAAAATTTAACACAGCGGAAGATTGGGAGCTAACATGGCAATGGAATAGGGACCAGTTCAGAATATTTTTGTCTCTAGAACAGCATGGATTGGTCATACACCTGACAAAGTATATATATTCTTAATCCTCGCGCTGAGAGCTTTCCAATGGCGTCTCATATGACCCCAATTATGGGGTTATGTGAGACTTGACCTTTCCCTAATTTTACTCCAAAATCGTGACGTCCGTTTTGAGAATTTCAAAAAACGCTCGAAAAGGGTTGTAGAGATAAAAATTAAGAAACTTTTGGTGAAAACCGTTCTCAAAAATATTGGCCCGCCTTTAAGCTAAAAATCGCAGAAAATCTCAGTTTTTCCAACTTTGAGCTCTTCCCACTCGGCGAGGGGGTGGAGTAGAAACACCGGACTTGGACCGTTGGACTCATAAAAATCAGACCTACCAACGCTAAGAATTTTATCGAAATCAAAATTTTAAAGGTGTGAAGTGATTCCGGTTTTCATTATTGTCACTCAGCCTTTAGTAACCCATATACCAAAATTTATCCAATCACTAAATGTAATCGGCCATCACTAAATTTTTGTGAGTGCACACATTTTTTCCCTTTGTGACAGTATCGACTGTGACCATAACTTTGAAACGAGTGTATAATTTTTCCTAAAACTCTCAGGATATTATCCTAGTAATACTAGACGCAACATATGTAAATTCCAGCCACACGGGTGACTATGTTCGTATACATTTGTTGGTGCACACATATTTTTCTCCCTGGTCACCTTATTGGGTCGCCCAATAAGATCCTCCAGATGATTTTTTTTCTTATTTTACTTCATATTGTTCCATTAGGAGCTATTACCAACTTGTGTACCAAATTTCAGCTTGATACGACGATTAAAAAAATCTGTATGGGTCGCCCCATAGGGTCTATCCAGGTGAAAATGTGTCGAATTTCAATTCGTATTCTTCCATTGGTAGCCATTAACAACCTATGTACCAAATTTCAGCTCGATTGGATAAGTTTTAAAAATCGGTATGGGTCACCCCCTAGGGTCCCTCCAGATGAAAATTTTTGCAATTTCACTTTGTATTCCTCCATTATAAACCATTAGCAACCTCTGTACCAAATTTCAGCTTTCTACGACAATTTTGAAATTTTGGTGCATAATACCCAACCCACCTATATGACCCCCACCGGTCAACCACTTGACCGATTTTGCCCATCTTCGAACTTAACTCCTCATTTGACCCATACTACATGTGTGCCAAATCTCAAGTCGATCGGATTAGTTTTATGGCAGTTATCGCAAACCAGACAGACAGACAGACGGACAGACAGACAGACAGACAGACAGACGGACATGACGGGTACATAAGCCCTGACTCGGGCTAAAAACAAGTCTCTGTCGAAGTTTGATGCAAATCGGACGAAAAATGGCGAAGTTATGGCATGGCGACGAAATTTGGCGAAAACAAGGTGGTGGCGACGGGTGTAACCTTGTGACATGTCGATAACACCAAAAACAAGTCTCTGTCGAAGTTTGATGCAAATCGGACGAGAAATGGCGAAGTTATGGCATGGCGACAAAGGTTGTCGCCATGCCCTGCAGTTATAAGGGGGAGCTGTTGGCCGCCCTAAGAAGGGCGTTTCCAGAGCACACGACGAGGACGTCGCTCCCTCGTGCTCCACGCGGGCGGGCCCCCACTTGCGCCCTGAGGCGCAGGGGGGGTCTACCTCCACCGACCGGGAAAGCCCTGCCCACGTCGCCGCCTCTGCAACCGCGTTCCCCTAGGGGGCCCGTCTGACCCTCGCCTTACGAGGTGGGAGCGCACCCGTAAATCGGCCCCCATTAAGGCTTCGAACTCGGGAACCCGGCCGGCCCCAAGGGGAGTGCAAGCTAAAGAGCCCGGTCACCCAAGGGTTGGAGGTAGAGAGCCCCTCTCACTTGCCAAGCGCCACCGCACTTTTGGCAAGCCCCGCCGGCTCCCTACCCGGTGAGTCTGCTGGGTGGGAGGAGCATTGGAGGGGGGACCTTCCCGTAAGGCTCTCCCCTTGCAGCGTTGCTCCCCCGGACCACCCCTCCAACGGGAAGAGAGTCGGGGCTGTGGGACAAACCACGGGTGGACCCGACTCCCCAGAGAGGCAGGGCGGTCCAGGGGCGCGGCTACAATGGGGAGCTCACCCAGGGACACGTCCCCCACGAGCGCCTCCCGCAGACTGACAAAAATTTCTGGTGCAGCTCCTTTTATACCCTCTGGAGGGCGGTGAAAGTTCTGCTATAAATAGACCCGGTGAAAGTTCTGCTATAAATAGACCCGGTGAAAGTTCTGCTATAAATAGCACCCAGTCATACTGTATGACAGGGTGCTATTAATAGCCTATGTATATTAATAGCACCTGAGATAAGCGGCCTCACATGTTCCGTGTTTACAATTGTTACAAATAATTCATTGATTATTTCAACGTTGTTGAGGTTGCGAAAATGTTGATTCTTATAGTTTTTTGGTCCCTGATTTCGAATCTGAGGTCAGTTTTTCGATTGCGACATCATGGGAAGGGGCACAGGGCCAATTAATTATAGGGTTTGGTAGTAATTTATGAATAAATTAGAAGCTGACATAAATTAATGTAACTCTTGTCAATCAGAGAGTGAAGCGTAAATCTACTCTAATAAAGTGTTAGTATGATCCCTGGGTCCGTCTTCGCAATGCAAATTGCCCCATACAGTAGACAAAGAAGGAAGCGGAGCAACCACTGCATGCATGCACTGCACTGCATGAATAAATGAATACATGAACATGTACACCCCACATACATACATCACTCATCAATAGTGGTTATCATGATAAGTGATCGTGATAAACACTATTAATTAATTATTTTAGTTTGAGAAACTCTACCCACAGCGAGTGGCATGTCAATTCGAATGTATTTTTGACGCTGAATCCAACGCCGTCAATGGTTTTGACCTGCGAGGCCCCCGTGACCTCGCCGTGACCGTGGTGTCCAAATCTGACTTATTCGTGATGTCGCATATCAATTCGAATGTATTTTTGACGCTGAATCCGAATCCGTCAATAGCTTGGCGTTAATTGTAGAAGTTAACGGGGTTTATGGAACTTAACGGGAGCGTGAAGCGTGGGAATTTAAATAGTTAGCTATGCAGTTACTCCCACGCGACGGGAATTTAAGTAATTAGCTATTCAACTACTCCCACAGGGGGGAATCAAATTTTACTGTGACCAGGTTAATTAAAATGCAGTATGACTTGGGCAAACCCTCAGTCTGATGTATGTATGTAGTATGACAAAGTCTCCACTGGGAATTATTTAAAATATAGTATGACGGATTTTTCGCTTTGGGCACACCCCCCACTGGAACTCTAGAACCCGGCCTTGGCCGGGCTATACGCTAGTAATAAATAATCTACATGCCAATTGCCAACTGCAACTTCGTCTCTTCACTTACTCAAAGCAAGGTTGCTTTGAGTGGGTGAAGTTTTGTAATACACAATTACATTATGTATTATGATAAATTGTCAAGCAATCTTACCCTTTTACCTTACAGAGTGAAGAGTGAAAGTGTCAAATAAATTATTTTGTACAGCCCGATGTAAAATATATGTCAAATATATACATACATACAATATGCATACAATCAATAGATAATTTCATACAATTGTTGCATACACCGAAGACAAAGATTTAATAGTTTGAGGATGCTAAACACTGCCCCTCCACCACCACCGGCTGTTGTTGAGCTGGCTTCAATAAAATAAACTATTTTTGTGTGATTAAAATTTTATGTAGTGAGAACAACAAGAGGAACGGAACGGAACAGCACTTTCGACTTTAATTACCTGCTAACCGGACGGACCTATTTGCCTGCGACGGAGGAATGACCATGCACCCCAACACTCTCCTCCTCTTGGTAATAAACAATGAAGTGTCATCATACCACACCCACTCATTGTCCTCAAATTTAATCTCTCTCTGCATTGCATGTGTGCACGACTTTTTGTTTGTGTTCTTTTTTGTTCTTTATGTACTATCTTTCAGATTTTTGCATGCCCAACCAATTAAGATGCATCTAGTAGCTGGAGAAAGTTACCTGCCTTGTTCCCTTATAATTTCTTGACTCGCGAATAATATTGTGTATCAACCATTTGCCTTGACCAAATCCTGACCCACGAAGTAAGTCACCCAGCCCAACGCCCTTAACATGTGATAATAAAATAAGCAACAGTATTTACACATATTTTGCATTGAAATTGGTACATTTATTGTAATACATATGACATATTGCAGAGGGCGGCCAGTTGAACCATGGAGCCCACTACTGCCACGGACAGCTCACCAGCCCCACCGATAACGAATCCACCACTCCCTTTGGCTCCGCCCCCACCACCTTCTGCGACAACAACCTCTTCGACCCCGACTCCATCTTCTTCTTCAACCGCCGAGCCAAGCAGTACACCTGTGGGCGCAACAAAGACAACAACAACTACCACTGCGACCAGTACTGTATCGGATAAATCTTCACCAATAGCAACCACCACAACGACCACAACCACTGTAACTTCGTCGTCGTCTTCTCCTCCTAAGCAGTCCAACTCTGTGACCATCTCTTTGACTCTTCCAACACAACCTCCCAAGTCGTCGTCATCATCGTCGTCGTCGTCACACCCACATCAGCCTCCTCTGCCTCCACTACCACCGCCAAAGGACGCCACTGGGGATGTTCCACCCCCTCCTCCTCCTCCACCTTCTACACCAGTAACGTCATCAACTGTTTCGCACAACAAGCCCAAGACGGAAGAAGGAGACAGTAAAAAAACTACTGCGTCCTCAGACCCAGCAACAACGACGACCTCAACACCAATTACATCCATGAAGAGACCGGCTCCATCCACTGAGCCACACCCGCCACCACCACCACCACCTGAATCCACTGATTCGGACGGAGACGCGGACCCAAAGAAAAAAAAGATGAAAAAAGAAACAGGGGGAGGAAATGTTGCAAGTGGAAGTAGTAGGACTGATGACAGTGGCCCAAGTAGTGGAGTCTCTTCAAATGTTTCCTCGTCTGCAAGAAGTACTAGCTCTGCTGCTGGTGGTAGTAGTAGTAGTAGTAGCACATCTACTAAATCTACAAAACACTCCTCTTCATCCTTCAAACCTACATCGACAACAGCAACTTTGGATAAAGAGAGAGGGGACAAACCAGCGCCGACAATCAAAGAGAAAGATAAAGTTGTCTCTACTCCTTCAACTACGGCAGCACCTACCCCCACAGCTACGACGAGTACAGCCCAACCTGTGAGTAAAGGTAGTTCAATATCAAGCGCAATCTCACCCCCAACAACTGCAACGACGACCACCACAACACCTACAGTTAAAGATGGGACGACAGATGATAACAAAGCCACCTCCACCACGACTAACATTACATTTCCATCCAAAGGGGCAGTAACGGTAGGAGCAGGGGGAGCCAATAATGCTACTACCTCTGCCTCTTCTTCATCCGACACTGCAGTTGGACCGAAGGTGCCCCCACTGAAAATAGTGCTGCAGAGCTTCACGCCAGGTCCCCCAATTTCCACCACGACCAATAAGGAAGCCAACAAAGATACTAAAGCAGAAACTGCTGAAAAAGAACTCCAACCATCAGCTACTACCACTCCCACCAGTACGACCGGAACAACGGCGGTAACATCAGCCCCTCCTACCACTTCTATAACCGGAAGTAATACGTCGTCAGTGGTCTCATCCACCACCACAGAGACTACGACAACAACAGGGAGTAAAGACAAGGAGGTTATCAACAACAAGGTAATAGAAACTCCTTCTGTCGTCCCTGGAGTAGTTGTGGAAGAGAACAAGGAACAACACCACAGTAATACCAAATCAGGAAAGACAAGTGTTCCAGTAGTATCTCCCTCACAATCTGCAGGATCATTGACCGTCCCATCACAAACAGCTCATCAGACCAAACCCAATAAAGACTCGACGGCAGTTGCAACAACCACCGTAACGACAACACCCACCACAGATAACTCGAAACAACAAGCTCAAGCCAGCTCTTCTTCCTCTGCTGTCACCACTTCTGGCGTTAGTGACAAATCTGAAAAAGAAACACAGATTGTCAAAGGGAACAAGGAAACGGTGCCAGCTATTGCACCACCCCCTATGACGCCTTCTACTACTACTACTACTGCTGCAGCTACGCCCTCCACCACAACTACAACTACTGCACCCACTGCAGATAGTAAAGGGAGCAAAGGCCATGCAGAGGAAGTGGTCCCGCACCCACCTCATAGTTCTAGCAGGAAAGAGAAAAGTGAAAAGGGTGGGTCTGGTGGTAGCACTAGTAGTAATACTACTACTACGACGACGTCGACGAGTGAACAGGACGGCGGAGGAGGCCGAATTGAGCACGGACCTAAAGAGAAGCCTACTCGAATCACTCGCAGCTCGCATAGAATTCTGGAAAAACACGGGGGCTCGTCTGGTTCTGGGGGGCTTCCCCACTCACCGAGTAGCATTTCCCCCAAAACCAGTGCTTGTCCTTCGCCATCCACCAGCCAACATGGTGATGATGTAAGTACATTTCAATTAATTGGGTGTTTGTTAGTATATATTGTTTATTTATATGTCTAACGTGGTCATTAGATCTTATCTAATTAAATTACATGTGTTATTCTTTATAGAAACATGATGAAAAGATGGACACAACTGAAAATTCCTCTACTGCACCACCACCTCCAACTCCAGCGGATTTGCACCCACGGAAAAGAAAGTTGAAAAATGCAAAGGACACGTCCTCGTCAACTGCTGCTGCTGCAACCAGTTCTTCGTCATCCGCCCCATCCTCTGCTGCTGTTGCTTCTACTACAGCCACGACAGTGACCAGTTCAAGTTCGACGTCAAATCTGTCCGAGAAAGAGTCTGCTACGAGCACTGGCAGCGGTGAAGCTGGCGGCTCACATGGTCATGGGCAATCATCTCATCAACAACAGAATGATCCTCCACCCATGATGAACTGCTTTGAAATGTTTCAAAATATCCGGAAACAGGTAATACCCATACGCACGAAATCACTATATGTTATTCAACTCTCAACTCGGGCAGACCCATCAAATACACTTGTGGTTCTGCAAAATTATTCGACCCGTGTGTCATTGATTGATTGTAACTCTGTCCGTGGATATGTAGATTGCTCGTCGCCGACGGAACCTATTTCCCGTGACACCCAAACCACCCAAAGGATTTAAAGATTATCTCATGAACCGCGGGACGTACGTCCTTCAAGGAAATCCTAACGCCCAGTTGGCCATTCCCCTCCTCAACGCCCCCTCCTCTCTCCAAATGGGAATGAAGGAGAGTTTCTTGGACCAGGAGAAGGGGCGTCACAAACTGAGACTTCAACACCTCGTAGAGAAGGAGAAGCTAGTGTTGGCCGTGGAGCAGGAAATTTTGAGGTTCAATTTATTTTAGTAAATTATATTATCGTTATATATTTGATTACTTAAATTGAATAATTTTAGGGTGCACGGACGGGCTGCTCGGGCTTTGTCAAATCAAACCCTCCCCTTTTCTCTCTGCACCATCCTCAAAGATGAGGAAGTGTATAACCTGCTTACTCCAGAGCAGGAGGAGAAAGACATCACGGCACGGTCACGCTACAATGGAAGGTCAGCGAAATTATTTGTCATTTTGAGACGGACATAACTGACATGGCTGGCTTGAACATCATTTGACGTGCAAAGAATAAATCAACCTCTTAATAATGTGTTTTCGCAGACTCTTCCTCTCCTGGCTGCAGGATGTGGATGACAAATGGGATAAAATCAAGGTGAGAGAGTCAAGTATACTAGAAGCACTTAATCAATATTGTTAAAAAAGAGTGTATGTAATACGAGAGCACATAATAAATTATTATTTTCTTCTTCTTAGGAGCAAATGTTACTCCGACACCATAACGAGGCGGAAAGCCTGCATGCGGTCCAGAAGATGGATTGGGAGTGGAAATTGAAGGAATTGGGACTCTGTGAACCTAAGGCGTCACCATCCATTGAGGAATATCACGTTCCTATGGTCCATGTTTCTGATGACTTTGATCTTCTTCCAGCTTAATCAGTTGTATCCGTTGAATTTTGAATTGTTATTGTCGTCCTCTAGAGTCTCCAATTTGAGTCCACGTTTGACTCGGACGTTTTCAAATATCATGCAAGAATTTGTAGTAATGTACATACCCATATATCGAGTAGATTGAGTAGATGTAGAATAGCATAGGTTATAACATTTTTATTTGATTGGAATTTATAACGGTTTGTGCAGGGTGTAATAAATTTTTTGGTGTACAAAGTCGGTCTGTTAAGACAGACATAGACAGTTTTCGCGAGGATAAAAATCTCCATGATTCTGACTCTGGTTCAACCACAGTTCCGTACGGTACCAAATTTAGGTTTCACAGGAGTCAATTTTTTTTGTAAATCTAGGAATTTTAAAATTTATCCGTTTTCTTGTATTTAAAATGGATCTTCAATCAACATTCAGACGATGAATTTGCATGTTATCAGAACTCTCGCTAAAACTGTCTAATATGAGATTTACTCTTTATTTGCCTCAGTGTGGTAAGTAGCGGAGTAACCGAATTACAGCTCACACGTGAAAACAGATCCAGTCGTTTCTTTTTGCTGCTGCAAAAATACTTTCGAAGAAATAGCAGCTTGCAGATTACTAATTAGCTACGGTTTGAAAAATGGGAAGAACGCGAAAAACGGCTCATGCCTCCCTGGGCATGTCTCTCGTCAAAAAGAAGAAGGCACAATGGGACAGAGCAACTAATTGTGTAAGCTATCAATTTGCAATGAATGACCAATGACTCATTGCATAAATAAAATTTAATTAATCTCTTTTTAGGAACATCCAATCCTCACGGATAACACGACTAACGCCCTCAAGTCTGTGACTGAAGAGAACTCTTATGACGAATTTATCGCCACAGCCACTCTCGCCAACAAAGAATTTACCGCAGAAAAACTTAATGTCAAATTTGTGGCACTATCCACGAATGAACGGGACGGTCATGGGGGAGGAGCGGATGACGAGTTTTCAGAAGAGGATAAAAGACTCGTCGTAGTTCCACGAAGACCGAAATGGACCAAGGAGATGACCGGTGAAGAGCTCGACATTGCGGAACGTGAGGCCTTCCTAGAATGGAGAAGGAGGATGGCACACCTTCAAAATAAGGAAGGTATCACCCCGTTCGAGAGGAATATTGAAGTGTGGCGACAACTTTGGCGTGTCGTGGAAAGATCTCATATCATTGTGCAGATTGTAGATGGTCGAAATCCACTCTTATACAGGTTAGCATTTGGTTGTTAAGCTGAACAATTTAATTAAATAGTTGGCCTATCATTTAAGGTTTCCCATGTTCTATACGTTTGTATTGTATGTATGTAGATGTGAAGATTTAGAATCATATGTGTCGGAAATGGGGAAAAAGAACGTCCTTCTAATCAACAAGGCAGACTTTTTAACCCCAGCACAAAGAGCCCATTGGTCGCAGTACTTTAACTCTATTGGACTTTCCCACGCCTTCTATTCTGCAGCGATGGCGGCTCTCAAACCCAAAAAGGAAGATTCCACAATTCCAGAAGAAGACCACGAACTAGACAGTAGTTCAGAAGAAGATGAAGAAGAAGGAGAAAGTGACCACTCGTCGGATAATGTTGAGCAAGAACTACACGTCGGCCTTTACGCTAAAGTTAAACAATTACCCGATGAGCCAGAAGCCACTCGGATCTTGACAAGAGAACAACTCATTGACTTTCTCCGATCGTTCAAAGCTTCTTGTCCCGATGACATTTTTGCCGTTGGACTTGTAGGATACCCAAATGTAGGAAAGAGTTCTACCATCAATTCTTTAATGGACGCAAAGAAAACTTCGGTATCTGCAACACCCGGAAAAACTAAACACTTTCAGGTATGATTAATAGCTAATTATATTTTAATAATATCTGTATAATTAATTGATTCATTAACTAACTAATTCACACAACTTTAAATATGCAGACATTATATTTGGAAGATGACATTTTGCTCTGTGACTGTCCTGGTTTGGTTATGCCAGCCTTTGGTGGATCCAAAGGAGAAATGGTGCTGGGAGGAATTCTACCAATTGATCAACTCACGAGTTATCATTCTGCCACAGAGCTCCTGGTGAGCAGAATTCCAATGTATACCCTCGAAAAAATGTATGGGGTCACCCTATGTGTCAACTACTCCCACGAAGATTTCCTTACTTCGTATGCGGGTCGGTTTAGCAGCAGCACTTATAATAATTTAAGATGGATAGTTGGCTCCATGTGTTTATAATTAAATTCCTATCCCTCTACAGCCATTCGAGGGTTCATGACTGTCCGAGGAATCCCAGATTGTTCTCGAGCTTCGAGAATAATTCTAAAAGACTATGTCAATGGAAAATTGTGCTATTGCGTCCCACCACCAAATGTTCCAGGCGAGGAATTTAATCCCATTGTGAATCGTCACATTATAGTACATCATCCGCCCCAAAAGGGTCAAGAAAATATTTGGGAACAACAGGAAAATGTATGCAAAGTGCAAAATGTATAAACAAAATTTGTATTTAATGAAATGCACAATTTGAAAAACAGTTTCTTCATTCCATTTTCCAGCAGCGTCGTCCAATCGCTCCAAAGGCGAGAATGGAGCGAAATTTGGACCGTTCATTCTTCGCTCCAACTCCTTCCTCTGTCCACATTAAGGGTAAGCAGTACGTTAGCACTGGAGAAAGTTCGGCCGCCTCGTCTTCCACCACCAGCCTCTCTGAAGAAGGAAAACCGTGGAAGAAACATGGAAATAGGAACAAGAAAGAGAAACTTCGACGACTCTACAGACATTTAGATGTCGAGTGATTACTATTATCATTACTAACCCCGGATTTATTATTTTCCTAAAAACGTGTCTATGTTAGAAACATTATCTATCTATACACGAATAATGAAAGTCTTTAAAAAATAAAATTGAATATAAAGTTATATACAAGCGTGATGTGGATTTTATCCCAACAAGTCCCCTAAGTCTCACCCATCTATCCATCCCTTCTTTCGATTTGTTTCCTTGAGTTGTGCATGCAGCCTCTTCAGTCTCAACTCAAGAGTGTGATTCCCGCATGGGAATATGCTATGACGATTTAGCGACGCGACAGATTATTGCTACTGCAGGTTGCTTTATGTGACGAATTGTCGGTCCAACGGGATCGGGTATTTTTGAAAATGCAAGTCATGCATAGAGCAAAATCCAGATAACTTCGAGGGGGTGTGACGCCACGCCCCCTTCCTGGGGAAAATGAGATATTGTCGAGGAACGACAATTTCAACCGCCGGGGATGTTTTCGACCATTTGCATTTATAATTTCACCTTTCTGTTACGTTTCGTTGATTATAGTGGCGCCTATGTATGCACGATGCAGGATATCAGTATCAGTTTCCATTCATTTCTCTCCAAGACCAAAAATCCAATTCTTCGGCATCTCAAAGTCCTGCTGTCATATAGTCGTGCCGCTTTTGGAGACTATATTTATTAAAGTCTATGCATATAAGAAGGAGCAAAGGTGGTGTCCACTACATGCACCACCGCCACCACCGTCACACCACTATCTCTTATGTAGGAGGGAGGACACACAAACTCTGACGTGTCCTCAAGTTCAATGGCCACTCCCCCCGATTCCAGTCTTTGAGATTTGCTAGGACGGATAAGTGGATAAGTGAGATAAGTGGGGGTGGGTAGGGTGTGGAAGTGTCTGGACGGCCCGACGGGCTCGCTGGACGATGATTTCGACCATGAAACACGCATCCCAAGCATAAAGCGAGTGTATAGAATAGAGAGAGAGCTGCTGTGAGAGAGTCATGTCGAATGCTGCGAGCACCGTCGCTCACTTGACTCCTCCAACTCCAACCTCCCTCCCGACTGTTAATACTTGGTCCTCTGCTGCTGCCTCCTTGCTCCATTGTTAGGACAGTCCGCCACGCAGCAGCCACCACAACGCCATCACCACCACCAGTCGCCATTTTCTCCAGCTCGACGACACAAAATTCGCCTACCTCCGTCTCTCTCTCACTCCACCTTTACACTTGACCCGCACGCAGCAGATAAGCAGTGACGACGAGGTCAGACGGTTTGGATACACAGAGAAGGACCATAGTCAAGGTAAGTGTCGAATTTTTGCTAATTGCGGACACGGTGATTACAAAGTTACGAAATTTTGTCGTTTTGAATAGTTTAAGGTAGTTTTTTCACTACGTTGCATATTTTGAAGTAACAACGTGTAATACGCGAAATAGTATGCACAATTAATTAACTAGTACTAATTGTGTTGACAAGTTGCGGTGAAGTGTTTGATTTTTTAATGTAATTTTTTGTAATCGTTAGATTGAGAAGACACGACCCGACCGGGTGGGATCGACCAAGATGGGATCCGCCCAACTTTTCTCTCTCCGATGGAACAATTACTCACACCACATCACAAATGCCCTTGATGACCTACGGGCGGAAGACGAACTTACTGATGTCACCCTCTGCGCCGAGGGCAACAAAATACGAGGTAAGACAAAGACGCACTGCTTGATATCACAAATTGAGATAAATGTCCCATAATGGGACTCCCACTCGCTTAAATAATGTGTTATTATATGCATGTTTCTTTTTATAGCTCACAAATTACTTCTTAGCGCTTGCTCCACATTCTTCAGAGAAACATTTCGGGTAAAAGAGGATAATTATAATTAATTAAGATTCCTTATCAGAAATTGATTGTTTATGAAGGTTGTATTCATTTGGTTTGTGTGTATGTTACATAGGAGAACCCATGCCAGCACCCTGTGATAATACTGAAAGGTGTGAGTTTCACCGACCTTCAGGCCGTGGTTACGTTCATGTACAATGGCCAAGTCAACGTGACTCAGGAACGGCTCTCTTGCTTTCTCCAGACTGCAGAAATGTTACAAATTAAAGGACTCACCGACATGAATGACAACAAACATGACAACCACGAACTGGATGTCCCTTTGCGTGGTGTGGGCGGTCACGTCAACAGTAACCATACGTCATCCAAGGTTAGATTAGTTATATAACTATGCAATATTAATACACTTCACCTTAATGTGCATAGCAATGAGCTCACATTTAAAATAATTTCCAGAAGAGAATGAACAATGTCGATTCTCGATTACATGCTTTTCCTGAAACACTGCAACAACAACAACAACAGCAACGACCTCCCACCCCCAAACGAAGAAAGTTCATTCCTTCTGCTCCGTCGGCTGGGCAGGGTGACACGAATGCGGCCGGAAACGCTTACAACAATTCTCCAGGACCTAGTGGACCAAGTGCAGCAGTGAATAACAACTCTGGAGGAGGGGGAGAAGGGACTGATGTTGTTACTGCGGCTACTGCTGCTGGTCAGACTGCTCTTCAATCTGCCATAACTAATACAGACTCAAACTCGGCAGACGACGACTATGATGGTGGTGTCGACGGATCTGCGGTTGGACTGGCTGGAATGCTCAAATATGAACACGACCTTCAGGACGATGGGGACGGCGGAGACGGCCTCCTTGGAGATGACGAGGACGAATATCGAAATAACTTGTCCGAAGATGGTGACAATTCCATGCTAGATTATACGAATATGGAGCAAGGTGCTATCGGTAAGTTGGAAACTTTTCTCGACAAATTTTTAAATTAGATTATACATTTTATATTTAGACAGATAATTTAACGGCAGTTGTCAGTGTAAAAGTTAGCCAGTTTAGTCAGCAGATGGGATATTGGTTTATTTATGAGGTCATATTACTATTATTATATTACTATTATTGATTGATAATGATGACTATACTTCATTATCGTAGTTAGATCCGCATATGTATCACTTTGCATTGGTCGTTAATATCGTTTCACTTTTGTCCAACACGCCTTGACTCAAGTTAACAATTATCATTTAGAACGAGTCTGATAATAATATTTACTAGTCAATCACGCACGCTCATCACGGTCGCTCCCTCCCTCCTTCCTCCATAACTTCATAGATCTCCGACTTTATAAATTCCTGTCTTACGGAATTGTCGACGACGACACGACCTCATGTTGTGCCATCTTTATCTTTAGAAGAAAATCAGGCTTAGTTAACAAAAGGGCATGACATTTTTTATGCATCAATCCGTCCACCCATCCATCTCACTTTACATTTCTTCCATCGCTGTCGCTTCTTTTTAATAAGCTTGAATTTCTAAATGCTGATTTATGCCCTCCCCCTTAATAAGCCTTCCTTCAGGTCACTAACATATTGTCGTGGTGGATATTATTGCAGAATTTGTGCATGTATGTTGTAGCTTGTAGCCAGGGTTTATTTAGAGGTGGGTTAGGGGTTAGTTAGGTAAATTGTATGGAGCAGGGTCATTGGACCTGCTCCGGGGTTGCTTTGTTGGAGAGTACTGATTGTGTGTATTCTTGTTGGTCTCTCCCAGGTGTGGTGGGATGGATGGAGGAGGGCGAAGATTTTCGGATAGGACTGACTCAGACAGGGAGCCAGGTCTTGTTACACCAAGGCTATTTGTACCAAGTTGAGAGGTCACAGGCCTCCAAGGTCTACTGGCGATGTCGAAATCGAAGGGGAAAGTGTCGTGGCAGAGCTATTAAAATTGGATCACACGTCCAGATAACCCAGCAACACAGTGTCTGCCTCCCATCCGTCTGATCCTCAACCTAAATATCCAAACTGAACAGGACTTATTGACTCGTCGTCGTCGTCAGCCATCGTCCTCACCATTTTTGACGCATACCAACATATATGTAATCCACATAAATATATGGACTTATTTGATTAACTATTCAAAATTCATATAATTACAAACATAATGATATATAAAGTCAGACGATAGACATCCTTGAGAAACAAATTTATTATTACTCTTATTGTTTCTCACGTATAAATAGAAATAAATTCAACTACGATAATAATTATTAGATATTATTAGCCATACAAATTATTAAGTAAGATGGAAAAAGAGACAAAGGATTTTTCTGTATTTTTTAGTTTTATGATCCGTTTCTGGTTATAAACAAAGTCTTCTAAATGTTCTGTATACCATTAATAATTTCACGACTTTCTTGATTATGGGCGTCATCAGCGGGTGTGTATTTAGGATAGTATATAAATAGTTACATAAAAAAGAACAAAGAACACCAAGTTGCCTTCATTCTTTTTCTTGGTAAAATTTCTGTCTAAATTTATATTAATATTACTGTTATCATAATTATAATAGGTACGATTATATATAATAGGCATTCCCTGACAAAAGTCGTACATACGATTTTCTGAGTTCCTCGTACAATAAACCATGTTCTTCTTATTTGATACTAAAGACTATTAATGTGTTCTTTTAGTCTTTGCGCTTTATTTTGGTTTGATTGTTCCTCCCAATGAGGGAGTGACCGTTGGTGGCTGAATAATGGGACTATTAGTAGAGCCAACAGGGATTTAAATTGTCTGAAGGCAGCAGAGGATGAGCCAATCCATTTTATTCTTAGGAATATTTAGTATTGTTTAGTTTGTTTAGTTTGTAGTACATACATCATTGAGGTTCAGGTTTATTTTCGTGTGTGCATGGTCTGTTAAGTATGTTTGTCGTTTTCTTTGGGTCCTTCTCCCTCCCCCTATTTTTTTCTTTCATTTTGTTTCATCTCATCGGCATGGCTGGTCTCTCTTCTCTGGTTTTACAGTCACTAAACTGGTGTCTCCCACCAACTCGAATTCACTCTTCATTCAGGAAGAAAACGATGACCCACTAGAGTCGGATCCCTTCCAAATCAACATCGTGTGTGAGGATGATGGGGCTGGGGGCAAAACCTGGGAGTGCCACAGTTGTACAAAGTCCTTCACCCTAAGATGTAACCTTCTTGCCCACATGAAACAGCACTTGGGTAACACTGGCTGCTCCTTTTGTGGAAAGGTGCTTTCAACAGTGGGCAACCTCAAAAAACATCTCAGAAATGCTCATGGCGTCGGGGCGTCCAACTCTACCCCCACTCATCCAGAAGCCAGCTACCAATACCAACAACAGTAGGAATAGCAGTCGTAGATAGTCGCCGGAAAGACCATCGAGAGAGGTGACCACCAATAACGGCCAGCAATATAATAATAATGCATAATATACCACAATTGACAAGTTAAGACTGTTCCTCACACTTTGTAAGATTATGTAGCCCATGTCCATGGTGTTGTCCACAATGTGTAGTGTCGGAACTAGAAAATGCGACGCGTCATCATCAATTCCTATTAGGCTCTTAATTATAGTATTTATTTATGTACACATAGGATAAACTAATAATTTTGTATTTTTGTATTAATATTATTGGCTTCTTATAAATAGTTTTGATTATGTTGTGCTCATTTAACTAAAATCTATCTAACAGTCTCAATTTCTAAAAAAAGATACACAAAGCATCATTCATGCATTAATTTGAGACTACAGAATAGACAGCTCAGAGGTCTTTCATTTTTATTCGGTCAGATATGTCTCGTCGTTCTATTATAGTCAGGTCATAAAATTGATAAGAATTATGTAGGGTATAGTAGTGACCCCCTGTCTGTCTCCTCGTGTCGTGATGTAGTAGGCAGTTTACTTTACTAGTAGCAGCAGTGGTTTAGATCATTATATTGTCTTTGTGGGGTCAGAGCTCAAAGAAATGGAGACCAATGTGTGTGTCCTATTTTTCTCCTAGATTCAGACATAGGCGGAGGTACTATGGGGCCTTCTGTCCTTGGCTATGAGGGCTCCTCCCCCACGGCTGCAGAAGAAGAGGGAGAAGAAGTCATGATCCTCCAGGGGGCTGCCGGGTACGACGTTGTGGCCTACAATAATGAGTCCGACGACGTCATGCCCATTCTCTCACCATCCATTTCACTCACGTCCTCCTCCTCCTCCTCCAACCAACCACATCATCTCAAGGTGGGAGGAAGCCACCATCATGGTCATCACGAAAACAAGGTCACCATTCGACCCATCCTCAACAAAGCAACCCACTCCTCGTCCCCCTCCTCCTCTTCCGCTTCGTCGCAACAACAACCCATCCCTATTCTCACCTCCACCTCCCACATCAACATTCTACGCAGGAAGCGCCCACTCTTCGACGACCCCGCCGAATTGGTGAACCCACTCGCCGCTCTTGATAACAATGCTGCATCCAGTTCTCGTGCCTCCTCCAAAGCCATCTCTCCCTTTGTGGGAGAGGCCATGATGGACCAAGAGACTGGGGAAATCATGTTCCCGTGCTTAGTGTGTGACAAAAAGTACAAACTCAGGTCATCACTCGAGTCACATGTCAAAGTGCACGAGGGGACGGAAAACACGTGCCCCATTTGTTTTCAAACTATGTCACGTCAAAGAGACCTAAAGCGGCACGTGGCGACCGTGCATCGAGGCCTGTTGATGGCAGACGGAAGCATCACGTACCCTCCAGACATCGACCAACTTGTACCCATGAGGGCAAGGAAGGGGAGGACGAGGCGGTCCGACGGGATGGTTGCGTGGGCGGAACAGGATCCAAATAACAGCAGCGACTACTACACGATGGGAGATGTCGTCATCAAGCCAGAGACTAGTTAAGCTGAGAATGATTCCGGTTAGATCGTACATCCGTTACTACTGCTGATATCAGTACATCAGTACATCACAATAGATGCTGAGTTAACTGTTAAGTGGAGTAAAAATGTATCCTAATGTTAGGAAGAAGAACATTTCACACTTGTTATCATAATAAGTAGTAATAGTTCATATAATGACATAAATCATATAAATATGTCGATCGTGTCGTCGTCATTGGTAGTCTCAGCATCATGATATCGCCATCAAGTCAGAGTTGGGTCTATCTACTTTATTTTAGAAACAAAAATCTACTCGTCCTTCTGTCACGCCCAAAGCTTGCTTGCTGCATACACATATATTTATCTGCATTAATTAATGTCTATGTATTGGGAATGGTGAGCACTGATAGATCTCACATAAATTAAACCTCTATATATATATATTTATTTGTAAACAACAGTCTAATCAATTAATGTCCGTACTAGTATTATTATATCTGCTCTTTATCTAGCTTTGCATTGTTGTTGTTAAAAAATAAACCAAATTTTTGTGAAATGTACATATATGTTTTAGCGTGTCATTTAATACAATACATGGCCTCATTTGCTGTGTGGGTACTACGGATTGCATATAATGGAGTATTTTTTTGGACACATAAATCTCATGCAAACTATCCGGACCTTACGATGTGTAGTGTAAAGTCATGTTATTTTATTTATTAATGATTAATTATATTAAAATCCTCTTAAAAGCGTCACAATTTTCTGTTCCTCCAATGGATTGACTAATTGGTGATGACTAAAGTGCATCGAGAAGGTCCCCAGACCAGATGAAATGGTACGAAGGATGGTAGAATAGCCAAGAAGTTCACTAAGTGGAGCAGTTCCAGTTATGACCTGTCGTAGATACACAAGAAAATAACTTTACAACCTATTACTCCACTATAATAAATAAATAAATAAATAAACACATAAATACATACTATACGTAGCATGTAGTTTACCTTATTCCCGTGACGCACATCAATAATCTCCAGGACGAACCTTCTCCTATTGAGATCATCCAGAACAACCCTCTGATAATTTTCGTCTACCGTCACCTCCAGTGATACGATGGGTTCTAAGAGGTAAATGTTAGTGTCCTTGATACAGTCTCGGAAACAGGATGCTGACGCAGCCTCAATGATTGTATCAGATGTTCCACGAGTGGTTTCAAACCAATGCAGTGTCACTTCCACGTTAATCATCTACAACGACAAGTCATGGTTAAATTACACATTTATATCATAAATCATAAATCTTTCGTTATTCGCAGAACTAAAGAATTGGTTGCTTCATCCTCACCGGGAAACTAAGCTTTGGTCCAAATCGTAGGACAGAATCTATCCCACTTTGAATATGCTTAATCTGTTTATCAGTCAACATACTCAGGTTCTCTCCCTTCTCTTTGTCTCGTCCTCGATAAATTTTGAGCTTCGAATCCCCCTGTGCAACTGGATTTAACTCCAACTCTATGCAAACAGAATGTTTTTGATCAGCCAGTCTCCTCTCGAATACGGTCCGTTTCATTGCGTGACATGAAATCGTTTCTTTGTAGGCTACTTGGATTTTTCCGAGATCGGCGTCCGCCTTAAAATCGGATTGAAGGCGTTTGTGAATTATGTCAAGATGTAGTTCGCCCATTCCTATATGAAATTCCATACGAAAAGTGTTAACCTGACGATTATTTTATAATTTACACCATCATTATTATTTCGGAAACCAATGCACCTGATAGAATTATTTGGCCACTATCAGGATCTGTGTGCACTTGTAAGCTAGGATCTTCTCGCTTTAGACATTCCAAACCGGCTTCTAACGCTTTTTGTTGACTCTATACACAATACAAAAAGTTGCATAATTAATTGCTGACCAAAATATAACATTGCCACTATATATATTTCAATATTTCATCCTCTGTTTCATGATGACATACAATTGAAGCAGGTTCCACAGAGCAAAAGAAAACGGGTTCTGGTACGTGGACACCACCTAAAACAGCTCCACGACTAGTCGGCCCTTCTTCTCCTCCAGAGTGAACATGTCCAATTTTTCTCAACTTTTTGGAAACTGCAACACTAACAGTATGAGAGGAGGCAAGTGTGTCGCCAGTAATGGTTTCCTGTAATAATGCCAACCCATTTTATATATAACTATTTATTCGACCACGCACAATAATGTCAGTTTGAACTACTTCTATTATTAACCTTGAGTCCTGATACGATCACAACTTCGCCTAGAAGAGCTTCTCCAGTTTCTTGAAGCTCTTCAGCCATAGGAAGGTAAACCTTGCTGATTTTCTCGTGCTTTCCACGACTTACATTGTATACTTTTTGACCTGATTGGATGGTGCCAGTAAATACTCTGAGGAACGTAAGGGGTCCAAGTTGCGGGTCGTGCATTGTTTTAAATGCAAATGAGCAGAGCTCCGACCCATAAGCTGAGAGGACCGGATCACGAGTGATACCTTCAGATGGGTGTGGACAGTAGCTGCGGCGATAAGCAACAAGCAACGATGGGTCAGATCAGAGCCACAAAACCAAACTTTTACAAGTACAAATCCACAGTATTGTACAGATAGCTGTGCTTAAGTATATTATACCGAAGGATTCCATCCATTAGGGGTTGAACTCCCACATTTTTATATGAACTTCCGAGCAGGACGGGCACTCCTTTGCTGGACAGGGTTACCCTCCTTACTGCGCTGTGAAGTTCTGCGGAAGACACGTCATCAACTGATTCATTCTCAATGATATGATCCGCCAGTTTGGAGTCCAAATCTGCCACGAGGTCAACCAGTTGGGCCCTTCTTTTCTTCCATTCCACATCATTGGCTACATCAACTGCATAATTAATGTGCAAATATTTAATTAATCGTAAGAGAAGGTGGTCGACTTATGCCAATATAATGTGGTTAATTGTTACTTAATATATGTATTTTTACCCGAGCTAATATTGGCCCCTTTACTGTCCGAAAAAATTAGTCTTCTTAACTCAATCAAATCGACAATTCCTCGCAGACCAGAACCAGAACCTTGTCGTTCATGTTGCACATTCTCGTAAAAAGGGAACTGAAGCAGAATTGGAGTGCATTTCAATTTGGAAGATATAGAATCCAAACTATGTTCAATGGAGGATGTTTTCTAGAAATAAAATATTACCATAATCAAGGCGATATACAATTATCGTGGTTATCTGGATCAAGTAGAGTTTTCGCAACCCACCAACATCTAACTAAATTTTTCGGAAAGAAACTCGGGAAAATTTTGTACATACAATATTTTTATGCACATATCATTGTTAACAAAATTTGCAAAACGCTATTGTGTGGGACGACGTTTAATGTTGACTTTGATGAATTATTTAGTACTCTTTATACAGTGATAAAGTGTCAAATAATCTTCGAAGTTGATGGGAATAAGTAAAGTCAAGTCAAATGAAATATGAATTTAGTACCTTGTCCATTTTATTGAGATAAATTAATTTTGGAAGATTATACTGTGCTGCTTGTCTCCAAACTGTCAGTGTTTGAGCCTCCACTCCTGCGAAAAAAATATTTTTTCAAACTAATTTCTCACTGAGAATGAGTTAAAATTAGATATATAATTTAATTAAAAAATTAGAAAAGCATATACCGGCCGATGCATCTAAAATGGTCACCGCTGAGTCTACAACTCTTAAGCTTCGCTGGACCTCAAAGGTGAAGTCGACATGACCAGGCGTGTCAATCAGATTTACTTTGTAACCCTTCCACGGAAAAGACACGACCGCGGATTGGATTGTGATTCCGCGTTCCCTTTCTTGAGGTAGGAAATCTGTCACAGTGTCGCCATGATGGACCTAAAAACAATTGAAACATTCAGATGGTCTGTGGGCTAGTGGACGTGATAGGTTTTGCTGACCTCACCAGGGGCTCCTATGACGCCCGAGTAGTACAAGAACCGCTCTGTTGTGGTCGTCTTTCCAGCATCGATGTGAGCCATAATCCCGACATTTCTGGTGCGAAGATGGTCCTCAGGCCCCTTGGAAGAACTGTCACCGCCGCTCGACTTGCCTGTCACGGTCACCTTCCTCCTTCGTCCCCATTGCGCCAAAACAGGGACAAATGACGAAACCCCAGTTCGGTGACCACTGGCCAACGATAAGGATCGGTGCATTATCATGTCACTATGATCGGTCAGTGTATAAAAAGAAAGATTTTCATTATAATTTATGCAAAGTTTGAATGGTATGAATTTGTTTCGGCAAAATAGTACAAAAACATTTCTTGAACACGTGTGGCGCTCTGGAATGGAACTGCCCAACTAACCCCAGCCACTAAACCCTTGCACGCAGTAGAACTGAACGCTATAGAACTGAACAAAGTTCCATGCAAAATGAAAATTCGATCGTAGCAATTTCATTTAATATTTAAAATGATAATTTATTTTAGGTTGATAGATATTAATAGTTAACATATGATCATTTATCCTGCTGCACTTGCTGTAACAACTATGCTGGGAGCCTGGGTCGCCACCACCTTTTGTCCAATCATGTACTTCTCAATGGTCGGAGCTAAGGTGGCTGTCATCGAAGGAACGACTGCTGCTGCTGCTGTGGCCGATTGTGGTCCGGTGACGGCGACCGCAGCAAGGACAGCTGTTGTGACCGCTTTTGTGGCGTCTTCATCCTCATCGTCATCGTCATCGGGATCCTTTGTGGTCAGTTTTGTGGTTGTGGGTGTGGTCGAGGGAGTGGTAGGCCAAGTGCCAGGGTTCTTGCCTAGCGCAGAGTCCACCAGGGCCTGTGCCATTTGCGTTTGCGAGGGTGGGAAAAAGTTGACGGTAGACTGGAAAACTTTGTCCGGGTTGAGTGTCCCCACACCCGTCAAAATTCCGTAAATGCCGTTTACAATATTGAAAGGGGATGGGCCCTGAGTGGTCGACGGCGTAGTTTCCTCATCATCCTCTTCGTCCTCGTCCAGGGGGGCTTGTCTCGGTTGGAAGAACGCTCCTGACCCTGCCTTCACCTTTTTATTGAGTAACTCTACGTCCACTGCACGGTGCAAGTTCATCTTAAACTATAAGACGTAGTATTAAAAAAATTACAAAATCGTAGTGACACCCCATGATCACCTCTGTGTCTCGCCGCCATCACCATTCTGATAATAAATACTGCTTTAACGACGCACCTGCTCCGCGAAGGACTCCGATACACCGTAGTAACGGATCAAATTGTGCTTAAAAGTGTCGAAAACTGCTTCTTGCTCTTCGTTCAACCCTGCAAAATGTTCACCCCTGTTCCATGGCTTTCCCTATGCACGCAATTGTATATAAATATTTGCTACATTAATTACAATCACTACTGTATGATTCTTATCCTTAGAGTCTTACATGGATCAGAGGCAAAATGAGAAGGGTCCCAAATACTAACAAGTAGACCTTTACTTCCATCCCGATTTTGAACGAATATGAGATATGACAATTCGATAAGTTAACCCAAGAAAGGTAAAATAGGTAGATGGACCGACGTTCATTCAGATATGTACAACAATAGGTCGGTGGTGCGAAGGTATGGTGATATGAAGAGGGCAACCACCGAATAAATGAGACAAGTGCTACTTATACGAATACGACCAGCACACTATTAATTAAATATTAACCTAATTATTGCATTAAGTACAGGGCGGACACATATATTAGTAAATGTTTATTTGACAATCAACCTTTTATTTGTTTAAACTTGTCTAACTTCTACAAGTTACCTAAATTTCGCGAGGACGAATATATTTAATACATACATGATGATTGATTACTATGCACTAAACTAGCATGAGGATGGATCAGAATTTGCGATCGAATGAGTTTTGAACCTGTTGGTTAAATCTTGGGTCGTTCAGTCGTCCTCCCCCAATTTGTAAACCATCATTCAGGTTGAAAGATGCTGCCCCGGCTGCACTCTTGTGAATGGGTCCCACGTCGATGGCCGCTGAGCCGGCGATGGCCTTCGAAAAAGATCCTCCCAGAGCGTGAAGGAAGCCTCCGGGTGAGAGAGACCCTTGGATGAACGCAATGATGAGCAAAATTAAGATGCCTCCCCCCACAATCACGATGACCTGTGAGGAGATAAATTATTTGAACACTTTGCTTAATTCCGTTGGGGAATATGGCATAAAATATGATTTATTTATATGACGAAGTTTTTTTTATATTCAAAAAGGTACACACCTTTTCAATGATGGGATAGTAAGGCCCGATTCCTCCAAATCCAGCTCCAGCGTCCAAATTGAGATGCAAGCCTGAATTGATTTCAACCATTATTAGCATTTTGTTCTATCCAACTCTATAATTTAAGCATGCCATCTTCTTTACCCTCTAATGGTCTTATCGTACCTTTTCCAAATCCGCCTCCCCATGGCAAGTATGGAAATCCACCACCGCCAATTCCGCCAATTCCACCAACTCCACCAGGACCACCAACTGCTGGGGGTGGTGGATAGTTGTAACCTGCAGCCCTGGCTCCTCCTACCCCTCCTCCGAGGGCCCCACTTCCCAGATAACTAGCAGCAGCAGCAGCCAGGGCAGGATTGTCGCCCAGCGCCTTAGCGATAGTGGCAGCGATGATATCATTTTCTGACCCCCCAGCAGCAGCAGCAGCTCCACCCCCATCTGTAGCTTGGGCTGACTGGACCACCGTGGTTGTTGTTCCAGAAGCATCCGTTTCGCTCGTGCTCGCATGGGCAACTTGGACCCCTTCCCCCCCGACGGAAGTGATGGCGACGAGGGCCAGGACTACCAAAACTGCACTCTTGAGACCCATTATGACCCACTGACGCTGGGTGTGGTTATATATTTATAGTTTTGTAAATGAAAATCGGGAAAGGTTGGTTGAGATGGACCGATCTGTAGACGAGCAGAGGCTTGTAGAGGGACTGAGAAACTTGGGAGTTGTTCAAGATGAAGATCTTTTGGAGAAGCGAGAATGCAAGGCAGGAGGCAGCCGTGATTGACCTCTTATCTTGAAACCCAAATTAATGTAAATGGCCCAAAGTGGAATCACCGAGTTGAGGTTTGTCAACATCACCGCTTTGCATAAAAATGGTGACCTTCATGTTATATTATACAAAGTCTATATCATAATCATGAATCATGCTACACGATACACGCTGCATGCACATCAAACTCAGGAACGTTTCGTGGTCTCAAGTGGCCCCGTGATGCGGCCAGTATCTCAGCCAACCCAGCTCCATGGACGATTCGATTTCAACCCGGCAGGCAAGCAAGCAGGATTCTCCATTCATTCTTTGTCTGCAGTGAGTCGAGTTCTGTCCTGTCCTGGTTCGGATGAATTCTTGAGTCCCACACAAGCAAGTAAGTTATTATAAATCAATCAATCTTTGTTCAATTGAGCCCATTATAAATTAATTAGCTGGCAGTATTGCAGGGTCGTACTATACACTATATGTACCTTAGTCCGATAGATAGGGAAAGGACTATTCGCTTGTAGATAAGACGATGTTAATTTAGTTAGCTAGTTCACGTGACGAGCCCCTGCTGCCTTTAATATTTGGAGTGATCCAGAAGGGCTCCCTAAACTGTAGATTCCTCGCAGTCGCAAGCTCTATGCGATTTTAATTTAAAATTTTTGAAGTTGGTTTACGCTTCGGTTATTTGAGTTAAGGAACCACAAATTAGCAAAGCAAATGTACTTTTTAATTTGCTATATACATAACACGTCTATATTATATTGTATACTATTGGTTTTATAGTTGTAGTGTGTGGATGATTTTTGAATGTGAATGGGGCAGACGTCATCCACCGCCTGTATGAGTTCAACAACTGTATCATCTTCTTCCTCTTCTGACCCTGATTCTGGTGACGATTCCCCGCAGTCTTCTGTCCCGTCATCCTCTCGACCTGTAGTCCGCTCTCATAGAAGATCGCTGCGTACAATTCAATCCGACAATTCGGAAACTTCTGACGACAACTCGGGCGACTCTTCACCTCATCGAATCTCATTCTCTTCTGACGAAGAGTCTAACGTAGAGGGAGGCCAGCAGTTGCCTGTTCCAAGGTCACTTTCAGGGAGTCATACTCTGTCGTCTTCGTCATCATCATTAAGCAGTTCTGGTGAGCTTTCAGTCTTAATAAAATTGTATTTTAATTTTGTTTAATATCTCATCAGACTCAGGATTTCTTGACGTATAAGTAACGTTAGTGTCCGTTTAGAGTGATAACTAATAAGTGTCAACTAATCTTTATCAGACTCAGATAACGACTTCTCCGTAACCATGCCATCAAGCACTGTGGACGACGGAGCAAACAGCCAACAAAGGACAGGGCGCGTCCGACGAGCTCCGCGTCGACTTGTATCTGCTGCTTCAGATGAGGGTGTGTTTGAACCACCAACCGTCAATCTACAGAGACCACCAGCAACTGCGATCCGGGTTCGAGGTAGACCTCGAGGAAGGCGTCCAACCGCTCCAAGGGCAATAATTGCCGTGCAACGAACTCCGTCTCCACGACTCGCCCCGAGTGCTGCAGCTACGGTCACCACTACTATGGCAAGTTCTGCTCCAATTCCTGCTAATCCTGTCAACAATGGCATAGGGATGATGCAAAGGTTGTTATCTGTTGCATCGTCCGTCATCAATCAACAAGCTGCTGCTGCGGCTGTACGTGCTATTCCGTCAACTGGTCCGGCTGTGAATGTAGTCGCACCCCCAGACCCACCAATAACTGCTACTACTTCTTCTACAGCAGCAGCAGTAGGAAATGTTAACGCGGCTGTATCATATTTCGAATGTGTCGTGTGCCTTGAAAATTTGGACTCGCCAGCGACAATCTTGGAACCACTCCCAAGAACGGCGGTTTCAAACCAAGAGCTTGTCATCCATATTCAAAATCTTGGTATTATACCGAACTCTGCTGCTGGTGCTAGTGGGGGTGGTCCAGTTCAAGTTCAGGTGCAATCTCCTCCTACCGTCCGACGAAGAACTGCTGCTGAAAAACGAGAGACTGCTCTGGCTGAGGTTGATCCACGTGAGATTTGTGCTACAAATTGCGGTCACATGTATCACAAGTACTGTATTCAAAAGTGGTTTAATGAACAGGGGTAAGCAAAATATTTTAATCGAGTTCGACTAATATATTTCACATGACACGACCATGATGATTCATTAGTTACGTTGTTCCTGTATTCTCATTTAGTCGCAAAACGTGTCCTAGTTGCCGAAAGAATGTGGGCACCAAGATGATTCGATTATTCCCAAATGTTGCACAAGATGCTCCAGGCCAAATGGCATCGCGAACAGGACTCGGTGACGCAGATGTTGCGACTACTAGTACAACGGATGGGAGCGGAGGTGTGGTCGTTGGTGCGCCAAGACGAATGCCTAGGTCTGGTTGCGGAAATGCAGCTTGTGCGGATCTTGTCACGATCCATGGAACGTTGGTGTAAGTCTACATATGTATATAGCCCGTATTAGTTATGACGCGAATGATACTACGCATATATATATATATATATATATGCGTAGTATCATTCATATTTCATATTCATTCAGAATATATTCTATGTCTTACTTGTACACTATGCTAATTCAGGCCTATTTCTTCATAGGTCTGACTACAACGCGTTGCGCGAACTCTACAATACAGCCAAAGATGATTTGGAGGTTCGCAAAGCTGAGATTGCAAGTCTTCAGGATGGGTATGATAACCGGGGCCGGTAAGTCGAAAGGGTTCTAAACCAATAATGACGTTACGTTGTCTTCAATATCATTTGAATTTTTTTGTATAAAATGTGTTTAGGGAGTTGGACGATCTCAGGAATTCTGGTGCTGCTGCTGCTAACAATGAACATGCATCAAAACGTCCTCGTCGTCGCTAAACTTTAATTAATCTCTATTTACTCATTTATTCACTCTTTGTTCATTTTGGTTAATATTATATTCAAATGTGGCAGCAAATGGATTTGTGGCATTGGTTTTATTTTTACGAACACCTCTGCTGAATCTATTACTAAAGTATTCCTTCATTTATCTTTTTTGCCTTAATTCAGGTATATCTACTTTTAGTATTACTTTTGTCCATAACATATAATTATATAACTTGCAAAAATGTTGTTTAATTCATTGGAGTATAAATTGAATTATATCTCTTAGTTTATACGTAAGTACTATTTATTATTACTACATGCTAACTTTTACATTTTTTCAAATAACTTCTTAAAAATGATTACTCTATTTAATCTTTTGAACTGTAAATGTGCCATTTTTGAAGTTAGGACTGTTACTTGGAAGAAGAAAAGTTGATTGATTCTGTGTATTACAATATTAATTTATACTTTTGGTGATAAAAAGGGTGCAAAATATGACTCTGTTGATGCGTGTACGTTCAGATATGTATACTCATGTGACGTCTATCACCTACCACAATATTTACATTACATTCTGATGTCAAGACTGATGATGAAACAAATAAACGCTTATTAAAAATATCTGTATCATTGTCAACAGCACCATGTTTATTTTTGTATTAGCAATCAATTGATGTCAACATCAACTCTACTACAACACGTAAACACCTAGCACTATTTAAATATTATGTAGTTTGGACTATACGTACTAATACAGTTTCATGAAATATATATGCATATTTGCTTTTAAATTTTTTAATATTAAATGCACATTTCGGAATGTAATATGTGGAAAACGCATCACGCAATTGTTAAAACTTTCATTTGGTGGATTACAATATGATAAAATTATAAGGCAACACTTCCGATAGTGATTAAAAATTCAAACTATTCACTAATTATACTAGCCTGCGCATAAATGTATACACATATCCTACAATAGAGTTAATTGCTTAATTAATTACTAACCTATGGTCGTTTGCACCAGATACACAGAAGTTATTAACATTAAAGCATCGTTTCGATTCGATTATTATCCTCCTCGTCAAAGGGAAGTGAGAAGGTCAATTGTTCTCCGCAATGGGGGATGATAATTCTCTGCTGAAGGTCAGTTCACTCCTTGGCTACTTCCACTACTCGACTGGGCCGGTGGGGACAATAAGGGTTGACAAATCCCAAAAGCAGGTCCAAGACGGAGAAAGTATTTTCTTAATACGGCCTTCAACTCTGCCTTCAATTCGATACATATCATGTCACAAAGGTATGGGTAATAGTGGGCCGTGTGGGTTTTGAACTGAGTGCAGAGAAATAAGAAATCAATATAATATCAACAAATACATCCATACATATGTATTATGGGGTAAATATTATAAAGTATATTGCTTGAATACATCAGAAACTGTTAAGACCATTAATTACCCTATCTTCCGGAAGTTTCAACACTTTGGTGAGGCAAAGTAAGAGGAGATTCGTCCAAGTGTCACGGTGTGCATTGGACGGAAGGGAGACAAAATATTCCAAAGCTCCTTTACAAGTCGTTATCAATCTGGTCTCAATCTCTTCAAAACCTTGTAATCGCGCGTCATCTAAATACATTCTAAACAGTATACGGAGTGATGTCGCCAAACTTTGAGTTTCTGAAAAATAAATGGACACATAAACTTTACTTCCACAAAAAAAAACCTTGATTTCTGTTATTGCTGGATTTTATTACTCATATTATTTATACTTAAGACAAGTGTACAGCAAAGCTCACCTTGCGCAATAAGATTTGGTTTAGCCTGGCCCTTGAATCCAGCTTTCCACAACATGTTCCTCTACAACATGAAAGTTAAACAATGTTTGGCAAGTTGATTTGACTAGGAATACATAAAACTGTGTTTTAATAAATTACTTGGTCATTGTCCAAATTGAACTTTGTTGAAAACTTATGGGATTCTGTTAGCGAGTCGAGAATGGCAAATAGGTTTTCTGACGTTAAGAATTGGTACATCCCTTGTTCCTCTCGTTGTTGCTCACATCCCATCAACTTTTCAGACACATCTGCCTGCTCGAACGAATAATGATTTTTTGTATACCACCTCAATTAACAACATTTTCAACTTTTATGAAAATACTTATCGTCAAGTCAGTAACTCACTTGGGCTAACGCCAAATTTTCCGCATCTTCACGTTTTGACGTAGCCGGAAAAAATATTACATTGTCCACAGTTTGAATCAATTCCAATTGAACGGAACATTTGATGATTAGGGTAGAAAATATCTTCTCATCATTCTGCATTATTATTATTATGATTATGATTATTGTCAAAAACATTAGTCAAATGCAGCCATTAGCTATTGCTGTTCTACAACACTTATTACTTATCTATATAATACTATTATACTGTTTATACTATTTAATTTAAATGCTCACAGTTTTAATTGGCGATGAATTACGACCAGGTCCTATCAACCCGTCCAGACTTGATTGTCTTCTCAACTCTTCAGGCTTCTTCTCATTTACATGATTTGAAACCACTTGGTCAGGGGTGGAAGAAGAGTTAGAAGTCTTGGACGGTTTCCAGGTAAGGAGGGATTCTGGACGAGTAAAGGCGAAAATAGTTTTCAAAAAGTTACATGTTGAATTCCAAGCGGCAGGGGTAAACTTTGATCCACTAGAAATCACCATGTGTTCAAAACAATGCGTCCCTGAGCGAGCGAGTTGTTCATGATCTGCGGGAGCAATCAATGGTAATAGTCACTTGAAATACAAAATCAGCGTAACGTATGTATAGTCTCAACAGAAGTATTGTTGTGCATATATATTCCCAACAATACCTTGGGTAATGCACCATTGCAACTGTACAAAAATATCGTCCATGAGGAGGGGTCCAAGAATTTCATAATATTGGGTGAACACATCAACAATTGCAAACAGGGCATGGTTACACGTAGTCGTCATCCATTCGGCTTTCTATATATGCACAGTTTACCCTAAATTTACATACTTTCGCACATGTTATGTACGTTATTTGACGTGCATACCTCATGATGCTGCTCGGGAAGTTTCATATTGTCAAAAATTCTAAATAGAATTTGAAACAGATCCTTCCACCAATGTCGTTGGAATGACTCTCCGTACGTTTTGATGATTTCAAACATTACCTGAAAATGATCGAATCCATTCAAGATAAATCACGCATCAATAAAAATTACCCATTACCCTTGATGCTACGTAAAATTTTAAAATGTTGCTCACCGTCAAAGCTCTCGTTCGAACATCCAACTTACATCGATTCACGATACAAGACAGTTCGAATAAAATTGGAAACCAGCCTCTCACCCAGATGCGGTCCTCCTCTGCTACCGTAATTTCATCCATACTATGTTCGATGAGCAACTAGTAACAAAGATTCGATTTTATCATGCTCGTGCATATTTAATTAATAAACTATGCTATTAAGATCTGTTACGGAATCCCTTACGTGTGGCTTTTCATGAACATATTTGGCACAATGTCGTATGAGTCGAATTGCTTCCATACTAATGTCGGGGAAGTTGGCATTGCACGCAAACTCTGACAAGCACTTTACGGCGTCTTGGAACGAATCCACAAGGACGACTTGACTTTTTTCATATAAATCTCCTGTATAATAAGCAATAAATTGTAAATAATAAATAAATAAATAAATCCAATACAAGCAGTACATGTAGTGAAGGTATTTTATACTCACCAATAATTTTGTTGGTAGTTTGAAAAGCCATTTCAACAATATTTGAATCGAAATCAGACGCTGCGAGATGGAACACGCTAAATATATTTTTCCATCCGGAACGAATCTTCCCAGACTGCGAGTTCACCATTTGTGTAATGCACCGAACAACCATGTCACGAATTCCTGGAGATCTAAATATAGGGATATAATTAGTAACAAAAACAATTATAGATTTTCAGTGTTCACACTCACTGATTTTTCTTCATGATAACTTCAAAGGGTCGTAAAAAGTCTTTCTGAAAACGGAAGTTAGCAAATTCTCCCTTTTCAATAAACTTCATGGAAAGTTGTCGAAGAGAGTCAATAGCAAAAAAGGAAACTTCTTCATTGGCGGAACATCCCACGCGGTTAAAATGTTCGCCCCTGTACGATAGCCAAACAAATATAATACTTAACTTTAAAGGAAGTGATCGTATCAAATGTAGGTCTGCAAAATGCCAGAACCTACAGTACTTACAATACTTCCCAAATTCGAGACCATTGGAGACGAATGCGACCCATGTTGTAGTATGAGATTTCAACCAGCTTTTGCAAGCTAAACATTCGAGGGTGAGTGGGATGAGCCAGTTCATCAGAAGATACCTACATAGAAATTTATGGTTTATTAACATTATGTTGAAAGAGAGCATGCAAACATTACGAAATATAAATGTGCATACGTGACACAAGGCCTTGACAAAGTCCACGATAGCATCCCCATCCAGTCGGGTAGATCCAGTGAATATTCTGTCCACTGCAACCACCACACTTTGAGAGCTCGTTTCACCAATAGATTCTTTGACACTTGCTGATGAGTTGTAAAGAAATAGTAGCACATATAGGTTAATGAAATTACAGAGACCACATTACAAATTGCAAGACACGATAAGTATAACTCTGTCTTACGATCTAACGAGTTCAAATTAAGCGACATTGGATCATGGGATGTGTCAACGGTGGCTGTCCCAGCAAGAGCAGCCCAGGTGAGGGCAGATTTCGACGCAGCGTCTTTAACTGAACGATGACCTGCACCTGCAAGTTGGGCCAACTCAAGTTGTGAAATACACTTTAAAATGTCCAACCATGCACTCATCAGATAATTCCCTGCAAGCAAAAATAATAATTCATTAAAAACTCATGATAACTTAATTAATCAAAGCCAATAATTGTATTTAGATTTACGCGTTTACCTTCTGTTTGAGCAACTGTAATAAGTGTCTTAATTGTATTGATATTTTTCGTTTTCATTTCGACAATTTGCGAGTTGCTCGCAGTGAGAAGGGTGAACCTTGCAAGGGCTTGAATGTAGGCGTCTCGCTCGAGCTGCAAAACACACACATTGAGAGTACTTGATTCGTGTACACAGAAATATCAATATTCTCTGGTTGCTAAATTGCTTACTCTCATATGGAAAATGCAGGCGATATGAATGGCACACCGCATCCCATCCAAACACGGATGAGAAATTTCTGGATCATCGCAATCCTGAAGTCCGACGCTAAATGCAGCTAGAAATGGAGTCCACGCCAACTACGTCAATAGTATACGGTCATACAACACAATTACTTAAATTTAACGCAATATCCGAACTAGAAACTTACTTTAAACATGGGTTTTACATGTTCTAAATGTTTTGCAGAAGTAAAACTTGACTGAACATGGCTGACAGACTCCATCAAACTCTTGGCGGTAGCAGCAAGCTCTTCCATTTCCATGTTGTACAATAATCGACGTTTTTTATCATTCGGAAGGTTATCTAGATTTTCAATTAATCAATTAATCAATTAATTAATCAATTAATTTGCCTGACATTATTGATGAGCTATACGTAAATAGTACGAAAGTCTTTCAGCTCAATCACATACTTGATGACTTTCCCAATTTTGCCGACCCTTTCATCTTTATCTCATTCCCAGCAATTTCATCGTAAATTTGTGAAAGATATTCTTCAGGGAGATCCCGACTGTCGTTAATTCCTCGATTCATTTTGACGTACTGCTCCTTTGTCATTTTATGCTTCACTTGTGGGCTGTGCAAATCTGTAGTGAGCATGATGATGGAGTAAGCGAGAACATATGCTGTGTCTGCACTGGCAAAAACGCCCAAACTAAATAATGCGTAACGCACACATAAAAAATTACCATTGAGTTATTAACCATGAATTTAAACCATGTATCATGAATTATTCTTTTAATAATTCTACAGCATACTTAGGATTGCATTCGCAATATCTGCTTGCAAATTTTTCCATTAATCTGTCGATCTTCTGCGCTTCCCCAGGAAGCCGGAACCCTTCAAGAAACAGGCGTAGCCCTGTGACGAAATCCTTTTCTTTAAAATCCATCTGGTCCACGTAGGCGTACATCACCTGAAAATAAACAGTTGTTGGGGTATCCAGTTGTCTACTTCGTCTAGCCGTCGTCAAAATCATTCTACCTCATACTACTCACTTGTTTATGAAACTTATCCGGATCTCCTAGAAATTCTCCAACCACGGTTTTGTCGAGGCGTTCATCAGTGTGGAAAAAATATGCAACTTCTTCTGCCGTTTCGCCCAATAGTTTACTCTCTTGAAGGAAAATCAAACCTCGCTTTGGCTTCCGGTTGAATCTGGTTAAGTATGAATACATAAATGAATGAATTTATACATATAATAAATAAACGCATTGTCAGGGACATGTCTATAAATTTTCGTATTATAAGCTTTCATATGTAAATAACATACAAGTATGTCCCATGCTCCCAAATGTCTTTTTGCTGCTTCATAGCTTCAAATTGTTCAGGATTGTACTCTGACTCCACCTTACGTAGGTTTTCCACCTCCTCTTCGTGCATTTTATCATGACCTCCATCTAAACCAACGTCAAAAAATAATCAAATATGTTTTACAAAAATTATTCTTACACTCCACAAATAACTTGTCTATTTGTACATTACGACAAAGTACTACTCACCCAGATTCGATTGACTGCCAGAACTAACATACAGAGATTGAGACCATTCAACCATGCATTGTAAAATGCCGACGAGACCTTCAATTCCTTTCACGCGCATCGCTTTTTCCTGAAAACCATTGCTTCCAACAAGGTCGACTGCTTGTCGACCTGGTACACAAAGGGTCAGTCATTTCATACTATAGCCTATGCTAACATGCATTATATTTGTTACTATAATTTTCATGTGTGTATCCACCTTGTGCAATTTTACTCAAATCGTTGACAAGTCTTTCAAAAATGTTTGCGGCAGAGAGATCACAATCATAGTTAACGTAAAGGTCCACAATACACTGAGCGTCCCCACATATTCTAGTGAGTGCTGAAATTACATATTAAGACACAGGATAGATTATGTTATCTTTTAACAGCGTGTTAAATTATGTACATTTTGATGATCAGTGTTATTTGTGAATTAAAGTACTTAACTAATGATCTTATGTTCAAAATAAATTTATTCGTATAGTAATATTTAGTCCTGACCTTGCACCGCCAGCCATTTGTGTTCAAAAGAAGACCCAGCAGATTCGACCAGAGGCAATAGAATTTCTTTAAAAAATACCTAACAATAAATATAAATTATGTTGTATTGATTTCCAAATGTATATCCAAAAAGTAAAAGTATAATAAAAAATCCAGCTCACTTCAATTTGCATCTTTAAATGAATCTTAAAATTAGCTAAAAGGGCCAAAAATATGGCGAGTGTGAGCTGAAAGACTTCAGGAACGGAGGAAACTCCATTTTTGGACAAAGCCACACACAAGTATTGGCGAATAGCTGTGATAAAGACGGGATTCGATTTGAAAACGTCCCCCGCATTTTGAACAATGGACAATAGAAGTTGCAGTGACAAGACTTTAGATCGTAATTCATGGGATCTGGAATTAAATAGAGTTAATATGATCACTGACTAACTATTACATAATGACTTGCTTGTGTTATCTTTATTTTGGCTTACTTTGGGTCTGGGATCCCATCAGGGAGTGGTTTCATAGACAATTTGCATAGTGCTCGGAACACTAAAAACGCGTCTTTTTGTAGAATATGGACAAAGTTGGCATTCGCATCATTGTCTCCTGAATTTTCCATGCTTTCCTGCAATCAATAATATTCTAATATAACTTCAAATTACAAAGTTTATCTATATGCACTTTGTTAACTGTTGTACTAATTTATTAATTTGTAAATTGTCAAACACTAATAGCAAAACATTTTGCAAAAACCTTTATAGAAAAACAATATAAAGCAAGTAAAAAACAAAATCAACTCAAATAAAAACTCAACAAACCACTAAAAACCAAACTTTATATTAGAGTGTAATTTAATGGTCACCTTTACATCCATCATCATCCGAAAATACTACCAGAAGATTGACGAAATGACAGACAAAAGAATGAACAAGAAATGTTATTCAAATTGTTGAGAATGCTAAAATTAATCTAACAGTATTGGTTCAATGTTGTCTTTTATCTGTACCTGAGAAGGCACTCTGGTGATGGTGGGAGTGGTTGGGCTGGATAGCACATGATTACTGTTAACAACCAGTTCTTCTGACTGTGAAGACGGCGAAGGAGATTGTGGAGGATGATCGAACCGCTGGTCGGATTTAACTAGAATGCATTTTTAAAATTGGTCAAAATCTCAAAGAACTCAAACCCAGTATTAACAACATAAACTTTGTGAACGAACATACCATTTTCTTCGAGGATGTTACTCAACAAATTCTGGGCAATTTGTTGAGGAGATTTTTCAAACGACGGTGAAACGATATCAACTTGCTTATCTTCAAGTTTCTCTTCTTGTTGTTGATCAGGTAAAATTGGAGATTCGACTGTCGTTGGCGTAACTTCATCAGCAACGCCAATCGTTTTCTCCTCCTCCTCCGCTCCTGCTCCCATCCCAACAACGGTTTCTTCACTGTCTTCTGACGAAGATTCAATCCCATTTTGTGCTGCCACTTCGAGTTCTTTCACCACCCTCTGCTGTCCCTCTTTATCACCCCCGCACGCTTTACCAGACTCCATTGGTCGTGCATCATCATTGGTGTCAACAACGGCATTGTTGTTGTTGAATTCGTTGGTGATTTCTAAATCATCTCCTTTGTCATCATGCTTCTTTTGAAATGCTTCTTTTTTTTCCTCGCCTTCTTCCTGTTCTACAGGTGATGATGAAATGGAAGAAACTTTAACTTTCACTTCCTCTGTATGAGGTACGACCACCGGTGTCCTGCTGCCATTTGTAAGTTGTTCCTCTTGGTGATTAGTATTGTCCCCACCTTCTTTGCTTGATCCCTCCCCTTCTTGTGACGCAACACTATTTTGACTCTGCGACAAACGACTCAGGGAATCCTGACTCTCCATTCGGGCAAAAACCACATTGAGCATTTGCGTTAGAGTTGCTCTCGCAGTGGTTTGATTGATCAAATTCTTACTGGCTAAATAAATATTGTAGCAGGTTCGCACAGTGAGCAATACGGTTCCCTCATGAATTTCGACATGTTGCGAAGTCATGACGGTGAGTAAGGCCTAATAAAACACGCAATACACGTTTAATATAAGGTATTGCATACATAAAACTAAAATGTTCACACTGAAATGAACGAGATATTACTTTAATGATTTGAAGTTGAACTCCTTCATCCGTATTGGGACCCACAAAACAACCACAAATCGTTTCCACGATTCTATCAATCAGTTTTTTTGAGGGATTTGTCGAATCGGAGCAGTTTCCAGTAAGATGACCATATGCAATCAATTTCTACAAAATAGAGACGATTTTTTATACTCTGTATGTAACTCCGAAATATATAAATAGAAACCCAATATATTTGTACGTATCGTACCTGAAGACAGTCCAAAGCAGTGACCACTATCCTTGGCGTTTTACTTTGGCAGGCGAGTTCAAAGGGAAGAAAGTACTTTTCCGAATCAATGGGAAGGGAATTATTATCCGACCTGGGAAGAGGAAGGGCTGTAGAGGATCCCCCTCCTACATCTCCTCCCGCCTCCCCCTTGGCTACATTGACAGCAGTCGGGGTAGTTAAAGTTGTGGACCCATCCGATTGTTGTTGATGTACGAGAGCCCCCTTGATCTCTTCTGTTATTTAAACCAAAAATTCAACAACATTAGTAATGAATTACCAGGATTACAAATTAAACACATAAATTACTTACCCAATGCCACCTCACATGCCCTTTTAAGCTGAGCATGGTGTGACTTTTTAATTTCACGATCGCTAAGAATCTTTTCCAATGCGCGGATCATAAACATTTCGCCAGTGCAAGATAATCCACTGCTGATACTTCTCTTGGTGGGGATGACCATGTTTAGACGACCCAGTCGTGCATAGATGGTAACGATTCCATCATCGCCGTTTCCAAATGAGAACAAGACTTTTATAAATTAACAATTTCAGCTGCACCTGCACGGTCACACCAATTCCCATTCACAGATTACAGTGATCGAGTGTTATTATGGACGAGGTGTGGTGGTGGTACTACTACCGGGAGTAAATGTTAATTGATCATTTAATTGCCTTCGGTTTATAAACGTGTGACTTGTCAGCAGATTGTGAATTAAAAAATGAGTAAGAAATCGCTGCTGTCAAATTGTCCCTTTGTACACCGCCAAAGTCAAATTCCAAAATACACAGAAAATACAACTCACTCTGGCTGTGTTCAAAGTTCAGTTGGACTCTGCTGCTGACTGCTGATGATAAGTTTACGAAGCTCCTGATTCACTGCATCACTGAAATAGGTATCCCAAGACAAGTATAATTACATAATTCAATAATAATAATAATAATTTACATAATAAATTTATGACCTGATGAAGGTATCTGTATGTGCCGAAAGCTTGTCAATAAACTCAATTTCAAAAATATGTCCTCCAACACCGATCAATCAAATTATATACATAATTCAAGTAGTTTTAAATGAGTATATTATTTAACTTTTATTGTTTCTCTTTCAGACGTCTCCGAGGCTTTAAAGGAAGCATTGACTGATTCGGGTGTTTAATCCTCTAATACCACGTGCAACGTGTTAAAGAAAGCATTGACGGATCAGGGTGTGAAAAATCAGCTTAAAGCCGTTATAGGTACTCGTATTCTCGAGGAGCGAACGACATCTTATACTTCGACACAGTGATGCCTCCACTTCGCCACCTTCGCCATCTCCTCCGATCAACCCATTATCACCATCGCCTGGTCCTAGTCCCATTAATCTCTTCGTCTCATCCCTTGTCCACTTCTCAAAATGTTAGTTTGGCTGCCCATACTACTCCCACAATTAAACCAACACAGAAATCAAGATCACTAGATGCAACGGAAGACGGGTCAGTAAGCGGCCAAAAAAAGACTTCGTTCGCAAAAGATCTCCTTCTTGGTCGATTCGACACAGATATCCTCACATTCCCAGAAGTCTTAGATAAAGAGAGACATGAAACGTTGCACGAAATGCTGGAACCAATAGAAAGATTCTTTAAGGAGGAAGGTGAGTTATAGTATCTGTAAATAATTTTGAATAACCAACTTCATTTGAAGAAGTCAATTAATTGTTTCTCTTTTCTCTACTCATCCTCTAGTCGATTCGAGAAAGATTGATGCGGAAGGAAAAATACCAGAAAAAGTTCTGAAAGGATTAGCCGAACTTGGCTTGTATGGTCAACAGGTTCCTGTGGAGTTTGGTGGGCTTGGGCTTAACGCTACCGAATATGCAAGGCTTCAAGAAATCATATCTCTCGATGGAGGAATCGCGGTAACACTAGCCGCCCACCAAACGATCGGATTTAAGGTAGATATAAAAAAAAATATTTAGCAAAGGTTTAAACTTGAATCAACAACCTGATCAAAACTACAATTAATAATTTTGTGTTGTTATTAGGGAATCTTGTTGTACGGAACACCTGAGCAAAAGGCCAAGTATTTACCTCGTCTGGCGTCTGGTGAATTGCTGGCTGCATTCGCCCTTACTGAACCAGGGTCAGGATCGGACGCTGGTTCAGTCTCACTAAAAGCTACGTTGTCTAAGGACGGCAAGTCGTGGGTGCTCAATGGATCCAAGATATGGATTTCCAACGGAGGAACGGCCGATTTCTTTACCGTTTTTGCCAAAACTGCGGATGACATTGTGACGCCAGACTCGCCACGACGGGTAACCGCCTTTCTGGTGGAACGAAGCTTTGGAGGTGTGACGAGTGGAAAGTCGGAAGATAAACTGGGAATTCGTGGCTCTAATACATCCGAGGTGTTCTTTGACAATGTTGTGGTTCCAATGGAGAATGTCCTGGGCGAGGTTGGTGATGGGTTCAAGATTGCTGTGAATATTTTGAATAGTGGGAGGTTTAGTATGGGGAGCGCTGTGGCAGGTGAGAATATGGCTCCGATTCTACAATAATAGTACAATTCTTATAATATTTTACTAAATTGTTTGTAACTCTTCATGTTATTATTTAAGGTGGACTCCGTCAAGGAATGGCTCAAGCTGCCGAGTATGCCATCACTCGAAAACAGTTTGGGAAACCCCTCATGGAATTCGGTCTAATTAAAGAGAAATTTGCCCGAGTGGCAATGCATACATATGTGAGTGACAATTTGACTTGCGAATAAGCTACTTAACAATATAGAAGTAATGGGACTGATCTGATAAAATTAATTGTTTCCTTTGTAATATAGGCCATGGAAGCAATGGCATACATGACGGCAGGGATGTTAGATTCTGGGGACTATGAGAATTGTGCAGTAGAATCTGCCATCGTAAAGGTGGGGTGCATGTCAAATATTTAATTTCTTGGAATCAAGTAAAAGTCATCCAATATATTTTTTCTATATGCGTCAAGGTTTACAGTGCTGAAGCAGCTTGGGTATGTGGGAGTGAGCTCCTCCAAATTTTTGGTGGATCCGGCTACATGAAAGATCTCCCTTTTGAACGAGCTGTACGAGATAGCAGAATTCTTTTAATTTTTGAAGGAACAAACGAGATTCTTCGTCTCTTCATTGCCTTAATGAGTAAGTTTCATTCTTAACTGCGTATGTGTTTGGTTGTAATGCTATTAGACTATATGCTGATTGCTATAATGTTACTGACTTGACTATTTTTCTCCTTAATCCATAAGGCCTTCAGCATGCAGGAAAAGGATTGAAGGAGATGGTAAAAAAGCTGAGAAATCCCTTCAAAAATCCCATCTTTATGTTTGAACAAATCTGGAGACGTCACAAAATCGCGAAATCCGATCCATCGTATTCTATTGGCATTTCCAGCTATCTACACCCTTCCCTCGACACATCTGCCAAATCCCTCGAATATTGCGTCCACCGACTCTCGTATGCAACAGAGGTCCTCCTTCAACGACATGGAGCGGACGTGATCAACCCTAAACTTCAACTCGAGTTAAAACGTGTAGCTGACAATATGATCGATATTTATGCCATGACTGCCGTTCTTGCGAGAGCATCGCGATCCTATTGTATAGGATTGAAGGATGCACAAACCGAGGTAACATTACGGTTAATTTATTTGCAAAATAATTTTACTAATAGCAGTCAAAATGAAAATAACCCGGATCTGATGATCTATCGTTTCAGGTGATACTTGCAGACGCATTTGTGCTCGAAGCTAGTGCCCGGTGCGACCAAAGGGTGGAGGAGCTTATCACTATGCCTCGTGGACTGCTTATAGATACCCAACTAAACACAATTGCTGACCAAGTGTTCAAAAATAGAGGATATTTTGCCGAACATCCCCTCACAAAGACTTATTGGTAGTTTGTAGTGCTAAATAATCGCTGTAGTTGCCAAATGACTACACTTTTCATTTTACATATGTAGTCCATGTTTGATAATCATTTACCTTACAAATAAATAATAATATCTGTGCTAATCTGAAGTCCATTTTCCTCATTGAATGGGCACTTGAGAAAAAGTGATAAGTATTTCATCGTCGGGGCAATCGGAGCTTAGCAACAATTTGCGGTAACACTTTACAGAACTTTCACGAATGTTGAGAAGTAGACCAACAAATCAATGAAGGCCATCAACTGATGCATAGTGCATAGTGGAAGGAGAAAAAAAACAAGAGTTGTGAGTGTGATTATCACTGATAATCCGACACATAATAGAGAACACTGCGAGTGTAGGAAAATTGGTATTACATTTCCTGACCGTGACCCATCTCCCCATTATAATTAATCTTCGCTCAATTTGCTTCCACCATCCATCCATCTCTAACTAACTAGTAAACTGAAACCCCTCAAAATTGAGGATTCGTTTCATTAATTCTTGGACTAATTGAGGATGGCGGACGGTGATAACAACAACGCCAAGGAGGCTACAAAGTCCGAGCAGCAGGATGAATTCCTCTTGAGGGAGGAGGCTCGTCGCGTAGGAGAGGCAACGGTGGACGAGGTATAGGAAAATTTCACAAATGAATTATTTTCTCCAATCCTCTCACTAAAATTTCTTTTTAGGTTTTGGAGAGCGCCACATCCTCCGTGGAAGCCATGGTGGGGGAACAAGCAGCCGCCCTAAAGGAGCACGACGCCCTGGAGGAAGAGACGACTGAGGCTGCCAGGCTGGAATCTGAATTGGCCAAGGAGTTGGAGGAGAATGGAGGGTGGGTCAAAATCCTAGGAAATGAGGAGCTTATGAAGAAGGTGATGACTTATTTCCTACATTAAGATCAAGGAAACATGCTCAAGTGTCGCTAGGTCGATAATATATTTGTCGGTGTATTTGCAGGTGATACGACCTGGCCAGCCTAACCAGAACCCCTTACGTGGGGATATGTGTGAAATTCGCGTGGAGGGTAGACTTGCATCTGATGACAGTGTAGTGTTTCAAAACATGGAAACTCTTCATATTCAGCTGGGTGACGCAGAGGTATAATTATTTTTTACATTCACTTTATGTATTCTATGCTGAATTTGCTCGAGTATTAAGTACTTCATTTAAAGTAATTTACGCGTACTGTTCTATTTGTGCAGGTCGTTCCTGGTCTCGATTTAGCCATTCCACTCATGACCCGTGGGGAAGTGGCCACTATAAAAGTATCACAACGGTTCGGGTTTGGTGCAAAAGGTCTTCCGCCCAATGTTCCTGGAGCGGCGGATCTCGTCTACTCTGTGGAATTAGTCCATTCCGAGCCAGAAAAGGAACTTGGTGAACTGTCTGTGAAGGAACGAAGGGCAATCGGAAATCGAAAAAAAACTCGAGGCAACTTTTGGTACACAAGGGGTGAGGCTAGTCTCGCCGTCAACTGTTATAGACGTGCTCTCGAATTCTTGGACGAGGTTGAAGGTGGCATTCAGTTCCCAACGAGCAGTGATGGGAAACAAGAGGAAGTCACTCCAGAACTAAGACAACTGTTTGATGATCGTCTCACTGCGCTCAATAATTTGGCGATGGCTCAACTCAAATTGCAATCTTATGAACCTGCCCTCACTTCTGTGGAAGCTGTGCTCAAGTGCCAACCCAACAATGTCAAGGCCTTATTTCGGAAGGGAAAGGTAAGAACGAGAAAAATACACTACAGTTTACAGTCACTGAAATATTGGAAAAATGTATAAATATATAACATTATGTACATTCTTGTAGATTCTTGGTGAAAAGGGTGAGACTGAGAAGGCCCTAGCAGCCCTTAACAAGGCCAGATTGCTAGAACCGAGTGATGCTAGTATTGGCGTGGTATGATGATTTTAAAAGACTTTAAACTAAAACTCCCCATTATTATGGTTCAGTTATCAGGATCAGTCAAATAGCTAATCCATGTTGTCTTGTCATTCCTTCCTAGGAAATTGGAAAACTTATGCATCGCAGGAAAGGCGAGCTTCAAAATGAAAAGCAACTATACAAACGGATGTTTAACAAGGATGCCTCCAAATCTGAAGACTCTTCCTCCTCATCATCATCTAGGAAAAATGAGGATACGTCATCCAAGGCGAAATTCCTGACCTTGGGATTGCTTCTTAGCGGTACAGCAATAGCGGTTGCAGGTATGATGGCTTACCGTTATAACCATCGCTTCGTTTGATTTGTTATTCGCCAAAAAATAACTAGAAAAGTTCCGCATCCACTAGAAAGCGCTAGATATCCTATTTTGTCAAACCAAATAATTCTATTTCATCTTGTCTTTGTAGCATATTGTGTAATGTTAAAGTATCTGATATATCACAAAGTTTTCATTAATTTTATATCGTATATTCATCAATTCGTCTCCTATTGTCCAATTCTATGTAACTATTAAGTATTATAAGTTTCCTTATTATATTATGCTACTTCAAACTGTATCGCAAATGTATATTAATCACAACAAAAATATAGGCTGTTCTACATTAGATTAAATATATATGTATACTGATTAAATTCTAATCGGTCATTTGTTAAATTCTTTAGCGCATCGTGCGGTCAGTACTTCATGAATGGGACCAAAAGAACAATGAGACATTATTTTACATTGTATTGTACAAGAAAACAGAGTTTCACTATAGATGTTTTAGTTTTATTTATTTGTATTTACTTACACCTACAATTTTGTTAACTTTGACTTTACACGACTAAGAATAGAATATTAACTCCATTTAATGAGAGGCAAACACATGAACTTTTATTAGTGATGATGTTCCGGCTTTGTAAAACGGAGTCCGCAATAACCACAAATATGGTTGCCGGGCTGGTCCTGAAATTGTTTTAAAAACGTGAAGGATTTATAGTGGATATAAAAAATGTATGGGTTTTACAAGGTTAATGTAGACTTTGGGATGACCCAAGGGCCCACCACCACCATCACAACAGACTACTCGATCTTCCCGTTTGGCTGGGGGGACGCTGTTAATCAGGTCAATTGCGAATTTCTTGTTTACGTGCTTACTCTTCCCCTCGAAACGGACGAGACGATAGTCGTCATTTTCAAATTTCTGCAAGAGAGACCACAAAACATTAACATTAACGACTATCCAAAACACAATAATGAGGTTGTTTTGCACATTAATAATTGGGTTGGTTAAAAGTTACCTGTCCTGTGTGTGTTACTTGAGTGTCGATATCCTTAGCGAGGACAGGTGAACTGAGAGTCAGAGGTCGTCGCCACAATTGGCCAGTCTGCACCACCAGCGTCGCTCCTGCTCGCTTCAGGGCCATTACTTATAAGTGCCCACTTACAACGAGGTACGAAACCCCAAAAGTAAGAATGGGGGAGGGAGGGCTGAGTTTAATTTAAAAATATTTGTGGTGTTGACTGTGCAGCTGGGGCAGGGTTCTTTTTTTATATGAAGAAAGTATTTGTATTTGAGCTGATCTCCGTTTTCAGAATCAGGTTTGCCGCTGTCCACCACGAACTCTCAAATAAAAAAGAGAATAAATAACCCAAGATGCACTCGTCATATATAAAGTTTTATTATTTTCGCACACTTAACTAATTTTTACAATTAATATACAAAATCATATTCCCTGTCCCTTAAAGGTTTCGTCATTTCATAATGAAATGACGATGAAGTGAATGACCCATATGTCAAATTGAAGGTATTATGAGTAGACCATTTCTGCATAAAAATTCCCAACTTTGGCACTCAAAATTAAAAAAAATAAAAATGTAAATTTGACAAATGGGTCATCTCCCCTAGGGTATCGACCCTAGGTAATTCACTTTTAAATATAGGGATTCAAGGTATGGTAGGTAAGTGGTTACAGGTAGCGGTACACCTCTGATTTCATTCGGCAGTAGTCCTTGTAGGTCTCTCATCAAGCATCATCAACCTTTCCATGCATGTTTCTTGTTTTTGAGATTACCAGCAGAACGCCGAAGCTGTTTCCGTTCTCTGTGGTGATCTTCTGCATCTCTGCGAAAGTCTTTTCGTCTCTTCTGCAGAAAAAAAGATAGTCAGCCCATTAACATACAATAGAATGAATGCTTTACTTGGCGTGAAACTACAGTCCATGGCATTTATTAATAACTTACAGAATGCATAGCAAACGTAATTTCTCTGCTGCCAAGAGGTCCTCTAGTCTTCATTTCTGAAGTGTCGTCCTTTGCCAAGCGATCTCCCAAACTTGTTGTTCTAAAAAAATCAACCAATTTAAGTTCCACACACTAATAAAAAATTAAAATATGTGCATGTATATTTTGTTCTTACCTAGATTTCTGTCTAGCTCTAATTGGGACTGAATCAGAAGAGTTCAGATCTGACAATTTAAAGTCCTCGCCACTCTTGAGCTCGTAGAATTTAGGCCCTGCTGGGGTTGCAGACGTCTTTTTATGTTTCTGTTGTCCCCTCTTGTTTTTACTACTGGATGCTGCTAATACATTCAAGTCATGGTCATCATTGTCATCACTACTTGATTGGAGTAAATCATCATCGTCATCATCATCTGAGCTGCCGTGTCCTTCCGGTTCGTCCTCGATTTCCTGTGTAGCGGATTTAGTTAGTAAGTTAGTTATTTGTGTACCGTTTAGGTACAAATACTGAGCTGGTTAATTTATTCGCTTAAATCTTTCTTACCTCTGTATCAACCGCTTTGAACACAGTCTCCAATTTTTGGGTCTTTTTCTTGTCCATCTTTGACAAAACGGGATTAAGTAATCTAAACTCGTTGGCATCCTTGTCGATCTCAAAGTCTGGGTTCTTAAAAATTGCCCCAAATCTATCGTCCTGCAACAGACTGGATGTGGCCCCCTTCTTGCTCGTCGACTGTTGTTGAAGCTGTTGTTGTGCATTCATCCACTTTATGGCCAATTCTTTATTCACTTTTGGCAATGTATTTAATTTGACGCCACGATTTGCTCTCTGAGCCTGAAGTCTCTCTTGTATTTTTCTCTTTTTAAAATCATCAAATTGGAAGGGTTGTGCCACAGATTTCGCTTTTCTATAGAGTCGCATGTCCATAAAGTGGCCGTGCATATATGCCCGAACAAGATTTGTCCCGACGAGATGGCTCAATCCAATTTCGTCCAGCTCCTTAGCTGTTACAAACTTGTAGTCATCGTACACCGCGAGGACATCAGACTCCTCTAGTTCTTCAGTTAAACTGTCAAGGAAGGAACACCAACGTGGAGCAGGACCCATGGACTGCATTAATATTATAACAATAAATGTCATATTACACATACGTTGTACGTTCACCACCTTCAACTCACAGTCAATTAATTAAGTTATAGTTATTAATATTTGTAGTTTGACTCACCGGAATGTAATATACGAGCATTTTCTTGTCCTCATTAGCCACAAAGAACATCCCAGTACCTGGAACTAAGCAGAGATCATTAAACTGTGCCTCTCCCTCCACCGACGTCCATGGTTCTCCACTCTCCTCCTTCCAAATCTTGACGATTTTAGAATCCATCGACAAAACGAGATCTTCACCAGGATGAAATTCAACCCCGTTGATGGGTAGCCCATACATGTGATCCTTCACAAGGAGAGGCTTAGATGATCTAATATCATACAACAGGACCTGACCCGTTCCCGTTCCCACGCCCAGCTTGAGTCCATCCTTAAACTTGAGCGATGTGATTGAAGGGACGCCACCTCCTCCTCCTCCTACCATATCTACATCTTCGTTGGACATCACATCCAAAGCAACATCCAATTTCGCCTGTGCCGCTCCGGCTCTAGGATCCCAAGCCTCGATGCACCCATCCTCAGTTCCCAAAAGGACGAGATGATGGACTGGATTCACTTCAATGCGATTAACTCCTCTCGCCCCCGTCTCCCACGGAGTCATGAATCGTCCCAACTCCAGGTTGAGTCTGTATACGGAGGATGAGGCGCCACCGAGGAGAAGATCGCAAGAAGGGGTGTGGAATGCCAAGTCCCTCCCAGCCTTAGGTATTCTTAGTCTAAAGTAACGCCCAAATTGTGCGTGGAGTTCTACGTAGCGATCTGTTTGGAGAAAGACCAATTTGGAGTAATCGGGCGATAAGGTGATGAAACGGACAACTTCAGAGTCAAAGCAACGTTCGAATTTCATGGACAAATTGGCCACGTCATAGCATCTGACTCTCGGTTTGTAAATTCCAGTGGCAAGGATGTATTCACCATCAGGAGATACGCGGATGTTGGAAGAGACACCAGGCATGTCAAAATCTTGGATAAGTTCTATCCGGCGACGGATTCCGACATCAGACTTTTGCAGATTTCGACGTTTTCGTTCAGAGATCCACTGTGGGAGGAAGAGGAAACATAGGAAACATTTTAATTTGTAGTTATTTATAGTAGGTTATTATATCTGTGTAATTAATGTATAATAAATTAATAATATTTAGTACAATTAACTCACATCTGGTAGAGACTTCCCAGCGGACAAGTTATACACTTTGATATCGTTGGTACTGCAGGATTTCATTGTGCACAAATGCAATGTTATCTTATTATATTTCTTTTTATTCTTATTGTAACAGGATGAGCTTATTATTATTTATTTGTTAATAACAAATTGTTATATATTCTCTACAGTAAATTTAGAGTCTAAATTTTAGACTAAGGCGACACGTGTTTGTGGAGAAGCAGGTTGATGGGCATGAGTCCCGCATGTCGTCTCACTTCTCACCTCGTTGATTGATTCATCTTATGCATCTCGCTCAGTTTTAGATTTTGCAAAGTGTCGAAAAGTGGCAAAAGAAGCGGCATTTATAAAACCACCCCCACCCCCATCCACCCCCACCCCCACCCTCATCCACCCCCACCCCCACCCCCATCCACCCCCACCCCCACCCCCATCCACCCCCTCCCCCATCCACCCCCACCCCCATCCACCCCCACCCCCATCCACCCCCACCTCTACCCCCCATCCACCCCCACCCCCACCCCCATCCACCCCCACAATTTTTATGGGGCAACGTGAGATACCTTGGGGCAAAGTGAGATTCTATTTCATATTGGGGTATCGTTCGTAATTAGCGAGCGAAGCGAGCAGGTTAGGTTAGATCAACTAGGTACGCGGAAAGCCTGGAAGGCTGAGCTAGCAAACCTAGCTAGCTAGGCTAGATAGAACCTAGGTAGCTCTGCTAGCTAGCAAGGCTACCTAGGTTAGCTAGCTAGAAGTGCTACCTAGGTTCTATCTAGCCTAGCTAGCTAGGTTAGCTACCCTAGCTACCTAGGTTCTATCTAGCCTAGCTAGCTAGGTTAGCTACCCTAGCTACCTAGGTTCTATCTAGCCTAGCTACCTAGGTTCTATCTAGCCTAGCTAGCTAGATTTGCTAGCTCAGCCTTCCAGGCTTTCCGCGTACCTAGTTGATCTAACCTAACCTGCTCGCTTCGCTCGCTAATTACGAACGATACCCCAATATGAAATAGAATCTCACTTTGCCCCAAGGTATCTCACGTTGCCCCATAAAAATTGTGGGGGTGGATTTGGGTGGGGGTGGGGGTGGATTTGGGTGGGGGTGGGGGTGGATTTGGGTGGGGGTGGGGGTGGTTTTATAAATGCCGGTTTTTTGGTATGCTGCATGTAATATATTTTTTACATTTTATGACCTTAATACAAGACGACGGTGTATAAGAGTGCGTGGATATTTATTGCTTATATTTCGCCTCAATAAATTGCATGCATGAGCTTGCATTTCTTGCAAATGATCTCGCATGGATCTCGCATACTTTTTTAGCTTCCTCTTTGCCATGCTGCACTGATTTCCGGAAGTGGTTTCAACACTCGATCGCTTTAGTGGCAGTGCACATTTGATTACATAAATTTGTGATTATCGCCATAATGAACAACAAAATGTAACAAATAATTAACTATGCACGCTTCAGTAATCTCTTTCCAAACGTGCTTCGTACTCTTGTTATATATGTACGTAAAAATGTATTAGTGAACGTAATGATAATCCAACCATGAGTCTCATTGTACTTCATTTCTTCATGAATCCATCAATTGTTTTAGTGCTATTGACTGTTTGCAATGTTTGCTAGTCTGAGCTTGCACATTTTTTGTTATCCTTTTTCGACTCAATATCAGGATAATATCAGTTTCTGTTTAACCAGCGTTCATTAATCAGGGTTTGTTTGCACATATCAGTAAGACTAATAATAGCTCTTTTTTGCGGAATAACTATGATTGACCTCGTGGATCGCGTTCTCTATTCGGTCAACAGGGATTTGGATTCTTGGGATATTGAGAACCTGAGGTACATTCGGAAAATCTCCATCAGAGACTCCACCAGTGAAACGCTCTCCTACGTGAGCGACGATGACCATGTTCTCACCTCCCCCTCACCACCACCACCTCAGCCAAACTACGACCATTACCACCCACGACCACACCCACCCCCGTCCACGGTTCGCATTCTCGAGGAAGCCGAGCTGCCCTCAAGGAACGACAATAAGAGCCGACCTCCAGAATATTCCTGCTACCTCATGGATGTCATTCTCGTCGCGAATGAGTCTGTCATTTCCTCTCCTTCAGTCTCCTCCGCCGACTCGTTCTCATCTGCTATTCGAAAAGGTAGAACCATGAATAAAATAGGCACAGCCGACACAATTTTACGACATCCATTTTGAATAAAAGGTTTCTTTGACATGGATAATAACGACGATGAGGCTTCAAAACCCCCACCACAACGACCACACGATAACGAGCTTCCGCAGGTAGGGAGACGCAAAGTGAAGAAAAGCGTGAGTTTCATGGACGAATCGATCCCTCGGTATGAAATTGAAATCAATTCGAAGCAGACGAAAGATAAAAGAATGTAAGTCCAAACTATTATAGTTACACGTGGATAGCGAATCATTAACAGTTAAGATGTAACTATGTCGTGTTTGAGCAGCAGGACGACACGGAGCGTCAGTTTTACGGGGACGACTAAATCTGCAATTATCGCTAACCAGGATCTTCCAGCATTACTTGATTATGATCATGGTAGAAGAGAATTCTCATCGAAAACGACCACTCGTGACCTCTTCGTTCCAGCCTGGAGTAGGACCCTGCAATCAGGATATGCAAACAACTGGGCAAGTCTTGAGACTTATGTGAGACGCCTTCAGCACCGCTCGAATTCTCTGTAATTAATTAACTGTGGCTGGGAATAATGGGGATAAATACATCATCTTATCAATTTCATTAATGTTAAAGTTCATTTGATTTCTAGTCAACAAGGAAAATAAAAATAATTCAACATATTTATTATTTTTTGCAATTTTGTGATCGTTTCACTTGCATTTTCTGGTTCCATGAATATACACCCTTTTATACCTTCTTCAACATAGTTTTCATCTGCACATTACGGAAACTGTTTATAATATTATTGTAATTAATAGATTCAAAATGTGCAGTTGACCATTCACATTATTGCGTTGTTGGCTGACTGAGGGATTGCTTATCAATTGCATGCAAAACCAGAGTGAGAAATGCATGGAGAAATATATCGAGTTGGACACGAGTTGGTCGGTTGGAGCGAAGGTTGAGTCCGCACGTTGTTTTTGCGGAGGAAGTGAAAGCTCAGCAGCAAAAGTAAATAATTCGTAAACTGAGCAAAAAGAAGTTTGATTTCAATTTGTCTTATATTTGCTCTAATTCATTTATCTCTTGGTTGTATTTAGTTCAAAACATAGGGTTTCATCAGTGACTGGATTTGAAGGTACGTTTTCACTTTGTTAGTAAGTACTAGTCGATCTTTACTAAAACTTTCATCTTTTATCTTTAGCTTATTAACACTTGTAATTCTTTGTAAATCTTGTAGCTCATAAAAATTAATTGTTACTACAATAATTTTAATATCGCGAGTAATTTAATACTTCACAGGTGCTTCACTTTACGCAACCGTTGTCGCATAAATGAGCTGCTGATGCCTCATCATGATGGATAAAATTCTCGAAGCGTTAAAATGTATGTCTGCACCCTTTGACGGGACAATTTCAGGTATAAATATGTACAATACAATTTGTATAGCACCCGCAATTTTTCATAGGATTTGTCCCTACAGGCATAGAAAGGCAAAATTCCACTGATGGACCAGAATCCGTACTCTTGAGCATTGTTTCCAAATGTAAGGAAATAGTAATAGACGTGAAGCTGGATGGTTGGAGTAAGAATTTGAGGGATAATTGCGGACCACTGACTCCCAGTTGGGCATTTACGTGCACTGCCCTCGACCTGCTCGTTCAAATTGGACATGACGTGAACGAAGCAGAAATGATGCAACCGGAAGAGGAGAAAAGCATCGAGGTTCTTAGTATCCAGGCCCAAGGTGATATTCAAAAGTGCGTCGAATTTATAGTCGGATTTGGACTCCTCCCTTATTTTCTCCCGAACGTTGGTGTCCCAGAGAAGGTGCGCAAAAGAAATCGTGCGGCTTTTGACCTGTTCCTCGCCAGCGACAACATACTTACTCCCTTGATTAAGTTCCACCGACTGGCTCAAGTGGTCGATGGCCTCCTCCAAATTTCTACTAGCCATCCTTCGTTTGCTTCCTTAATTATTCCAAAGCACGCAGCAGATATTCTAGCTGCTCTGCTACAAATTTGCAAGTCGCCCATTTCGAAACCTTCTCAGACAAAGCCAGGATCTCTCTCGGAATCGGAATTTAAGTACGTGATGACCTTACGAAACCGTTTTCACACTCATTTAAATGTCTTTTTGTCATCGCATATTCCAAAATCAATACTCATCAACTCCTTGTTCCTCATTGGAGAGAAACCAAAGTTCATGCGAGAAGCGTGCACCAATCTCATGCAAGAAATTATGATTTCTCCGAATAATGGAGTCATAATAACGGCATCAACTCTCCTCAACGAGTCTTCTGCGTCGAATGTTTGGAGTCTCGCAAAAATTGTTGCGAATCTGTTGAGAAGCAGTTTACAAAGTGTTAGTGAAAGTCATCTCTACAAGAAAATCTTTCAAGACATGTGCTGCCAGTGTGTGCAGATGATTCTGCCAACAAGTGCTGAAAGTTCAAAAACAACCAGAGGAGAAGGACGGAAGGATGAGGACATTTCAGTTAAACGAGCGATACCATCTTGTGAAAATGATGTTGCTGATGCTGTTAATAATTCGAATATCAACGCCAACCTTCAATCCCAGTGTTTGGGTACGAACAAAGAGCTGTGCCGGATTGGTCTGTTCTGTTCCCTAGTGTTGATGGACATTGATTGTCAGATGAGCAAACTTTTCGTGTGGGATCATTTGTTCAAGCCTGTCTCAGACTTATTGGGGCAAAGCCAAGACGAGCAGCGTTGTGAAGAAATAATAATGAAACCTATTAACAGGAATGCACCTCCTCCTCCTCCTCATTTTCCTCCTCGTGCAGAACAATTGACTCGTGTAAATGGAAACATACTAATCACTTGGGTCGACATTGACAGAGTTATTGCGGTCTCTGAGGTCGCTGAGGGATTATTGAGCTTAGTAGTTCCAACGGGGATATCCATTCCGTTGCACGCGTTCCAGCCTTCGTGGTCGTTACTCTTTCAAGCCCTGGTGGCATGCGAGAAATACCTCGAGAGGAAAATTCAGGAGCCCGAGGTGTCCCACTTGGCTCTAGTGTTGAGTAGCAAATTGAAAAATGTTTTTATCCTCCTCTTTGAACTTGTGAGTGCTGGAGTTGGCGATAAACTAGATCTCCTTAGCAGTAGTACTACTAGCAATACGACCATTGACAGTGGTGGTAGTAAATGCAAAACAACAACTCCACGACCCGGTGCCCAAAACAGTAATATTTCGCTCAAGTGTGCAAAAACCTTGGCTGAATTTTGCATGGAACTTCTTGTGAATGAGCAGGCTGATGTTAACATCTTTCAGTTGATGTCAAGTAGTAGTAGTAATTGTGGTAGTAGTAGTGGTCATGATGGTGGGGAAAAAACTGGAACAACTGTAAAAATAGGAGGACACGTGAGCAGAACTAACTATGCAGAACCTTCGAATACAACCACTACTAGTGATGATAAGAAGGACGACGACGGCCGAGCATTTAGAGTTCTGGCAGATGAATGTGTAATTTTGTGTTCCATATTCAAAGATGAACGCCTGGCAAATATTATATCCCAGCTCTTTCGCCAACTTCTAAGCTATGAGAATGAGAATATTAAAGAGAGAACTCAAAGTAGTAGCCACGGGCAGAAGCAGGAAGAAGAACAACAGGCACAAAAACATAAAGTTTCAGATGCAAGTTTGTCCTCATCGTCTCAAGATTCAGTTTTTCCTCCCGGAGAAACTGAGAAGGCTCCTGCTCCTATGATCTCCACTACCAGTAGTGAATTAACTCAATTAGAGCATGCATTAGAGGAGGGACATGATGAGACGGCCTTGCAGAAGTTTGTAGCCCTCAAGCTGTTGGAGGAATTAGGTAAAGATGACAAGATTTTAGAAAACTGTGTCAATACTGATGATTATAAGGAGACGCTGCTCATTGTGGAGTTGGTGATACGGCGACTGGCGATGGAGCTAAGGGAAAGTTCTCGTTCTGGGCAAATTTGTGAATTCTCACAAACCATCGTGTTTGCTCTCGGCTTTCTCGGCACCATTGTGGAAACTGCAGGCAGCGTTGGGTTCCTTGCTGAGGTGGCCGGTGCTGGAGCGTCTCCTGGAACAACACATAAGAAGAAGAATTCATCATTATCGTCATCACCTCTTTCAAATTTGGAAGGAGAGAAAGATGATGACGGATTTTGGACCGAGTTACAACGTTTCACTCCCCACTTGAGGATGATTGCAGATTCGAATGATTTGGGACTTGTTAATTTAGGAATCCCACCCATGGCCGAGAATATTTTAATTAGTATCTTGTCCTGCGGACAGGAGGGAACTTTGGGCAAGAGTGGTGGTAAGGCCCGCGAGGTGATATCTCACTTGCAAAAGGCTCTCAAGGACGTGGCCAACCCAATGCTTCCCATCAAAGGACATGGGCTTTTGCAATTAAGAAGACTCCTTGAATCCAAGGATCCAGAAACGTTGAGCAGTGACTCCTTACTTTTGCAAATTTTCCACGCCGAGTTGAATAACGATGACTCGTACGTTTACCTCATGGCCATTCAAGGACTTGCCACTTTGGGATTGAAATTTCATAAAATTGTCATCCCGATCCTAATCCAGGAGTACAACAATGTGATTAATCCAGCAACGGATGACACTGATCATGGGGAAGGAGGCGACCGGAGAAAGTTGTTCAAGGCGATGACGGAGAGTGAGAGTATCGAGTATCGAATGAAAGTGGGGGAGGTTTTAGTGAAAGTCACCCAGCAGCTGGGCGACATTGCTCCAATCTACAGAGTGGCCCTCACCAACCTCTTGTTCCGCATTGTTCGCGACAACGAGCCCCTAATTAGAGCCTCCGCTCTCTCAAATCTCGGAGAACTGTGCCATTTACTCAAATTCTCCCTGGGCGTCATTCTCACCGAGGTGGGTTCTCAAAATATTTAAGCTTGAAAATCATCTGCACTTTTTTCACTGAAATCTGGTTCACTCCGTGTTTGTTTACTCACAAGTTGACTTATCCTTTTCCGTCTCTCTGTCCATACTTATTTTCACGTTGAGTGTATATACATGTATCCAGTGCTAATTTGGATCATGTACTACCATCACGTTTCGTAATTTCTTTGTAAATCCCCCATTTGGCAATCAGAATAATTACACGAGCTTCGTGGATATCCTCCCACTGCCGATGTACTCTAATCCGTAGATAAATATAATAGCGGATAATCTGAAGATGAGTGCCTCCTGGTCTCCCGAGCCGTCAATACAGCATACCTTCAGCCATACATATGTACAACTTGGCTGACGGTGTAAGCGATGAAAGTGGATGAGAAGTAATGGAGGAAGATTTTATGTCCAGGGATTTCTTGCAGCAGCAGATGAATCGAAATTTTAAAGCAAGTCTTCTTTTAAAACAAGTTTGTTCTATCTGTTGAATTTCGTTAAAAGTTTTGGTCCAAATTGGGGAATCTTGGATGGATGACGCAAATCTTGTGATGAGGAGCAACAACATTTCGTTCCTTGTCTCGTCCTGCCATCATCAACCGGTGAAGAACCACGTTGCTTCCTCAGAGTTGTTGCACAATGTGCCTATTTTAGGAAGATGACTTGGAATTTAGAGTGGTAGTTACATATGCATGTCCCTCCTCAGTCAGTCGGATTCACTTTATTTTATGCCTAGAAAAGCAGTGGCGAGCTTTCTTCGCATAAAAGTTTAGACTTTTCTATTTGATTCCTGGTCTAATGGAGTTTGCTCAATATTCACGTTGCCTTTCGTTCCTTCCTTCTTCCTAAGTGGAACTAACTTGTGGAACCCGTTCGATCTCCTCCTCCTCCGAATGTGATGATTATTCGCGATAACTTTTACTCACACAACCTTCCTCTCATTCTACTCTTTTACCCAGCAGTATTGCAATTCTTCTCTTGCTGAATTTCACCTCTCATCAGTGCTTATGGAATGATACTGAGTTCGCAACATGATGGTTTCAACATCGTTTTTGAACTGATGTGTATCTCTTTTTCCAAATCAAGCTCACTTTTCATTTACGTTGAGACCAATTGATTAGTATTTAGAGACCGAGGGTTGTACTAAGTATGTCTGATGCTTACAATACCTAACCTTCCGACCTATTTGTTTCCGTATATGCGTGTAGTATATTAATGGAGTTTACTCGAAATTTTATGTATAATGACAACAGTCTTCAATAACTAATTCACAAATTCTTCTCAGGTCTTGCATTCGTTTCTTCCTTATTGGTCCTCTCTTGTTTTCTATTTCATCGGTCACCTAACTTGTTGTTAGTAATCGAAATTTTTAAGTCTAATGAGGATACACAGGAGACAACGTGTTCCTTGTCTTGGACTCGGGACTCTGTAGATTGGATAATTTTGTAGTAAAATACAGAAATTTTGACGAAATTTCTTGCCATTCGATGCATGCATATATTTGTCCCATTGATGGATCAACTGGAAGAACGAGTTAAATTAGTTTAAAAGTAAAATGCGGAAAGCAAGTGAAAGTTGTAAGGCTGCAAACTGTATTCAATCGAATAAAATTGAAAGCAAGAGCTCTGTTCTTGCGGAAGTTCAATTAGGACTCAAGATGCTGCTGCTTGATTGTATCTTACAATTCCACCCGTTTTGCACTTCCATTCCCAGAAGTGAACAATGTATATACTTGGCAAAACCTTCCATTTTCCGCGTGAATGACCCTTTCAGCCTATCTCTGCTTTGATATTGTGGTGGCGGTGCCGTGGAAGAAAGCTTGAGAGACACAAAGGAGAAAGTGGTCCGAGCTTCAAATGAAAAGCGATTCCTTACATTTCTCTTACGCCGAGCTTCACAGTTTGCTGTTTGTCTGTCTGAGTTCATTACGCCAAGTTTTAAACGTCTCATTCACTGTGCAGACAAATACCATTCCTCGTATTGGTCATCATTATGTTACAACAGTTCAGACGAGCCTTCTCATTTTAGCATTCTATAAAAAGATCGCAACAAGGAGTTGTCCAACTTGTATACGGCATCGTGCTCATGTCGTGGTCATACTAAATGTAACAAATCTATATTATTAGGTCGCACCTCGTGTTGAGACTGAGATTGTCCTGGAGAGGGTTCCGAAGTCTTAGAGTGTCCTTCCCGGGGCGATGAGTGCCATATAGCGCTGCTGTATTTACTCGATCCCATTAAATTTTCCAAATTCTTGTTATAGTTTGGAATTATGTCGTTGGTTAGCGCTTGATCAGTTACTCCGTGTTTGACAACTTTGGAGGAGGAGGAGGAAAGGGATGTCTAGCAGTCCTAAAGTTAGTGACAGGTTGACTTGGCTTGACTATCTATTACTACGTACTTATTCTTAAATAAGCCCTTCATCGTCCTTAGACGATGAGGGGCTACTCCTTCTCAAAGTTTCAATCATCCAAGACTTTCCCTCGCCATTGTTAATTGACTTATTGAGTTGACGGTGCCCTGCTGGTCTCTTGCTAAGTGCTCTATGGTTGCTGGCCTAGTTACACAACATGCATGTATTTTCGGATGTCACTTTCCTTTGGCCGTTATTCAATGGTTACAAACTACATTAAGATTATACCTCTGTCTTAGCTGCAAAATAACACATGGAAGTTATTTGACTCGAGTCTTATTTTTATAATTTTGTTGTGATGCAAAGTAATTATGGACAGAATAATAATTATTAATTGTTCTCGTGTACTTTCAGGTTTGGTACAATGTGGATGCGATTTTGAGCTGTGAGAAAAACATTCATGTTCGACGCGCTGCCCTTCATCTGCTGGTGCTCTTGTTGAAGGGGGTGGAGAAAGAGTTTGGTTCACATCACTTATTAACGGACGTGCAGCTGGGGGGTTACTTACGTGACGCCAGACGCCTGCTGACCAGGACGGAACAAAGGGAGTCAGACCCCGTCGCACGAACTCATGCTCAACTGGCTTTGCAAGAATTGGAACTCATTGTCAAGAAACTTTTACTCCCAACACAGGAAGTTTCGTACAAAATCAAAGTTTTAGATTCACTCGAGTAAACCCATTGTGATGAGCAAAATATATGTTGTTTTTTTCTGTGCGAGGTTTGTCAATTATTCCATAAATAGGTTTATTGTACGTATGCATAAATATGTACATATATAATATTAAGAATATAAGGGCACAGTTTTATGTAGTCATTCAGTATGTTGTTTGCCTGTCTTGCATCTTTATATGTGTAACACATGAAATATAAGTTATTGTGACTCATCGGTGTTAATAAACTCCTCGGTATCGTCTTTCAAAGCTATAAAAGAGTCATCATATCTTTCGATGTAATTTTACTTGTTGAACTAAGCTGACAAACAGTTGCATGCGTTCATGAATGTGCACACGCATTGTACATGACAGAACATCAATCCTTTTGTCTTTGATGAATCCGCAATCTCACTCTGAGAATTTTGTTTTGATTCTAATTTTAGCCCCTCGCTCGAACATGGCGGCCTGTTACAGAATTAATTAGCCATTTCACACAAGAAAATTTATTTATGAACAAGCGTGCTCACTCATTCCGAGTATACTATGCTTTCTAAATAATACTTATCAAACCACTACTCGACTCGACTCGCACCGCTGCGTTGTCGCCACGCGTGTACGAAAAATTCTTGAAATGTCATAGTCACACCTTCTCAAGTAAAACTTTGTGTTCGCTGTTCAATTGACACACAAGACTTCCTTGTCCGCGACTGACAGAGTAAGTATTTAGTTGTCAGGCGGCGATGTGTGCGCAGTTTCTCTACAATGTTTAAAACTATTCCGGCAGGAAGGAATTTGTGAAATTAAATTTCATGAAACATGTTTAGAATGCAATCAATTCAGCAGAAGGAAGTGACACGAAGAAAGATTTGCACCCTTAACCAACTACTTGACTAGTTTACCTCCATTATCAACTCTCGGTGATTTGATCATCGATCAATGGTTGTGAATTTTGAATCCCAGTTCTTCTCAGTTTGGTATGTTAGGTACCGGTTGTTTCGTGGGTCCAAACTTTTAAAACCATGTCTATTGTTCTAAATTTCCAGTAATCGTGTTTGCGCTCAATTTGATACATGAGCAACGTACATGCGCAATCTGTCTGTAAAGTTTCAACAGTGGTTTTAAAGTTTAGCAACTTATCCAATCTCATACATACATATTTTACATTTTAAGCAGCGATGACGTATGACGAATGACGTGACGATGGCTTGGCAGAGTTTCTCCAAGACGATGTAGTAAATCTGCACAGTGTTTCCACTTAAGCTCTTGTGTCACTGATTTGAAATTCGAAAATGTTAAAGGGCACATATGCTAAAAACAAGAATCATTACACATACGTAGTGATCGTATGAAAATGTTTGATCAGACCCGTCAGCTAGTCAGCTTCATGCTGTGGCTTAAATTTTATGTCAAAGGTGCACGTGGCAGCCTGGTTTCATTTTTGACCTTTTGACTCCACAATCAGTATGGATTTCCGAAACCGTATTCATAGATCGGTTACAAATGATGGGAGTAATTATACACATAGTTTCAGCAAATCGACCCCACGGGCGAGATAACAATTTGTCACATCCACAGAAATAAAATAGAAATCGTAACCAAACCTATTTATACATCGTTACATGATGGGTGTTACGTAATGTGGGCACATGTACAGTCCTATCACACACTGCACATGTTGTGTAAATATGAGTAGAACAGAATGACACGCGGAAGTCCATTATGTGATACAGCTCGTACGAAATGAAGTATTTTGAGTGGAAAACCGAAAAAGGTGAAAGTTGTGCCACCCACGCACGTTTCACGCGTGTGAAATTGTACAAGTTCAGTTGTACCCAAAAATAATCACAATCACCATTTTTTCAAGAGAAAGAAACCTTTTAAGGCTTCAAAAGCAGAACTCATCCATGTCCTCAAATGAGACATTTCTAAAAGATACTCCTCCACTTCTTAAAATACCGCAATCTTTCTCCAGCATACCAAAGCCACCTCATAATCATAATATTATATAACGTCGTTGAAGCTGCCATAAGGGTATCCCTTATTCCTACAACATTAGATTAGTCTCTTTTAGAAGCTTCAACGATGGTAAGCCAATTTGGTTCAAACGAGTTGACTCAAAAAGCGACTCTAATTAAAATGAAATAAAAAACAATAAGGAAAATTATATTTCAATTAATCAATGTGCGACTCAAAATATTTTGAGATTTACGATTCTTTGCGTAAAGCATAATAATTAATTTTATAGGACCGATTTTAGAATTTTTAGCGTATTAGGCTCCCATACGAATGCATACTTCGTTAGAACAAAAAGACTTCACGGCAAGTATGTACTGTAAAAAAAATCAGTAATCAAGTGGTCTTATTCTATAGAATTGGTTGATTTTGGACAGTTTTCCCAAGAAACATTTGCTTCAAATATTCAACTATTAAGGGAGTTTGTTTGGAGTCTTAGGGGCAACACGGTCAAGGGACTAAAAAGAGAGATGAGGTAAAGTTACTTATTTATTATAGGTTGCCACACCTGAAAATGTGTTTGCATGCGTTCTTCGTGTCCAGTCTGGTGTTGATGCACTCGAAAAGTATTACGGAACAACCTGAGAGGTGAATATTGAATCTGTTTTGAACCAGCCTAACACCGACAAGGTATCGCTAACATATTTATGGAGGCGTACTTACGTCCTTATAAGCAAGACACGTACGGATGGATGGAGGAACATGGAATTGTGTGGGATTGCTGGAAATGATACTTTGATTTCTCTCTCATCTCTCTCCTGGGAGTCCATTTGTCAGACCCATTTCCGAAGAAAGTTCATAAAATGATGTCAGAGTTTTTATGTAGTCGCCTATTTTTATTTTCAAGTTGTTAACTCCAACGTCAGATCAAGATGTTGCCAGCAGAAGGAAGCAGGAACTAGTTAGTCGCCTGGTCGAAGTCGGAAGAATGTTGCGTTCCTAATTTCTTCGACCTTGCCCATCGTCGCGGAAACGCCACATCGCCACGTCGTAAATATCCATATCCGTCCTATGTGGGCCGAACACGTTGTGCACTTTCACATCATGTTCCTAAATATGATGAAATATTCCTCGTCCTGTTTTCCGCCTGGTTGTGTTTACCTCTCGTGAACCGAAGTATGTAGGTGAATTTTGGTGAGTACAATATCTGTCCTCGAGTTCCATTGATGATTCTATGGTGGAGGAGTAAGTTTGGACGAAAAGGGCCTTGGAAGTTCCAAGTTGGAACGCCTCAAAATTAATTTCGACATGAAAATGTCTCCTTCATTTTTTCTCCACTTTGCCATTTTCCCAGTTTTGAAACCAACTGGCAAAGGAAGATGTGAGTGGTATTCGATATTACAGAGCTGGAGGGTTGAGGGAAGGAGCAACTGCAACCATCTTGCTTTCCTTTGAGAAGTCGAGCTTTTTGATTCTAGGTGGAACATTAAAGCAGCAGCTCGTCATTTCCAGTTCCTTTGGGGAAGGAATGGATGGGCACCTTTAGAACCTAAAAAACGAACTCCAAAGAAATGAGCACTTTCCCGTCGCTCGTAATAAGTCCACGAACGGAGGGTTCGTAGTTCAACCACACGCGGACGAAAGCAACTTGAAATGATGAAGGACACCGGCTTTTGCTTGCTGAAGACGAGTAGAGAAAACTAGGAAATCAAGGACGAAGTAAGTAACGACTAAAAGCACTAATGGACTTGGTGCTTCAATACTCCTCTAAAAACCATGTTTCGATTTGTTGTAGATATTTCTCTTAGAGTAATTAATTCAATTCCAGGATTACAAGAGTGTAAACACGTCAAAGTATAAAGTGGATGAAGCACAAATCGTCCTTTGAAATGTCACATGAAAGCTGCATAGCAATGAATGTTGCAAGCTCAAGTTTGTCAATTTAGCCTTTAGCGATGAATAAACTGAATCACTGTCAGAGCAGAGCTTTGGTTTACTTTGGGTCACCAGTAACATATTCACAATTTGTTGCATTATTTCGTCAATAGGGCTTCATCACGAAATTAATTAGTGAGCAAAATGATTTTCTTAGAAAAGAAAATTAAACTTGTCTCACACAACTCGTCACGTGCCAAATGTTTGATGAAACGCGTCATTAAAGACAAAACTGTAATGCCCAAGGAGTTTATTTACCACATGGCGTCCATATATAAAGGCAAAGGTTAACTTATGGCATTGCATTGCGGTGTATGCTTATCGTTCAAGGTTGACTTTTGAAAATCTCAAACCCACATGGTATCTGTCCCTACGTATAAAACCTCTTTGCTCACTTTTCAATCAGCAGTCATCAAAGGGGTGGAAAAACCCCGTATTTTTTTCTAAAACTAATTATGGAAAATAAGCCCATCAAAGGGGACACTAGAATCTTATTTGTTAATTACATGTGGACTTCATCATTGATTAAGACCAGTATTGTGTAAGCTTATCTGGTAATTTCAGCAACATAATATCCTGTCCTCCCTAATCCGAGAATCCGATTACTGTTTAATTTTACATCAATACCAAGAGATTTGATCTCATCCGGTAGGAAACGTGGTTTCCGGGACGTCTATTATTGGAAGACATGATGATTGCTCACATACTCCTTTGATAATATTTAATCACGACTCCTTTGATTCTCGGATACCTCCCAATCCTCTGTATCTGGTATTTTGCAGTACTTGCTACACCTTGCTTACATACACATATCGAGGGATTAACTAATTTTACTTTACAAAACCCATAACCCAACTAGTCAAGATTAACGCCGTGTTATTTTTAGCACTACAATTTTTTCCCAGTAATCCTGCGATGTAGGCGACACTAAAAATGAAAAATAAAACTGCACATACTTTATGAATCATAAATGCAAATGGGATATGTAAATGGGGAGTGATCCGTAAAAGTCATTTCGACCAGACGCGACTCGGAGGGGCACAACAAGTCAAGGACGAAAAGGTTCCAGAATCAAATTATGAGCTGCAAAGTGCAGAAAGGTGTTTGCAAACTTTTGAAAAGTCGCCGACACACGACCAGCAACTGAGGCAACCCGGTTACTGTCATCGCATCCCATCACATAATGTGATATGCAGCCATCTATAAATACCGAAAAACTTGACAATCTGTACTTTCCCCTCCCGTCCATCCGGCCAGCACGAAAGTACAGTGAAAAGGCTGCAGGCATCGCTTGTCTCAATAATTTAATTTTTTGCAGGCGTGCAAATTTTTGCAATGAATATCAAATTGGATATCAAATTGTTCTTGTTGATTTTTTAATGGGTCGGAGGACGAATTGAATTGGATATTTTTGGATAAAATTAGTTGAATTTGGAGGGATTTGATTTTTGAAAATGATCCAACTCACCTCTGATGGACCGGGCCCCGTCTGCGTATTTAGTTCTCAACACACTAATTTTCGCATTAATTATAGAATCACAATAATATTCAGTGCGTGTGTAAAGTTGGGAAAGTTATGGTGTGCCTGGAACAGAGTTTGGTCTGCGAGTTGTTCATGCATAATATTGAGAATAATAATGAGCATGCATTTACGTATGTAAAAGTTTATTCATGAATACCCACACCGGAGAACGGAACAAAAATATCCTCAAGGAATTAAAATCGACTTAAAGTGCAGTTCAATAACTTAAACGCTACATGGGTCTACATGGATATTATCAAAGTTATATTTAGAGCAGGACAAAGCAAGATCTTCATACAAAAATTCCCTAAAAATTCATTAAATTTGATTATTCTCCTGCTCATGTATTATTAAAAAATATAAGGTTGGAGGTGAACTATTTATAAGAAATGACGATAACATGTTATTCACCCGCATATATGAACCAAGAAATCCTGCTGCTGATAATATTGATGAATCAAGCCACTCACAAAGTAAAATTCCGGCTAAAAATTACTTTCTTGACTATTTTTAGAATGCGAATGAAAATTTTACATGAACAAAATCAATCCAGTTTAAGCTGCTGTGAGTTCAAGGAACAGTTGATAATTTTGACAATGTTATTTTGTTCGCGTATTTTCATTAAAAAATAATTACATTTGAAGTCACAAGAGAAAAAGGACCTTAATCATACTGCATAATTGATCTCGCTTGAAGGATAAGGAGGAGGATTTAATGGTTACTGATTGATTATTCACTACCTTGTTTGGAACTCTGCTTTGTAAGTCGAGTGTTTGTTTTCCTTTATCCCATTACATCCTTCTCGCTAAATAAAAGTGCAACAAAATAGAGTGTGGTGTTTGTTTGTTTGTAGTTAATTATCATTGTGCCATGGGTTTAAAATTGTTCAATTAATTAATTTCAGCCCATTCGTAACGTTCAAAAGTTGGCACAAACCATTTTGGAACATTTTCTCTCGTTGTATCATTTTTGTTTCGTATAAATGTGTATGAAGTAGTATTGTTCTTCTCCTTATTCGTTCACTATAAATAAACTAGCAAGACTATATTCATAACGTGTCATCTTACCCCATAATTTATTCACAATTTACACAATGGAAACTCTGTCATCAGAATTGTGACAAGTCCTTTTTCCATTGTGAGGAGCGATTCGCATATTCGACTCAAAATAACCAAGGTGTTTCGCCAGATGTGAAAGCAAATGCTTTATTTTCGAACAATAAGTCCGTTCCCCTACATTTTTGCCAACACGTTGACTCGTGCGACCTAATAGGTAGGTTGCGAGTTAGCGGAAGTTCACGTAAACGCTAACGTAAACGTAAAATTTTGCTTACCGCCACTGTTCGGCGGCGCCCATTTAAGGTTTACGTGAATTTTCTTTACGTTCACGTTATTTTGGACGTTAAATCAGCCCATTTAGCGTTCGTTTAACGTAACCACCCACGATTTACGTAAAGTTTTTTCACCATGCAAATTTAAGAAAAATGAACAACAGGCATGTATTTTTTGCGTTAATTATTGATAAATGCATAAAATATGTTTATAATTAATTGAAGTGATGTAACTAATTGTGAAGCATTAAAACAAAAAGTAAACTGATAATTTCTCATGAAAGGATTAAAAAATGACGAGGCTTTAAGTTAAACAAACTAAATAAATCTTCTGTTGCTTTTGTAGCAGTTTGCAAATTAATTAGTAATTATGTAATTTATTATAGTATTATTTATTAAAACAACGTCAAGCTTCGATGGAGGAAAGAAGTATGGAAAGTGAATGATATTACACAAAATGAAGAGCTGAAATAACAAAAGCATTATTTGAATTAATTAGAAACAAGTAAATTTATTGTTTATACAATACAGAAATAAAGCCTTAGTACATGGCATCTAGATTTTCTTATACACACAATTTCATGGAAAATATAAATAATGGTCAAGATCTGGCATTGCTTCACAAAAGTTATCCGAAGTTTGGCTGCCGTGATGAAAAATCCGTGACTGCAATGAGTAGGAGGAAAAAGTTACATCAAGTCGACGTATCTGTGAATGAAATAATTAACTGATTTAGTGAATTGACTTGCTCTAGATTGATAAAATATGGTCCCCTTACCTGTTGGGATATGCAATCCTTAGAGTAATGCACAAAGGGTCTCCGCCGACAAGCAATCGCGCCCCGAAGTTTAAGGGCGCATAACTTAGGTTTCAAACTTATTTTGCAAAAGCGAAAGTTAAGGAAAAAGAACTCGTTCATCATTTAGTTTAATTTAAAAATTTTAATTCTTTTAATTGATTAATTTTAATTATTTGAAGGAAGAATGTCCTCTATTTCGAAGTCGGTCAACTCAGAGAGTAAATTTACTATTTGTTTTGAAAACACTGGCATTTCAAGCTAGTTATAATAAGATAAATTAAATAATTACAATAAGCAAAATATTGCATGAAGAGTGTAAACAAACCATTGAAATGAAATTCAAATTCAGCGCACAAGTTTACGTTCACGTTAATTCGCACACGCAAAATTCGTGCACACCGTAAACGTAAACGTTAAAGCCAAATTTTACGTTTACGTTAGCGTTTACGTGAACTCCGGCTAACTCGCAACCTACCTAATGTAGCTTCGTAGCTTCGTTGTTACAGAGGAGCAGCAGCCCTTGCAAAAAGCAAGACTGGGGCAAAGAGGAAAACTCGGAGCCCAGAGCGACCAAGCTTCACTTGCCAGTCTCATCTCTTGCTGAACAGTGTGCGGTCCTCTCGTCGTCTCAAATTCCCGTCTCACAATGAGACTCGAAACCTCATCGCATCCAAAGCCGCTGGTGGAGCTTCTTGCATCTGGAAAAGTACCTGAAAGTATCGTCTGAAGCAGTGCTATTTACCGTTAACCACTTCCGAACCTGAAATTCATCTATTTTTAAACGCGACATTCTGTGACGACAGTAAAAATTGCCCTCTAGCCCACTTGACTACTACTCCGAGGAATGCTTTTATCGCCAAAATCGAAAACAAACTCAAACTACTCTGGCTAATCGGCCGTTGAAGAGTTCCAATAATGAAAGGAAACTTTAAGTGAGTCGATATTACGTCTCAATTTCATATTATTGCACCACCCACGCTCCTTCTCAGAAACTAAGTACCAAAATTTGTCAACAATAAAATCTGCAGAGTAAAGCATTCATTATCGTTGCGTCGAACTCCATTTGAGGACAGGACCAGATAAGCAGTAGCAGTTTTGTTTACTAGCAACCGTGTAATTGGTGAACTTTAAAGAGAAAGCAAATCAGTGAAGTTTGAAGGGAAAGCAAATTAGTGAACTGGGCTAATACTTATTACTCCCTCAGACTACCTGTTGTCGTCCTGTGGGTGACTCTATTTTCTCTGGAAAGTCCAAATTATTAAGAAGCATCGTGTCTTTGCAGATACGTTGTCAACATCATTATTGAGTAAGTGGTGGGTGCTTTTTTTATATTTCTTGAGCATATTGAGTTGGAGTGAAGTAGGAGAGTAAACACTTGATCCGTCCACTTAATTTTCCCCACATGGCAGGCTACGAAAACAAGGCGTTATTCTGACAAGATCAAAATCAAGACAATTTATCTCATATCCGTGAGCACATCTTTCTCCATTCCACTCTAGACATGCAGGTAAAGCAGCTGAGCAAGCATTTTCCCTTCCTCAAAGCCAAGGAAAACTTGCACATAATTGTTGAGCCTGAGGATTCTTAACTTTCCTTAAATCAACGAGTTTTATGGGTTGGGAGGAGAGTCAAGGCAGTAGAGCAATTAAGCACTCTGGGTTGGACGCTAATGGCAACAAATAGTGGAGAGTGTCGAGATTACATATCCAAAGTGTTTTTCTTGATAGATATGGCAAAATTAAGAGCTCTGCGTAAATATTAACAGCCCCAGAGACTTAATTAGACCAAAAGTGTCAATATGCATGTGTGTACAAAGGAGCTGTTCAGCCAGGCAAGTAAGTGCCCATTAATGAAGATTAGTCGTGTGAAATAACACGCTGACTTGGGAGGAGATGACTATTATGCATGTCAGAGCAGGTGTGCAAATACAATAAAGTAGAATATATACGGAGAAGCAGAAGGAGAAGAATTAATTCCTTCTCAATCAACAAACAATTCTCACATTTGCAATTAACGAACCAATATTGTTTCAATTCATGAGCTTGAACTTGACATTTACATATTCTGAGCATCCCTTCATACTGATTTGTGTTTGTCTACAAGTGCGAATGTTGAGAATTTCACGGGCGACTTATACATATTTCTTCTCAGGAAGGACGAGAACGAGATTTTGGACTGCAGAAGTCCCTCAGTCATTCGTCTCTCTCCGTCAGCCACGACGAACTACTGATACTACTACCATACGTATAATAAGGTTAAACGATGTGTGGAAAGGTGACATCAACAATTTTCCCTGCATAATTGGAGTAAGCTTATTAACTATTGTTAGTTGTATGTACATCTTCACAAGCCTGAAAAGGAATTGACGCATAATGTCAGTGTGATTAGGAATTTAGAGGAAAAATATAATCAACCATCTCAACGGATTTTCTCAAAGTTGTATACTTTCAACAGTTCAGTGAGTTGGCTAATAGTCTTGAAAGACAAGGAATTATATCCAAGTGTATTTATCTTGGTCTGACTGAAAACTTTACTTGCTGGCAACGTCCAACCCTTCTCCACGCGTTCTGGCAGATTTAAGACTTAATGAAAGTGAACTCTGTCATGTAAAGGATCCTCACATTGCATCGCCCACCAAGCAGAATCCGGGGGCAGTTGTAAATCGAAGCCATTCATCAAAGAATAAACTGACCAGCAGCAGCAGCAGCAGAGGAAAGGAAAAGTTGAGACATAGCCAAAAAGATTGGGTTTTTCTGTTGAGATTTCTTTCAACTCTGCCTGCCCATCAGCACACGGGATAAGCGAGGAACATCCAAAACTGATCCTCATTCAACCACAGAAGAATCCTCTTACTCCGTCTGTTCGTACGAATCTCGGGCAGAAATTCTAAACCCAGGCAGGCAGCCCACAAAGTGAACACAGAGTTGGTTGAACCGATAAAAGTGGTCGATTCGTCTTCGATTAGAAATTCACCTCAAATCAAGACCACCGAGTGAAAGGAGAGGCCACCGTCGATCACAATCATCAAAACCAATCAATTGGATCACCCAGACCAAAATTGGGGAGGAGGGTTAACATAAATACGTCGACTGGATGATAGCAATGAGCCTCGGATTCGTGCAAATCTGAAAAGCTGCTCGACTCTGGTGTATCCTTTACTATTCGTAAGAACTTGTCGGCAGAGGACTTCCTGACGGTGCCAACAACATCATGAACGTGTCGTCATTTGGGGGGCTGGGGAACGAGGAGGAGGAGGAGAACTTGATGGGCTTAGTGCATGGTGGGGTCCACACGAACGAGAGCTGTGCTAACACCACGGGCGTCGGGGGAACAAATGGGACAGATATCAACCCTTTCTACTACTTCGAGGTGACACACGACTCTTTATTTCTTAAATATTTCCCAGTATTTATTGCCCCCGTCTGATTATGTATGTATGTTCGCCACCACTCTGATCATCATCATGAGCCATGACATCTTCCAAAGGACTACTTTAGTTCTTGTTGTGGCTTTCGAAGACTGAAGGTTCAGCTGAATTGGAACATTAACTAGGCTCCTCTTTCATGAGAAGATAGAAAACATTCATTTTTTTCGAGCGTTTAATTTAGGATGGTGCACTGAGTGAGAAGTTGTAGTATTTTTTTCCACGCGGTGTGAACAGCTTAACTTCCACACCTTATCAATTCATAAGCAGAGATGATAGGCTACTCAGGAATGAATGATAGCAATTTCATCTCTTCTCCCCCACGATTCCACCATCCAGCACGCAATCTTGTTTTCTTTGGGACGCGTTTGTCTAGACTTTTCCTTCCTTCATTCAGCACCCATTAGAAAAGTGAAGGAAAAAATAAAAGTTGTCCGAAATAACACAAACTCGCTCACACTGCCTGAGCCAAGTTACGCATCATCACAAATTTACTGCTGACACATTCGCCCACATCACTTGTAAACTTGTGTGTCTCACTCCTCGAGACTTTCACGACTGGACCAAAAATTTCTTCAGGCTTAGGAAACGGCAGTGCAGGGATCAAAATCACATTGTTTTGCATTGCTGAATGAATCTCTCTCGTGCTTCTGCTGCTCTTTGTGCCGCAATCTAATTTAATGTGACCAAGTTCAAGCTGTGCAACTTCCCACTTTCTCCAGCTGATCGAATAAGGAGACAAACAAATTCTTCCAGTGACTTTTCACATTTTTGAGAGTATAAAACTATAAAGAACGCTCCAGTGCGGCCTTCTCAGCATTAATATTGTACTTTATGGCGAGAGGGTCACTAAATCTTATATTTGCCTTGTAAACCCTTGCAAGTTTTTCATTGGGGACGAAACGTAAAAAAATTGTTTTTTTGCTCCTTTCGGATTAGCTTATACAGAACCAGCTAAAGCCCTGACCTACAAATAACAAGTGGTGCACATGATGATGAACGTTATATGTTGCTGCTGGCGAAAACAGAGTGGAATCAAAATTATTTTATCTGTATTATGAAGACCAAAAATACTGAAATGGTGACGAATGAAAAGACAGAGATTCTGCGATCAGTAGCTGTTCCGAGTAGATATTTAGTATTGGAAGGTCTAAATTATTAATCAGAAATCTGTTATTATGTGCATGCATGTGCACACATGTCATTGTCATGCTCCACCCTGATTAAGGTGAATATATGTATACAAATTTGTATTTTCTTGCCCGTAGACTAAATCCATGATGGCTTTTTTGGTGATGTAAGGCTAAAGGAGAAGCGAAATTGCTCAGTAAATTTCCGTCCAATTTGTGCATAGGAACCAGTTCTCAGGTTTGATAAAAGTTTGAACTGCCTCTCCTGCTGGGTGGGGTACATGTTCTAAGAATCGAGTTAATTTCGATGAAATCCACTCGTCTCCTTTGATTTGCTACCCATCGTGTGGATTATACAACTTTGCTTATTATGTGAACCCACTCTTGTGTTTGAAGTCGCCTTCCTGATCTCGTCGCCAGTCCGCTGGTAACTGCTTACTCTGCAAAATTGGTTTTGTTTCATTTTCTTAAATTATTACATGGCAGCCAAAGTAATTGGGGAATTCTGTTTGCACAACGTCAAGAGTTGATTGGAGAAGAAACCCTTAATGGAGATATGGATTATGTAAAAGGACTCCAAAAGTGTTGTTTTCTACATCACCACATCCGTGTTCTTAGGTGCACAGCAATATATGCACAAATAATTGCTAATAAATTTCCGGAATAAATTGCGAACGGAATAGTCTCTCCTGAATGCTGTTCATGGTTAGTTATTGGTTGTGGGACGTGTTTTATAGGTGATCGATAATTCAGAAGACGCCGTTAAATTTTCTCGTTCCAAATTCATGCTTATCTATCCAACTAGCTTCTAGAAAACTATGAAAATGATACGTGGTTGTTCATTTCATCCGTCGTAACTCTCGCAATGAACCAGATTTCACGGAATGAGCGAAAAGGTGACGAATGTGTAAATATTTTGGAATGAAGAAGCCGGAACAGCAATAAAACCGTCAGAATATTTTCCTGAGAAATTGCTGCCTGTACACTTGTCGGGCACTGAAGAATGATAGCAATTCCCCATTTAACCAGTCCATTATCTTGGTCAAATGAGATTCCCGTCAAATTCCTCCGCACACGAGATTTATTCCACATTTACTTTTCCTGTCGTTCTGAATTTCACGTTGAATAAAGATGAGGCTGAGTTGTGTGTATGCTTTTCTTCGCGAGATTGGATCCGAGCTGTTTGTGAAGAATCAAAGGCTTTAATTTTAATAATTTAAAGAATAAGGCTGACAGCCGTGCAGAAGAAATTGAATTTTTGGCTCATGTTCATCACCCAGATTTAATACGCCTCATGACAGAGGCAGATGCAGTAGAAAATGCAAACAAAACTGAGGAGGGGAGCTTGCGAGGTTGATAATAACAGATCTTGATGCCCTTTGGATATGTGGTAGGGTCCCATGAGTGAACTAAAACCCTGAAGTGGTTTGACTCCATGGCCACATTTGCGCCCGCCACACCCACTCAAAAATGCTCAAAAACCGCTTTCACTCCGGTTTTCACTCACTCAAATCCACGCCAAAAATCCAATTTTACTCGGATTTTGAAATTTCTTTCACCATTACACTCCCAGATAGTTGCTTTCTTCAATCCAATATCAAACTCAATTTTGCTGATGACTATTTCGCAGGCATAATTTGCGTTGTTGATTACTACAACAATCTTCATTCCGAATTGCAATTTTTAAAAATACTAAAAATTTCGAAAAAATTGAGTTTGATATTGGATTGCAGAAAGCAACTATCTGGGAGTGTAATGGTGAAAGAAATTTCAAAATCCGAGTAAAATTGGACTTTTGGCGTGGATTTGAATGAGTGAAAACTGGAGTGAAAGCGTTTTTTGGACATTTTTGAGTGGGTGTGGCGGGCGCAAATGTGGCCATGGAGTCAAACCACTTCAGGGTTTTAGTTCACTCATGGGACCCTACCACATATCCAAAGGGCATCAAGATCTGTTATTATCAACCTCGCAAGCTCCCCTCCTGAGGAGTTGACTACTATTCGTGCTCCATTCAACATTCACAAACTTCCAAGAACCATCATATTTTATTTGGGAGAATTTGCATGCATTGATTTTGAAACTGAAAAGTGAAACCCCTTATTTATTCTCCCACGCACATGTATGTATCCCAAAAATAATCCGATGCTTTCATATCGGCGCTTCGCCTGTCGCATATTATTTCCTCGTACTATTTCCGTTTGAAGTTGGTTGACACAAAGTCGTTGATTCATTCTTCCAATAACAACATACAGCAAATAGATGTCTAGCACAGATTTCGCACGACGTGTTCGAAATGAGGTGATGCACAGGGTATTGAATTTTCGGACATCAACAATGCAGTGCAAGCAAGTGAGTCACGTGTGAGCGAGGTGTATGGGAAAGCGATACAGTTGTTTGAAGTAAATAAAGACTTCCGTTTCGTCAAGTCCATCCTAGACTTGGAGTCGGGCAGGATTTTATCTGCACAAAGAATGAAGCTACTTTATTACCACCTTCAGATTATTATGAGCTCCGGTTCGTTGGTCGGTTTTTGAAGAGGACGAAGTTGCCAGAATTCTTACTCCGTTCCAATAAAGAATTCCGGTCAGGATTCTCCTCCCTCTTTCACGTTCGCACTCGGACTTTAACATTTTACTCGCTATAAAGACCTGCTGCTGGCTAATTAAAAAAAGTAGTGGGTGGTGGTGGTGGCCTTTGGTGTGTTTCCGGAGGAGCTATGAAATATCTCTCCGTTCAAAGAACAAATTGAAAAATTGAAATTCAATGCAATGAAATAAATCGTGCGATATGCGCTGCGTAATATCTGCTCAGTTTAATAGCAAGCAATTTGACATGACATTTATGACACGAGGATGACGTGCCATGTTGCAGTTGTCTTGTTCTTCTCCATCCAACAGCGTGCTCCCTTGTTTCGGGGCTTAACTCGTGTCAAATGTCGGACACAGAGGAAAACATGGGCATTTGCAATACGCATAGTCTTTGGTACAGTCTGCTTTCTGGGGATCACAGTTGGAGGAGCAGTCGTCGTGTTATGACAGCACAATGAACAGATTGGTTGTCCTCCGGATTTGAGAGATTTTGCTCCGTCTTCCTTGTTGCAAACCAAATCTGGAGGAAACTCTCACCCACAACAAGCCAACAATTTGAAATACTAGCTCAACTTTCTTCCACCATCGCCTCACCAGAGTTGAGACATTTACAACAAGTTTACAACCCGGAATTCCCTCCAGCAGCCCAAAGCTGCTCCATAAACATGGCTTAATATCAATTAAGTCGTTCCCTCTCTCTCTCTCCAACATTCATTTTTTGCTCTCTGCATAATGTAATTTACAAACCGGAGAGCTTACTTAAATTGCTGTTGATGGCATACAAAATCTACGCAGAGACAAGGCGAGTACAGTTCTTATGCAAGTGTCGGATCGATGAAAAATTTATCCTCGCAACATGTTAGATGTTGCATAACAGTTGTATGCATTTGCATATTATTTTATGCCTTAAAATGTGATACAATAAAGTATTTTACATGATAACAACATTCCCACGCGTACAAAAAAGCATGTGCAGCTGTCAACAGTACGAAGACTAAGTTTCTAGTTGTCACGCCAAGAAAGCTCCAGTGTTGCTACTTCTGTCGCCATTAATGTCGCCCCTTTTTTAATATTGACACAAGCAAGTTCATTATTACGTAAATCGGCACATAAAGTTGTGTAACGAAAATAATTAAGGTGATACAATTTGAAAGAGTACAAAGTTTAAAAACAATTGCTAACTTTTGTGTCTACCTCTAAGCGTACGATCAACGAGTCAAACAATGT